TGCTGGTCGCACTATGTAGAGACACGGCAAAATGAGCTCTGGCCTGGCATATAAGAGGAACCTAAGCGAAGCAAATGTAGAACGGCACTTACACGTCGCTTGACAGCCCGGCAGTTCCCACAACTTCTAGAGGCTCGAGGGCGAAACAAGTTGAGCGCAGCCATATCGATACCCTGGGACAATGGCACAAGAGAGGGCGCAAGATGTGTCGGAAACCCGAGTTTCCTGGCAAGTCTGAAGAGAGTCACTCCCTAGGAGGTTCAAAATTTTGCGACTAAGCTTCAGCTCTGAGCTTTCAGGTCCGTGTTCAGCTGAAGATCTTCCACAGTCAGCCCACACCTACGGATACCCAGATCACCAGCACTCTGCCCCGGTTGAATTGAAGTCGCGTGGTAGAGAAAGACATCCGGACCATACTGAGCCGTAGGGGGCTATTACAGCCTCGTTGTCGTCATCAAAGTTGCAAACAAACCAATCCGACGTTAGACTAAAATATGAGCATTACTATTGGCTGATCTCGACCGTTCCTGGCTCCACGTCTCCCGTAGCGCTAGTCCTACTTAGGTCTCTTTATATGTCAGCGAGTCCTTCGACTTCTTTGAGGAATATATCTCTAATTGCTAATATTTCATTATCAAGTCATTTCAAACACCAGCAAATCTGGCAGTCTAAATATTAGCAGCCAGAGCTACTATTTCAGCCACATCCAAGGGATCAAGGCCGAGAGCCATCTCTCCAGTCCCATCCCTTCCAAGGTCTCCTTGCTGCGCAAGGTACTGTAACTTAGCAACGGACTCACTCAGCTCTTCCTCGGTAGGCATGTTAACGATCATCAGATACATGACATCCTCCCTAAGAATTTTAATTCTACTGCCAGTTTCCTTCTTCTTTCTGGCCCACTTCTGTTTCCATGTTTCACTTGGGGGAAAACCTTGAGCAGCTCGCTTCTTGTCCTGGGATTCCTTGATGGCAGCCCCCGCACGCTCGAATAGACTTGGCTTAGGCTGGTACAGGCCACCGCTCAAGGTCGTGAGAAGGTTTCCATTATTCACTGGGTGGTTGGGGTCATTGTAGCGTGAAGTGAAGGCCTTGCGTCCGGACTCGGGGACAGCCAGCGCAGAACCCTGATGGTCGGTTTCCTATTTCCTGTCAGAACTAAAATGTCTATATATGAGAGCGTAAGATAAGGAATTGGTACTCACGAATGATGCCTGGGACTTTCGATCGATGTAGTCCCGAACCCAGGATCTTCCACTCTGGAATTTCGACTTGGATTCCAGGCCATCTCTGACCCGTATGGCAGCTCGATCAACCTCCGGGAAAACTAGCGGTGCACACTCGGGAAGCTGCACCTCTCCTCTAGTTGCGCCATCTCCCATTCGATAATGCTTCATGCGTTGCTTCCATGCATTCATTTGTGGGTGCTCCTTGCTGTGAGTATACTTTGAAATTGTCGCTGCCGCATCGAATGCAGGCTTTTCAGGCTGAGACAGGCCGGCATTGACCTCAGTCGTCGCTCCTGATTGATTGAAAGTGATCTGCTCGGTTGAGAAGAGTTTGCCAAGTCGATCTGCTTCCGAGTTAGGAGAGTTCGAATCCTGTTTTACTTGCTGCTTCTGCTTCTTCGTGGGCTTGAGAGGCCGATCCGTGAATTTCATGATCATCGCATATTGACCACGCGGCATAAAAATCTCTTGATTTGCCCTATCGAGGTAGCTATTGGTACGGTGACGAATTTGGAATTGCTGTGCTGTGTCCGCTACAATCTGGATAGCTGCAGCGGTCAACGCAACTGCTAATGAAGGGGAGAAGCTAGTGATACTGGCTGCGCAAACGATGACCTGGAGCCACATTGAAGCCTTTGATAAAAATGAGTAAGTATATGTAATCCCATCATGGTCAAGAAAAGGAATGGTAGTCACCAACCTGACTAGCTTTATGAAAGTCACTGATGAACTTCAAGAACACATCTTGGCTGACACCACAGTCGGCCAACACAGGCGCATATGCATGCACAAATCCGCGTTTCTTAGCACCAGGCCTGCGTTGAGGAATAATGACAGGACATGGGAGTCGCTGCGGTTGGGCTGGTGGTGGCCCAGCCATTGCCACGAGTGAGCGAATCATGCGCTCTCTTTTCTTCGCTTTCTCATCTTCAGAGTCCTGTGCGCTAATCTCATCGGGGTCATTATCAACACTCATGTCGAAGTCTCTCTGAGCACCTTTCGGATCAGGGCGAGTGCTTGTTTGATCATAGGTGGGCAATCCGAATTCTTCGGTCGCTTCGTCGAGTTGCCAGGCAGCCTCATCTCCATCCATCGAGCGCTCACGGTCATTTCTGGTATCCAAAGTGAGCTTTTCGGTGTCGTTGCCTGTCCCAAAAGGCAGGTGCCCTCTATTTTCTTCGACTTCCGATGAAGATCTCGCTTCATGTATATCCCTTTGTCGTTCCGAGCCGGGTGAATATGGTGGAAGTTCATCTGCTGTGGGGAGCTCTCTCTCGCTGCCCCACTCTGAGCGGCCCTTACGATTGGGTAGCTCTGCATGGCCTTGGAGGGTGACTGTATAAGTCGTCTGATTACCTGCACCGACAGAATCTCCACCATTGCTTTCTACTCCAGAAATAGAGCGAGTGGTCTCTGAAACAGACACAGAGTCTTTGTTTCGGTATCGGGCTGCATGGGCGGCTTCAGAAGCAAAGGCAATACCGGAGCCAATGAGTCCAGCGAGTCCTTTACCCATGGTTGTGGTGGGAAGGCGTGAGTCGTGAATAGGTTTGGATGAAGGAATATTTTGAAAAGACCGCTGGGATTCCGAAGATAGATTGTTCGAAGGGTTTATATAGAGAAAGAAGACTCTCAACCAGCCCCCATCTATCTGTACAACCCGATCATTTACCATATCCGGGAAGTAGGATGTTAGTTTGAAGAACAGCAGTGGGGAACCGCGTGTCTTCCTCAAATGAGACAACCCTTCAATACGTACCTAAACGGTCCACTTCTATGACTTCTCCCTAATGACATGTGCCATTAAGGTTGGACCAGAGCAGATCCAGACCCATTATGCTGTACATCCCAGCCTTGTTTCTCTTGGGAAGCTCAGCCTTGTCTTGAGATCAAAGCGTCGATTGAACCCGCAGATGACTGTTCATTGGCGGAGCATCTCACATACCTGAAGAGGACTAGCGCTGTCGGGAAGTAGCGGATCCAGCTGGTCAGAGCTCAGCCAATCAAGCATAGCGCTATGGTCTCCAGATCAATCGGGTATCCTATGGTCTAGATAAGTCGTCGCAGATCTCCTACAGATCTGGAGTGGGTTGCGAGAGTATGGTGTGATCGACCAAAATTTTCTTGCAAAGTCCCCTGGTAAAATGACGTTAGCACTAACTAAACCTAGCACTCACCTGTCCCACGGGTCCAAGATCAGTGTTAGGACCACTGCCTTACTGATACCGATCGTGGCCTGAGGCATCACTGAATACCTCAGGAACCGCGCAGGATGTAATCCTTGCCACCTTCAGCAGGTGTAGTCTATGTTTAGGCAATGTCCGCTGGTCCTGGAAGTAGACCTGGTCCTCACCTGCGGGTGACCCTCTGGACCCTCCACCCGCACCTCCTCTTGGCGAGTGGAGGGTTTACAAGTCAGACCCTGAGGGTCGAGCACCTCTATATCCGACCCTCCGGTGGTTACCCTTGAGGTCCACAAACAGGATAAATAGTGTAGTGGGGGAAATGCTGACTGCATGAAGCTGCTGACTGTATGAAGGAGCGGTCTATCGGATGACTAAGGCTTTTGTGATATATAAGACTTTCTGTTACGTAGGATAAGCAAGACAGACACACTTTCTCTTCCAAACCACCCCTAGATGTTCTCCTTCCCTATAGTCCTGCCTGCTTGGCCGTGTGTGTGTGTTTGTGTGTTGCCCAGTTCGCGTGATCAGACAGTCATCGAGCACTCCCCTTTTCAATAGGTAGAAATAGACCTCGGCAAGGACCTGGTCCGGACCATGCGGTCTTTGGTCTTTTTTCAAAGTAGTCAGGATCGCACCACGGCCCCCCGTGCGGTCCCCCGCAAATTTATAATTATACTAAGACCTTCTTATTCTAGCTATATAGACTGATTATTTAGCTGAACTTTTTGTTATTATTAAACACTATTCCAGTATATACGCGAATATTGATAATAAATTACGTCTACCTATTAATGAGATAGGTAAAACTACCCTATATTTATTTTCTGAAAGCTTCGTATTAAGTTAATTACTAATAAATTCTGAGTTTCGGATTATTATAGTTAGTATTTTAGAAATTTTCGGCCGAGGAGGGAGGCGGATACCACGATAGCTTTATCGTGGCGCTGGGTATGCTTTGTGGCTTGATTTCCTACCACGTACCGTGGACTATCCAACTAAGGAAGGATTGGATTGGATAAAGGTAAAAGAAGAATCAAGAAGATAGAGTGCAAAGGGTTTATGCACCTTAAATGAGCACAATCCACAATCCTCAAACAAAGGACTAGAAGAAGGTAGAAAGGATGTTTCAATATATGAAGAGAGTGAAAGGTCTGGTATTTCTACTTGATATCTCGCGCATATTTATAGACAAAAAAAGCTAAAAGTCACATGTTTGGGAGAAAGGAACAGAATTGAATCAAGTCGTAGGCTACAATATTCATGCATCAGAATGAAGATTCCTGGACATGAATTCCAAGATCTATTTACCAAAGTTTGCCGGGCTTGTTTGCCGCACAATAAAGATCAAATTAGATGCAAGACATTAGGAAACCTAGCCATGACTTATTATTCTTACCTTATTCCTTCCCTGGAAAATAATGAGTTTCGCCCCATATCCACTGCACAAGGTAAACGTACACAGCAACTCAGCCATTCTGTGATTTAAGCCATCCAGCATTCTGCTTAAGCCTTCGTTGCCTAAAGTGTTGACTTGCTAGTCTATATGGGCTTGTGAGCAGAAGGTCAAAGTCTTGAGGGTTGCTTACATTTAGGGCCTAGGAAGTCCATTTAGCGCGTGGAAATATAGCGCCTTGTCTTCAGCCAAAGCATGGCCGTTAATCTATTTGACCTATAAGCCATATCATGTTGATGGAAATATGTGGGTACAGTATGTTGCTTACTGCTGCGGAGGTGCGCCTGGCCCTTTCCTCCGCGATCTCTTCTATAGTCTCTTGGATCTCGGGGGCATCGACTGTTTTGCTGCTTACCTCTATCGCAATGCCAAGTATGGCCTGTGCCTCGACGAGCTTGTGATTGTTTCCTGAGATAAAATACCGCTTTATCTGCTGCCTTATGGCTGATTGTCTGGCTGCAAGATTTTAAAGACTCCGATTCTTGTCATATTGTCGGCGCTGACCTACAAGGCACTGGCCCAGTCTGTTTAGCTTGTTTACATGGAATCTTCAGAGATCATGTACTCCGTATGTGCTGAAGCAGGGTTGTAACGATGCCGGTTTTACGCCATTTTCATTACCATGCACTTTGAATCTAAGGAACAGGGACAGGTATAGAGGTAGCTACATATGGGAGCCGTGCAGCTCATCAGGTCATCAGGTCAGGGGTTAGCCTGATGACCTGATCAGCTGCATACCCACATATGGCTAAGGGCCGCTAAAGGACTTGAGAAACCGATAATCAATTCAATCGAATCTACGAGGAACAGGCACCCAGCCTCCAGTCGCCCCTATCAACTCACATGGGCGTGCAATCTCAGGACACCAAAAATAGGTCGATGCCCCGGCTAAACCGTTCTTCTCCGTTCGCGCACAGGGGGTTCGAGAATTGAATTCTTATTCAAGAAGGCGATCGTGTGACCTCGTGTTGTTTTGATATGGAGTAAAAGATGCATGGAAGTCACGCATCAAGGTAGAGATCGTTGAGGCTATACAGTGATTCTCTAGCAGGCAGCTACAAGACTCATTAATATATCAAAACATGAGATGGTCATGCGCCTGTGGCAGGGTTGACCATGCAGTAGTCCAGATTGTGGCTGGAGTCTGGATTTCCCGCCCAAGTCCTGGAAAAATAGAACTGTTAGCATGAGAGGAGATAGCACAGAGACGGGGACACATACGGGAATGGACGGGAGGTTCCACTTCCACCAAAGACAGCAATCGTGAGAATAAAACGCAGACTTGGGTCCCTCCATCCAGAGCAGCAGACACAATATAGTTGTATTTGTTGAAAAGATGCGGGTAATGCTTTCGAAGCCACCACTGGGCTGTGAATCCCGGGACGAAGTACATCAAGATTGATGCATTGATACCAACAAAGAGATATCCCATATACCACAGAATAATAGAAAGGTTAATATAAGAGAAGATGGGGTAAGGCCAGAATTTGTTGGCAACCCAAAATGGCACGGGAACGAAGAACCCTAGCAAATAGGCGATAGTTACCCATTGATAGCGAGCACCAATGGAAAACATGTCCTTGGCAATGCTCCAGGCAATTGCAAGTGTATTGAACTGGTATAGCAGATGTCAGATGCGAGCATCTAAAGAGCCCACTGTAAATACTTATCTGAACATTCTGTCCATTCCAGATATTAGTTCCGTCAATAGAAATGAGTACCTCAGACTGGGATTGAACGATCCTGGAGAAAAGTCTCAATATGGGAAAGATTGCAAAGAGAATATAGTCATACTTTAACATCATCACGTAATTGAACAAAGCTCCAATGACGCAGCCAAGAACTTGCACAAAGAAAGTGGACCGAGGTGACAGGCGGACGTTCTGTGCTAGTCGGAGATCTTTTGCAAGCACCTGGCCCATTTGAAGAGAGTTATAAGTGTAGCAAGTAAAGTAGAGATCTGAAATGAAGAGTTAGACGGCGGCAGGTAACCGAAAGGATAGAGTAATTTACTGGCGAGGGGCTTTCCAGGAAACAGATACCCAGCCAACATTTGACAGATAGGCTGGATATTGAATTGAAATCCGGTTAGGCCGTATTGGGCCCCGAAAAAGAGCATGAACACAGCTGTGAGAACATTTGCCAAGATAAAACCCCACCAAGGAAGGGTTGACTTGATCGAATATAGAGAAACAATGCCGGCCACGAAACTGTCAATGAGCACAGCGCCCCACCACCATTGTGGGCACTCATTATATAGGTTCTGGAGCATTAATCGGTAGTGGGGGTCAAGGGATTCATCATTGAGCTTTCGTTCCAAGCGCTGCTCAGGCGTCTCCTGATTAGCCCAGAATTTGAAGGTTTCTAACTTGAACCATTTTTTATCTCGCTCGGTGCAGCCCAAATCCAGCCTGCTTTAATGTCGTCAAAGTTCCAGAGGAGCATATGAGTGAATGTTGCCGTAAGTCCCATATTTGATGTGATCAGGTAGCATAGATAGCTGCCTGTCAGCCAGGGAATACCTTGCTCGTGTAACAATGTCTCGTTGATAGTGAAATCGGGATTGAGAATTACGGACTGGTTATAGGTGTGGTAGTATGTCGAATTTGAATCGCCGTAAAATAGAAGTTGCGACAAGAACGGAAAATTCTGGGAATTGAAGATATTCGCATAGTAGACATCCAAGAAAAGGATGATGCAGCTGAGATAGCCAACGAACGTATTTGTTAATGCATACAATGGGTACCACAGCGGACTTCCGGTTGGAGAGACGTAATTCCAGTCGAAACAAAAGGATACTGGGAGTTATGGGTCAGTTTCAAAAGGCTTTCATTGAACTCCCAGTGTAATTTTCAAGGCTATAATGGCCACAGAACAAACCTCGGACAATTGTGCACTCACAGAATCCCAAGCCCTCATTCCTGGATGCTCCACCAAAGAGATTTGTAAACACCAAGCTATTCTGGTTTGCAAGACAGAATATTGAGACGCCTTCCAAAACTGGAAAGATGTACTGTGAACTGTGTTAATATCATTGACTCTTGACAGTAATCCGAATAACATGCTCACTTCGGGGAAAATGGTCCAGAAGAACAACATAGTAAAGACGACGTAGAATATCTTGAGACGGGACTGAGACTCCTTTTTATCTTTATGCAAAGACTCCAGCAAACTTCTGATAGGCAAAGTCATTGGCCACAGCATCTTGGTTGGCCGGACAATTACATCGCGGAGACCCGCAATACCGTAGCCTATTAGTTGCGAAGAAAAAGTGATGAAAACACTAGCCACATGACTCGGATAACCGCCATAGAATAGCTGCTGCGCAGCCAAAGCCTCAGTGGCCAAGGCTGACTGCGAGGCCGCGGATGCCATAAGCGCAACAGTGGCGTGTTCCTTCGCATTAAATGGGCCCGGGTTGAAATAACGCCCTAATTTACCCTTTCGAGGAATTGCGTAGGCCATGCCCGCTCCTAGGACGTACGCGACCACAGTCAAAAATACCTGAGAGACTAAGATTGTCTGTGGCTTGAAATAAAAGATTTCCTGAAGTACACCACCAAAGATCGAGAGACCAGCCCCTAGTGCGTTCTGATCAGCGACTGAAGATTCCAAAAGATTCATCCGCGAGCCCTTTGTTTCTAAGATCCGCGGGATTCATACCGAGAAACACCATCCGAAAACTCCACGGGCTGACAGTGGGATCATCCTCAACTCTGATAACGTGAGTGACAATCTCATCGGCTGAGCTGATAACATCATTGTCATTTTTGGTGATCACATCTTCCCCAGAAGATGGAATCGAGGAGACGTCTATCTTTTTTTTCACTTCCGGAGTTGCAGCATGCTTCTTTGTATCGGGAAGATTTGCATTTTTCTCGTCCCGAGCCTTCTCGGAGGCAGCATTGATGGTGGTATTTTCCATCTCGTTAAAGGTCAAGTAATTGAAAGAATTATAAACAGGAGTAATTTTCTCTAGCCAAATACCCGGCTATTTAATCGGACGGTTCGAAAAATCTGCCTCATCGGCCAAAATTAGCGCACAAATTTGTAAATAAAAGGTCACCCGGCATAGAGTGCGCCAAAAACCGCAATTGGGGGCAAACCTTACCCCCAAAAACCAACCGCAATGGTTGCGGTTTGAAACCGCGAAAACTAAACCAAACCACAAACTATTGCGGTTCCCCATTAGGGCCCCAACAAAAATCATTTTTGCATAAAATTAAAGTCTTGGCATATATAAATTTGCTGATTTATACTTTTAGATTACTATTATTAAACTATATTTTAGTCTTAACACTACTTAATTATATTTTTCGACTATAAAAGCTATAAAATATAGGGTAATTCACTTATATATAAAATTAAAAGTAGAAGTAATATAATATTCCTTTATTTTTAGTGTATTAATCGTAGGTAGTTAGCTAGTATTAGGTATTAGGTCTCTTAGCTATATTTCATTGCGAGGATAATTGTCGGTCGTGAAGGGAGGCGGATACCACGAAACTTTTCGTGGCGCGGGGTACGCTTTTGTAGATGCTTCCCCACCACGGACCGTTGACTACCCGACCAAGGAAGGCTTGATCGGATAAAGATGGAAAAGAATAAGATAGATTGTAAAGGGCTTATGCACTCTAAATGAGCACAATCCACAATCCTTAAACAAAGGACTAAGCAGAAGTTCTTTCTAAGCAGATAGAAAGGGATAGTAGAATATTTGAAGAGAGTGAAAGGTCTATTATTTCTACTTGGTGTCTCGCGCGTATTTATAGACAGAAAGTGGTCAAAGTCACATGCTTTATATCAGATAAACAGAATAGAATCAGGGAAGGAAATGTGATAGAACTGATGGCGTGATGAGGGATATGTCATCGATCTGGTGGGGTAAAGAGGGGTAAGCGGTTTGGAGGGGTAAATCATGTTCGCATCTCTTTCTTTTCTTCTTCTTCTTCTTATGTTGAATAAGAAGATACCTTCACCTAATGTAGCATTGGTCCAAATTCCAACAATAACTAGTAATAGAAAATCAGGGTTATTATAGATGCTTCTTCTCTTTAAGTTATAACTGGTTTCGCTTAGTCTAGCTTATAATTAATAGTGCCATTATAATAAAGGGGGTCATAGCATAATAGGTTATAATCAGTTACTTTGTGTTAAAGATGGTTCTCGCTAATTATAAGGGAATCATAGCTAGGGTTAGTATCCATAACTAGTAAGCACTAGTGAAGATAGAAGTGAGAATTAAGGTATTGCAAAATAATTTTTCACTTTCTCCCCTCTAGCGGGCCGAATAATCTCTCCGTATCTCTCAGATCTCTTACTTTTGAGTTACTAGACGCTTCTCGGAGTCGATATTAAGGTCATAAGAGGCCTAGGGAGACATTATAGGGTTATAGAGGATTATAAAGGATAGGTAGGGATAAGGACGTACTAGTAGGTGAAGGCTAGGAGATAAAGGAAGGAGAAAAGAGAGGAAGAGAAAAAAAAAAAGAAAAAGAAAGTGAACACCATAAAGATAGTTAAGGTATAGACTATCACGTGATTACCCCGGATTCTCTATATTTTAAGTAGTAACTAGTAAGATAATATTAAAATTAACACTTTGACTACTTTATAAAATTCTAGATCCTTTAGAAAGTAATTAGTAGGGATATTATTTTTCAATATCTATCGATATTTATCGAAGTTATTACCAATAATACGCTAGCTTTTGCTTACCTCTTATTAGATATATAACTATTTATCTTTACTAGAAAAGAATTTATTTATAGACATTGCTAGCCTACTAACAAGAGGTAACCTTACCCTTCTAATCACTACTAGTCATACTAAGTAAAAGCTTATTAGGTTATCAGGTCACTCAATTTTTTGGAATTTACAATAAAAGTCAATTTATCTAGTCACTACTAGTAATAACTACTTAAAGCTCATCAGGTCAAAATAGTGGGTCCAATTCCGACCTGATGAGCTCGCATAGTCACATGACCAAAATGGGCATTTTTGAAAATATTAAAATTACTATGTAGCTTACTAGTAATTACCAGTTATAACCAAATTGACCTCATCAGGTCATCAGGTCAACCGTCGACCTGATGACCTGATGAGCTACATACCCACAGACTAGCCTTGACATATTGGAGCACTGGCGGAGGGACCTTGATACCCGTATGACCCTAGGTATGCTCTAGTAGCCGCTTCGCATCGTGATTAGCGTTTATTACGCGTTCGTTGATGTTGCGTGGCTCGGCTTCCGCGCCCCCTGAAAGGAGTGGCCAGTCATTCCACGGCGCCACTATAGCGAGAATCACCCAAGACTGGTATCAAATGATAGCGCGTGAAGTTAATTGAATTGAGCAATGTTGAGTGGGCGTGGCCCTTGGCGTGGAGGTACGATTTCAAAAACTCGATTTACGCAGAGATAGATGTTTTTTTTGCTTACGTTGTCAAAGAGGGATGAAGTTACCCCAAGTTGGCTCCCGGGAGACTGTTTCAGATGACCCCAAATCTGGTGCAGCGTCATCAATTCTGCGAAGTGAGAACGTGCTCTCATCCTGAAGACTACGCTTGGTTTCCACCTCCTGACAAAGGTCTCCGCAGACTTGATCTGAGCTCTCATAGTCCTCATCGAGGACCTTATTGTACTGGTCAGAATTGCATAATAATTTTTCTGACCAATCATCTGGACTGTATAAATATCCCTTCGGACTTCAGTCTGCGTCGTTGATTAATGCGGCGATTTTTCTATACTTCAACAAGTTGTCCCAACGACCCTTAACGTTCTTGTCCCACAATCTCCCTAAGTAGGTCATTGTGTTCGTGTCACTCGAAGCGAGGGCGCCTTGAATCAAAAGCTCCAAAAGACGATAAACGCGCCTGTAGTGAGGATTCATGGAATCTCCACGTTTGCTGAGATTGTCAAGGGCAGGATATGTCGGATTCTTCATCCAAACAGAAAGGTCGTCCTCATAGTCCATTAACTCAGGAATCAAGGCCTCATTCGTGGTTTTGTAGGTTCAATACTTTGACCAAAATTACTGGCATTTCGCGGCCTTCATAGCTCACTCGTTTGACCAATTTCCTGACCAATTTCGTTCATCTTTACCCTCCATTTCTTGACAGTAATGTCATATCAAATGATACAGGATTGACCGAATTCAGTTTCAACATGTCACTCTCTTCGTTTGTTTATCGAGTCTCTTCTGTTGTAAAACACGCTGATGGTTTTGCGGTTTAGCCTATCTCTTTTTATCGAAAGGTATTATAATATAATTCACATAATACTGCGCTAGTATGGAGTTGTACAAGATCGAGGCAGATAGTATCTATAATTATCATAACTAGTGTTCAGCACTGTGTATTTTGTCTATGCACAGTCTCGGCCTAAATTATAGACCGTACTAACAGAAATCAGAGCAGTTGGCCGTTCCGTATGCGCGGCCAAACAAAGCCAATCGTCTTCCAGGCATCAAATAAGGGATACTAAGGTGAAGAAGGAAATAAAAATATCAGAGATAAGAAGGAATAAAGCCAATGTTGTGTACCCCATTCCATACCACCTGACTACAGACTTCTTAGTCGTATCCAGGAAAACGCCTTTTGTTTTCTGGCCCTGGTGCTGTAGGCAGTTCTTCCCAGTCACAGTGGCAATGCCGAGCTCGGTAACGAAGTAGAGCAACTAGCGCGTCACTCGTGAGCAAAGCTTGAATCGCCACAGCAGTCCATGCTATTCCCAGAAAATTACCGTTAGATGCAGCTGATATTCTGGGGCTCCCGCTTTTGGAAAGCAAAGAAACAAATTGCATGGAAATCACAGTCGCAATGACCGAGGCAATAATGAGGAGAAGGGTGCTAGACTTTTTGTAAGTTAGCAAACAGCAGAAGAAATTTTTTTGGATTATATGGCACTTACTATGAGGCTAACCAGTTGCAATTTGGATGGAGGTATGTCCGAAAAGGATCTTGGCCGAGGGTAGCCTGGGTAGCTAGATGGCGGTTCAATTCCATCCACAGGGCTCAGAGAGCCTTGAGGCTGCCAAATATAGCGGACTGTACTAAGGCGAAGAACAACCGATAAGCCGACAGCGCATGTGCCTAGTATGAAGAGAATGGTCATAGCCTGGGTGGTAGGAGTCAAAGCAATGAAGTCGTCGCTTAAATAGCTAGGCCAGCCGTTTTCAAGCCTAGAATCAGTGCCTGCAATTGCTTCAAGGATAGCTTGACCGGGGTCGAAGAGAAACAAAGGGTTTAGGTCTGAGCACGAAGTGATCGTACTTTGGATTGTCGTTGTATTTGAAGCATCGTCCACAACACATTCTTTTTCGAACCCAAAGCAGTAAGACATCAAGTATACATTGAAGAAATCGGGAGCATCCTTGATGGACAATTTCGATATATTTATCTAGAAAGATATAACTTAGCATAAACTCTTGAAGCCGTTGTCGTAGCCACCTACCCTAAGAATTGTTGCATTTGGCAGAAATTGGCGCGAGCTACCGGCAAATAAACATAAAAGAAGTAAAATTAAGGCCACAAGAGAGGATGTATTCCCGATAAGAGGGCGAAAACATATCATCTTGTAAAGCTGTGTGGTGTTTCTGGGAAGAAGTCAGAATAACATAGTCTGTCTCTAAAGCCAGGGTCTAAGCAAGCTTTGAGATCGGGAGTTTCCTGATTATGTAAATTCCGTAAATTTTTTCAAGTTAATATCCTGGACTTGAAGAAGAATTTGGAATGCAGGGAAATATCTCCGGGGAATGTGATTATGAGCCCAGGTACCAGGCTCACGGAAAATCTAGCTTTGTCTGATGCATGACGGAGTAGGGTTGACGCACAAATATTAAATAATCTATCTTTGGAGACCAAATTGTCCCAGTAGGTTCCTCTGAGCAAGAATTTCCGTACCTATGCGGAACAGCTCTGGTCATAATTGCATTCTTAAAGGAGTAATTATGCAAACTTCTTAAGGCTGCGTTCCAGCTCCAGAGCTTATTATTAAGTACCCACATATCTCAAATCAAGAAAGCTGGCGGTGCTGTTTAGGCTAAGATAAGCGCCTTCCCAGGAATTGAGCCCAACCAATGTTCTCATCGAGGTAAGGGCTCCCTTGGCACGACTACTTCGCTATGAGAGCGTTCACCTGTACCGGCGGCTTTCCCCCATATTTCTATTCAAGATAATTTATGCCCTTAACATAATCTAGCACAGAATGCTCTGATGTCTGAAAGCACTGTTTTTCGAGGTCTGCAGCTTTGTGATGGGCCGGCACGCTCCCAGGAACTGCAAGGTCGCCAGGTGACGTGCATTTCATAGTTGACTCTAGTGAGTGTGTCCTCAAATCACGTGAAGCATAAGCCCTTTGCACTCTATCTTATTCTTCTTCTTTTTGCTTTTATCCAATCAAGCCCTTCCTTGGTTCGATAGTCCTACGATCTGTGGTGGAGAAGCATCTGCAAAAGCTTACCCTGCGCCACGATAAAGCCATCGTGGTATCCGCCTACCCTCCGCCGGCCGACAATATCTTACCCCGCCTATTTTAGAGGGAGAATTAATACCGCTTTCTAGCTATTATAACTCTTACCTAGGATATCCTTTTAGTCTTAATAATTATTGCTGGCGTTAAATAACTATTTAATACTACTCGGGATATCTATTATTATCGCCGAGGACGTTCAAACAGCACAATAATCAAGGAATTAATAATAAATCTTTATATATTAAAGTTCGACCTACAGGAAGACTCTTTTAATTTTTTAAAAGAGTTTTTTACTCTTAATAAAATCGAAGCGGGTAAGGAGGAAGACTTAGAGCATATACCTAATTAGTTTGAGCTAAATATAATTAGTGATAATAAGAAATAGGGTATATAATAAGAAAAAGAAGAGGAGGAGGAGGAGGAGAAGGAGAAGGAGGAGCTTCTACAGCCTAATAATAGTGATAACAATAAGTAGGCTTCTGCACAACCCAGCCTACCTGAGACCACATGAACACCCATAATTAGATGTCAAAAAACACTTGTGTAGAGAGACCTCTAGAAACAATATAGACAAACTACCTATACTCATTTGTGACAGCACGCACACTGGTGACAAGAACCATTCAGTCCTAAGGTACTATTGAGTGAGCTATGCGCCCGCCGGTAGCGCACTATTGATTGATATTTTCTTTGCTTTTTATAAGTGATTTTAGCCGTAAAGCTCACATGGTCTTCCGAGGTGGAAATTTAGTTCCGTAGTATTCGTCTTTTATAGTATAAGTAAAGCCTCGGAATCAGAGAACAAAGCAACAGAATTTCGAAAAAACCAACAGAAACACATCAGAGAGAGAAAACATGAGCGAGCAAATGAGATCGATAGGTAATTGAAGCTTCGCTCGTAGGCATCCTCGGTCCTTTACAGGAAAGCCAGAACACCCATAACTGCAAGCAGACCAACAGTGGGCTGAACGTTTGAGGCGGCACCAGTGAAGAGGAGACCCGAACTAGGAGTAGAAGCCTGACCATATTGGGTAGTTTGGCCACCAGTGGCTGTCTGTCCACCCTGGCCGGGGACAGTGGAATGGCCAGGAAGGGAGCCAGTAGTGGTGCCATTGCTGCCAGTAGTGGTGCCATTGCTGCCAGTAGTGGTGCCATTGCTGCCAGTAGTGCAATCAGTGGACAGCCGGCCGTTCTTAGCACCAATCTGATAAATTAAAAATGACAGGTCAGCAAATGAATAACACAGGGAAGGTATACATAGAGCTATGCGAAGTATCAAGTGGGAGTGGCTATTCTTAACTTACCTCGATAATTGCAGGGCCCGCGAGGACGGTATCGTCGGACACTTTGTCTTTGCTAGAAGTGAGGACGACGTAGCTCTGTCCAGCAATTCCATTAGGGATAGTCACTGAATAGCCGTCGTTGTTAGGAGTGATGGTGGCCCAGACTGGACCCGTGACGGTTATAAAAGCAGCATAGATAGGCCCACTAGCGGTAAAGCTCTGACCAGGGGTAAGGGAGACCATAGAACCAGCCTCGATTGTACCATCAGAGGTAGCTGTCAGAGAAGGGAAAGCCTTAACGGGTAGGGTCGGGTTACTACTAGGGCAAGACACAATGAAAGCAGACGCGAGTGTGTAGACCTCATCGAAATCAAGAGGGTTATCGAATGGCTGAGGGAAAGGGACTTCTCCTACAACAGCACGAAGATAAGAGCTATGGCGGGCTTCAACGGTTAGGATAGAGCCAGCATCTGTGAGATACTCCTTATTGGCGATAGATGCAGCGGCTCCGAGGTAGGCACTAACACCCACTCCCTCAAGAACGTTAGCGAGAGCTAGGAAGCTATCCACATCGGTAGCCGGGAAGTCGTAGGTGCAAGCAGCGGTGGCGGGAGCACCGGCGGCTATTCGCATATTAGTTCTAACTACCTTTGTAAGTTACCTATTAAAGGACGAAAATACCTTCAAGAGCGCCAGTCAAAAAGCTAACGTGTGTTTTCTCATCAGAGGCAACCTTCATAAGGTTGTCATAGAAGGGAGCATCATATCCAGCATTGACGAAGTCGGCTTGGGTATAGTTCTGGAGACCCTCAGCATAGAAAGTTGCCTCAAGGTGTTCGAGGGTCAAAGCATAGTTGAGGATGTCGGCATCAGTGACAGCACGCTTGGCCATAGGGTTAGCCTGAGCAATGCCGGCAGCGACTCCAAGAGCAAGATAACAAGATTTCATTTTGTAAGTTGGCGACCTGACGAAGAAGGATTTGAAAATAATGGAAAGTGCGGGGATGATAAAAACAAAGGAGAGGTAGCGATGGATGATGCGATTTTATATATTTGTACATCCTTAAAACGGCGACGACAAAAAGACAATGTCATCCCCATTTCATGGCTTCGCTCAATACCCCACGGCTGCTTGCATGTCTAGACATTCCAAAACAGATTGAAACCATTTTTCTTGCATTCTGAACCTTCAGCATGTATCTGCGTTCGCCATCTTTCTCTGCACAAAGCAGCTATACGAAGAATGATGTATGAAACGCACATACCATCCATGTAATATAGTGCCGGAAACGGGTTTCCAGCCCGCTAGCGAAATCTATGTCAACGGGCCCGGATTGGTCTGTCTTGCTTAGTCATCCCGACACATGCCGCTACCGTTTTCCTAAGTGAGGTAGGTATCTGAGACATCGGTCTCGTCCAGATTCCTCTCCCCGCAAAGTTGTATCCCACGAGGTGGTTGTCATCAAATTCATAACAAGTGACTAAGCATCCGTTAGTATGGGCCTAGGGTTTCCCGAGTGATTTGATTACAACCACATAGTTGTTTCATTACAATGAGGCTCCCATCGGTTTTCATGGCCCAAGATTTAACAAGTTTCAATTCAGTGGTCCATCATTGATTTTCCCCAGCTTCAAGTCCATCTAACAATTTTAAGAGATGGTTACAGGGGTTCGAAATTAGTGAATTATTTTGATGGGTGCAGTTGGCCGCATGTTACCCTTCGTGTACGTAAGCGCACGTGACACCTACCGTCCTTCATTAGTTAGCGGGATCTCGACCCTGGAAAGAATCACCAACTCATTATCACACTTCGTCTTACAGTGTAACACCGCGCTATTACCAGTACCAACCATCGCCAGTCAACAACCACCACACGATTCATCACAAACCAACAAGCAAGGATTGTAGATTGAAATTCAACCGTATGGCTCAGGGGTAACCATCAGTGCCCAGTCTCAATTTCAGCAACAACCGAGCAGTTCCTAGCGATATGATTTCCCCAGTATCCATTCCGTGTACATAAGTCTTTCTATGAATACTAATATATCTGGGGTTATAGTGCTATTACGACCTTAGAACATACGTTTTTTTTTTTGCATAATTTATTTATAGGCTACGCGGGTTGGGTTATGCGGGTTCGGGTTGGATTAGGTTCAGGTTGGCGCGGGTTTTGGCGCAGTCTACTTTAATAAGAAGAATGTACGCCTTTACCTACCAATTCATAGGTAAAAATTTACGAAGCCATTGTACCATGACATCATATTTCATCCATGCCGTATCATTCCACTTCCAAATACAGCCAATTGAGGCCATATTGACTCCACGCAACGCGCGCTGTGTCTGAGCACTCTGCCTAGTAACCAAAAAGATATGCGGTCTTTGCCGGTCGCATTACATGCAGTCACCACGGCAACACGTGTTTTATTCGTGTTTTATTCTTCTTCTGACCAGCCCAGCCTTTAGATGCAAGGCCACCAATTCGCATAAGGCGTCAGAAAAGCCCAGTTTCATCCATATTGTAGATATTATCAGGCTCGTACTGGTCGCATAAAGCCTGGATAGCTTTAATTTGTGTATGAATTGATTCAGGAGCAGAAGCCGCTTCGCCATGGAAGGTAACGTATTTCCCACCAAACCCGCCACCCCATCCACGTATTCTATATTCATGAAGCTTCTGAACAACCTAAGCACCTTTGTATTCAATTTAATTCCTATCTAGACAATTATTAGCTTGCATATTGACGTTTATTGGTCTGATCACCGGTCGCTGAAGCCCTCTGGGTAGGTGTTGCGGAGGATACCCCACCAACTTCTATCTCATCCGGAAGACCAATACCCTGCTCATGGGCTTCATGAACAAACCAGTCCTCTTCGCGTTGTATTTGATTTCAGGACAATGAATTTTTATCTCTTCTTTGTATAGTTTGCAGCGCGTAGGTCTACCACTTCTTGCTCCAAAGCCCTAATATACTACGGTTCTTCGCGGTGAGAACCGCGAGAGCCGCAAAAGGAACTGCAGTATACTTGTACGATTTAACATTATAGCGATTTAAAACCTGATAGTGTAGCTGAATAAATACATTTTCTGACGGCCGTTAGGATTTTAGTGCTATAGACGGTATCTCCTAACCCCCCTTTTTTAACAGTCGTTAGAAAAGCCAATGCTATAGCTTATTAACCTATATTCTACATTTCTAACGGCTATCAGAAACCTAGTGCCGTAGCTTTAAGGGCTCATTAAACATACGTTCAAACTATACTTATGGAAAGAGGTATTAGTGAAGATAGTGATATACTGTTTATATGAAAATCTATATGTACTTCCTACTTTGTACATATGAGGAGTAAGGAAGAAAAGAGAGAGATGTAGATTCTCGACATGAGGTGAACAGGGGCAGAGTCCCCAATTCACTGCGAACAATACACCACACTAGCCACCTTTAAGGTAATATCTCATTATAAGAATCTTGGAAGCTATAAAAAAACCTATAATTCTTGATATTTAATATCTGCGATACAAGCGAATTTCAAATGATTTCCTCTCAATTGAATTGAGAGTTAATGGTTGTCAATGTGATGACCAAAACAGCGGCTAATGACAGTAAAAACTTCAAATGACTTATCAATTTATCGATCTGTAAAAAGAAATTCTTGGTAGAATAATGCACCTGCGGTTCTAAAGTTTTGGAGCCGCAAAAAATAAGGTGCGGTGTGCGGTTCTAGGTGTTGGAACCGGAACCGTACCATGCCGAGGCCTAGTTAGGTTCAAAGTCTATGCACATTATTAACTCAAGAAAAGATCTCTAATCCTTCTTCGTGCTAGATTGATGACACAGGAGTTATAACACCATCCATTAAACGGCCATTTCTCGAAGTACTTCCACAGAATTCCAAAAGTCACATCTCCTAGCCAATTCTTCATAGAACTTCTTGCCATGTCCAATGGCTTCAGCGCCTTCGTTAGGGCCGCCGATGACTCGAAGGTTATATTGACCCTGCGAACTTTGATCCATGGCGTCGTACCAATTGAAAATTGTCCCATGTCTTCGAGAAGGTTCTCCAAAAGCAGCGAAGGAAGCCCAGCTGCTGCTCATTTTTGTAGAAAGTTTTATGTCCGTTGGTGAGGCTATGGAAGAGTACCTGGTCTTCGCCAGATTAAAGACATAAGGAATATCACTGAAATGTGGAACTCCGAGATATGGGGTTCCCGCCTCAGCGAACAGTGGAGCAAAGAGGGTCTGATTCAGGACGTAGAGATAATTCGAGGTCTTCTCGTCTGAATATTTATGATTCATTTGCACCATATGCAGACTTGGGCAAGAATCCTGTGCGTCTCGAATCATTCGGCTTGCACGGAAGTACTGGGCTGAAATGTTCTTTGCAGGCATGCCAAAGAAAGAGGTAATTGGGTACAGAGAAAGAACTTTTTGGACGTTCCTTTCTGAAAAGGCTGGAAACTGCGAGTAAATGAATTCAATAAGATCTGTGGTCGAGTTTAGCGTGGATGGCGTGAAAAATGACTGATCGTCTTCAGTCCAGCCAACTATAATGTCAATATCACGAGCAAACCGACCAGTGGTTAAAAGCCTTGAAGGGCTGTCAGGAATAAAGGTCGACGGAGAGGTCGGTATAAAGGCATCAAACCCAAGACTAGTAACGCTAAATTCGTATTCAACTGCAGCTGACAGCAATATATTAAGTGGCATCTTTCGCAGGCAAGCAAACTCGGCCTCACTGGTGGACGATGTGCAGTTGACTTTCTTTATAAGTTCACTCGTTCGGACTGCAGATATATTGCTGGCAGTGCCTAAGTCTGAAGCGGGGGTGCCTGATTGCATGATAGCCCTTTTAAATGGGGGTTTCTGGATATCACCGCCATATGCGGTTATCTGAAGGCCAACTCCAGTAGCTCCATCACTCTCTCCAAAGATAGTGACATTATCAGGGTCACCACCGAAAGCCGAAATGTGTTGCTGCACCCAATATAGACCGAGCCGCTGATCAAGTAGGCCGACGTTAAGAGAGTCCGTTGCGTTCAAAGCCAATGAAGCAGCAAAGCCAAATACGCCAACGCGGTAGTTCATAGCCACATAAAGTACAGGGAACCCCTGTTGAACGGCGTTAGAGATCAAGGGGCCTGGTTCGTATATTGAATCATAAATCTGGCCGATGGAATCTCCACCACCATAGATATAGGCCATGACAGGAAGCTTGGATGTGCTTGATGTATTGGCCGGTCGGTCGACACGTAGATTTAGGCAGTCTTCTGAAATTTGGGTAACATTGTCAAAAAGAGCGAGTCTCTGGAGGGGAACCTTTTGCTGGGGGCAAGCTGCACCAGGCCGAGTGGCATTTATCACTGAGCCATGCGGATAGCTGTATGGTTCGGGAGGTGCAAAACGCTTACTGCCGCCGGTATCTTGTGCGAAGCGTATGTCGAGGAACGACTCAATACTGCCAGCCAATGCTCCCTGAAAGCGCACTCCATTGTCCAATTTGACGATGGCATGCTTTTTGTTAAGAACACTTCCGTGACTGCAAGCTGAAAGTAGAAAGAGAAGAATAATTGCAACAGTTGTAAACGCCATGGTTTAGGGACAGACTACTCGGTAATTTGGCTGTCTCTAGATTCTGAACAAATTGAGAAGCATTCTTTAATGGAGGTTATGGCGATTTATATATGTTGACCGGAATCTAGAGCGCTGGCCAAGCGTGTTCTTTCGCAACTAATACTGAAATAAGATGCGTTAGATACCCACTAAGCCGAAAATCGTAATCATCGCGAAAATCCTCGAAACGTTGAATGATCGGTCGGGCGGGAGGAGGCCTAACCTTGGCCTTTTGGCCCCACACCGCGCCAGGCAGCCCAATAGTCGGCATCTTGCATGCCATTTCAGGACATTTGTCCGTCGAAACAAGAAAAATGGAAGTCCCCGAATCTTCAAAGCTCTCACAACGTCAAAAACAATGGATCGCATTCCAAATGAAATCTTGAGCAGATATGCCTTTATGTACATCGCTAGACGCACAAATTGCTTACCTTCCAGTTTGGCTGGGATGCTTATGACCATGATCTCAAGGCCCTCAACGCGGCCCACGCGCAGATCTGTCGTCCCTGAGCCGGGTCAACGTCTGTTACGAAGCGGCGGCCCCCTTCTCTACCAAAATCTCACACCCAAATTCTGAATTATACAAAGCCTGCCGGCCGCCGTCTCGGAAGTGACAAAGAATCCCCAAGGACGCCACTTCATAGATTAAACTCAGAAACTATATATTGTATGTCTCAACAAAGCATCGGGAAGGAGGCAGAAGCTTTCCAGTGGAAGTTAGAGCCTTGGGCAGCCAATCTGAGAACCGACAGAGAGCCGGCCACGAGAAATGGCTTTCTGGAGTATTGGTTGACCATTTGTAATCTGTGTCCGGACATAAGTGTCCTGGTAAATAACCCTAGTAGATTTCATCAAGACAGAAGCTGGACACCGGCCGAGTCTCTCATTACTTGCCTGGATCACCTAGAGCAGCTTGACTTTATCACGAACAACGAATTCACGTGTGAATTGTAACAAGCTTTATCTCGTCATCATCCAAATTTTGGCCTCAATATTACCTGGCAACAGGGGGTGGGATACAGTGTGCTCCATACAGAAGCCAGAAAACAGCTCTGCCGCCACGTGGCTTAGAAGAACTACAATTCGGTATTAATGTTCTCCAACTATCGCTATGAACTTCATCCACAGCAAGAACTGATTAGCTACACGCGAAGACCTTAACGAGATGCTATCTTTCCTCGTTACCGCTCCAGGATTGAAGCATCTTGACATAAAGGGCCAAATTGACAACTCTGGATTCCCACTTGCTCGGCTAAAAGAAGAATGGCAAGGCCCGATCAATGCTTGCCCACACAAGCAAACATCTCAACTGTAATCAATTGAGATCTCTGGTGTCAGAATATATAAAGATATTCTTTTCAAGTTGGCAGCTATTGGCGATCTTTCTAACCGTCGAATACTCAGCTTTGAAGATACCTGTGATCCGGTAAATTTGGTAAAAATCGCTGGACTTTTCCCCGATCTCGCGCGACTCTTCATCGACCCGAATCCCATAGGTCAGCCCTAGATGCATCTCAAATCTGATCATGACAATTCAATAGCCGCCATAAGAGCATTTCGACCCGTAAAGTATCTAAGTCTCCACAGTCTTCGTAGCATTCAAAATTTACATCAAATGATCGAACAGCATAGCCCACCATTGGAGGGACTCATTATGGGATCGTCTGGTCTGGCTCATTCGCAATACCCCAGACTCGATGTTTCTGGCATCTTCCAGCTGGTTACTCAATGTCCAAACTTAGAAGAACTACACCTTCAAATTAAAAGGACAATGGACATTCAAGTAGAGTATGAAACGTACAAAGCTCTCGGAGAATTTTCGAACCTTCACAGCCTTATGCTAGATCTTCATTTCGACGCCCGACTAAAGCTAGCACAGCGTCACTTTGACACCGAAGACCTAAATTCCCTCTAAAAAGGGTTATAAGTACGGCCACAGATCGGAAACTCGCTCTTGGGGTTTGAAATATCATAAAAACCAACAAGGCTTCCCTCCTACAGTACCTTCGTGTAGTGTTATTTAGAAAGGGAACGTTCTCCAAAGAATAGAGTTTTCTACTTGACTACTTTGCGCGGTCATTCCTGGTCATATGATATAACTTCCAACATCCCGGTTCACCAAGTGCGGAGGAGATTGGGAAGAGGGTGCGGGAGATACAACAAGAGAAACGAGAATCGTTACTTGATTCTGAAGAAGACCAGGAGTTCTATCTCCCTGAAGGACTTACACTGTTTCTCTATAATATTTGGTCACAAGTCCCTGCGGGAAGTGACTAGTGATCTTGTTGGACTAAGTTTTCCTTTAGAGGCAGGCACTACGTAACCATACTGCTTAATGGGACTTTCTGCAGACAACTCAACGTAAAGAGATTGCCCCTGACACATTGAATTTATCAACCTATGTAATGTACGAGCTAGATTTTCTTCATTTTCATATCCTGGGCCCATTTCTAGCTGTTCATGTATTTGTGTAGGATGATGATAATAGGACCATATACTTGGCCACTTACGGTCACGTTACCTACTTTTTCAGCCACCGCCCTTCGCCATATCTTCGATTAAGGATGTCCCTTATTAACCATTTAATCAACTACCTATAACAGTAGTATTAAATAGTTTAGAAGCAAAGATAAAACCTAACTATCTTAATAGGTAGTGTAGTGGTGGAACGCATGACATAATGAGTACAGTTGCGGCCTTTGGTGTGACGAATATCTTGGTTGTAAGAAATGGCTTCTACATGAGAAGGGGGACAATACAGCAGCATCTACCCAATTCATTCCAGTTGGCACCAAATTCTTTGATTCATGATGCCGTATTAAGTACATTTCATATGGCCTCAGTCGGAAAACCGTACGGCCTCGTTTAGGATTGCTGCGTTCAGGGTTGCCCGTACGGTCCCACGATCCAACCCGTACGACTTCACGGCCTCACCAAGGACACTTGTGATCTCCGCTAGGACGACCTACACTACGTGTTGGTTGTTGATGTGTTATCTATTGGTTGTTGTTGTCCAGTCTGCGTTGCCAGACAGCCATCGAGCCATCCCCATTTCAGTAGCTATAAAACAATACTTATACCGTACGTACATGAAACAGAGGCAAATAAGAGCAATTAATAAGCAAATTAGGCAGATATTAAGCCAAATTAGGTGTCGATGGGCCGTGGGCCGGACCTTTTGTCCCTGGGCGGCCCTTATCAATCTCTACCGGAGAGGTCGTCTAAATACAACGACAGTCCAGAATTCTTGTAGTGTTCTCCTCCCTTACCTGGTTTGAGATGGAAGACTAAACCTGGTAGTCACCCGCCGGTGACCTTTATGGTCCACAAACAGGACAAATAGGTATAAAATGTAACTTGCTCCCTTATGTATAAATTATACACATTCAGGGAAATTTTCTGTGTATTTGTTCGTAATTTCATTCTATTTCTTAGGGCGTTTGACTTATAGTGAAGGCTTTTTTCTATGACCTGAGTTTTTAACGTACGTTAAATGAGTTCTTTAGCTACTATTCTAGGATTCTAACGGCCGTTAGAATCATAGCCGGTATAGATCGGGACGGTGAATAAGTGGCCAGAAATGGCTCCCACTTCCGATCACGTGCTACCTTCAGTTCGTTGGCTCTCGGTGGCCCATCAGTAAGTCGCGACCCCTCAAATAGACGGTGGATACAGGGGTCGTAACTTGGGCATTCTGTGTAAATCCTTCTTTGGCGCTGTTTTAGAGAAATATGAGGCGCCCCAATTCACGACTAGCGCCTGAGATAGCCTTGCTCAATTGGCCTTCTGCAACAGAAGGTTGGCCTCTAGCGCAAATATACCAGTTTAAACATAGTACGAATCAGGCCTTTGAGTTATAGCAAGGCAAGTCCTTCGTTTCCTAGCATTTGGGCCTAATTAAGTTAATACGACAGATATGTGAGACGATAGGGAAATTACGGAAATTGCGGGAAAGTTCGGAGAATTTACCCCCACTCATAGGCTTCTCTCACTGTTATATCATTATTCAAAGTGGGTATCATGTGATCGCTTTTATCAGCGCACTAAGAAATCTAAGGCTGACAAATCGAACCTTTTCCTAGACCAAGCTTGATTCTCGGTGGTTGGCTTTAAAATCGACATTTCCTTTTCTGCTGAGATACATGACCCCTCAAATGGAACCAATCAGAACTACATAATAAAACAAAGCCACTTACGAGACCATGTTTTCATCCTTTTCCACTTTTGAAAACCAGCCAAATGATGAAAAGTCCTTTGCCTGCCCTCGCTGTACACGGCGCTTCAAACGCGCCGAGCATCTGCAGCGCCATGCTCGCACTCGTCAGTTACATTTAAGGAAGGAAAGAGACGAAATCAGCTGATTGCTTGAACAGACACTAAAGAAAGGCCCTACTCATGTCAATGCGGCTCTTCTTTCTCTCGAAAAGATCTTTTGAAACGTCATCTCATGATAGCCCATAGCGGAGGAAGGGAAGACCATGCGATCGGAAGTGCAGAAAATCGACCGTTGCCGCGTCCAGAGCATCTACGCCGCACATTTCCAAGCCCCAATGCCACCTACCCCAAGTCACAATGCGAGAACCAACCACAGTCTCCTTTAGCTCAAAATTCTCAGAATTCTCAATATCACAAACCACTTGAAAGGTATGAGCTCAATCCAGATGAAGTAATCGACACATCTGGCTTTACAGAATCTTTGAATAACACTGGTAATGGTACGAATAGATCCATGAACTTTCGTTCGTTAGTTCCCCTGTTTGTACTGTATAGCGGTTAATCATTTCCTATAGGCGTTTTTGGTGAAATATTCGACGACGGACTTTTGCATCTCCAAGAGATCACAAATTTCATGGACTCTGCTGGGTTGCTGGAAACGTATCTCGATTTTGACTCCGATGAGATCAATCATATTTCAGAAGAGCACACTTCTGAGTATCACAACCGATCGAATAGCGAGGTAGAGTTTGATTCTGCTCACCAAGCTGCTGATCGTCACCCTGGAACCCCTTTTCGATCTTGGCTTCCATCCGCTCCCTTAGGTGACTCTAGCCTTGCAACTGTAACAGATTTCCACTCGCCACACCATCCTCGGTCACCTGGTCCATTTTTTAACATCTCGCAAACGCGACATTCGCATATTGTGTTTCTACTATCTATATGTCGAGAAAAAATTCCTAATTTCATTCTACCCTCTCGTCATGCATTGACTCGGTACCTGACTTCATTTTGGGAAACATTCCACCCTCAGATGCCTTTTATCCACTTGCCCACAACAAGCTTCCAGGAGTTATCTCTCGAGGAAATTCTCGGCTATTCATCCATGGGAGCACAATACAGATTCGAACACCGAGTGGCGGAAAGATTATTCTATGCCGGTCAAGCATTAGTCTTGGACAAAATTGGGAACATCGAAAGTGAATCGACTACTCGTACCTTACATCTGCAGAGACCTATGAATTGTGGACTTCCATCCATTGAAAGGTCTATCACCCGCTCAATTTCATCCTCGATTCCCGCAGCAGATCACGGGCAAGATTGTTCGAAAGCGGAGCTGTCCCGTCAGAATGCATTGGTGAGTATTCTACGGTCATCATTGGCATTAATGGCTTATTCTGCCTGGGAATCACCTGGCCTTGTACAGGAATCTACAAGACTAAGAAATGTGGTCATCGAGTGCTTAGGAAGGCTCGGCATGCGGGAAGCCAATAGCAGCCCAAATTCTGATACTTGGGCGGATTGGGCCAGGGCTGAATGTTGCCGCCGAGCCCAACTTGTTGCTTATTGTTTTGTCCACACATTGGGCCTCGCATACAATCATCCACCAGCCGTGATGGCAAGTAATATACTGCTTCGACTTCCCTGTGCTTCAGCGGAATGGGGTTGTGCAACAGAGAAAGAGTGGAAAGTCCGACATTCAATGTCTATACCGCAGATGTCTTACAAAGAAGCCTTATCCCTGCTTTTGCGTAATCGGCGGGACTCCTCTGAAATGCCCGTTCTTACATCGCTAGGTAGTTACATGATATTACATGGACTCATCCAGCAAATTGATCTCCTACGTGAGTTGTCTGAGCTCAAAGTCGAAGGTTCATCAGTGAATGGATATGAAGAAATTGAGTAAGTCCAGGTCTTTTATCAAGGTTTGTTAGAAACTAACTAAGACTACAGGGACGCGCTGCGAAAATGGACTTCAATTTGGCAAGCAATTCCAGAATCGACTCTGGATCCTCGAAATGAGGACGGACTTGTATCTTTCACCTCAAGCGCGCTTCTTGGATTGGCATATGTTCGTCTTCATCTTAATACCGGGCCCCATCGGCGACTGGAAACACGTAACCCGGAATTGATCGCCCATTCACTTAGCCACTTAGCCACACTAGGACGCGATCCTGCTTTGATTCCTGCGCTTCTTTATGCCGTTCACGCTTTGAGTATTCCGGTCCGACTCGGTGTGGACTTTGTTGCTCGAAGCCAAGCCTTATCTTGGAGTATAAGGCACGCGCTTGCCAGTTTTGAATGTGCTGTTTTTCTTGCGAAGTGGCTAGCTAGTATACAGCAAACAGAGTCCTGTGAACCGCTGTCGGAAAATGAGATTAGAATGCTGCATTGGGTTCGCCGAATTATTCACGAATATAGAACATCAGTCGATGTGGAGGAATACGGTAACTACTACGTCTCATCGATCGCAACGAGCGTTGATCAATTGGATTGCTCACAGCTTGGCATCGAGACTCTCTTGATATGGTCACGGTTCTTCCAGCACAATGTGCAGTGGCCTTTCATCAATGTTATGGGCTTTGGTCTTGAGGCTTATGCCAGAAAATTCCAAGAAAATGGGGATGAGATTTAGTCACCTTGAATTTTCTTCCGAACTCCTAGCTTCGGCGTTTATAAGGAAAAACTCGCTTCTGTCAATTCTTCTTTTCCAACCAATGTCTCGACATATTGGAATCAAAAATTGGATGTATCGTTCACCTAGATCCTACGTTCGTCTTGCGCGTTAATCCGGCTGTTTGTAATGATTGTGACTTCCGGCTCGGCAGTACCCATCACACGACTACAAGCCTCACATAGAATTTGACTGACAAACTCGAATATTTCACGGCATGATTTAATATCTTAGTTAATTCAATTATTAAATATGCTGAAGCTTCCAGATGATTTGTTGTCGATGTTTTTAATTCAATTCATTTGGGAACCCAATTTGTGGTAGTCGCCCGCCTCATTCATTGCGATTTCTGGGTCTTTTACGCCTATCTAGTCTTGTGGTTTCCGAATCTATTATTGTTTTTTATAGATCTGAGTAGACTTCACTTCCTGAAAGCTGTTTTGAGAATAGTTGATTACATCTCCCCTGATAATTCCTATCTGTTGAGGATAAATCCAAGATAATCCACGGGACCTACATGTCGGCTTTTTTGCCGTAACGGTGTTCTCTAATGCTTCTATCACCGATTTCGAAGCTCTATATTCAGCGCAGCGTGTGTGAAAATGTAAGTTTCTTGTTACCTCTTGGTTCGGTCGTGTCTTATAATGACTCCCTTAAATGGAACCAAAACAGTCTCGAGCAGGTCTGAAAGTACTTGGCGAAAGTAATCTATTTCTGTTTGTCTCGCGAGTAAATAGATGAAAGGCATCTTATGAACGGGCGGCCCCTCGCCTTTCTTTTTCCTTCCCGTGTGCCTCTGGCAGTAAGATCCGTCGCTAATGTATGACTTGAGGGCATAGGGAGACTATGATTGGTTTGGGACTCTGAAATAGTGTGATGTTACTGATTTCTAGAAATTTAACTGCCGGGTGACAGAGATGTCGCAGCATCTCGATAGCATGCCTCCTTTTTGATCGTCAAGATCTGTCTCTGATTACCAAAGTGGTGGTTTGAACAGATCCTCGCACGAAAATGAAGATCCACGATGATACCAATAAGGGCTTCTTTCGTATAAACAGTGGTGATCGGCACAAGAATATACTTTCATGAGGCATGATCTACATATTTGCAAGTGAAGTCGCAGATTCTCGACCCGTTTTAAGCATCGCGTACACCTTGGGAAAGTAAGCTCTTTTTTTGTTTCAATCGTAGCTATTGGATGCAGTAATTAGTGCTATTATAGATTCAGAAAAATGCGGTCCTACTCGCAGTTTCGGACCCCTTGCTCTATTCAGAAGTATATAGATCAAAACTAGTATTGAGGTGAGCTTTGCAGACACTTGGATATTAAGGGCTTGGGTTGACTAGGTAAGATCCGAATCGATGATCAAATTGACGTTCAATAGAACTAATTGGTGAAAAAGCCAGTATATTATGTACCTGGGGCTGTCGTTATATGCGCTATGTGATCGTGTAACTTTAGTTCCAATATAAGCTTTCGTTGGGTAGCTAGAGTCTTTCCACAGTTTTTCCTAAGAGAATTTTAGAATAGCTTCATGTTGCGCCAAGGCCGTAAATTAATATCTTGAACTATTTTGGATCTAGAGTCCCAGATCGTCGGTTATATTCATCAATGACCTCTCTCGTGGTCCTGATAATATCCAAACATCCTGGAGAGTCCGAATGGCAGCAGATTGTAACAGGGTAATTCTTCACAGGCAGCGGCACAAAATATCCATCTACCGAAGTCACCCCTTCATCATTAAGCTGTTGAGTGACATGTGTCTTCACGTTTTCAATCTTCCATGGCTTTTTTTTTCGGTCTAGCAACAAATATCCATCCTTAGTGTACTTCACATCGCCGTATAGTTCCGCCATAAAAGGCGTACCTGAATCACTCGCCGCATGCTCCATATTCGTATTAGGAAGACCAATGATAGGAACACCGTCTGGTATTCCCTTCATGACAGCCTTCGCGATCTCATAGTCACGACACATCATACCGTATAGCACTCCATGGGGTTTGACGTGGTTCAGAGGAATGTTCTCACGATCAAGAAACCCTTTAAGTGCGCCAATCTGATACACGGTAATTTCCGTGAATTCTTTGAGGGACAATTTCATCTCGCGACGACCAAAGCCTTGAACATCTGGCAGACCCGGGTGAGCACCACACCGAACACTATGATTCTTGCAGTATCGCACAGTCTCAGACATAACAATAGGATCACCTCTACGATTATGTGTTAGCTTTGCGTTAGAGTTCCGATACAATTGCACTTACGCATGAAATCCGCATGCTATGTTCGCAATGTCGATCATTGGCAGAATTTCAAGGTCCGGACCACAAGAATAATTTCCATACTGACTCATCGACATTTAATGAATGAATCAAAACAGAACTGGGGCAAAACTTACGGCCTCGCCTATGTCAACATTTAGTAGTATCTTATGAGGCGTTGGACTTTTTGACGTCATTGTTCCCGCTCGTCGACATTGTTGTAACGAAGGATGTTGGACTAGCTTTCGGATACCGAGCAAATTGTTTGCTGTGGTCCGATACATTCCAGTTCATTGAGAAGAAACGAGTAGGAGATTGACAAGCCACTTTGCGATGATGTATTTGAGAGGATGGAAACCCTGGAGATGAGCCTTTATCTGAAAGGACTTGTGGCTAATCTTCCTTGCAGAAAGAGGGGTAGACTGAGTTGCGCAACTACTTTGAGTGGTCAAAGCCATTAATAACGAGTTCCAAATGCTCACTCTGATAACTTAATAGTTACGGATAAGTTGAATTCCCGATGCGCTACACCTAATCTGGAAATTATTGTCTCCAAAGGCTTTTAAACGGGAACGGCCGACTTGTCGGAAAGGACTCAGTAGTTACCCCACTAATGAGTTACCCCACTAATGAGTTACCCCACTGATGAAATCCAAGAAATGGAGACCTCTGCTGATAAGATACAAAGTCAGCGATAGTAATTTATACATTATTGGTGCTCTAACTTATCTTTGTCGGCCGAAATGGGTTACATTATGCTGGAGAAGCTCGTGACAGCAAACAGCCTACAAGTAGGTGCCGTGGATCGTCTTAAACTTATCTCCAACGTATTGCACCAACTACATTCTAGAGTATACACACTTCTGTCTGTCCATACTGAATCTGAAAATACTTTCACTTCATGTACAAGAGAAAGTGCGACAAGCACCCGGGAAATTGAATCCAGAATTCGAGCGGGTTTATAAGTTGCACCATGACGTATCAGCATTGCCCTGAGCTACGCTGCGAGAGAAATGACTCAAAATATAATAATAATATTCTGGGAAAGTTGCTCGTACCGGTAGCCGTCGATAGACAACTCATGATTTAAATCTCTCTCAAAGTCGCTACATAGCACGTCCGATGCTCACAGTGAATTGCTATTGGGACCTTCAGCTAGGAGCCCTGTAAGATAGGTGATTATTAGAATGAGGAACTCAAGAAATGCCCTCTACCACACAATGTAAACAGGAGCTATATGCTACACCTCGCTAACTGGTTACGGCGAGTAAGTGCCAATGGTAGTACCTATCGATTAGTAGTTATAGTGGACTCAATACATGTGCGGGAGCATAAAATTTTGCTTTGGATGAAGCAGTTACCGAATGATGGGTTTATTTTTGTTTTAATATCGCAAAATATTCCATCGACGTTTGCTTGCAAACTTAGCACTAGAGAAGCTCGAAGATACATTGAGACGGGTTGGGAGGACTTTGCTGCGTGTTCATGCATTCCTGGCTTGACAATTTGTACCGCCTTCCTGCTTGATAGGATAGCGAAAGAGAAACCCCGGGCGCTATCCCACATCTAGAAATTTGGAGATCTTGGGATCTCCAGTGCGGCAATTTTGGGATTAAACGAAGCCCCTTAGTTTTTAGGTAAAGCTCTTAATCTAAACCTGTCTGTTATCTTTGTAATCTGCATACATTGTCTTTTTTGGCTCACTTACGATTGGATATTTAAACATGGCACTATTCCGACAACCCTCCTTCGTAAAGTCACCATACTCCAGTATTCCGAGTTATTTTATTAACATACAAATGCTATCACGGGCCTTTCCCTGTCATACTCCCCGGCTGTGGCCCCGGTACTTTGGCACGTCACTTCCGTTTCCTGCTCAATTTTCTCGGTATGCTTCTAGAACTGCGAAAAAATCAACAATAGTTGATCTTTCACGCCCTCTTCAACACCGGGCACTATGCCATCCCTTCCACCCACCCTTTGTCATGACTCCATGGGACACACACCAGCCGATGGTTGCAGGTGATACCACATTCCGCACCGCTTCCTATTATATCTCAATGTCCGACCATTCAGGCACGCATGTTGATGCTCCGAAACATTTTGACCCGGCCCTGGATGCCCTTTCTGTGGATGAAATGCCATTGAGCGAATTCTATACCGAAGGTATCTGCCTAGATCTCAGTCATGCGGAACTCGGCGCAGCTATTGGCATTGAGGAAATGGAATTTGCCCTCCTTGCTTCTAGGCAAGAAATAAAGCAAGATGACACAGTATTATTGTATATGGCGTGAGTATACAAGGATAATAACTTGAAAGTCATATACTTACCCTTCTGTTATCAGATTCAACACAAGGGTACCCCCGGAAGATCCCCGATGGCAGCATGATTTCCCTGGCCTAGCACCCGAGTCAGTGCACTGGCTTGCCGATAAAGGTTGCAAAATCTTTGGCGTTGAGGCTGTATCGCCTGCACCCGAAGGTGAATTGAACTTCATCGCGCACAATATTTGCGGGGAGAGAGGCATTACCCATATTGAGGGACTCGACAACTTAGAGACTCTCCTTGGACGGGGAAGATTTCGATTTATTGGGTTTCCATTAAAGCTTGTGGGCGGTAGTGGAAGTCCTATCCGGGCCGTGGCTGTATTTGAGGATTGAAGATAGTGTTACAACCTGTGGTCCCAGGGACACTATGTCAGTACGAATACTGCGGTGGACCGGAGATACAATTATCCTTCATGTTTATTACTTATGTAATCTAGAATCCCCCTAACAATTAATTGCCAGACTCAGGGGTAATACAGAAACAGAGCTTTTGACATCGTTGATTGGTTGTATACAAAGTCTTTCCGACAGAATACGGGAATAGTATGGTCCGTCCATAGCACGTACTGCGGCCGTACGGGCAATATGTTACATAAGCACAAGATAGATAAATTTAGACCGGTCCTTCCCTCTCCGGGGAAGGACAATCAATTACTCCGTTTAATTCTCAAAAGCCAACCATGTATCACGTGGTCTCAACAAAATGTCGGCATGGAATCCATCGGATACCGGGAAAAGTGTTATTCCCGCATGTTTATAGTGTTTGCATGTCTATTCTTATAACGTGGTCGGTAAGCGAGTGGGCCACCTCAGAACACTATAGTAAAAGCAATAAATTACAACTTATATCTCAATAACCGTAGCTTCTCCTGAAGATTTATTCTTAACCTATATTCTTCATACTGAGTCTGATGTTTTTTTGAAAGTCTCGAAAAATTTTAAGATGTTAGGATCCGAAGATATATCTTTGAAGCCTATAAGGTTAAATTACAGTGTATTTTAGGTAAATGTTGTCAAATCATGATTAAATTGACCTAGACATTCACACTGGACTTATTATACTCTAAATAAGTACGATACGAAAGACAGGGTAGAATAAACTTATGGTTGTTGATATAAATTATTGTACTTACTATGGTGTTTTGGGGTGGCCCACTCGCTTACATGGCTCACTCGCTTACCGACCACGTTATAAATTGGCAGATTGATAGATTAGACAAATCAGAGTTTTTAATACGCCAGATCAGGCTGACCGCTTTCTATATTGGACACAAAATCACAACACCGAAGAAGAAACTAAACCTGAGGGTACGCGCGCACCTAAATAGGCACTGTAGTGGTGGAACGCATGACATAATGAATGCAGTTACGGCCTGGGGTGTCACGAATACTTTGGGTGTTAGCAATAGTTTCTACATGAGGATAGAGATAGATCAGGCATCTACCCAATCCATTCCAGTTGTCACTACATTCTTTGATTTATGATGCTGCATTAAGCACATTCCGTACGGCCTCATTCAGGACAATTGCATTCAGGATTTCCTGTACGGACTCACGGTCTCATCCATGTGTTTGGTTAGTTGGTTGTTGTTGTCCAGTCTGCATTGCCAGACAGCCATCGAGCCATCCCCATTTCAAAACATAATACTAATTTGCCAGGGATATAGCAGCGCAGAGTTCTTTTCCCTTGTGATTGGCCGACAAATTACGTACTTCAATATGTTACCCCAAGATGCCCGACAATAACCATTTCACCTACTCAAAGGCAGGGGCGAGTATATGACCCAGCTGGTCCAGTAGAGTGGAGAATAGCTGCCAACCCGACCCCGAGACTACAGGTCAATGCACCCAGATTTTAGGTCCCGACCGTTTTTTTTTTTTCAAAAACTCACTGCACTCTGGCGTAGCTTTCTGCTGTAATCATTTTCTATTGCCTTGGCAAATAGTTTTGACCTGTAATTACTAGCCAGGGCCACAGTTCTCTACACCTTTTCTCACGCTACTTACCTGAGTGTTCAGTGAAATGGATATAATAATTTTAACCTTTTAATTCTACACTAGATGTTAGGACAGTCCCCTGAGGGTGTGCTGGTACGATATGGATACGAGTGAGAAATGTGAGATGTGCCTGATATGGGTATGATGATATTCAGGCAAATCACTGATCCCCTCAATGTGGGATCTAGCTACTATTTATCTCGTGGACCATTATGTGATATATGCAGGTGGTGCAAGCGAAGGTGATGTATCCAGTCCTTTTTCAGTGGTGTATAACCACCTCATGTGCACTTCCTACACCTCGACATACGAGAGAGAACATGATTATCATAACACTAGAACTACGTGCGCGAATTTTGAAAAGGACCCTTTGCTTTTATGAAGAAGGAAGGAGGAAAAGAGAGAGGTGTAAATTCTAGAGATGGAAGCTATGGATCTAGATCTATCATTCAGGCTGAGACAAGGGATACGGTGAAGAGGGGCAGAATCTCTCATTCACTGCGAACAGCTTTAAATAGTAGTGAAGCAAGACTATCTACCGGATTGAACCAAAGAGCTCCATTGTGAATCAAGAAGAAGGTGACTAGAGGGTCCAATCTGCGGAGCCTTCAACCTCAAAATTGGGTGCGAATACTGGTGAGATTTCTATTTAATCGTACTGTTGTCCTCGCACGAGAAAGCCGAGCCAATTTCACCATTCTTGTAGGCGTCCAAGATGGATTGAATTACCCCATAAAATCCTCCGACAGTCATAAAACCACCAGCAAATAGCATAAGGCAATGTAGCCAGTATACTGTTTGCTTAAAAAGCGTTCCAGACCGATAGTCTTTATGATCGTACATCCATAGGTAAGCTGGCAGTATGAGCGCGAGTGGTGCAAACCCGATGCTACCAGCCAGACTGAGGATGTAGTTGAAGATTGGGACGCCCGCCGCAATGACGAAACTCACTATGCTGAGTCCAAATGTGCAGGAAAGCCAGGTACCGAAATGTACAAAGGTGTTGCTTTGAAGGTGAGGACTGTTCCGGAGAACCCGAACGAAGACGTATTTTGCTGAAACATGAATCCACAGGCAAGCTGTGACAATCAGTCCTATGAACCCAACCCCGTACGCAACTTTCTTGATAAGTGGACCGGCGCTACCGAGCGACGGGGATGCAACCCATTTCCCACAGTAGTAATAGATAATAATGCTGAAGGTCAAGTACGTTACCACGACGATGCCCATAGATAGATAGAGTGCCTTGTTGTAGTCTTTTGGGCGACGCATTTCTGATATGACTGGCAGAAAAGCGGATGTTCCTGCACTGGAGGTGAACATCGTTTGCACTGCAGTGATTGCAGGTGCAAAGGCTGGGCTGGCAACGACATGAAACCCGAGATCAAACGGCCCTGATTGAGGAGCGGCGGCTGGCCTAGAAATGACACCAACACTTACGCTGAGAGCAAGTTAGTAAGTGGGCCACATAGTCCAAACGCTGCTAAGTACTTACACAACAATGAAAATAGCGACAAAAATGCTTAAGAACCCAGCCCAAGTCAGCCAGCCAATGGTCTCAAATTTTCGAGCGCTGGCAAAGATAGCCACAATAAGCATGACAATAAAAGAGAACCAGTTGGTGCAGAGTGAATGATTGGAAAGCGCATTTAGTCCTGTTGATGCACCGACGATGCCAGAAGCAGAGCAAATAACCCAGGTCAATACAAAAAGCCCACCACACAGTTCTTTCAAGATAGGCCCGCCAACAATTCCTGCCATGTCAGCCACGGAATGACAGCCGCCATGGGCATTTCTGAAGTTCCCAAGAATATATCCAGCATAGGTGTTCAGAACGCAGAACAATACCACAAGGATTGCACCAGGCACGGCTCCGACAACATACATTGTGGATGGGATGGCCAGCACACCGGTTGCAAAGAGAACTATAAGCCAGATTTAGTAAATATGGTGGCGAATCATAATATGATGGAGCCCACTTTTAGTGAAGATGATAGCAGCCTTTAGCCATCCAACGGTACGAAAGTCAACATGTCCTTCGCCCCTTTGAAAAACCTCGAATTCATCCTTAGTGACTTTTTCGACGCTAATTTCACCCGATTCTTCAACCGGTATGATGTCGCTGTCTCCCATTGCTCAGAGTCCAGGGGTATGCTTTCAGGCGAAAAAGTTGGGTTGTTATTAAAAAAGAAGTGATGATTGCAAAAATATTTCAAACGAGAGGGCAATAGAAGAGACGTGCTATATATCTGATCTGACTAGAAGACAAAATATGCACATTCGACCTGTCTTTTCAACCTATTTGACTAAGCATTTTCCCGGAAATAGGCTTATCATATTTGGTATCATGCCGAACAAATGCTGATGATTGTGGGTCCATTTCGTAGAACATCCCAAATCCAAGGTCTAAAGTACTTTGCGCCAGTCTATTTGATTGGCCAGATGTATGGTGTATCAGCTTCTCCAAGAATTTTGGGGAATTTATCTTTCATTGATAAGATACACAGGCAAAGGGTTATAACGTTTCGGCTTGGGGTAAGTTAAATTTAAGATACATGGAATCTTTGAGTACCGCTGAACTAGTGATATCTTATCTTTGGGAGCGCTTCCAATTCTGGACTTTTGGAGTATGTAACACTTCAATCACTAGTGTGATAGGTCATTGGTGGGCAAGTGCTTCTTCTGGTTGGATGGTCTACAGACGGCCTGGCAGGGCTCAGTCAGGTTACATCCAATGAAGCTCTACTTGTGACAGGCTGGGTCCTATGATGGAATCAAGAATGATATGCCGTTTTAGTGTAGCCAAGGAAACTCTTCACTTGTTGTGGTTTAGTATAGTTTTAAGTCAAATTCTCATCTCTCGTATTTCCAACACCTCCTGTCTACTTCGCCCCGCCATCAACATCAACCACACTCCCATTCACGTATCTCGCAGCGTTACTCATGAGGAACAGAACCACGTCAGCCACCTCCTCCACCGTGCCGAATCTTCTCATTGCGCACATCCTCTCGCCAATCTCCTTAACAGCATCATCACCCGTCGTCACCGCAATAATCGTTGAGGTAAGAATAAACCCCGGAGCCACCATATTGACGCGAATCTGCTTGGGACCAAGCTCCAGAGACATGGACTTAGAAAACCCAACAATCCCAAATTTGGATGTATTGTATATTGCCCAGTGCGCCATAGCCCGGGAGCCCGCAATCGATGAGACGTTCACGATTGACGATCCGGCGTGCAAATGAGGTATGACGGCCCGAGTCATTAAGTAGGTGCCCCTGACATTTGTGTCCATAATTTTGCTCCAATATTCATCGGTCGTGTCGGTCAACTGGTACTCTTGGGGGTTCACTCCGGCACAGTTGAAAAGATGGTTGATGCGACCAAAGTTTCGGACGACGGAAGCGATCGTTTTTTTTGTCTGGAAAGAAGATCTCACGTCAAGCTCGTGTATGCGGCATCTATCTTCATTGATACCGAGAGTTTGCAGGGGCTTGATGTTAATATCGCATAGCGCTAGCGTGGCATTGCTGGATAATAACACCTTCGCTGTTGCGAATCTTGAAAATGTTAGGGATTTGATTTTCTCTCTGAGATGACGAACGATGTTGCCTTTACCCGATTCCACTTGCGGCCCCAGTTATCAGAATCACCTGTCCTGAGAAATCGTAAGAGGTTGTCATTAAGAGTCCCAAGCAAAAAAAACAAGAAACATCAAAAGGTTATCACGAGCATCAGGAAGAGACTGCAAGATACAGCAGAATGAAAGAGTGATGTGTGGCTTAGTACTCCATAGGTCCAAATGGACGAATGCGTCGGAAGCTTTGAAGGTTGTCAGCCAAGCAAAGATTTGACACCGCTCCGCAGTAGCTGAGTCTCTCCAAATTTCCCTTAATTATGGCCTATGACCGACAGTTGACGGATAAACAGATGTGGACCGTCATCAATCATGCGTGGGGGTGCTGATACTCCAACTACCCCAACCCGAATTGGGAAGCGTTGGAGATGTGATTTTGGGGAAAGTAACTTTGGTGAGATTATGTCCCCGATCTCCCTATTGGGCTACTTTATTCAATGCTGGAGCGGCAAATACGAATGTAAGACATGAAATAGTGCAATTTAGCTAAAGAGGTCATTTAGTCGACTGACAGTTTCGTCGTTACTCCGGATCTTACGCATTGAAGTTCACTATAAGAAGGGGCTCAGTGTATTGATCCACAATATACGAAAATGCTTGCAAAAACATTGTTTCCTGGCGTCGCAGTCCTATCTGGCGCCAGTGGAGTTGGTAAGTCACAGAAGTACCTCTTCGAGATATCGCGCTCATTCCTGGGTCATTTTTGCTAATGCATCAAAGGCATCGGTGCTCATACTGCACGCGCCTTCGCGCGGGAGGGTTGCACAAGGATTGCTATAACCGACCTTAATCCCGACCTATTATCACAAACAGAAAAAGCGCTGAAGAATTCGTCAATCCATGTTCAGGTGCTAGCTCTTCCGGGAGACATTACAGCCCCGAAGTTCATCACTTCATTTTTCAAAGCCGTAGTAGACAAATTTGGAAGAATAGACTACGCAATTAACAGCGCAGGGGTCCTCGGTCAAGAAGTTCGATCAACCGAAATGCAGCTGTCAGCTTTTGATGCTATCAATGATGTAAACTACCGAGCGTGCTGGCTTTCTTCCAGAGCAGAGCTTGCAGATTCTATTTTGTTCCTGTGCCCAACAAAAGCTTCCTTTATTCAAGGGCATGCAATGGTTGTTGATGGTGGCTATGTGATTAATTAAGGACCGGTGGCGTGGAGTTGACGATAAGCTTAATGGACTATGTCGAGTTCTCCTCTCCCTTTGACCATCCCAGCCTTCTTTAGAAATTAACATAGTACGACCCAGGGGTACAACTTAATACCCGGGACTCGGCTTATAGGTAACCCGCAAACCGGTCCCTGTGGGTCGAAATAGGAAGTGTTTGCTTCATTCTCTTCATATGTAATGCTCTGATAGAACTACTTACATCGCTGGTGGAGATTACATTGTCCAAGCACCTCCCAGGGGGAAAGCCCGCCCTAGAACTCCCTGGTCACAGTGGCACGGCTTGATCTCATTAGCAATAGCAATAGTGAAGCTTTTTTGCTAATGGCACCCAGAATCCACTTCCCACAGTAAGAATCAAAAATCAGGAACGAGGAGTGCAATACTCCTTCAAGTATCATGGATGGATCCCGGAACCTGTCGAAGCGATTTTCGGTGTCTCTCGACTACCAGGCGCCAAATTTACTGTATAAAGGGCGAGCAACCAAGGTATCAGCACAAAAATTACCACACAGCTATCTGTATTCTCCTGACATTCAAGATGTCTCACATATCTCATGTTGCTCTAACATTGAGTCTGGCCTTGGGTGCCGCTGCCGCCCGAAACTCCATCGTTGCATCAAAGGGTGCTGAGACCCTCGCCGTGGGCATATTTGGTGGTATGTACTCGCATTGCTTTTTCTTTAAAGCGAGGGCATCAAGTTTTTGACGAATAATATCAACGGATCCAAAACTACGGCTGGGCTGGTTGGAAGCCTCTGCCTTTAGATTTCTGCAACAATGCCTTGTCCAGGCCAACGTCGTGCAGATTCCCCGCTACCTTCAGAATTGTTTGTAGCATAGATAGCCTACTTCTCCCATAGCACTAATTCATCACTCTTACACATATCTCCGTATTCAGTCATCCCTCTCTGACAAGAATGATTGCGACCCCGGTGACCGTCAGGACATCTCCAACCCGACTATCGAAGAGAGTAAGTCATTTACTTTATAGGGCCCTCTAAGAATTGGAAGGGAGAAAATATTGAAGTTTTCAAGAAGTGCCTGTACGCCAACGCTGATTTTCATTACAGCCCACACGGCTCACTACATCCAGAGGGTCTGTCTCAAAAATAATTGCTTGGCCTTAACTCTGTCGGCGACAATTTCTACGATAGCGGTGTTGACTTCACATCGGACGGTGTTCAGCGCTTCTATGAGTGCTGGGCTGACATGTACGTAGGCGATGCCTTCGACGACCAGGCCGGTGTTGATTTCCAACGCCTTTTTGCTCCCTTGATCGATGATCGTTGGTGCTTTGGACACGACCATCTACCCTAATACACCTACGACCTGACCGGCTCCAACTGGACCGCATCCTTCATGGTCGGAGACTCTGATTGCTTCATCGACAAGTAGCAGGAAGACACATCTGTCTACAGCACCGACTATGTGATCGGCTGCCACAAGGACACCCAGGAACAGGTGAACTTCTTGCGTGAGTCTTTTGCTAAGCCTGACGCTACCTGGAAGGTGCTCCAGATTCACCAAGGTTATCTCTCCTCCTCGAATAATCACACTTAGCTGGATCCTTTGATGGAAAATTGTTCGCGAGAACAATGGCGCCGTCGTCAACGGCCATGATCATTTCATGGCTCACTACCAGTACGAAGGCACCGATTTTGTTCTCACCGGCGGTGCAGGCTATGCCGAGGCCGGTGACTGCAACTAAGATGTTCCTCTCGGCCCCTACGCCAAGTGGCTCGGTGCCAACGCCAACCAGGCTGCCAACGGCTTCGTGACTCTTGACATCAACTACAACCCATTGAATTTAAGTAGAATTTAAGTACTACCCCCCGTGACATGCGCCGTAGTGGTGCCGATTACTACTTTGTCAAGGACGACACGAAGCCCTCGTACAGCTTCGCCGTTACCAAGCACGCGACCAAGGCTTAGGGCCTGTGTGCGAATTGAGGCGCAATGAACGAGTGTTTAAATTTTGAGTTAGTAGTAAGTATTTGCAAACTAGTATATCGCTTTGTACATCGATAATTCTGAATGCTTTAGAGCTTCTTTGCAGTGAAGTAGATGGTTGGGCATACATTTAAGCCCACGTACGCCGATTCAATGCAACTGAACTGCAGTGAACTACTATTTTAGGAACCCGAGCTAGGAAATGAGCCGAGATAGTCTTATTCATTGCAGTGGCTTCAGGGTGAAGAAATAATTCATTACGGTTCAACCCTCCGTTTCAAGCATAGTTCGTGGACACGGTTCCTAAGAGGTGTACTCCGTGATTAATATGAGGATCAGGGGAGCCAGTTTCGACACAGAAGGTTTTTTTTATTTGATGGTGGTCTTCAACCCACAAGCATGCTGCCATTGCTCTGTCACCAGAAGGAAGGACCTGTCCCTAAATACTCGGGGCTATGCAATATCATTAGTGACTTAATAATCGAATATCAAATCTCAAACAAGTCTTCTATCACTTATAAATCGCTCTTCTTTCATAATTCAAGGTATTAATTGGATCGAATAGGTTTTCTTAAAATAACCTGTCAAGTTTGAAAACATGAGACTGCTCCCGAAAATTCATCTTCATCGCCGAACTCGTCCTAAGAAAAGAGGTCAGGGAAGATGCTGGATTCTAGGACCACCAACAGTCTGAAGAGGAATTCACAGAAGACACGCCATCCCCTGAGAGGTCATTCAAAATGCAGCCCGAGGAGAACTGACCAAAGGCTGCAATCCCCAAATCAACTCCTCCCAGGACAGGCTTTCCTAACCTCTTCTCTAGTAGATGGCGTGAGAGGCTCTGTCTTATGTGTTGTGATCTGAAGTTGGTACAGGTCAGGAATGAGGCCGCACCATTCGGGAAAAATTCCCGAGTTGTCAATACGAAGAACCAGTTGATCTTAATCGACTTGACCTTCACGTTGTATATGTAGCCTCAATTATGCCTTTTGACCCCGTGGAGCTGATGTCTATTGATCTTAACACGCGCGAAGCCTGCCTAGCGGAACCAATTGAAAGTGACCAGTGACATTTTTCTCGTTATTCAGCCAAACCCAATCTTGAAAAAGTTTCAAGGTATACTGTAGAGACGTAACCCAATAACTATTAGGAAAAAGAAATAGCAGATCTCCCTTCCTATTTTGATGCATATGAATTTGCTTCGCCACTCCTACCGAAGTCTAGCATTCCAATTTCGACTATCTTTATCATGAGAAACAGCTATCGGGGCTATTCTCATGGAAATCCAGGAGGTAAGTATGTAAGTATACTTCAAAATTCGTAGCAAAGCTAGGAGCTTCGACAAAGTGCGTACTGTGTTCCCTCAGAGCCGATGAAGCTTGCCGCGGAGGTGATGGCCAAAGTTGCAGCTGCTCTCCATAGAAAACACCTCACTCCCTATGGAGGTTGGGAAAAACTGTGGGTGGGATTTTTTCCCACGTACTATCAATCACGAAACCGGTTAAAATTATAACGGGATATACGGCTATTGCGTTTACGTGCTCAGATACTGGGTTCATCTTTGCAATTTGCTACTTCTTATTCAAAGCATTCCCTCTTATCTACACCGAGTCATATCGGATGTCAGCTCAATCATTTGGAATAATTCTTTTTGGTATTCTTGTGGCTTGTGCCTGCGGCTCTCTTCTTTATATTGCATACCGTTTAACCCGACAAAGGCTACCAAAATACTTTAGAATATGATACCAACTAATTGATTGAAGAGAATTCTCGAAAATAAAACCCCGAAAGTAGGGAATCAGGAAAGATCTGGAGTGAAGTCAACTATTCAGTTGCGGCAATTACGACATAGAATCGGTATCGTGCCCCTAGAATCACTGATCTGGACGCGGTTACCAAGCCCAAGCCCGACCTACTATCAGCTTCAGCTCATAGTGGGCCTGGTAGACAACCATACTGTTCCGAATCTCCTATTTAGCAATGTGCAGCGCGGGACTTGTAAACCCCCCGCCGCCGTAGGGAATGCAAGAACTAATCGTATTCACCATACGACTAACATGGACAAAAGTGCGGGCGGAAGTTAGATATATATTCGGACTAGGTGAGTTCCTCTGGCCTGAATTTTACCCGTTAGACAAATAGTTGATAGTCTCTTCGAGGAAGGGTAAAACGCAAACCTCGAGTAAAAGCAGTCTTCAGGCCGTCTATCGGAGTTGTCCTACATAGTGTCCCAACCATCTATTGAAATTCAATACCATGTTCTCAATTGAAGGCAAATATTTTCCAATATCACTAAGAAACCCCGGTTGTATTCAACCCCCCATCTTGCCTCCTTCCTTGATAGGACAATGATTGATCGATTGACTAGTAGCTTCTTGGCAGCTCAAGTACCTTCTCGCTGACATAGTTCAGGATCATCTCGCGACTGACTGGGGCTATCCGAGGCACGAGACATTCGCGGAAATATCGTTCCACGTCGTATTCCATTGCATAGCCCATTCCGCCGTGGGCCAAGACGGCACGCTCGCACGCTGTAAAGGCTGCCTCCGCAGCCAGATATTTAGCACTGTTGCAGGCCACTCCGATTGACTGGAACGGGACTGATCCGTCGTTTGTATCGTAGAGCCGTGTAGCGTGATAGGTGGCCAGTTTCGCCGCTTCCAGTTTCATGTATGCATCGGCCAGAGGATGGGCTACACCTTGGTTCTGCCCGATCGGCCGACCAAATACTACCCGATCTTTGGCGTACTGGGATGCTTTCTCCAGTGCGGCGTACCCGAGACCTAGTGCCTCGCCTGCTAACAAACAGCGCTCGGCGTTCATGCCGTGCAGAATAATCTTGAATCCCTGGTTCTCCTCTCCGATCAATGCATTGGCCGGAATTTGATAGTTGTCAAAGAACACTTCGTTGGCATCCACGGCCCGGCCGCCCATCTTCTTAATCTTGCGCATGTCCAAGCCGGGATTATCGCGGTTGAGATCGATGCAAAACATGGAGAGACCTTCAGATGACTTCATCACTTCTTCTAGAGGAGTAGTTCGAGCTAGCAGAATCATCTTCGAAGCAACCTGGGCGCAGGTAATCCAGATCTTCTGACCCGTGACGGAATATCCATCCGTGGTCTTAGTTGCAAGGGTCTTGAGTTTGAGGGTTTCAAGTCCTGTGTTGGGCTCGGTTACACCAAAGCATATCCGGCAGGTTCCGTTTATTATGTTGGGAATCGTCGTCTCTAGCTGCTCTTTTGTGCCGAACTTAGCCAGTGGTTGAGTCGCGTAGACATTGGCATGAATGGCCTGAGCACCAGCCATTCCAGCGCCGGATTGCGTGATGGTCTGCATCATCATTGTGGCCTCCGAAACTCCTGAAAGCAGTTAAGTTCGGTTCATGCAGGCTCTATCTGGAAGTACAATACCTAGTCCGGCTCCCCCAAGAGACTCGGGCAAAGCGATACCAAGCCAGCCATCTTTAGCCAAAGCTGCGTGGAACTCCTTAGGGTCTTTCTCCTGCTGATCGCGCTCTTGCCAAAATGTGTTGGGGAATTTGGAACATATGTGAGAAATAGCTTCTCTAACAGTGAGTTGTTCTTCGGTGAAACCGGTCATCTCCATGAGCTCCCGGCACGCCGAGGTCGAGAATGCAACACGCGCTGAAGGTACACGACTGGGTGTGCGAGCCATTCTGAATGACGAGATCCATTGCGCGCGAAGTAAACCCTGCCATTGAGGACGGGACATATTTGATTCTGTGACTCCTTTGACCCGTCTGAATGTCCTTTTAAGTGTCTCTCGCCAGGTTCCCCCACATACGTTCATGTAACCGACATGCAGCCGATTTGCCGATTTCCCCACTGTGTTCGTCCGGTCGCCGACGAAGGGTGTTTGATTGAGCATGATATAAATTTGGCATTTTAAGACACTTACTGCCGCTTGAATTGAAATATGTTACTCTTGATTCGATTTATTCGCTTCTTTGTTCACGATGAGACTGGTGGTCTCAGCCACCCGCGCGCTGCACTCATTGGGATTACAACCCCTCTTAACGATCCCATCAACTCTAGCTTCACGATTCTACTCAAGTGAAAGTCCGGGCCATCGGCCTTCACCTCTCGCCGGTGTGACTGTTGTTAGTCTAGAACAGGCTATTGCCGCGCCATTCTGCACCCGGCAACTAGCCGATCTTGGAGCCCGTGTCATTAAAGTTGAGCGACCAGGAGTTGGTGACTTTGCGCGCCAATATGACACGCGCGTCAATGGAATAGCATCACACTTCATGTGGACCAACCGATCCAAGGAGAGCTTAGCATTAGATCTCAAAGAAAAAGAGGACCATGTGGTCTTGATGAAGCTCCTTGAACGCGCCGACGTACTCGTTCAAAACTTGGCCCCGGGCGCAGCTGCGCGACTTGGTCTATCTTACGAAGCTTTAAAGGAATGTCATCCTTCTTTGATCGTTTGTGACATCTCTGGATATGGCCAGGATGGTCCATATCGTTACAAGAAAGCGTATGACCTTCTCATCCAAAGCGAAGCCGGGATGCTCTCCGTTACTGGCACTGGCAAGGAGCCAGTGAAAGTAGGCATTTCTATTGCTGATATTTCTGCAGGGATGTACGCGTACACCAATATCCTGTCAGCACTAATGCAGCGTGACAAGGATGGCCGGGGCTGTCAAATCGACATCTCGATGTTAGAGAGCATGATCGAGTGGATGGGTTTCCCCATGTACTACGCCTTCGACGATGCCCCTGGCCCAGTACCAGCGGGCGCATCCCACGCATCCATTTACCCATATGGTCCGTTCGAGACCGGTGATGGTCAGTCGGTCATGCTCGGAATCCAGAATGAAAGGGAATGGGTCAACTTCTGCCGCGGCGTTCTTTCTCAGCCCGAGCTGGCCGCGGACTCTCGGTTCTCAACCAACTCTCTTCGAACGCAGAATCGAGACGAGTTAAAAGCCATCATCTGCAGTGCCTTCTCTGGAATCACTGCCGAAGAAACTATTGCAAGACTTGACAAGTTTACGATCGCAAATGCCAATGTCAATGACATGTGCGGGGTCTGGAAACATGCCCAGCTAAAGGCTCGCGACCGCTGGTCGGAAGTGCAAACTCCGGCAGGGATCATTCAGACTCTTTTGCCGCCTGGGGCGACAAAAAGTGCCGATCGTGGTGGATACGGGGCCCAGATGGGATCGGTTCCGAGAGTTGGGGAACATAACCAGGCGATTTTGGCAGAGTTGGGCTTGTCCAGATAGTCAAATCGATGTCTGCGGCTATTGAGAAACATAGAATAGCCGGTATCTACCGGAATATAGAGCTGCAGTCGCCAAAATTTCATTTTAAACTCGTAAGATCGTGTACTTAGGATAAAAATTATAGAAAGCGGTACAAGAATTCTAGATTTTGAGGGTTCAGGTAGTCCGGGTTTGTCAAAGATCCAGCAAGCCCTGAAAAGTCATCTCCATCCACGTTGAAGAGCTCATACCAGTCCATATTGATGGATGCGTCATCTGTTGCATTTACCTGCGCCATGAACGCAGAACTTTCATTTCCAGGTGGAGCGAGAGTGCTACTAGTATCATTTGAGGGAGCACTCAGTGCTGGAGAATCGGGTGTTTGTGAGATCTTGAATGATTGCCCTGGTGGTCCCGAGGATGACATCCCGAAGTCGGCCAGCCGAAGATTCCGAGCAATGCGATCATCCAGGCAACGGAAGAAAAGATCCAAGACCCAGTTCTCCAAGTCCCAAGACTTCTGAAGTTCCTTGAGTCCGAGGAGACACAACTTTGCCCGATGTTCTGCGAGTTTCCGGGCCGTGCTAGCCACTCGCGAAAAGTGAATAGTGTGGATGCACAAGGCAGAGAATGTGTGCGTGATCCTACTCATATATTAGGAAGGCTACGCATAACGGGTGTTGTAAAGCTTACAGATGTACTGGCCCGTGTTGCACCAAGTTATCAGAAAGCATATCCTCAAGAATACGCGTACTCCTTGTGGCTGCTTCTAAAGCGATATTGCCCTCAATGTTTGTCGACCCACTTGGCTGTTGGAGAAATATGGGTCGATAGAGCAAAATGTATAGATTGCTAGATTTTGATTAGTCGGGTTCGGGTTTCAAAATAGAGAGACAGAACGAGTGGTGATATACTTATAAGCCATATGGAGCATGCCAACTAGGAACATCACATTTCGACTTGTAGATATTTCAAGTCGCATTTCTGTCGGCAGGTTGGATTCCCACTCTGTCAAACGCTTGCGAAGTAACGGGCGCGATGGGTTATCCAATTTTGACCGACCAGGTAGATACTGGCTAGTGACAACCTCACGTACTTTGTGCTCTTAGTCAGTGAACTTGACATATCTCGAGTAGAAAAACATACATAATTTGGCAAGTTGCGCCATCCCGATCACGTAGGGAACGTGCGCCGCGGGCGGTTTCTGAAAAGTCTCAGAGGTTGAAGCAGAACTGTCCTCTTCGAAATCTGGTATGTTAAGCCCTTCAACTTGACAATCTTCATCGCGAATACGAGATGGTAATCCCAGTGCAGCGGAAGTTTGCTGGTCACGAACCTGTTGCTCCATTAGCGACGGTAGATCCATATCGTTGAGTGGCTTCATCACATATAACGCCCACCAAATCCTTTTCCAAATTTTTTGGTCACGCTCACTCAAAAAAGGCAACTTGGACCTGAATTGTCAGCTTATTGATATGGTGCGCAAGCAAATCGCTTACATCACATGCATGCCCTTTTTCTGGGCCAAGTCAATAGCTGCCCCAAGCCAAAAGCGAACGTCTCGCTCCTCAGTAGGGCCTCCGCGCCAAAAGCTTAGCAAAAACAAGGATTGTAGCTTGATAATTGTGTCAGTCTCCCATCCGACATCATATATCTCTTTTGCACGCCAATAAAAGGTGCCCTTCGCCTGGTAACGATCGTTGTACCCTGTCGTATTCAAACTGACATCCGAGCATATACTCACTCCAATGAAGAGAATTGCCTGAAGGAGGAGAGGCGAAATTTTGTTTTCATGATATTCATCCTGGATCTGTGAACGATCGAGGATTGGGAAGCATGGGTGGAACCATTCAAAATATGCATGGAGAAGTACGTCACAGATCGCAGGTGATGGAAAGATCAGAGCACTCTCGCGAATGAGACGATCTTGGAGAGACTTCCTGCGTTGGCTCAGAGAATTATCAAGCGATTCTGCAGAGCCGCGAAGCTCCGAGATAGAATAGTGCAGTCGTCCCTTCTGGATCCCGCATGCATTTCCTTTGTCAAGCGATCGCTGGCCCTCATCAACAACACATGTCAAGGGACTTGATTCACCGAGAAACACAGTTTTATGAACGACGCCTTTCTCCGTCTCGGCACGATTTGATGGTGCGTAATGCAATAAGCGATCATGAATAGAGCTCTGCCGAGGAAGTGGAGCAGCCGACGCGCTTTGCGAGGCCTCACTCGGTCCTTGTGAGGCTTTCTTGTTCCGACGAGGGTATCTACCGAGAGATATTGGTATGAAACGGAGGCAAAGAGCCGAGGAATGCTTACTTTCCTCGCCGTGATACTCCCAATTCACAATCAAGGTTCCATGACACGCAGTTGCGACAAGGCTGCATCTCAAGCACATTACATCGCACGCGACGCGCGTTGCAGGCCAGGCAAGCCTTCTTCGCGCGCGTACGCGGTCTTTTTGGCTCCATGTCGGTCGCCGTTATGGATTAGATAGGCTGTTTCTTGTTCAAACAAGTCAAGTTGTGGAATAACGCACAGCAGGATAATTGCCCTCGGCTTTGCTCGGTTATATTGAACCACTCGTTGGTCGCTCATGTGGGGCTCCTCGGTATCTTCGGTTGTATGTTTATTAGTGGGAAATCAAAGTAGCCGAATTTGCTCATGTAGCCGAGGCTGGTGATGCGGCCCCGGTTTTTCATCGAATACAAGGTCTTCTTTATGATCCCAACTGTATGTTCCTTCATTGGAATTGAACCCACGTGATGCATCGTATTTGGATGATGCCATGCTGGTTCCAAGGCTGATTTGCTACGCTCGGATGTGAATAACATGGTCGGTAAGCGAGTGGGCCACGTCAAAACACCATATTAAGAACAGAATATCTCCATTTATATGTATATACATCTCTTCGAGCGGGTCTCTGATTCTACTAGATATATGTATATCTACCGCTCCACACTACAGGGACCAGTTTCCCCGCCACGGGGCGCAATGCGGAGCGCGTACATAATTGCAATTCTATAGGCATCTAGGGCTGTTTGTAGGTAGGACTGGTCTTTCAAGACCTCCAGGTGGCCACGCCGTTGAGTCACTTGTGTACTGCGTAAGAGCGTCCGTCGCCCCACTTTGCTCGTTGCGATCGAAGCTCATTTCCGCCATGAAAGCAAGCGATATCGAAACCTGTGGATACAATCGGCACTTCAATTCCTGCCTCTATAAATTAAGAAACAATTTGAAATGCACGGCAAACACAGGCGGATCCCGGGGACGCTCCTGGGGAATGGTGGCGCCATCGGCTGTTGCGCCCACTGTTCCGGGTGTGAACTTCTCCGGTCGCTCGGCATTTAACCATATCAGGAAGTTTGCCTCGGAGTTAATCAGATAAGCGCATCTGATAAAATTCCCCGGTAAGCACTTGCCGGTCCATTATAAAGCCCATGTATCCTCCTGCGAGGCTTTTGCTGGCCATTCTTTTCTTCATCCAATTCGAAATGGCTACAAATCTGCTTCGGAACGTGATAGTTATCGGCGGTTCGTTCGTCGGACGAGTGAGTAGTCGACAGTCCGTCTTCAAAGCAGACCATCACTAACAGGCTGTAAAGGCAACAGCCCAAGAGCTCGCAAAAGTGATCCCTTCGACACACCGAGTAAGTTCATACACGATAAACCATGATCATCTTAGCCGAGCCTAATTTTATCTGCTCTTCAGGTTCTTTTAATAGAAGGCCACAGCCATTTCCACCATCTATTCACATTCGTAAGTGAAATACCCGTGCCACCCGCGGGCCACGAAGAAATGCTGACAGGCCATCGAAACAGCCTCGCTTTGCAATTGTTCCGGGCCAAGAGCATAAGGCCTTTGTACCCTACAGTGGTATCTTCTCCAGCCTCCCAAATTCGGCTTCCCATGGCGTGATTCAGGCTCGAGTCCTGTCGGTTCAATCGCAGTATGTAGAGCTCGACCGGGAGTGGCAGGGGTCTCGACAAATCCCATTTGATTTTGCTGTGATCGCAACCGGAACACGGCTATCCAAACCTGCCGCAATGGAGTACGACGATAAGCCATCGTCTATTGATTATTTGCAGAAGCACCAAGCAGACATCAAGAGATTCCAATCAATTTTAATAGTTGGAGGAGGTGCTGTTGGTGTGCAGATGGCGACCGATTTGAAAGAGTACTATCCGCACAAGGAGGTCAAGGTAGTGCAGTCACGGCCTCGGGTGATGCCAAACTTTCACCCTGAACTGCATGAACTCATCCAGCGAAGATTCAATGAGCTCGGTATCAAGCTTATTACTGGATCCAGAGTGACCGTTCCAGAGGAAGGATTCCCTACAGATGGCACTCCTTTTAAAGTACAGCTTACGAACGGCACCACTGAGTCCACCGAGTTCGTCATTCTAGCGACGGGACAAACACCAAACAACCAATTGGTCTCCGATCTTGAACCTTCGGAAATTTCAGGTCCATCCGTTATTAATCCCGATAACGGATTTATTCGCATTCGGCCCACTATGCAGTTTATGGATGAGAAGTACTCCAATATGTTCGCAGTGGGCGATATCGCCGACACAGGTGCACAGAAAGCTGCGCGACCGGGCTCGGCCCAAGCAGTCGTGGTCGCCAAGAATATCCAAGCCTTGATCGAAGGGCGTAAGCCGACAGAAATTTATGTGAAAGGACCAGGTGCCATTCACTTAACCTTGGGCATGGTATGTCTAACATCTTAGGATCGGTTGTTTCAATAGAACTAACGCAGCTGTCCACGCAGAAACACAACGTGATATTCCGTAACCCGAATACAGCCGAGGGTCAAACGACACCATGGATCAATGAAAAGCAAGAGTGAGTCTTCTCTAATTATCGCTTCTAGTTAGGTGACTGACAATATACATAGCGGTCAAGAGGATATGAATGTGGAAGCCATGTGGCAAAGGCTCGGGATCTCAGTGGATAACCCCCGTCAATATCACCTCTAAAAATCCGATCCGTGCTTTGATGCCGAGCCTTGTATCAATATAAGGGTTTAAATAGACAATGAATCATGGACCGCCTGCCCCAACCTTTGGATAATTTGTTTCAATGAGCACGATGAAGTCAGAAGAAAACAAATTGGTGTTCCTCAAGGAAGTATCCCTAGACATTCGGAACATTTGAATGGTAAACCACTGTGAGTTCGCTTCCAGCGAAGGTTTGGAACCGATGAGAGGAATTGAGCCTCTCTTGTGATTTACTTTCTGTAATATGGTCTGTATTAAGGAAGATAAATGGGTACTCATCAGAATCATGGACTAAGGGGATCATATTTTTTATCATGTCAGTCATCCTGAGCGCAATGGCTATCTCGATATTTTATTACCTCTATAGAGCCATTGGCGTTGCTTCTCACCAAGAGAGATTGTCTTAGCAAGCGGTGGATTATTCTACGTATATATGAAGTCACAGCCTAAGGGTGGGGGTTTCTGGCATGAAAGATGCATTGTAGTGGTTCTCTGAAATTACGACGCGAAACTGGATCAATGGTCAAATATCGGTACTACTGTCGGTACCTTTTGCCTATCAGTCCATACTAGTGCGATCGATGAAAGTCTTCCTTTTGCTTTTGCCAAGATAGTCTCAGCTCTTTCGTAGGTACGTATATGCGAACAGACCGACCTCAACACAAGAGAGTGGGCTGCTTGACGACCAACTTTGCATATCATTTAGGAAAAGAGAGGCCTCAGCTGGGTCGAGATAGCCTTCACCAATTCATTGGGCAGTCCAAATGATTTGCTCGAATATTAGTGCGGTCGTCATGGACAAGATAAGTGAATCGTTTCCCACCTCATTTGCTGAAACGATACTTGTATTGGACTGTCAATAGACTTATTTTTATGGACAAGCCTAGCCAGAGGATCATTGTCAGAAGGGGGATGACTAAATACGGAGATTTGTGTAAGAGTGATGGATTAATGCTACGGGAGAAGTAGGCTATCTAGGCTACAAATAATGATTGTCGGTTGGTTTGCCTTTATTGAATCAAAATTTTGTAATTAGCTCTACATATCTAAATTGTCAACTGCTTCCAACTATCTGGTCTGTATTTGCACAATAGTTAAGCTCCTGTGAAGCTCGTATCTGGAACATGGAAGACTGGAAGGCCGGAGCAAAGTCAGATGCACAGCAAGCCAACACTTGAATAGGTTCTTTACCCACGGAGATTTCTCACTCAATTATGTCATATGATGCCTATCTCCGCCGAATGCACACCTCGGTGTAGGTGAGGTGCGCGAGTTGGTGGGGTAATTGGGGCGGGGAGGTGAAATTTTCACCCGCAATTGCTTCTTATCATAAAAGTGGACCGTTAGAAGGTTAGTTCTGCATTAGACAAGAAAATTTAAGAGGAGGGGTTATCCCCCTCTTCCAACAAGAACTGGACCTTTGACACTGGACCTTTGACGCTGAAATTCTGGACAAAGAAACCTGAAAGCTCTACAATGGCCGTGCCTATATACGATGAGGAGTTTGCTCAACAAGAGAAAAAAGTCCAAGCGGCGCAGACAGTCACAGTTCGGGATGAAACTGAAGATGAGCCTGTGGAGTCGTATCAGCCCACGAAGTTCCAGAGTAACATCACTATCTTGAGCTGTGTGAGTCGGCACTAAACAAATAGTATAAGCGGTATGATACTAACAACATGCACTCAGTACATCGCAAACTTTAGCGATGGATTCCAAAATACTCTTGCAAATCCAACAAATGTCATTTTAAAAGAGCTACTTGGGCCAGACGGTTACTCATCGGATATGAAAACTCGGACCAGTAACTCGTTAATCATTGGAGCCATCCTGGGTGTGGTCGTTCTTGGATTCACTTCAGACACATTTTCGCGACGAAGTGGGCTGCTTTTCACTTCCTCCCTTGTAGCAATTGGCACATTGATGGCCACACTTGCTTTACAGGTTCATCCATCACAAAATATGTTATGGTATTTTGTGGTGGTACGAGGCATCGCTGGATTTGGAGTGGGAGGTGAGTATCCCCCGAGCGCTGCTGCAGGTCTTGAGGAATCAGATGATGTGAGTCTCACAATTTCCTTATCATAAGAAAAATATCTAATAAGAAAAGGTTATGAGTGAATATCGCGGGCCACTTTTCGTTTCCTTCACCACATTGATGGCTACAGTTGCTGGCCCCATCCTACAAATTATCTATCTAATCTGTCTAGTGGCCAGCGGTAACAACCTTACAATTTCATTTCACGCCATATATTCAATTGCAACAATTCTTCCCGTTATCATTATTGCCCTGCGTTTCTTTATGGTGGACTCGTCGCTTTTCCATCATTCTAATCTCACAAATCAGCGCCGATCTCCACGGCTTTATTGGCTCCTCGCACGACGCTATTGGTGGCGGATATTCACGACATCTCTCGCATTTTTCCTATACGATTTCATCAATTTCCCGAATAGCATCATGTCCAGCGCAATAATCTCTTCCCTTGTCGGGAACAACGATATCCGCAAAACGGCAGTTTGGCAAATTGTGCTCGCTGTTCTGCCTGTGCCCGGTGTCATGCTAGGTGCTTGGCTCACGAACTCGGTTGGGCGACGCTACACAGGGATGCTCGGCTTTGCTGGGTACATGATTCTTGGTTTTATCATCGGTGGAACCTACACCAAACTTTCTCAGCACATAGCTGCTTTCGTCGTGCTTTACGGACTCCTTCAAGCATTTGGACATATGGGCCCTGGAGCTACAATTGGACTCATATCATCTGAAGTGTTTCCTACTGCAATGAGGGGCATGGGATACGGGATTGCGACAGCCTTCGGCAGAACCGGGGCAGCCGTTGGCACGGAATGCTTCACTCCACTGCAAGATCGGGCTGGGAACAGCTCAACATTCTACTTAGCGGGTGGAGTGGCATTTCTCGGAATTTTTGTATATTATCTCCTACCAGAGAGCAGTGAGATTGATCTTGAAAAGGAAGACAGATTGCTGGAGGAATTCCTGACTGAAAAAGGATACACGATACATAATAGATAGAGCAAATTGGAAATGAGACATACTGTTGCCCACATAGACTGAGAGGATATTCCCAGCGTGGAGATCCCAAGTTTAATTTGCTACATTAAAATTCCCATTCGTAGTAATATTTTATCAGCCAGTGCCTGGGTGAAAGCCTATTGACGTGACGCGTACCCACGGTCGCATCGGGCCAGCCTTCGCGAAATCTTCCCTTTTCATGTGCGACAGCGGCCTGAACTAACTCTCTCTACATTGGACAATTTTTTGGGGCGTACTTGTCTGAATGATACGAAATAAACCCAAGGCAATAACCTCTTTGAATTTGACCATTTGTTGAGTGAGGCTGAGTCGACTAGTCGTCGAAGAAACAAAACGAAATGACTTGCGTGACCATAGTCCTATTCATATTTCTCGCCATCCCAGATTGTTCTCAAAGCTTGGATATACGGGCTAAAGGATAATCTGAAGGACCTGTGAGATAAGTTTCAAGCGCTTCGATAGAAGGCGTGAAGAAATATTCGCCACCCTTGTGAACAACCCAGCTGTCCAGTTCCATGCGAGCCTCGGTAGGATCGTTGCCATCAGGAAGGCCAATGGAGCGAGGGGGGTGATGAGAAAGCCTCTGCCCAACGATCGCGTCGATACCCGGCCCATCCCCTCCCACGAACATATCTTTGCGATCGGGGAAGTGGTGGTTACTTGCCCAGCCTAAGATATAGGTAGTAATGTTAGCTGCGCATTTTTGAGATGAAGGAGTGTGACAAGTCTCACGCGTAGTAAGGAAATTGAAACCATTGCGAATATCGCTCTGATAGCAAATAAAGAGCAGTCCTCGCTCGTGATCGGGGTCCGATTTTTGACAAGCCTTCTCCTCTGGTGTGACGTCTCCTCCGTAGGAGATTCCACGACGAATGATGACAGCATGGTCATCCTCGAGATCGCCGCGAGGTCGCATCTTACGGATGTGGGCCGCGAATGGACATTTGTCATGCTTGTTGGTAGGATGGTAATCAAAGTTGTTTGATTTATGGAGGTCTACATTGCTGTCGTCGTGAGGAGACTCATCAACTGGGGTTCCTAGGAGGCCTGTTAGTTTTGAAGTCCAGGCACTTGAAGGTGAAATGGAATTCACCGTTTCTCCATCTACCCATGAGGTAAGCCGCTAGCTTCTCCTTGGGATTGGGAGAGTCTTTGGTAAATGGAGCTTTGTGGGCATTTTCTTCCATGAATCTGCCCATTATCTGTTTAGCAATAATGCCTTGTGAGGGCCGGGCCTGATTAAGCATATCACTCACTTGTCAAATTCTGGGACAAGCTGCTGAAGATCGCGGAGAACGAGGAAGCTACCATCCAGCGCCCACTTCGGTTGATTCATCTCATCCCCCTCGTGACCACAAAAGATCATTCTGATATTCAGTCAGCAACCAATAATTCAATCAAATGACTTAGAGGAAATTTGCAACACATACCCTGATTTGACTGCCTTTGGTTCTCTGCCTTGAGGTTCCGGGTCTAAGCCCTCTATCTGGGGCTGACTGAGTCCATCTTGAAATCCAAAGCTAGACAGAAAGGTCAGCTTAAGCCCCTCAGGTTTGAGATCATTGCTAATTACTGCTCTTTGCCCTTTTCAGGTCTTGTTCTGCCATGCCGGACAAAACAAAAGTCAATCGCGGGGTCTTTGCTGACGGTGTAATTGTCTGGGTCACTGCCTGCATCTTTCAAGAAATGTTCCTTCACGCGCTTGACCTTCTCGATCAAATCCGGCTCGAGACTTGATGTCACCATAATGACTCCATCGATCAAACGATCTTTGTTATCACCAAAAGGTTTATAAGCCTCGCGAATGTCTCGGGGATCATCCCAGCCCTCGCCCACCAAGTCGTCGTACATGCCTTTCCCAAACAAGCCACCGCGGAGCTGGTTGTTTCTGAAGATAACAGACAACTTCCTATCCTGCTTGACCTTCGCTTCATCGAAGGTGAATTTTCCCAACTGAAAATTGAGCATTAGCGATATCTGGAATGTTTACGCCACGAGTGAGGCTGGGATCTTTTATTTACCGCTGCCAGGCCTGTGGAAGCAAAGGATATGTTGACACCGGGCAAGGGCTGAAGTTTAGCTGACCGGTTTTGGCTTCGAGCCAGCGCCTTTTCCTTCGCAATTGTTTCCTTCATTTCACAGGCTGCTTGAGCAGTTGTGATCTGAGGTATAAAGGAGCGAAGCCGCGACTTGAATTCATCGGGCTTCTTGATGCGGAAACATAGAAAGGATTGAAATCTCTTGGGCAATCCGGGCCTATGAGTATAGACATATCAGGAACTGGAAGATGAAATAGTAGGAACTTGGGACAATATCTCACCAAACATCGCCTTGAATGTTGGCTTTTCTAATTACCGAAGCCATGGTTCACGCTGATTGCAAACTGCTTCAATGCCTGCGAGTCCGTTATCAAAGGGACTTTGATGGTTTAAAACACAGAAAAAAAGACGGATGTGTCAGAAGGCTGGGGTGATGTGGACTTTAAAACTGTTTCGATTTCGACGGTACCTCGTGATCAAGTTCCCAGTGCTATTAGGCATGGATCGGAGGGTAAAGGTCCAAATTATGTGATAACCCCACCTACACGTATCTTCGTCATTGAGCCATAGCAGACCGCTACTTGCAGATAGAGAGGGGATTTCCGACCAGTTCCATCTGGTGAGGGTTATTGAGATGTTACATCATTCCATTGTGAAAGTCAGACCGAGCTGAAGAGGCGTAACCTTGCAAGAAAGTGGAGACATAGAGATGATGTCCACAAACTAGGCATCTGACGAAGCCATCGGTATTCAGCGTGAAATCTTCCCTATTCAAAAGTAAGACAAGCGACCGTAAATCACTAATCCCACTGATTTCATAGGTTTTTGGTAGTGGATCGAAATGATCGACAATCCGTAGCGTATGCAGCTGGGAGATAGCGCCAGATAAGACATAATGATACAGATGAAGCAATGTGACGAGAAATACTGTGATGATCCTGATCCAATTACATTCATTACGCTCTACATATGAAGAATCACGATGCATTTGAGGTTCAACTCATTAGGTTGCCAGAATAAAACATCAATGGGCCTGCTTTCCCCTTAACGTAATAGCAGAGCGCTTGATTAGCAGTCTACCAGAGATATAAGCAGGGAAGAGTTTCGTAGTCGTGTGCATTTCAATTAGCTGTCATGGGTGACTAGGGAGATCTTGTCACGGTGACCTTAAGTATTTGAAATTTCCTGCAAGGGTCTTGATTCAGACATGGGTCTCTCCACTAGGCTGAAACTACGGAAAGGAGTGTTTAGTCAGGTTTACCCACTTTTGAAGGTTAGCCTGTCGATAGATCGAGCTGAGGTTTACGAAGCAGCCGATCTTTGCCTTCTACGGATGGAATTCTCGCTGGAAACGCCACGCAGGGACCTGGACATTGTTTGTGAATTCGCTCATCTACTTAGACCTGCCAAAATTTTCATAAGAGGCCACCCTCATCTAAATAAGCTAATAGAGATATCAGGTGGCTTATTGATTACCGCTGGGAACTCAATCACCATAAAATCCAGAAGTAAATGCAAGGAGAGAAGACAGCCTAATAACCGGTATGGTCACATTTAGGAATTGCGTACAGCTCGAAATGCGGCGGACCGTATTCCAGCTGAAAATCAGAATTAGGAAAATGACTTACATAGGACCATCCACTCGCTTAAAGGGAATTATCCACACCTCGACTAGGGTTAGTGTAGCTAGGTTTAGCGGGCCGGCTCGGGCGGGCAGTAGGTCTCCGCGGCTCCACAAGCTGAAGGCGTTCATCTCGATTGAACGAGGATCGGCTTACAGCTAGGGTGCCGATCCTCGCCACTCAAGAATTTGATATGCACACTGCTCGCCATAGCCCCTACAAGCACCTGCAGGAGCAAACTCAATCCGGATGTGGCGGGGCTGGAGTTTAACGAAAGAAATATCGATCATTGGTATTTCCTTTAAATGCGCCAATTGTGCCGCGTATTACTTGACCGTCGCCTTGATGTACATGTGGAGAGCCTAGAACCGTACATATGTAGGCTGAAATGATGTTCAACCCTACCAATTATGGGATTCTCCTCTTTGCTGATCATTCAAAGTGACGAAATGGCCTGCGCTGTATCATTCAATGGTCTAGTCCTGTTTCTGTGGATATCGACGATCACTTCTTCCATTGACTTGCGACGGGGACGGCAAGGACCATTCGCTACTTTTATATGCCACCACGCCCTCTTCGTCTTTCATCTCCTTTGACTGGTGGTACCAGTTCTTCTCGTCTAGTGTTTTCTCTATCCCTCTCCATTTCAGAACTTGAAAATCTGTCACAATGAAGGTCCAGTGGGCTCACTTGCTCGTTGGCACCTCCATTGGGGGTGCGAACGCTATGAGCTCCTTTATGAATGAGGCGATGAGATCGGATCGGATTTCTGGTTATGGGAAATATGATGACGCGTTATGGGAACCTTCCTTCAATGACGAATCGCCTCCCTACCAGGGAATTCGAGTCCCACGCACTGAATGGGAATTGCAGTGCAGTACGTCTAGTGGCGAGAACGGATGCCACAATGCTATCGATGGTACGGATGCCACGTCCTGGTACAGCGCTATTTCCCATGACTACCACAATATCACGATCAACATGAAGAACACGTATACAGTCAGTGCTCTTGTGGTTTTGCCGCCTCTCGATGCTACACAGGATCAGTTGATCACTCAGCACGAGGTGTACGTTAGCAACGATGGAGAAAACTGGAAGGGTCCTGTCGCATACGGAATGTGGCCAGACTCCAACAGACAGCGCATGTCTGTCATTGAGCCAGTCTCTGCGCGATACGTGAAGCTGGTCGCCAATGCTCAGGAGAAGGGATCATCATCGGTCGGAATATCCGAGCTCAACATATATGCCACCCTGTACACCATTCCTCAGGATCCCAAGCGTGGCATCTGGGGCCCTACACTTGACTTTCCTGTTGTCCCGGTCTCCGGTGCCCAGGAGGCCTCTGGCAATATTGTTCTTTGGTCATCTTGGGCCTCCGACCAGTTCCACTCCACCCCTGGAGGCAAGACTGCCATGACCCGTTGGAACCCGCTGAATAATACTGTGTCAAAACGCATTGTGACCAACACCCAGCATGATATGTTCTGCCCCGGTATCTCGATCGACGGGACCGGTATGATGGTTGTCACGGGTGGTAACGATGCTTCTGAAACTAGTCTCTACAATTCGACTGCTGATTCATGGGTCAAAGGGCCTCCAATGAGTATTCGACGTGGATACCAGGCATCTACTACAATGTCTGACGGTCGTGTATTTGTGATTGGCGGCTCCTGGGCGGGAGGTTCCAATGTCCGTAAAGATGGCGAAGTCTGGGATCCATACACTCAGACCTGGACTTTACTCCCAGGCGCCATTGTCAAGCCCATGTTGACTAATGACATGGAAGGTGCTTGGAGAGCAGACAACCACGGATGGCTCTTTGGCTGGAAGAAAGAGACCATTTTCCAAGCTGGTCCTAGCAAGGCTATGAACTGGTATTATACCGCAGGGAAAGGCAGCTTTAAGGCGGCAGGTGATCGTTTAGATGATGAGGATTCCATGTCAGGCAATGCTGTCATGTTTGATGCTATCAAGGGCAAGATTCTCACTGTTGGGGGTTCCCCGGATTACGATAAGTCTTGGGCTACTAGCAACGCACACATAATTACAATCGGCGAGCCTGGTGAAAAGCCGACCGTGAAGCCTGCTGGGGAAAATGGTATGATGCATTCCGAACGCGTCTTCCACACGACAGTTGTTCTCCCAGACGGCAAAGTATTCATCGTTGGTGGTCAGACCTTCGGTGTTGCGTTCAACGAAGAGAATGTGCAGTTCATCCCCGAAATTTACGATCCTGAAGCCGATTCCTTTGTCGAGCTCCAACAGAACAACTTCGTTCGAGTCTACCATACCATTTCCATCTTGCTCCCTGACGGTCGGGTGTTGAACGGCGGTGGTGGCCTTTGTGGTAATTGTTCTGCCAACCATTATGATGCACAGATATTCACGCCGCCATATCTCCTCACTGAGACCGGAGAGCCCCGGGTCCGACCCACGATCTTGTCTGGTGTTCCAGAAAGTGCCAAAGTTGGCGGAATATTCGCGTTCCAGACAGATGGCCTCATCAAAGATGCCTCTCTCGTTCGTCTGTGCACTACCACTCACACTGTCAACACCGACCAGAGACGTATCCCTCTCCGTCCCATTCCCCTTCCTCGCAGGAAGTCGTCTTATGGAATCAGACTTCCAGATGAGCCAGGCATCCTTATTCCTGGTTACTGGATGCTGTTTGTTATGGACCAGGACGGCGTGCCCAGCATTGCCAAGACTATCATGATCACTGTGAATGACAAGAAGACTCTTGATGCGACTCAGGAGTTACTTGATGAGTTTAATGCGGCTGAGCAGAAGCAATGTGGCAACGGAGTCATGAAAACTTGGTGGCCCTCTTGGAAACCAACATTAGTTTTGCAGATACTGGGCCGACGCTGATTGCGAGCCTCATGCAGTGTCTTCAAGTTTCCCGAAAAGAGTATTCATAAGAGAACAGTTTCTAAGCCGAGGCATTTTCTAAATTTCTAAATTCACTTGAGCTTGGCTTGTTCTATAAAAATATTTCTATACGATTAACTAAAAATACTGTTAAATTGGTCTATTCTTATTTGAATCGTTTTGTGCGCATGGTAATAAAATTGATTATGTACTGACTTTGGATCAAGTTCAGGGGGCACGCAGGCTTTCCGGTCTCTAATAACAATTCTAGGTTGTCCCCAAATTTGCTTCTCAGAATTGGCCCAACTTCTTCTGAAGCAAACTCCAACATGAGGAAGCAAAGGCACCATCCGGTTCTCTCTTAGTCCCTCGCCAACCACTTCGTCAGCCGCAAAAGCAAATATCGGGGCATTTTCATCAATCATGTTGCCATGAGCAATGTTCATGGCTCGAAGACCAGTACTCTTGGCCGCCTGCAAGTATTTGTGAGCCCAAGAGGGTTAGATTTTACTAAAATAAGAACACAATGCGCTAGCCCATTCCAGGCCACCGCTTTACAACATCAGCAGAACTTTACCGCCGTAGTGATGCCAGGTTGCAGGTAACGACGCGGCCATGGATTTGCAAGACTGAGTGGGGCCTCCGGTCGAATCCGGCCGAATTCGACCGAGTTCACTCAAAGTAACAGAATATAGGCGGGGTCACCGGAAACTGAATATTCAAAATTGTATGTCATTATCCCACTTCGAAGACTTGGTAGATTTTGTCAAAATGTTGGGTAGCTCGATCTCCGAAGTTTCCCGACGGAAAAGGGTTCGTAAGGGAACGAAGAGCTGCTGGGAGTGTAAGCATCCATCCCCGCAACGAAGTGCGAGACTGACATTGAATAGGTAAAAGGAGAAAAATCAAGTGTATTCCCTCCCGAGATCTCCCTATCTGCTCTGGCTGTCTCGAAAGAAGAACTCCGTGTCTCAGTCAGGAATATGTGGATGATCCTTCGCCACATCATGCTGACGACTCAGCGTTAGCTCGGCGCATGGCAAGATTTGAGTCCTTACTAGAGACCTTGATGGACACAACAAACTGGAACCAGCATCGTAACTTGAACCCCTTATCCATTCCAGCGATGGCGAAAGAGTCACGACCTTTCTTCCCATCACGGTCTAATGGATGTGGGATGCAGGCCGACGTTGGTCCCCTGATAGGAAAACTCGAAGTTCTACGCCATCGACTAGCTTTGATGTTACCATGTCAAGCAGATGTGGATTGTCTTTTCTCCTCAAGTCATGGATGGTGGCTGATCCAGCAACATATGATGCCGCATCTACCAGACTTAACAGAGAATGACTTTCACGGGTTGTTCAATGTCTCCGATGGCTCAAAAGAACATCCGTTAAATATAGCGAGACTACTTCTCTGTATCGCGATCTGCATTCAGCAGCTTCCACCTAATATGGATATGCCAAAATTACAAACTACAAAACCACTTCGAGACATAATGGGCGATATCATTGACTTCCTCGTCCGAAACGTCACCTCTGATGACGAGCTAATTGGAAGTATCGAAAGTATCGAATGTCTTTCACTTCAGGGAATTTACGAAGTCAATGCCGGCAATCTTCGAAGGTCATGGCTTTCATTTCGGAAAGCCATCGCGATAGCTCAGCTTTTGGGTCTGCATAGAGTGGCTGTCAATTCGTCCCAGGAAGGGTTTGATTTGATGAAGACAAAAAGATGGCATCTATGGTATCAGGTATCGAGAGGGGTACGTGGTTCACCTCGTTCTGTACAGAATTATGTTAAGCCCAACTAGGAACATTATCTCTCCACCCTACTCGGCGTACCGTCAGGTGCCGGCTCAGCAGCCTTTCCCTTTAACGAAGACGCTGCTTGGCTCTCCCCAGAAGATGTTTACCATAACCAGTTATACCATATAGCTGGCCTCATTCTGGCTCGTAACCAAGGAGATTGTACTCATTCCTTCTCCACTACTCAGAGAATTGGTGAACAACTTGATTCGCTCGCAGAGCAAATGCTATCAGTCTGGTGGGAAGTACCTTCCAGCATACTAAAAATTCGCACGAAAGAAGCATCTGTCCAGTTTGAGCGAGTAATGTGCCAAATCTGGCATTTCGAGCTAGCAACACTTTTGCATCTACCATTCATGCTACGCGCGGCAACTGATCGACGATACGAATTTTCGCACATTTCTTGCCTAAATGCAAGCCGAAACCTGATTAAGAGATGGATTGCCATTCGTGAAAACCATGCTACGCTTCTCTTCTCCAATCTCCTCGAACTCGAGGCTTTCACAGCAGCGACAACTCTTCTTCTAGGGCTCCTAGGCCCCCAAACAAGCACAAATCAAGAAATCCTACAAGAGCGGTACGAGGATACTCAACTTATAGAGACGGTTATTCATAATTTCGAGAGACTCAAGCAGCATGGTTCTAGGATGTCTGTTGGTACTCAGAGTATTTCGGTCATTCGCACGCTTCAACGGTTCCTTCACGGAGGAAACCTATCAGACAGACTGTGTCTTGAAATCTCTTTTTTTTGAATTATTCAGATGGCACGTAGTGGTGCCGTGGAACCGTTGGAGGGCGAGCGGCTTGTCAGGGCAAATGCATGCCAAAATGCCTCGTTGCTTCGACTTGCACAATCCGTTACATTTTCTTCCATGAGGAGAACGGACTGCAACCCGACTTTTATTTCTCGGCCTAGAAAACAGATATCTCGAGAAATGGATGTAAATGAAGAGTGCTATGCGGACAATGATGTGGGGAGGGAAGATACTATTTTACAGGTTTCTGGCGGTCATTTTCAACTTCCTGAGGCGTCGGACATCCAAGATGGTCTTGATACCAGTGAATGGTCATTCCAGGAGAGTGATATGATTTTTTTTGACAGTTTGGTGAACACGGATTTGGTAGGTAACTGGACACTCTAAACCACGCCAAAGATTCAAGAATGGTAGACGGAGGGAATCACCTAAAATGGCGTAGGGCTAGTTCGTGCTTCATTTCGTACATCATTCAAAGAAATCTGAAGGCCGTTAAGGATTTTATTTTGTCTTCCCCTGAATTAAAAACCTCGGTGCAATCGGCGGAAATACCATATAGGCGCAGGTATCTTAACTATAATCGGCCGAATTCATGCGACATGTGAGCGGAGGAACGGCGGAACAAGCAGATTCAGCTTGCTACAGTAACCAAACTATCTCCTATAAGTACCCGGCTTTTCACATAAGTAAATTCAATTGACTGTTTTGAACATACCATCACCAACAACCATCTACTTCATTTTCCACCCGAGGGTAATCTTCACAAAAAGAAGAAAAACTTTATCATGGCTCTCAAGCAAGACACTTTCAGTATTAGCGCCGCTGCTAAGACTCACATCGTCTCCTATTCCGCCGATCTCACCTCACCTGTCTTCCAAAATACAACCGAGCGCGCTGCCAAAATGGCTACCTACTACCTCCCAACTATTTCGTTCTTTGCTGGCGGAAATATTACCCAACTATCCGATCCTTTGCGCTATGTGCCACTGATCTCCGGGCCTCTGGACAGACTGAAAGGACTCCCTGAAGTGAGAGGACACAGAGTTGGGGCCGTAGGCGAGAACAGTGCAATTATTTGGCTTTCCTTGCAGATAGATGGAATCGAGATTTCTAATGTCTATTTCTTCAGGAGGACGGATAATGGAGCTGACGGGTTCGAGGGTGGTATTTTTGATGGGGAGATGTGGCTATTAAAGCAGCTGGGGAATAAGTAGATCGGCTTTCTCATGACCCCACTTTGTTGAACACCGGGACTTTTCAGAGATTTGACTCATGGAGTGTATTTCGATACGGCCATTGGAACCGCTGTTCCTTCAGATTATCCTCCTATTTCAAGTTTTGTTATAAGTAGGCACCAAGCTTTGTATGGAAAACGTCTATTACCCAAGCTCAACAACGATAGTAGCTTGCTAAAATCTATCATTGCTGGCATACAAGCCGTGGTGAAAGTCCAACTCAAGTTGGAAGCGTATGGGTGACAGGTGAGAAAGCCTGACTGCTGCGATGGGTGGGAAAGGATGGGCACGGAGGTAGCGTTGTAGCATGGTTCCGAACAATTTATTTTTAAGCACAATAGAAGCTGTAACAAACTATCCCTCGGGATTTAAGAGACCTGGTCGTAGCTATCTCGATCTGATTCTTCTTTTCACCTTTCAGAGTAAGTGCCTTCGTCCAATGTTCAAAATTGTCGTCTAGGATTTAGTCAAGCCCGATTGCCCTGACTAATGGTCATAGAGAAAGATTGTAAGTGAATGGAAGGTCAACTCACAAATGAACAGAAAGAAGCATAAAGTCTCTCAAGAATAGCAGTATCTCTTTGCTTGACCTTATATTGAATAGTTCGGTTTTTTTTAATCCAAAAACTAGCCATCAGCCTTTGTTCACCGCCCTGTATTCTCGAGATCAAGCAAATATATTACCTGAATAGTTGTTTCTTGACTTTGCATCGGTATGCGTGAAAGACCTTTTAGTCTGAACAACGAAAAGACCAAAGGCCGGAAGCGATCGAAGGGATCATAGAGGATAATATGTCCGTTTCGCTCCATGAATCACATCTAAATACTTTCTAGAAGGAACCTTGGTAGTGGGTGGTGATATCATTATTGCTCGGTTGTTCATCCTAGGGCTTTAACCGCTCCATTATGGAAACCTAGTTCAAAGAAGACTTCAAATTATACACGCAATATCACCAGGCAAAACCTTCCGCGTGTAAATATATACCCTCAGCTCCAGTCCCTTTGCATGATCCACGTTGTTCACTAACAGTGGCAACGGTGTTTCGTACACTGCTCACTAGTCCTGGAGATCCGCACACGGCGACACCAGTTTCGCCCCGGGCATGATCCAGTAAATCCCAGAGAAGCGCCTTCAGCTGGGGCCGACCGGATTCAACCGTGCAGCAGGCGAGTGGTAATGATGTGCTTGTATCTGCATGACATTGTCCAAGCCTAACGAATTGGGATGATTCAATATCTGGGTCATCACTTGAAGACGTATTGAACGTGCTTGAATTATCCTTGGGCTTTTCGGTATCCAAATCACAACAGCAACATGGTCCTTCGATATTTCGACACTTGCATCCTGCTTTCTTTGTTGCTTTTTCCCCTGGATCAACCTCGCATGTCACAAACAATCGTACTTCAATTTCGACTCCATTATCGATGAGTAAATTGGTTGCCTGTTGTAACTCGTTTGAAATCCACTCTATGCATTGGACGGTCCTTATGACCCAAGCAAATACCACTTTGCGGACTGGCAACTTCTGTTTCGCCGACCGTGCCGCAATATCAAGAAGGACTGGTAAAGTGAATGTAGCACCGGTAGATCCCGCGATGAGAAAGACGGTGTCGAAAGCCGCAAAATCGGAATGCGATCCGCCGTATGGACCACCGATGAGGGAAACATATTCCTCTTCTTTTATTTCCAATGTATTCTGCCTGTTGGCTTCTTCTTTGTCTCCAATCGCAAGAGAAAGATCTGTAGAGGATGATTTGGCGGATCGGAGCAACCGCTGAGTGAAGCCTTTATGTGCTCGCAAGATGAAGACCAATTTGTTTTCATGAGATGAGGGAATGGAGAGAATTGTTGCGGGGTGGGATTGACCCAGTCCCAAATTCGGAAGGGATAAGAAGACATGCTGCCCCGGACTCCAATTTTTAATTCGGGAAGAGGTGATCTGAACCTTTGTGACATCCCCCGGGAGACTTTGGAGGACAGATTTCGCGGGCCTCATGTTATTGAATACGTAAATAAGGGTCCGGACGAACCGGTCAAAAACAAACACACCGACTCCGATCCAGGCATATATTCTACAAGGAGAAAGTAAGTAGATGCTCTTCGCTGGTCGATTTTGAACAATAGGTGAATGTCATTTCATACCTTGAACTGAGGGCGGTTGAAGGCAAGTGGTAGAAGATAGCCACAACAAGTCCAATAAACGTGATGATATGCTGGATCACAAATATCTCATAGCGCCAATTGCGAATTGGAGCAGTTGCGGAAAAGACGAGCCAAAGCAAGATCATCCAAGTAGAAAAGCCTGCACGAATGTTAGTACGTCAACCACCGTGGAAGATGATTCAACATGCCCGTAGGGATACAGCTGTCAGTGTCAATCTCAAGTTTCATGACCCCGTATTTATTCCAGCCATAGGCTTGGACACCACCGTGGATGGTAGCAGTGAGCAGCATGACCCTTGCAACCCAACGGTGCAGAATTTGTAGTCGTTCATACGAAACACCGACTGCATACCCAATTAAGTTCTGCTTGCCAGCCAGGAGCAAGAGAAGTGGGAATTGAGCTATCGTGAGCCAGCCTGCACGAATACCCTGTGCTTGCCAGTACTGTGCACCAGGATAGTCCCAATCGAAGAACTGCAGTCCCATGATGTACCCGAAATACATCAAAATTAGTAAAATTGATCCGACGGCTGGTATCCGCAGCCAGGAGTTGGGAGGGGCAATTTGATGGTAGGCAATTTCCCGCACTACAGCAGTGCAGCCGGCGAGGAATGAAGTGACTGGGTTCGAAGGACTTGTCGGTCGGGGACGATTCGCCGCGGCCGCTCGCAATCTGAACTAGGGATTAGTAACTGGTCGATGATCCAGATGGTATTATCTGTAACCGACCGTAACTTCAACAGAGCCCATTGAGTCCAGTTGACAATGCCTGCCAGCGCGATGACAATCACGATGCCGTACCAAAATGCCCTCGCGATAGCGTAATCAGTCTGTTGCAAAGTGGTGTCATCGAGAAGCGCAGCTAGAAAATCAGAGGCCACAGTGTAATTTGACATATCAAGCCCGGCATCCGTGAGGCCGGGGCCTCCAGACATGCTACTGTCCATATCCATCTTGACGAATATGCTCCAGCCCTGGAGTGCTAGAATATGGAAGACCAAAGGTTTAGAATTATCAGAACCACCCAAGGAATCACGCCAGTTCGTGTTCATTTATTAATAATTCCTTTATCGTACGTATGGGATAGCTGCCCCACTTCCCTCTTCCGACCCGCGCCGTCAAATGTAGAAAAACGATGCTTCGACGAAGCTTGGTCCGGTCAAGCCTTTACACTTACCGCTTTCGGTTTAGCGCTGAGCACATTTGCGAGAATATTCGCTTCCACGCGCCCAAGTCGGAGGTTTTTAATCTCCAATCTTGCGAGGGTCACGTATTCTCACATTAGATATCTTTAGCTGGCCCGGTGCAGTTCTGTTTTATTAATCACCTCCCGTCAGCCACATGTACGACGGGTGAAGGAACTTCGTCTTCTCAGACGCTGTGATCACGCAACCCCTCACTATTCTTCCCGTGCTTCATTGTTCGGTCTACAAAATTTGTATCTTCTGTCTGGATTCCACATGACATTCGCCGATTCATCCTGCCCATCATGCATATGTCCACAAATACAACTGCCTCCGGTATGGCGATGACGTCTACCGCCTCCATGTCGACCATGAACATGGCCTTTAATACTGAGAATCTTTCAACTATGCTCTTTTCGAGTTCGTGGATGCCCACAAGCACCGGTGGATACGTGGGCACCTGGTTTTTTTTATTCTTTCTCGCTGTCATATGGCGAGCCATAAGCGCGAAGGTTGCCACATTGGATACTTTCTGGGCCTCGAAAAATGCCGGATACCCTGTTTTCATCAATGGAGGTCAGGATAAACCCACAAGGGAGAAACTGATTCAAACTTGGAGACTATCGGTCAATCTTCCTCGTGCAGCATTGCGAATGCTTAACCAAGGGATTTCGTATCTACTGTAAGTACGGTCGATATGTTCTGGATAAGCGCCGACAACCTTTTTCAAATGCTGACTCCTTTTCATAAGAATGATTGCGGTGATGACGATGAATGTTGGATTCTTTTTCGCGGTCCTTGTTGGGTATTTCTTTGGAGAACTCATGTTTGGTCGAGTCGGTGGGGCTAATGGAGGAAGCTAACCCCCGGGACGTATACGTACACCTTCCCAGGATAATAGAGAATCAACATATTGAGACAAACGCTGGAAATGGAACCAAATGCAACTCCGACACGTGCTAAGGACAAGTAGAAAAGAAATCAGGTGATCAAAAGAACCACGTATACTGCCTGGGAGCCATTGAGGGGCTAAAGTATCCTTACCACCAAGCGTACCCGTCTGGTTTTCTTGTCTTGAATTATACCTGAATTGACATCATATTGTGGCTTTGTCTCTTTTCTTTCGGGTAACAATTTGGTTGTTTTTTTTTCATACGTACCTTTACCTTTAAATGTGCTTGTGTGTATGCACATGTAAGCGTACGAGCTACTTAGTCTGCGTTAGAGTAGGAACCCACGTACAAGATTCAAAGACGGCTTCTAATTATTACATCATATAAATGAGAAGTCTATGCCCTTGACATATCCGCAGTTTCCGTTGGACAATTGCCAATTATTCGGATTGCTATTGAACCCGGCAGTGCCATAAGTTGAAGTCGTCGAGCAAGTAGTTGTCATAACCAGATAGCAGTAACTCTGACTCGACTCATCCACAAACCAGCTGAAGGCACATCCGGAGGTCTCAATGCAACTAACGCAGCAATCATATGCGGAGTCGGAGGAGGCTGTAGTCACCTTATAACCGGGGACAGTAATGAAATTAATCTCATTTATGTATTGGCCTGCGAAAGACCCAAATTCAGACGAGACAGGAGCACCGGCGATATTATTGGCAGCACACGAGTCAACGACGGTAGCAGTAGCAACGGCTGCAAGAGCAGTGGTGGTAGACGTGACGGTGGTAGTCTCACCGGGTACATATGTTGTCATGGTAAGTGTGGATGTGGTGCTGTAGCTCAGAGTGGTAGAGAGATCCCCAGGAACCACGAATGAGGTGGTAGATATGGTGCTAATCTCTGTAGCTGTTGTAATAGGAGTAGCTACAGTGGTGGTGATAGGCACTCCGGTAACCGTCGAGGTTGAGGTGGTCTTGAAAATGATCTTCTCGTGGCACTCTACCTCCAGGGGATATTGATAGTCGTCTATCCAAGGGCCTTCAGAGCAGTCATCCTCATCAAGTAATGAGCGTCTAGACGCAAAAGGTGTAGGTATCGTATCTGCGATAGGAGTAAAGCCATCGGAGGTGGCTATAGTAGAGGTCGTGGTGCTCGTAGTCGACACGGTGATGTAGATAGTCGCAGTAACCACATCACCAGGGACGGTCACAGTTGCGGTGTCAAACTCTGTCGAGGTAGTCGAGAAAGTATCCGTGACCGTATCTTCAGTGACAGTGACAGTGGTAGGACCGTATCTTCAGTGACAGTGACAGTGGTAGTTTTATAGTCCATCAAAGAGAGGGTGAATGTGGCGGGGGTTTCGGTGACGGTGTCCTGGGTTGTAGTGAAGGTCACAATAGGAAGGCGATCATGAAGGGTGCGAGTAAGCGTGGTGGTAGAAACTGATGCGACAGACGTCGTCCCAATCACAGTTCGACAGGTGACAGAAGGCACATGGACCCGACTACTAGCCGGGGAGCTGACGGAGCTGCTGGCCGATACTGAGCCGAGCAGGAGGCCCGCGAGGGCAAAGCGATGAATAGACATTTTCAAATCGTTTCCCTTGATTGGAAATATGGAGGGTAGGGGTATGAAATTAAATACCTCTCGGCTACGCACTCCTTATTTCTGGTGGAGACGAACCGCCGGCTAATTTGACCACAACGGAGAATAATTCAAATTATATAGGAACCATGACCCATTGGGCGCTCAATAGTGTGATAATTTTGGAATTTAGTCCCTAATACCGACCCTGATTCCGAAATCATAGATCTCAATCTATCTTAGTTCGGTTCCACTCCCACTCCAGATTGGTCTTCGCCGTGTTGTGAGAAATAAGAAACCTCGTACCACGATGTATATCCATTGCTTTTCAATCCTCACTAACTCGCGTGCAATGTTTACTTCTTTCATTGATCTGTCTTGTTCATTTCAGTATTTATCAGTATTTAACTTTATCCCTTATACTAATCAAGTACGAGTGACTTCCTGGCTCGGGGGTGCATTTTTGCGGCGTTTATACTGCTAATCAGAGCCTGGACGAATTTTCTGTCATTGAACTGTAAGATACACTCCGGCATTCATCGCGATATTCAGTCATCAACATCACTACCATCATTTGATTTGCATTTCCAGGTCATTGCCTAGTCAGAGATCTTGTAGCGCTGGCTCTTCGTCGATAGCTCTTCGTCATTTAGTTAGCGCTGATATCTACCAGGTGCGCTTGTGCGCTGCTCACAAGTACCTTTGAGTATTCAATTTATGTACGCTTGTTCTTGCTTATGAAGATCTAGAACATGTGGCCTGGAGTACTTGGTATTTAGATTGTATTCAATAAAGTTAAGCCCTAGAACTCAAAATGACGTAATATTATTGATGCAAAGCAGCTTTGATATGCCCAACCGTCAAGCCGATGAATTGCTCCGCTTGCCACAGGCCTAGAAGCAAGGTTAGTTGCATTCGTGTCGATAGAATCTCTAAGTACTCACATTCGTCCATGTGCATAAAGGGGTGCGGGACACCAGCGAATCGTTTTTGAATCACCTCGTTTCCACCCTCTATCAACTTCCGAGCATATGCCTCGCCCTCATCACGCAGAGGGTCACAGCCTGCCGTGTAGATAATTGTCTTGGTCAGATTGGTAAAGTCTGGTGCCTGCAGCGCATCAGCATACCACTTCACCGCAGCCATTTGGGCATCTTTCGTCGGGCTATTGGCAGCAATACTCTGCCACTTTAGATTGTCGAACCACTTCAGACGCGCCCAATTCAGTGTGGGTGCATGTTCCATGTCTTGCATGGATGGCCACGGTGCCTCAAATGCTGACTTGTACTTTGAAATGTCGTCAATGGTTGGGGTGCCAACCGCGACTAATCGAAGAGGGGTACCGGCATCACGGGCAAGGTGAGCGCATACCAGGGCGATATTGCCTCCCGCCGAAACACCTCCTAGCGAGATTCGTGTAGGGTCGATGTTGAATTGTTCGGCGCCCTTGGCGTGGATATGTTGCAAGGCTGCGAACGAGTCCTGAATACCGATTGGGAATGCGTACTCCGGCACTAGTCGATAATCCACATCAATCACGCAGACATCCGCCTTGACACAGATGTGTTTGCAAATGTGTGCTTCGGTGTCAAGATCTCCCAAGCCCCAACCTGCCATTCCTTGTCAATTGGTGTCGGCTTCGCATATTGGACAATTCATACCTCCGCCGTGGAAGTCCACATGTACGGGCCAGGGTCCGGGTGAATCTGGTTCATAAACACGAACGGGAATCAAATCGCCATTGTGGCCGGGGACTTCGCTGTCATAGATTCGAGCACAGTCGGGGGCGGGCCCTGTGCCATACGAATAAAGAACAGAGTACTTAGTTCTTAAGACAGATAAATCAATTGGGCCTGCGGGGGTATTCGCGACGTGCTCATTGTAGAGACGAACGAACACGGGGTCCAAATGAGGGAGAACTGAGGGGTGAATGGGGTTGAGGGCTTCGTGCGACATGGCAATGGTTTGTTCAGGGAGGAAAGATGTCCGACATTGGTTTATATGCCACATCTGTCGCCGGACGTGACGGACTTCTTCCAATGCAATAATAGCCCCGCGGCCGTCGCATTGGCGCTAAACAGGATAGCCGACGGTCGGAAACGCAAACACGAAGCCGTAGAGCGACGGATAAGCCCCGCACGTTATCTATGCGACGGCCGATAGCATTCGATGATGACTCCAGACACAAAAGGCGCGATCTGGCGACAATGTGATCTTTATCGATGCAATGGAGCCTGTCTTGATTGTTGGCGCTGGCATTGTCGGCCTCACGCTTGGCCAAGCGCTCAAGCAGAAGAATATTCCTTTCGAGATTTACGAACGCGATGCAACTCCCGACACCCGTGGCCAGGGATGGGCCATTACCCTGCATTGGGCACTGGAATATATGAAGCAAATGCTCCCCGAGGAGACGCTGGCTCGTATTCGAAATGTTCAGGTGGACCCGGGCATTGCGCGCCATGACAGTGGTAACTTTCTCTTCATCAACCTCGAAACCGGAGAGCCAAAGTTCAAGATTCCGCCAAATGTTCGATGGCGCGTGAATCGTGAGAAGACGAGACGAGCATTGCTGCACGGAATTGAGGCTCATGTTCATTGGGACCGGCGTGTAGTCGGTTTGAATCTACAAGACGTCAATAAGGTCCAACTAGTATTCGCAGACGAAACGACGGTGACCGGGCGCATCGTGATCGGGGTCGAGGGAAGCCGGTCGATGGTGCGACAAGTACTTCGACCAGATGCTTTCAACAACATCCCCCTTTCCATCAACTTCACCGGCGTCGCAATCGACTTGACGCCACAACAAATCAAGCCTCTGCGTGACATGGATCCCTTATTATTCCAAGGGTGTCATCCACCTACCGGGGCCTTTTTCTGGTTTTCAACGCTGGAGACACCTTGCGTGAATGGGACGGCTGACACAGATACCGAGCGGTATCGTGCTCAGATTTGCATGTCGTGGCCTGCCAAAGGTCCCGAGGACGAAGTCGCGAACACAAACGAAGCTCGCTTAGCAAATATGAAGCGGCGCGCTCAAGGGTTTGTGCCATTCTTGCAAGAGGCCGTAGATAGAATTCCTGAAGGGACACCAGTGACAGAGGTCAAACTGGCAGACTGGGAGTGTCCTTCATGGAATAACCACGAAGGGAGAATCACTTTGGCTGGTGATGCTGCACATGCAATGACAATGTGTAAGTGATCTATATGTCCTAAGAAACTTTGAAGGGTTGTACTGACCTCAGACCTTCCTTTTAGATCGAGGAGAAGCAGCAAATCACGGCCTACTTGATGCATATCACTTGATGGAGGCAGTCGTGAAAATTTACACCGGCGTTGCGTCACCAAAAGTAGCCATCGATGAATATGAGATCGAAATGAGAGCTCGCACAAGCCCTGCAGTACGATTGAGTCGTCAGGCATGTTACGATGCACATGACTGGACAAGACTGGATGAGACTTCTGCCATTTTAACAAGACGGGCCATTGCAGGCGAGTGAGAAGGACTGCAATGTATCAATCAATATCCGCGAATGTTGGGGAAGAAGGCTTTCAGTATCAGGTCTGCCCGACAGGTATAAAGGGCTTTTGAATAGTTTTGACGTTAAAATTGCCCGCTGGTATTTTAGGACTACAATCTTACAAGTCAAGGATACCACAAATTGCGTAACACCTACATACTAGTTTACCGGATGTTGAGCTGTATATTATTTCTTTTGAATAATTATCAATTACATACGACCATAGGGTGTGGAGAACAGGGCTTCCCGTCCGCTCAGCCGTACTTAAGCCACACGCCGGCAGGTTAGTAGTTGGGTGGGTGACCACCAGCGAATCCCTGCTGTTGTATGTTTTTTTTGTATTTTTGAATACAACTTTGTTGGATCTAGTATCGTAGTTGCCCTTAAAGCATCCACCACGAGTTCAAAGTGGACGAACTAGGAGGGGCTAACGCGTGCCAAATTAAGAACGGGAAAGTGCTAAAGAACAATTTGAATGCAAGGAGAGATCTGTATCAACCCTCAAACTAGCAGATGGTAGCAAATTAATAACGACAAAGATGTAGGATGTTCCGAGGGGAATATTCCAAAGAAGGAAGTTTACAGGAGAAGCATGCCCAGACCAGAGAACAGAGCCAGAGCCGAGTAGGCGGCAACTTCGATGGAGCCGAAGCTCACGCTAGTGTGGATGGTCTTAGGACCAGCACCAGTGGACGCAGTTGAAGTGCTGGAGGAGGAGCTGGAGCCGGCAGTAGCGGTGGCTTCGGTGGTAACAGTGCCGGTGCCGGCAGTGCCAGCCTCCTTAATCTGAGCGGAGCAGGTGCCGGTGGCACTGGTGGTGGCCTTAGTGCTAGCGGAACCGCCGAAAGTGCAGGCACTCAGCGCCTGGTCCTGCTCGTTATAGTACTTGTTCAAGGCGAAAGCGAGTTGGTCTTTGACAGGGCACATGCTGTAAGCACCGTACACTCCAGTGGTGCCGTTCGCATCCACGCCGCCGCAGTCTGTGTAGCCGCAAACGGTGCCCAGAAGGGTACCAAGTTTGGCGTCGCTCAGGCTTGACTTAGGCACACAGGCGGAGGCATCATAGATGCAGCCACACAGGTCAAGGTCCGGAGTCGGGGGCAAGGGGGAGGCCTTAGCCATCCAATCGGAGCCCACGGTGGGGCAGCTCTGCAGAACGGTGTTGGTCGGGGTGTAAGAAGCCTTGTTGGTACCGGTGGGAGTCGCAGTGGCGATGTGCTCCGAGTAGGAGGCGAAATCCTTCATCTTGCTGACGCTGGTGCTGTCAACAACCGAGACAAGACCTATAGAATGTCAATTAGTTTGTTGATGATCGATTGCAGAGCCCTGGATGCAAATCTGAAAGCATACCGTAGTTGTTAGTCTCCTGGAAATACATGTAGACAATGCCACCAGACCAGACCTCGGCCATTGTGTCGCCGTAAAGAGCCGTGACTTCAGTGAAAGGGCGGGGGGTAACGTCATTGCAGCCGTACTCAGCGAAGAAGACGGGGACAGTGTAGTTGCGGAATTCCTCGGTGCGGGCCTTGTATCCTGACTCCTGGTAGGTAGAGTTACCACACCAAGAGTAGATGTTGTAGCCCCAGAAGTCGACGGACTGCTCGTCAGACTCGCAGTCGAAGTAGTTGCCAAGATCCTCCCGAATGGCCGAGACGTCGGCAGTGGCGTATCCAACACCCATTGTCCGGTAGCCCTTCTCCTTGATGTACTTCTTCATGTCACGAACAGCAGCCTTGACAAAGGCGCTACCATCGGTGGTAGAAACGGAATTGGCGACCTCGTTACCGGCGAAGAAACCGATAGTGTTGTTGTACTGAGACAGCTCGTCAATCACACTGGTGTAGCGGGTGTAGAGGGTGGTCTGCCATTCAGGATCGCTGCGGTCAATGGACTCTGACGGGGACGACAGATCGGAAATGACATAAATGCCGGCCTCTGCCAGAAGCTTCATACACTCAGAGTGATCGGCCGTGGCATTGATGGAGTAGGTACGGATCACGTTGGTGCGCAACTCCGCCATAATGGGGACATCACGCTTGCAAGCCGCGGCATCCGCCAGCGGATCCTTGTAGCCAGTGCTGGAGGTCGTATCCTCTGTGTAAAGGTTAGTTCCAACTGTATTGGCGTCATGGCCGGGACTGTGCAGTCAACATACGCTGATAAGCAACACCGCGAAGGTAACTATTAAACGGTTAGATAAATTATATCCTAGGGACAGGAGACAGAGCAACGTACAATTGGGTGTTGTTGCTAGAGTAGAAGAATTTAGAACCCTAGAGGACTGATCAGTATCACTGAGCATCCACTCGAATGGGTAGAGTCTCCTCTACCTTGATAACAATCGGGTCTATGTCCGCAACGGCGGCCCCAACCAGGGTTGCCAGAGACAGCAAAGAGAGCTTCATGGCGATATAAACCGCGCGGATCCACTAGATACCGCGTATATAAGACGTAGCGAGTGAAAACGGAGGCGGCCTCCTAGTCGGTGTCGAAATAACGAAAGGCGTTGGAAGAGAAACTTGAAATGAGTGAACAGCAGTGTCTGCCAGGATAGATAAAAGGAATCCAGTATCAGAGAAAGAACCAAGAGTGGCTTTGCCCCCCCGTCGCCATTAATAGTCTCAAGCGCCATTCTGAACTACATCATTTGCCCTTTGCCCCTGACCAGCATAAGGGGACGCGTACAACTGACCCATCTGGCATCCGGTGGATCTCATGGTTTAAGAGCCGAGTACCTCATTTAGATACTGGGTGAAGTACTACTGGAGTCCGGGTATCAACTTTTCCAGGCCGGAGATGATGGACCGCGTCAACCACGTTAGGGCTGGTTCGAAAGCGAATCAGTTCGCTAGCTCCGAACGAATGGCAAGAGCCAATCACCAAGCTCCACTCGCGAAAAGCATCCTAGCTTCTGCAGACTAGCATCTCTTAGTGTGCCACTAACGTTGTTTGGGCATCTTTCACTGTGGCTATCGGGCGGTGCGGTAATTGACCAACTTCTCAATTTTTCAAAAACGGCCTTGAACTGCCAATAGATCTGAGACATGCTGTAACGACTAGCGATAGTCAGATTTCGAGGGAGTCGGCTGGATAATGTTTCTTGAGTATTTTGATGGGAGAGGGAAAATGTTTACGTGCTGACGCGGTGGAGTGGGGCTTTTTCCTTGGGATGGCGTCGGCAGTGCGTGTCCTTTTTTTTCACCATGCCGTGGACTTTTTGTTTTTCAGGCAGCTCAAAGGGATCTAATTTTGTCTTTTGACCTTGGCCAAATGCCGTTAGGCGTAGCCAGGAAGTGTCTGCTTAGAATAGGGAGTGTGTAGCTTGGTTGTGGGTAATCCATTTGCTCGGAGATGACTCCTCTGCGTAGCTAAGCACGATTTTTGTGCATGTTGCGACACCCCTGGCAAAGAGCCCGGTTGTCTGAATCCCATGCGAGAGGTCGATGAGCCCCTGGTACTATCTCTCTCCTTTTTTCTTTGCACTCGGATATTCTTTAGGCTCCATAAGTCCTTTATTAGCGAGCGAATGATCAGGTCTTCTTCGGGTTCACCAAGATTGAGATCGAATAGATTAAGCACTGGATCGATAAGAATGCCAAGACAAGTCGATCCGGGGCATGCCGCCCAGTGGATTCTAGCTCTCGTTTTCTGCGCAAATGTGTGAATGATCCGCAAAAATCTAGCTCGTTGAATTTGAAAGTCGATGAAGTGGCTGAATACAATCTTTGTGAATGGCTAGAGGAAGAATCTACCCGTCTCCAATCCGGCTGATGGAAGGATCCTGACAGCCTTCATCCTCAGGCTTTGAACGACCTACATCCGGCCTCAAATCATTTTCCAGCTCTCCCCGGCCTCGCTCGCTCTTCGTTTGTTCCTCTTCGTTGTTACATATCTCGTTGCAGGTTTCTACCAGTGGACTGGATCCAGCTACAGCCTTCTCTCGGTTCTATCAGGTGGACTTGACAGGCGAGTTGCGCAGTCCCATAATCTCCAGGAGCACGGGTGAAAGATGCGGAAAGCGAAGTCGACTTGTGCGTCAAGGCATAAAAGTTTATATTCAATCAATATATCGACAGCAATCTTGTATAGTCACAGCACTCGAAACATATGAAGTAATCGTACACCCCGGGCATCAGAAAGATGAAAACAAAAACGCCTTAGATTCCTTGTATATCATTCCAGCGTGAATATTTTGGCGCAAGTTGTTTCCTCACATACGATTTTGTTTCCGTTCAGCGTCGATGGCGGCTTGGAAGGATCGGATGGTATCAAGGGGTCGCTCAAGCCGGGCCCGCGTGGGATTTGAAAGATCGGGGTCACCTGGGAAGCAAACAGTCAGGAATGTGATTTACACCGCAGGCATTGTTATTGACGTACTGATGATCTGACCGCTGCGGTCTTTGTGCTGAAGACTCCGAAGAGAGAACATGTCACGGTCTGCCACTGCGTTCATACTGGGCTGAGCTTCGTGGAGTGCCAAATTGGGATCGGCCTTGGTTTGCAATATCTTGGGGCTGTCTTGGGAGTTGATTGAGCCAGTGCGCTCACTAGCGCTGGAGGGACGAGAGGCAGCCATTATAGTGGAGTTTGGGGTTCAAGGATCAAAAGATGAGGATATGTCAATTGGAGTTTCAGCAATGTGCTTGGCAAGAGTATGTCTCAGGTGAATGAATTGTGTTGGAAAGCGGGAGTGGCAATAATATGGGGCGCTCCTTTCTTATATATGTGTAGAACATCCTTGTACCAAAGTCAAAGTCTGCTGTCATTACCCAGCCGTTCTTGGCTAAGAATAGATCGCTGTTTCGAACGAAACTCAGAATCACGCAAGTTGTGGCAACACTGAATGATGGCCTCGGATGATGATTGGATCGATCGTGATCGGCGTCGGCGGAGTCAATTGCGCCAGCCTCCAATTCCGTATGACGTTACACAGCTCAGGCGTAGCGTTCCCAGTGGTCTGTCAGACTTCAACCGGCCCATAGCAGAATGCTTAGCATTCATATAGCCCAATGAGCGTTCAATTCCTGGCTAGCCACGCAAGCACTGGTGGCTGAAGGGGGCTGTTTTCCCTGCCAGGCACCAGGTACCAGCTGCCAGCTACCGCGCGGTCAGGTACATCCGAGGCAGAAAATCCCGAGGGATCATAGAAACTGCGATCAATCAGGAGCCTGCAATGGCATGGTAACTATGGTGTCTGTCACATGCAGGTACAATCTTTTTCGACCGGTTACCTTTTGCGGCCGAGACAATCGCTTTGGTGAATGATGTAACAGAAAGCCTCCGAACATTCTCGCCCCATGTTCCTTGGGCGCTTGACGATAATCTGGGCCTTCGGGACCAATGAATACGAGAAATTTTGAGTTCGGTACCTCGCATGGGCATGTCTAGCAGCAGTGAAAATAAATCTATTGATATGCCCTTGCTATCGTATGATTCACAAGGATAAAAAATTACTCTAAATACCCAGGCAATACGATAATACATCAGAGCACGTCGCGCACGGACCGTACTTGAGTACTCGATACGCAAGATGATTAGGCAGCGATGTTTTGACGAAAGAAGTCAACTGTACATTATAAGTGAGGGGTTCTGTCTACAATCATCATAATTACTTCAATTCAATGTCAGAGCTGTCTATTTGCAGACAATGACTTCGATACCTCTAGCCGAAAACGGTGATGGTTGCAATGTAGATCGCCGCGTTTAGATTCTCCTCAGCATTCTGGAAACCGAACATTCTTGGCTGTTCTGTGCGAATAATGACTAGCCTCGGGTGGTTCATTGTGAAACACCCATGTGCACCTCGTCACCCTCCACATCCTTCCCCGTGGTTCGACATAGCCCCTTGATTCCTGGCCCAGTTTTCTGACATCGATCGCCTCGAAGCGGAAAACAGATCGTTGGCATCTTTGAGACCAAGTCGAGCTATCCGACCACAAGCCCGATCCGGTGTTCGTTCTTAAGTCAAGTCAACTTCCCACGCCCACTGTCTCGTCGACGTCCTCAGAATTCTAACGATTCGTGATAGGAAGTTTGGAATGGAATGTACTGATCGGTTAGAGTTCGACAGAAACCTAGTTTCAATCATCAATTTGATGATTGGGACGGGGAAAATCTCAAGAATTACATCATACAAACATGATCAAAGCAGCTGCTTGGGCTGTCACGGAAATAATCTAGCTGCCATACCTCCCGTGCGAACCCTTGGTTTTCCTCTTTCGGTCTTACTCATCATGCCTCCCCGCCTTTGTGCCCATTGAGTAGAACTGAGCATGTCCCAAGGCACCCTGACCGGCTATCATAGATGCCTCAAGGGCGTGGGCGGTGCTTTAATTCTCAAGATGCCTCGATGTACCAAGGAAGGTAACTTTGATTATATATGTTCTGGCTATGTATCTGTAGAAATAACACAATGTGAAGTGGCCCTGGACGGTTCTCGGTTTCTTGAAAGTCACGTCAAGTTGGCACATGGATTTAGTTGCTTTTAAATGCCGATTGTCCCGACCCCATTGGTATCCGGATCAAAAGGCCCCCTATCGGTCGCAACTGGTACACCCTTTTAGTATTCACCCGAGTTAATACTTGGTCGCATCGCATAACCAAAGGTCAATGGACAATCGATTTTGTAATACCTTCTTAAATGCCAGCTTCGGCCCTCTGCGACCGTTGTTTTTTCAGTATTGTCATAATTTCTGAACGTCAAGAGATCGAAAAAGAATTGAAAGATTGCCTTAGTGATGGGAGTAAAGATGGTCCTGGGGTACTTGAGAGGAGTCATTTTGTTTGGCGGAGATCGGTCCGCCGCTTATGCAGCCGACGTGAGTGATATATCTTCTGCTCAAAAACAAATGGATGCTGCCACTTGAGAGATTCAGAGCCAACCGCTTAATCACCCAGGAGCTTCATTATCTATTACTGACCCAAAGGGGAATGTAATGTTATTACCTTCTCAGAGTTCAATGCGAATGATCTAGTATCCGAAAGGCTCACCTGGTGTGTTGAACACGCCGAACACACCACCTCTGCCTAGGAACTTCGTTGCTGCTATGATAAGCCCAGTCAGGGTGGAAAAGCCCCCCTTTTCAATATGTAAACTACAACCGTGCATATTTTCACTTTCGACCATCAGGCTGATGACGCGATATAGCCAGAAGTGTGCGATGATTGGCCATTTTGAGGACAACTCGATCCTTGTCTCTGATTGGTCAGTTTGAGTTCAACTTCACAGATTCATCTTTCCTGCCCAAGCTGTCATAGTCGATTCACATGTGGCAACCCTGACAAGAAAGCTCTATAAACATTCGTAGTTTCGCTTTATCCAGACTATCTAAAAACTCACAAGCCTTGCTGGTGCCCAGAGCAGCGCAACATATATCACGTCTTCGTTTCTACGGATAATCACAGAATTGGTAAAGCCTTCCAAGTCGTGTTCAGACATGGTGACAGAAGAAGTACAATAAATCTCACACATGATGGACGATTCGCGTACTGCAGGCGATACGGAAACTTCCGTCAGCCGTGACGATTCCTCATCTGATGTCGAGAAAACGTCACGCAAATCCCGCCAAGCCACTTCTTCATCGCCCCTCGACGATGAAATTACCTATCCCGAGGGCGGCCGTGATGCCTGGCTAGTAGTGATTGGTGCGTGGTGTGGTTTAACGTCATCACTGGGTATCTACAACACATCCGGGGTGTTTGAAGTCGTCATGTCCAAAGTGATCTTACCGAAAGCTTCTTCCTCGACGATTGGTTGGATTTTCTCCGTTTACGCCTTTGTGAATTGGGTATGTGGTGTACAGGTTGGGCCAACCTTTGATGCAATGGGTCCTCGTAAATTGATGACCGCGGGGACCATTTGCACGCTGGTTGGCATGTTCGCGCTTAGCGTATGTACAGGTGAGTTCGTTTATTTACACTCCAGCAATTGTACAGAGTTTACATTACTCACGGCACAACAGAGTACTACCAGATTTTCTTGTCGTTCTCCATCCTCACCGGAATTGGCTCTTCTCTTCTCCTGACCCCGTCGATGGGTTGTGTCGCTCATTGGTTCATGGAGCGTCGAGGCTTTGCAAGCGGTATCGCATTCATAGGAGGAGGCTTTGGTGGGGTTTTGTTCCCCTTGATGATCCAATCTCTACTACCTCAAGTCGGCTGGGGATGGTCCATTCGCATTATCGCCTTTGTGCTGCTTGTGCTTTGCGCTATTAGCTTGGCATTCTGCCGAAGCAGAATTCCTCCCCGCAAAGGGGCAGAAACAACCTGGAGAGATACATTGCCGGACTACAAAATCTTTCTCGATGGAACAGGAGCCATGGCTCTTACAACCCTTGGGGTATTCCTGACCGATTTGGCTTACTACATTCCGATCACCTACATCCCACGTTACTACATTGATCGACAGCACCTTCCGGATGAGGATGTTCTTCAGGGATCTTCAGCATTTGCGTACCAGCTTCTCGCGATTCTCAATGCTGCTTCATGTGTTGGCCGTTTTGTGGCAGGCGACATGGCCGATAGATTTGGCCGATACAATACCATGGTCGTCTCGCTATTTTTATGCGCAATATCTGTCTTTGGATTCTGGATACCAGACATTCTTGTACCTGATCTGGACAGCTACGTACTACTGATAGTATTTATACTTATATTTGGATTCTGCAGCGGTTCTAATGTCAGTCTGACACCGATTTGCTTGGGGCAGTTGTGTAAAACCCAGGAATATGGACGGTATTACGCAAGCTGCTTTACGATGGTATCGTTCGGAGTACTAGCAAGTATACCTATCGCTGGGAGCATTCTCGATGCCGTGGAGGGGAAAGGGAAACTAAAGTATTGGGGGGTCGGTCTATTTGCTGGACTTAGTTACGTGGGCGCTTTCCTGTCTTTTCTGTGGGTCAGAATTAAAGTGAAAGGATGGAACTGGAGAACAAAGTGGTAGAACATGAGGGGGTCTATGTTTCGAAGGCTCACATGTTTATACAAACTCGGTTCTAGCGCCTTTCAAGAGAATCTTGGAACGGGTTGAGCCGGGACTTCTTACCTTGAGCACATCGACGCACTTGTCAGTATCTCCGCCAAGGTTGTAAATGTGAATATGAACCAAAGTCAGTCAGACAATGATAGATACTCTTTCTTTTTGTGTTTGTGTTTGTTTTGTTACACTTCATCACGTGAGACCTGTGTCGCCACCACGTTTGCGTGTTTGAGATAAACCCGCAAGCAGCGATAGGACCCTACAGTACTTTATCTTCTAACCTATGCAAAACAGATTGCAGCCATCTTCAGTTTCACTCAATATGCAAGCACAGGCTTCGAGATCAAATAGCTGCGACCACTTTCAAAATGCCCACTCCCGCTGGCGCGCCCTCACGCAGCGAGCTCCTTCCTCTCACTCCTCCTTCCTCTACGGCGTTAAATCCACCATGATATTCTGCCGCCCAACATGTACGGCACGCCTTGCTCGAAGAGCGAATGTTGTCTTCTATGACACAGCAGAACAAGCGCAACGCGATGGTTTCCGACCGTGCAAGAGATGCCAACCGGATGATGCGAGCTTCCTTGGCGAGAGGCAGGAAGTTGTTACAAGGGTACTTGCACTTCTAAGGATACAGCGGAATGATTCTTCGATGAAGCGCAGCTTAAAAGAGTTGGCAGAAGAGGCTGGCGTCACGCCAAGTTATCTTTGTCGCGTGTTTAAGAAGACTATGGGGGTGACGATCGGGGTCTACATGAAGGAATTTGAAAGGACCACAAACGAAATCGAAAGGGATAGCTCTGTTACCTCTAGCACGGATATAACTTATTCGGATTTGAGAACAGGACCTTTGACCACAGCCGAAACAGCCGAGAGCCCAAGTGGTGAAATGGCAGAACAGAATCTGGCAGTCTCTGCTGAGGCTCTGGACTTGAATTTTGATTTTGATCAATGGTTCTTGACCGGAGGCTTCAATCAGGAAGAATTCTGGAGTGATGTCACAATAAATGACGACTTTATGAACCCCAACATATTGAACAATGGCGTTTACGAATGTGCTGTTGAGGGCGGTTGATCAATTCAATGAAAAGCGTAGTAAATAAAAAACCATTATATCGATTGACATCTGGTCGATTCGTATGACTTCTTCAGTAAAATTACTGCTCCAAGCCAAATTAATTACATATCTTGATGTGAAAACTGCCTCCCTCTTTGGATAATGAATATGAACACATAGTTAATAGACACCCGTGAAACACCCTAACTCCTGGCTATGACCAATGGTAAATTTCACTTGAAAGGCAACTCCGCCCTTTAAATCAGACACGAGTTCTCGGGAAAGCCTGTATAGTTCCCCACGTCTACCAGCATGGCCATTCCACTAGACAGATGCCACAAGACATGGCAGTGGAACAGCCACGCTCCCGGATTGTCAGCCCGGAACCTCAGAATCGCATATGCCCTACTGGGGATATAGACGTTATCCCGTAACATTGCAAGTGACAAGTTTAATCCATCAGTGTCAGGATAGGCATCTGGGTCAGAGCCAGGCGGAAATGAGTCGGAGAAGGGGTTGTAGGAGCCCCAGCCAATTGCGCCCTTATACACAGTAAGGACGTAGAAATGGTGACCATGCTGTTACTGTTAGCAGGTCATATAATTTACAGGGGAACATTTACCCACCAAATGGAAAGGATGACCAGTGTCATCCAAATTGTTTACAACCAAGTCGACCCATATAGGCTCTGATTCGGGGTCGGAGTCCCCTACGGCCAACGCAAGTTGTTTTTTATCCCATTTCTCTCGTGGGAGTCCATTCAGTGGGACAGGGGGGTTTTGCTGAGGCGCCCAGGAGGTGTGGTTGAAGTAACCATACGGCACGTTATGGTTGATGGAGAATTTCTGTGTCTTGACATAAACGATTTCGGTAGTATTTGCGTGATATGGGAGCGAAGATAAGATGTGGGCTGGAGAGGGGACATGTTGTATATCGAGATTTGACTTTTTGTTTTCATCGGGTGTAGGAGATTGCGCATCTGGGGCATACTCGGGGTTGATAAGAAAGGTTTGATTGGGCGTGAGTGCCGGATTGGGGTATTTCATGCATCTAATTCTGTGAGTGTTGTTGCCTTTCGGTGTGAAGAATAAGAGCTTACTCTGGATCCATCTCAACTGTCAAAGTGGTCGTTTTTCGTTCGCTCGACAGGCGCATGAGGAGATCCATGCGCTGACCTGGGTATAGAATTCCAATTGAATTTGTCTCCGGTCTCTCGGCAACCTTTATGCTGTCCACCTCGATGATAGAAAGGGATTCTGTTGGCGAGGTGATGGTAAGTCCAACGAGGGATCTAAATGTTTAGTTCTCAATGATAAAAATTAAGGCTACTAGAATACTTACCCTGTGTTGACCACACGTAGGCGATATACTGTGTTGACATTCGAATAGAGATATGTCAAGTTGGAAGATTGATCAATGCAATCCACTGGTCGGGCAGGGACAGCCATGGAGCAGTTATAATGGCCAATTCCATTAATTAATAATGAGTCAGGAACCGGCTGTATTATGTCAGTCAATCTTCGGACCCAGGCTGATAGAGAGCGACGTACATCATTGCCAAAAGACCCTGCGCGCATGTACCATGACATGACTTCAACGGCCGGCCGATGATACCAGTCCCCGATCAACAGCAAGAACTCCTTACTGTATGGAGCAGAATTTGCGAGCAAGCCACGAACTGTCGACTGAGACGCTGGTTCGTGGACAACCAATCCTCCGTATAGCCCATCGGCTCTGGCGAAGCCAGAGTGAGCATGGTACCAAAAGGTCCCGTACTGATGGGCAGGGATCGTGATGTTGTAGATGTAGGATGTGCCGTGTGGAATACCACATTGTGTAACTCCAACGACGCCATCCATTTGGTCTGCATAATAGGTCAATTTGAGAAACTAGTAACGGAATGTACAGAGAGTGCATAGATACTATCAATATGTAACCCGTGCCAGTGAATTGAAAGGGGTTCTTGAATGTTATTCGTAACATTGATGATCAAAGTGTCACCCGGACGCGCTTCGATAGTTGGTCCCGGGAAGAGACCTGCTGATAATCAACGCGGGGTCAACTTCAATAGCATGCAGATAAAGTTTTACCATTAATCAGATGCACTCTCTTGAGTACCCCATCTGGCCTGACAGTCTCCGAGCTTAGGATCCAGTCATGGTGCTGGGTCTCTGGGTCTCGATAGGCATGGTCCTCCGCATGAAGCTCGATCCTTCGAGGAGTGGCTCCCGCGGAAGGGGGATCAGCCTCGTGATGAATATTTGAAATATTCACCGGGATTATTGTCTTGAGTAGATCAGGTGTGCTCCACTGAGACCAGAACACGACCAGAACGAATAGACATGTAATCACTGGAAATAGTGCAATGCAGTATGATTTAATGGTCTTAGCGGACCATCTCTGCTGGCGGAATTTAGGCTCGCTAGATTCATCTCCGGGAATGAGCTTTCTTTGGCGACTGGAAGGCTGCTCCATTCTCAGTATCCAGGTGGTGGATAAAGGGAGCCTTAGAGGGCTGGAAGGACTGTCACTTTGACTTGGTTAAATGCACCTAGCCTCAACCCGGCTGGATGTGAGTTCCTGATTCCAAAGTGGGGTAAGTCAAAGCAAGCGATGCTACTGACTGGGTCATGCTCCCCTCAGGTCAGGTACTTGACTAAATCCTGGTTCGATGTTTCTTACTTATCGTAGACATCGGTGCCGCTCCGTGAAGTGTGATCGGATGCCGATCGCCCTGCCAATGAATCAAGATAGCTCCCGCACGTTGAGACGGCTTCTCCACTCCAATCATGCAACGCGGGTGCGGCCGACAAAACACGTAACAAGTGTAGATATTTTGCATTTTCACAAGTTGAGAAAGATCGGCAGTCCCTGAATTGTGTTCCTGTCTTTCTTCCGGATGATCCCCACGTGCGCCTGAGGAGGATGTAGCCGAGATTAACCCCTTGTTAGCCCCCTTCCTAGAGTTCAGAGACTCATATCGTGTGAATAATCTGACGCTTCCCATTAGCTCGTTGGAATCGGGCTTCGTCCCGGTTACATCGAAATATACTACCGAACGCGCCATCTAAACTAACCCCCGGACAGATCGGAGCGATGTTGTAGCGACGCGGTGAGAGACGCGCATATAACTATCGAGGTCCACCACCTGGTATGGCAGGGATTAGAGCTTGTGAAGATACCTTGTAAACTCCCCCGCTGACATGAATACACTGTTGGGCTCTGCCTTGTTGATGCTCCTTGCGGGCAGACCGGTGCTTGCTGGCTCGTTGAAAGATATCGAGCATGTGGTCATCTTCATGCAGGAAAACCGATCATGGAACAATGTACGTCAATTCCTACAACCAAAAACAAATGAATGCTCATTGAAGACAGTATTTTGGATCCATGGCCGGCGTTCGTGGCTTCAACGACCCGAACGTACAGGTGAACTCTGATGGTTTGGATGTTTACCACCAGTAAGTATTAAACTGTAAGCAAACTGTTGGAAATTATTTAAAACTAACTTATCAATAGGCTTGTCGATTCTTCCATGTCTACCAAGACAAAGACCCTTTTGCCCTGGTATCTGGGCTACCAGGGTGGAGCTACGGTTGATGCTATGCAGTGTATGACCGCAGGTTCGAACGGTTATGAAGATAACCAGGCCGCTCTCAACAATGACCTAAACAACATGTGGGCGCGCAACAACACCCCTTGGAGTTGGGGTTATCTCAAGAGAAGCGATATCCCAGTTCACTTCGGCATTGCCGAGGGTTGGACTGCCGGAGATATGTACCAGGTTAGAATTCATCACCGTCATTGACAAACACGATATGCTAATCCGCTTATTCAGGAATCTCAAGTCACCTCGACTAACCCCAACCGTGTCACTTTGGTCAGTGGCTCCATCAATGTCCCAGGAGGGCCCCAAAGCCCTGATCAGGGCGGTCCTTACTTGGACAACAATGAAACCCCTGGCTGCGAGTCCAATGACATCAGTTGCTATCCGCTGAAGTGGAAAACTATCTATGATATCTATGAAGCCGCTGGTGTCTCGTGGCAAGTGTGGCAAGACTCAGACAACTTCGATGACAACCCGTTGGCCTGGTTCGAGCAGTTCCAAAACGCTTCTTCCGATTCCCCTCTTGCCAAGAAGGGCCTCTCTTACGTCGGTCTTGATAGCTTCTACGAATCTGCTGCCAACGGAACTCTGCCGGAAGTCAGCTTCATCGTTGGCCCTGCTGAACTATCCGAGCACCCTCCATACATGCCCAAGGACGGCGCATGGCTCCAAAAGCAGGTTGTCGACGCTGTGACCAGCAGCCCCAAATACAATTCTACCTTGTTGATGATTAGCTACGACGAGTCCGGTGGTTGGGGAGACCACGTTGTTCCCTTCCACTCGCCTAAAGGTACCGCCGGTGAATGGATGGAAGATCCCTATGGTCTCTTCGGTGACATTTACTCTGGTCCTGGTGTTCGTGTTCCCTTCTACATGGTCTCCCCTTGGACTCGTGGTGGTCGCGTCTTCACCGAGCGTGCGGACCACAACTCCCAGATTCTCTTCTTGGAGCAGTGGCTGGAGGCTCGCGGATACCAGAACGTGCAGACACCTGAGATGGTCAACTGGCGTCGGGAGCACATGTCCAACCTCGTCAATGCTCTGGACTTGGATAACCCGGATCTCAGCTTGCCTACTATCCCCGAGGCTGAGACTCCCGATATGGCTTCGGGCAAGTACACAGGCACATCGAACTGTGAGGCCAAGTACCCGACACAGCGTCCTACCGTGCCTTATGGAAACCAGAGCAACAAGAACAACACTTTGTTCTTCGAGGAGGGATACAAGGAGGTCATCGGATATCTGACTGAGGGCCGATACTTGACCTTTGAGAGCTCTGGAAAGGCTCTCACCAACTCTGGAAACGCCAGCAAGGTGAGCAGCACCTCCGCGACTGCGGCTCACAGTGACAAGCACCAGCGCTGGGTCGTCCACTACACCGCAGATGAGGAGAGCCAAATTTTCCAGATATCTAGTGCTCTGGACGGTAAGTTCATTGGTGGTAAGGGATCTCTGGTGACCGGCCAAAGCAAGGCCGCGAATATCAAGATCACCTTCCTTGGAAACAGCAATGGCTACTCCCTGCAGTACGAAGATGGATCCGCCGTCGGAAGTCTCAAGAGTGGTTGCAAGATCTGGAGTGTTTCTTATAACTAAGCTCGGAAAGGAGCTGGGTGAGCTAGGGAGATTATCTTTTCGGGTGACTTAAGGTGAACTCTTTTGCCAGCCTCTCACGTAGAAGAAATAGAGATGAGTGAGTGGCAGTGGCGTAAAATGACAGATTCTATTTATCCAAAATTTTACAACTCCACGACCTTGTCCATATCGTAAAGCTGCTGTGCCAATGGAATTATAGACTCCTCTAGAGTTTTGAATTCCACGCCCAGTACTTGTTGTGCTTTCGAAGAGTCACAAGAATAGTGTGTATCTGCAATTCGATATCCAGGACTGCCCACAGGGGCCCTGCTCTTAGGAAGCTTTCCACGAATAATGTCAGCTATCTCCTGTGTGTCATAAGATGACTGTGTAAGCAAGAATCTTTCATGACCATTTGTGGAGAGTTCCAGGGACTTAAGACTGGCTGTAGCCAAATCCTCAACATCGATCCAAACTACCACAGGTTGTTAGTTTTGAAAACTGGCGTTATGTGAAACAAGAGTGCATTTACCAGGAGCCTTTGTAGGAGGAATTGCACCATCTTGTCCCACATTCAGCACGTCCCAGACAATCTGGTTGCTGGCATTGAGTTGAGAAAGCGACGAAATGGGATGGATCATTTTTCCAAAAACCATTCCAGGGCAGAGCGTGATCAACTGATATTTGACCGGGTGGTCACGAACATAATCCCAGGCAGCACGCTCGGCTACCACCTTTGAGGCGCGATACGCGATAGGCTGAACTCGATTAGCCCAGGTTTTCTATAGTGAAAGAGGCAACTCACGACAGCCGATGCATTCACACCATCTTCATATGTCAATGGACACCAGTCCTCCTCCGAATAGACACGACCAGGCTGAAGCCCCAGGCTAGCATCGTAAACGCTCGCAAAGCTGGACATAACAACAACTCGTCGGATAGATGAGATCTGTTCAGCTGCCTGGCAAATGACCTGTGTGCCCTTGACCGCCGGGATCATCAACTTCTCTTCAAACTCTCCAGGCTTTGCATCGTAATTGAAAGCGGAAGCCAAGTGCAAGACAGCCTGGCATTCCTGTAAAGCGGGTGAAAGAACCTGGAGATCGGTCGGGTCGGGAACAACGGAAAATTCAAGAAGCTCGAGGTTTTTAACGCCTGCCTCGTTGAGCGATTTAAACGTCGCTTCTCCTTTCTCTGCTGAGCGAACTGTGGCTCTGACGCGATATTCTGATCGCAAGAGGGTCGCGATGCAATGGGCGGCTATGAAACCGTTTCCACCAGTCACGAGAACGAGAGATTTGGAGTCAGTTGGTGCCATTATGAAGATGAATTAAATTTTGTAGGTGTTCATTCGTAAGAAATGGGACTTCGCATTTATATCGGTCGAAGTCGGAGCGGAGTATCGGACAAAAACCCGTCGCCGTCGGATAGATACTTGTCAATGTCAATTGATGATTTACCCGCATGAAAATGTGTACTCACTAATTTAGTAGCCCGATTATATTTATTCAACATTCGAGACTAGATAGGTCAATCAAATGCACTGTGGGATAACATGGGGCATGAAGTTCTACTTTCTATAAAACATATCGTCCATTCAAATGTTTGAGCTTAGAAGAAGATCGGCTGATCTTGCTTCACAAATGTCGACTTTAGACCCTAGTTCGGTTTGCTGAAAATGTCTGACTAGAACGATAGAGATAAATCATGAAACGATAGCAATAAGTTATGGATTATTCGCTCAGGCCCCGAAAAGTACATATATTCCGACAACATTGAAATTAATACGTGTTTCAGATTTCAGTAAACATAACGGAAGCTTTTGTCATCATGGAAATCCTGTACGTTTCCTTTATTGGCCTGTCGCGCCTCCATAGAGCTGCGGGCCGGGGCCCCGAAGCGATCGGCCCTAGAATTGCGGATTCCGTACATAACGCGCAGACCAGTGGAGACCAAAATCGCCGCAGCATTCACCGCGACCAAAGTGATCTTCGCAGGAATGTATCTAACAACGATTTAGCGTTGGGTTTTCTGTTTTGTAGACATTGAACTGACTGTGGAGCATCTTTGGCTTGGAAAGTCTGTGGTCCGATGATATTTGCGATACTGAACCCCATTGAGATAATGGCTGCCCCAGAAACCTTCATTGTGTAACCTTTGAAGTTTGCGCCAGTCCATGCGTAAATCAAAGCAAGAGGAGCAACCGTCTGTTGGTGTTAGCAAGATTGCCAGAACAACATGAAGTGTAAACTCACTGTATTGACCAGATAGATCCCGGCAAGACAGCCCCCTTTGTCGGAGGTTGGAAGAAATGACATGAGACAGGACCCCAATAGCGTGGGAATTAACAGAATGTCGATAGCCAACCACCGTGAGAACCCTCTGGAAATCGCATATGTTGAGACCATGGTGGAGACAATGCTAACCACACCGGACGGTATATTCAGCAAAGCGCTCTCCTTCGAGTCATACCCAAAGCCCTTGATAAGAATTGACGAGAATGTAGTGATTACACCGCTGGGAATCGTAATAAGAATGGTCAGAAGCACCAGCATCCACGTTTGAAGATCGGCGAATACTTCAAGAATAGATGACCAGCGGAAAACTTTCTCACCAACACCGGCTTGGTCCTGGTTGAGTCGCTGGAAAATACGCTGCTTCTCTTCCTCGGTGAGGAACTTGGCCTTGGAAGGTGTTTCGGGCAACACGAAGAGAACCAGCAGGGACACCAAGATATTGACTGCACCGATAACAACGAACATGATCCGCCATCCACCAAATGACAAGCTTGCCGAGGCGTGCTGAGCGGCAAAGGAGATCAAGCCCCCAACAATCTGTCCTACTCCAAGACCGCAGTACCAAAATCCATATCGTGGAGTCGACTCCGCGCGAGTATACCACATACTGGTATACAATGTGAGGGAGGGTGCTATCTTCAGTCAGAATCACTGCAGAGGGTGATGTGAAATTGCATACCAATAACCGCCTCCATCAAGCCAAGGAGAACGCGGAGTGCGAGAATTCCGGCAAAATTCTTTGTCGCCGAAGAGCAGCAAAGGATAATACCCCAGCAAAAGACGTTGGCTCCGAGAACCTTCGCAACTGGGAACCGTTGGAGAAGAGCCCCCTGGGGGATCTCGGCGATGGCATAAGCGATGAAGAAAGCCGTTGCCAGCCACGAAAAGTCGTTCCCGCTCATTCCCAAATCATCTTGAATACCCATGACATTTGCATACTGGTATCGTTAGCCGCATTACCCTAGGGTGAATGGTAGAGACTCACGTTGATTGCAATCTTGTCAATCATTTGCAAGAAATATGTCAGAAACATAATCGGCAAGATTTGCCAGTCGATCTTGCGTAGGAGTTTCTTGTCATCCATGGCAAGGGTACCCAAGGCAAAGTCCTCAGGGTCAATTTTCTCTGCAAAATCATTCTTCTTCTCCATTGCTGCTAGAGATCGAAATAATTCAGGTGTTAGGAGGGATATAGGGGATGCGTCCTTGCATGATGGATAAAGGTCTTTATGAGCTGGGCCGGGTTTATTGATATCAGGCAAATTCAGATAGCGAACACCTCTCATGACCTAGCTCGTTTTCCCCGGACACTGATTGGTCTGGACTCGGCGATTGAGGAGGCAAGTCATGATGAGAAAAGATCGGCAGCGGAGAAGGGCCATGCAGCCGTCGCATAGATAACGGAAGCGCCGTCGCCTATCGATACGGGTGGTTTGGAGTGGTGGCACCATCCGAGGGAATTTCGGGGATAATAGCTTCATAGCATTTGAGTATAAGTATAGAATATAGAAAAGAAAGGACTCTCCATAATGCAAGTTTCCAGTTCTCAAGGTAAATTGAATATGCCTTCACGTACCGACTTGCCGCTTCAGGTTGCCGTTATCGGCGCCGGCCTTGGTGGATTAGCCGCGGCTGTCGCTTTACGTCGCCAGGGCCATGCCGTCACGGTCTACGAGAGATACGATTTTGCTGGAGAAGTCGGCGCATCTCTTAGTGCCGCTTCCAATGGATCGCGTTTTCTCGAGGAATGGGGCGTGGACGTGAAAGCAGCGAAGCCTGTATGTCAATATGTCAACCCCGGACCCGATCGGTGCATTGCTCACTGGGAAACAGGTGATTTTGAAGCAGTTAATTATGCACAACTGGTCCGACGGCGAGGTGCAGAGTACATACCCACTGGGAGACTACAAATCCAAATTTGGCACAGTACGGAAGTCTACTCAGATCCCAACTTTCAAGTCTGACATTCGCAGGATTATAACAATTTTCATCGCATTGATATTCACAAAGAACTGATCCAGTCAGCCTTTGAGGTGCCCGGAGATGGCCCTCAGTGCGAGCTCAAAGTCAATCACAAAGCTGTCCAAGTTAATGCGGAGGAAGGGACCCTTCGATTCGAGAACGGGGCTCAAGTGACGGCCGACATGATTGTTGCCGCAGATGGGATCCGAGTAAGTCCCCTTGGCGGTAGTCATGGGCTTTCACTAACAATCAGCAGTCTCTCACGCGGAACCTGATCGGAATCACCCCTGATTTCGAAATGTCAACATCATGCTGCTACCGATGCATTATTGGGGCGGACAAGCTCCGGGAACTCGACCTGGAAGATTACATCTCCAATGAAGCGATCGAGTACTGGGGTGGCTTCGGCATCAACAAGATCGTCATGTCACCCTGCAGCAACGGTGAAATTGTGAGCTGCTACTGCTTCTATCCTGCATCGGTCAACAATGTCCGGGAAGATGGATGGAACATTGGTGCCACACCGCAACAGTTGGTGGAAACATTTCCCGACCTCGATCCCAGAATGAAGACACTGATGTTGAATGCGGAGGATATCAAAATGTGGCGCTGTATGTTGAAGCCGTCCGGTATTTTCTAACCGAGCTAACGACCGTATTAGTATATCGACACCAGCCATATCCATACTGGGTCAACGGCAAAGTCTGCCTACTCGGTGATGCTGGTACGTAATCTTTATACACTGCCACTAATAGTTGCACCAGCTAACAGAAATAGCACACCCCATGATGCCCGATCAATCCCAAGGATCGTGCATGGCATTCGAAGATGCCGGGGCCCTGGGAATTGTGTTCCACAAGGACTTCAGAAAAGACTATGGAGTCTCAGAGGGTCTAGAATTGTATGAAAAGTTGCGAAAGACGCGCGCGACACGCGTGCAGGAGGCGAGTTTCCGGGCGCGGGAGAACCTCAGCGAGCGAATTGGGTGGAGCTCATCTACTGATCGACCGGGCAAGTTGACCATTGAGGAGGTCTGTGGATATAACATGAGGGACCACTTTGCAGAGCTGTTGAAGGGAAAGTAAATGTCAACAGTCCAGCACTAGGAGGACTATTTATGTAAGGTTGACACTAGAGAATCGGTCATATCCAAATTTTGCCAAGATCAACCGAAAATGAAGGAACTGCTTGGAACGTAGCTCGGAGTGGAAGATTGAATGGCATCATGATGAGGAAGAAATAATAAAGTCCGAGGGCCGGGAGAGAGGAGATAAGTAGAGGGCCACCTGCCTGTTGGATTAGAGATGTCCACAGATGGAGATCAAAAGAAATGATGAACATCGCCCGGGGCTCGACTACGGGAGTATCATTTGGACGTATTCTCGAGCCTATTTCGGGGTCCCTGAAAGTCTCTCCAAAAATCAACGGCAAGGCCTCAGTGTCAACAGCTTCGCGGCAGAAGGGTTTCGGTACTAACGTCTAGTGAAACCCCTAACGACTGCGTCGCTGGAATGTTGGAACGTTACTTGGTCCTTTTTCACTGAATGATATATGAGGTCCAGGTTGCCTTTAAGGTCTGCCCTGGATGCACTGTCCCATCCCACTACTCTCTCGAGGATAAAGAGGAAGCTATCCAAGTTATACATTTTTCATTCACCTAAATGAACACTACCCCTGGGAACTGACTATACCGTACAGAAGCCCAGTTCAAATCCCCTTCTGCTTCACTCCACACCGTCTCCAGTAGCTGTCTTGCGTACTGGATATGACTGAAGCCCAGAGTGTTTTCCATTACCATCAGTCGTTCCTTAACCATCATGCGGCGCTCCATGCTCACACTACTTGATCCAGCAATCACGAGCGGGAAAAGAAGACACCCTTCTACTCGACTCGCATATGGAATCTCCTGTACGGAATCGAGAATTGTCACGATGGCCCGTTCCACAAATTCATGTCGTGGGTCATACCCCTCCACCACCTGATGCAAGCGCAGTCGAATGGCCCACTCAAATGCAGAAGTAGCGCGTTCGGTATCGGGTTCCTGATCTGCATCATGATCCTGGTCCGCCCTCCACTCGTCAATCCGATTCTCCAAATGTGTTGCAGCCGCGCGGAAGCCTATCTCTGATAATTCATCCACCCGCTTATTCCGGTGGTTCGCTAGCAAGTTAACCATCCCTAAAAGATCAAACAACGCTGGGGAGATGCCATATATTGCATCGGTGGACTGGCTGCGCTTGAGCTCTGGCACACTACTTCGCCGCAGAGATGTAGTCAACTCTGTCATGCTGTCGCCATTGTGCAAAAGAGGTGCCTTGCACCTGGAGACGGTAGACATTGAGTCTAAGTAGTGGAATAGACTGATACAGAATGTCCATTCATCGGTCGAGACGAGATCCTGGAATGCAGGGGACTTTAGAATGGCACTGGCAGCCTTGAGATGCCATTTCCACACGCGCGAGGTGCCATCAAACAGCTCGGTCAGGCATAGTAACAGCACCGTAGCACAGGCTTCAAAAATATATTGGCGATCCAACCGGCCGAGGAGGGTGTTTACTTGGGTTAATGCTACTTATGTGTCAGTCCGGGTCAACTCAAGAGTGAAGCGAGAGTGGGACCTTTGCCCTGCCGCCTCAAAGCGCATCTCCAAATACTGGGGTAGACTCGTCTCCAATGACAGCCACTCAAACTCAAGATTACACTCGTCACGGTATCCGACGTAGCCGCCAGCGGCAAAAGCGTTACTAGGAACGGGTTCCGATCGGAATCGTGGGACCGGGACAGGGCTCGAGCCACAACTTGAATATAGTGGTTGAATAGTGACCGGTCCTCGTCACTCCGCAAATATGGGTTTGCAGACAGTAGCGACCGATCGATAACAAGAGCCGCATTCCGTTTAGGTAACGGATGTGGAAAGAGTGAAGCAATAAACTCCTCATCATCGAGAGTGGTGGAGTCGAATGCTAACGGATCGCCGTCGGAAACGTCAATTGTATCGGCAGTGGGTGAGATCGGCATCTGGCAAGCTGGAGTAGAGGCATCGGGGTCTGTGTGTTCTAATTCTGTATCATCAATACTGACAGGCCACTGGCAACCCGTATTCAAACGATGGCAATCGCTGCATCTCGGGCGGTTCTCGTCGCATTTCTTCTTCCTGCCCGAATCAGCGTGGAACTGACACCACAGTGGGTAAATTACCTTGCTTTGCATGACAAGCACCCGCCTCGGGAGCGCGATGCCCTCGGCCGACGGACCGCAACCGGATTCTCTTTATCGCACGGACTGCGCGGACTGCGCGGTTTGCACATATGACCGAGACCTGTAAGACATCAATATGGAACTTGACCGATAATAAGGGTGTTCGTACGTGTGCATCGCGAACATGGGGAGTTGCCGTCGCATCGTTGTTTCTGCATTGCTTAGCTTACAGGATATAGGACAGTGGAGTCGTGATACTAACAATGCGCGAACAGCGAGCACAGACTCGGCCGGAGGAGTTCATTCTGCGCAGACAGCAGTGCAGTAGCGCAATGACAAGGCAGAAAGACAGAAGCGACGGGACTCTTCAATTCCCCTCTCGGACACTTCCGATCCGACGGTGATAAGAAGATTAAGTAGACAAGTCTCTCTTCCCGAATCGGTTAGTTGTCGGCTGTCAAGTGCGGGGGTACACTAGACTGCCATAGGGTCAGGGTAAATTATCGTAATGAATTCGTATCTCGCGGCTAGCATTGTGTTCCCCAGTTCGGAGCTTACAATTCTACGATGGGATTCCAGGGTCCTCGGTGACTGCAGGGTCCTCATTCCTCTAAGCTATGTTCCTAATTCTGTTTCCACCTCTCCTTCTTGCAACCTCTTCGGCCACAGCGATTCTCTCCGATCCGATACCTAGAATGCAATCCATTCCCGACCCTGCAGCCCTCAGAAGCAAACTTGCTTCTCAATGAAATTCGCCGGTGCGATTACTTCTGCTCGGAACCGGTGCTAGAGCCAGACGACTCCGAGCCCGAAGAGCCCGAGGCCGGAGGCGAGTACTGAGACTCGCCCTGGCCGTTGTTGTGGTAGGTGCTACCATCCGAATTGGAGTAATAGTACGAGCCATCCCTGTTTCACGAATCTCACGGTCAGTATGTGTCTCTGGCAGACCTCGCATGGAACTGACTGATTAGAGTAATGGTACGAATTCTGGCTCGGGGCATCGCTGCCATGGTCACGGGCACAGTAGTGGTTGCCCTGGTTGAGTGTGAGCCAGCTCCTTGTCACCAGGAGACGAGACTCACCTGACTGTTGGTGCCAGAAGCCTTGTACGTGTAACCCTTTCCGTGGTTATCGGTCGGCATGTTGAACGAAGAAGTGTAGTAACTCGAATGAGTGATGATGGTGTGGTATGATGAGTGATGAAGGTACGTTATGAGAGATTTTTGGAGATGGTGAAGTTGGTGGAAAGTGAAGAAGTGTTGAAAGTGAATTCTAAATTTCTAACATTGTATTCTAGGTATCTCTGGCAATTTCCGCTAACATTCAAACCTCATTCACTTTGCACTTTACTCGTTCACCAGAACGTAACGGAAACGGGCAAAGCCAGCGTCCATGTCCTGAATGGCCTTGTTGGCCTCCTTCATGGGACGCACCTCGATCCACGGGTGTACCTTCTTATCAGCAGCGAGCTGCAGCATCTCCCGGATCTCATCGGGACTACCGATGAGGGAACCACCGAGTTTGATACCCTTCACGATCAAAGCGAAGGCGGGGATCTCCAGAGCACCATCCTCGGGGGCACCGAGCTGGACGAGAGTTCCACGGAACTTAAGGAGCTGGCTGTATTGAACAATGGGCATCTTCGACGAAGACACAGTGGAGATGATCAGATCGAGAGACTGGGCGTGCTTGGTAGCCCAGTCCTTGTCCTCACCAGTCGCGATGTACTCATCCGCACCGAGCTTCATCGCATCCTCCTTCTTGTCGCTCTTGCGGGAGATGGCGACGACGCGGTCAGCACCAAGTGCCTTGGCGAAGAGAATACCAAAGTGACCGAGGCCACCGACACCGATGATACCAACGGTCTTGCCGGGTCCACAGCCGTGCTGCTTCAGGGGGAGAGTAGGTGGTGATACCACCACAGAGCATAGGAGCAGCCTCGGCGGAGGGAATGGCGTCAGGGATCTTGACGACAAAGGTAGAGGGAGATCGGTTGTACAGCGAGTATCCACCATACGACTTGCCGCCGTTGGCATAGGTGCCGTTATAGGTGCCGACCATGCGGTTGCAGTGCTGCTGGAGGTTGCGAGCACACGCGTCACAGTCACCGTCCTTGTTCAGACAGGCACCGCTCTGCGCACCGACACCGACACGGTCTCCAATCTTGATATCGCCAACAGCTTGGGAGCCAACGCGCACGGCAGTACCGACGATCTCGTGTCCGACACAGCAGGGGTATTCGGTGGGGCCCTAAACGATGTCATCTGTCAGTCTATTGACTCTTTCAGCAATTGCGATTCCGATACCATACCCATCCACTGCGCAGAGTGTGCATGTCAGAGCCACAGATACCGCAGTGAGTGACCTTGATGTCGACATCGGTCTCCTCCCACGGCTTAGGCTCGAACTCCTGCCAGACCATCTTGCCCTGAGCGGCCTCGGGGCTAAGACCCATCCAGCCCTCGAACTTGTAAGATTCGGTTGATCCCATTGTGACTGTTTGTGTTCAATGGAGTGTGAATTGATTGTGTTCTTTCCAGGAACCTTTCGAGGGTTTGTCCTGCTCTTTATACATTGCTCCATGATATCATGATCCACCTCGACTTGGTCCTCGAAAATTCGAGCAAACTTCTACTTTGGTCATTGAAGCAGCTTGGTCAGCGATATCTGGTCCACTTGATCCACCGTGTCATCACGGTCTTAACGCTGTTTATTTCCGGAAGAAAAACCAAGTCTCGGGTGGCGTGGATGACATGCATCAGGGACATCAGGGGGAGAATGAACCAGGCACTCGGCCCGAATGGCAGATGGTCCAATCATAGGTGCCCTTCTCCTCCAGCTTCCATATACCAAGATTTTTAAAGTTCTGACTGTCATCCCAGGATCTTGATTACAGCCGAGAACACAAAATGCTTATCGCCGGGACCGCATTATCGTTCTTCCGACAGCCCGATATCTTCAACGACACATGTTTCCAGGTTTTGGTTCAGTCGGATGGTCAATTGTCCCGTTGCCGCGGAGCTTCGACGTGTCCATTCCTGTGGCGGTGAAACAAGTGGATTGACTATCTCCGCAGCGGGGCCTGGTAGCTGGTGGGGATCATAACTTATGCTGTATGCAAGGGCGGTGAAGCATAAAATGTCCCAATCCAGTTCACCCACTGTACACAGAACCGTGGTTAATCGCAACCACGAGTATAGCGGGGCATTTTGTGATGGGGTGACATCATTTCATCTTGCCCAGTCACCCGCCTGATATCTTGAGTCTGGCCATTATCAACCTCAAACATTACTAACCCGGGAACTAATTTATCGGCTCTGCACTGATTCTACCAGACCACGGCTATACTGATATCTCCATTCTCTAGCTTAAATTCGCAATGCCCGACTCTCGAATATTCGTGTGACCACTTGGGTGGCTTCTGACTTGCAGCGCAATGCAGCTCTTTCTATTCCACAACTCAGTTTTTCCTCTTTATATAGACAATCTCTCAATGCCCGCCTGGGACGATATACTGGATGCCGCCCTGACCGGCGTAGACAATCAATCAAGCCGCTCGGCGTTTCTGTATCTCTTTGAAGCGTCCACAATACACATTTTTGGTGCCAGTTGGATTTGACCCGCGTGATGCGGAAACCTTAAAGAACTCGGAAGATCTACGGTCTATACAATGAGACCCCGCAAGGCTACGTTAGCACAAGTCTGCTCCAGTTCATGCTCCTAAGCGCCATTTACGGAGGTGCCCAAAGCTTGCCACGGTAGATTTAAGATTAGTAAAGGTCTATGTCTGCAGCAAGATGATGTCTTACGGACAGCGAAAAAACAAAAAAAAAAAAAAAAGAAAGGGCCGATCTTCAAATTATCAACTTTTGCAATCAATTATTTGATGGAAATTGAAAATTCTCTACATAGTAAGGACGTATCATATAGGATTTACAAATATCAATATCGGAGGCAGGCGAATTTAGGTGCTTGAGGCCCAGAGATTATTGGCCGAGGAGAGACTCATCAGGCTACTGGGTGGAACACAGATACACGACCCAGTGAACAAGCAAGTTTTGACCTGTGCACAAGGCTGAGTATACTATATAGCTATGAGACATCCAACTGCAAAAAGCCCCAGGATCTAACGTGTCCATATTCTTCCCTTCATAACTGTCAATACGAATACCGCGGTGGATCGGAGATACAATTATCCTTCATGTTTATTACTTATGTAATCTAGAATCCCCCTATAACTAAATTGGCAGAATCAGGGGTAATACAAAAACAGAGCTTTTGATATCGTTGATTGGTTGCATATAAAACATTCAGACAATAACATTCAGCCTCAGGCATCCATTGATTCGTAACTTCAGCTTGAACTGGCGATCGCAATTGAAGAATCCAATGGATCCCGTTTGATAACAACAAACAGTCTTGAGCACGAGATGGCAGCAGTAAAGCCCGTCTGCTACACAATGTACCAAGGTCACAAACCGGATATGCGATGCCAAGAACGGGTCCCGCAGGACTTGTTTAAGCAAAGAAGACAGAAAAGGAACCCGGAATATTATATTATCGGCGCGGAATCATGAACCTTGACAGCAGCAGAAGCTCATGTGTTTCCTGGCTCACTTATTATGTCGTGGCATTTCGGCAAATCTAGCCGATGGAGAACTGGATGATGCAATCAGGGGCTTTGATGGCGATCCGCTTTCACGCAACTTCTAACATTCAATCTATAAGCCATACATTGCCGAGGACGGGATCCCTATCTCTCATTTTTCAATCTCATTTGAAGAGTCCGTGTAAGCAAACTTTCCATTTGTAAATAGCTTACAGTAGACCTGCGAAAACAAAAATATTGTATGTGAACGGCTATACTTCAACTCGCGTGGGGTGGACCCGCCCCCATGGCGTGCTTTGCGATCGCGATGAGAACACACCAGCCGGGGCATATTGGCGACAAAACGGGCAGCCTTCAAGGAAATAGCGGATATGCCGGGATAAATAACGCAATGGCTCGCCAGAATACCCCAGTCAAGGGCCATCGGAAAATCGATAAGAGGGCCTAGTCCACTTCAAATGAAGCCAGGACCCCTTCCTTTAGGATTGCTTTCTCTTTTCCCTTTTACCATGTTCCGAGATTAGAAATGGCCTCAAATATCAAATACGGCACTGGCAACGCGCCTGGTGATTATGCGCCCAAGGGCGATATCGTGAAGCCTCAGTCTGTTGTCAACGTACACAAGACACACGATGAAGAAAGCCCGTTATTATCGCGACCGGATTCGACAGAGACAACGGCAAAGGCTTTGAAAGGCGTGGGAACAATTGTCGCCGTGCTTCTTCTGGGTAAAATGACATCTTTAAGCGATTGGGGGTGCCCTTTTGGTTAACGATGCATAGGCGAATTTATTTCCAACGCAGATGCGACTCTGGTTTTAGCGGCTGCTGGCCACATTTCTTCCCAATTCAATCGACTACGCGATGCAAGTTGGCTTTCCACCGGATACACAATTGGCCTTTGCGCCGCACAGCCCATGGTGGGTAACACCGTTGGAGATAGCGGCAATTGACACTGATGGATATAGTACGGCAAATTGAGCGATATCTACGGTCGAAAACCACTTTTGCTGGTATCCTACTTCCTCTTCGCCCTTGGATGCATTATAAGGTACCTTTCTGGACATTTTTTGAATTGAAGCGGGGTTCTGACGCTCTCTAGTGGCATCGGACATGATATGTGGGTGGTTATTCTTGGACGCGCCATTTGTGGAATGGGTGGTGGTGGGATTATGACCATCAGTTCGATTATCATTACAGGTTAGTATTCACATCGGAACAAACTCCAACACATGCTGACACATGCTGACTGCTTCCAGATATTGTTCCCCGACGCGAAGTGGCCACTTGGAGAGCCTATGTCAATGTTGCGATGACGCTCGGCCGTAGTCTCGGTGGCCCCCTGGGAGGATGGCTCAGCGACTCGATCGGATGGAGATGGTGAGTCGAACAGAATGTTTCAAAGACTATTTCTAATCACATTCAGGCTTTTCTTGCTCCAAGCTCCTTTTGTTGCTCTTGCCGCTCTGCTTGTAATCGTCAAACTCCCGATAACTCAGCCTTTGTCTCTAGATACCGCCATAGACGGCAAATCATCCCGCCTCAAGCGAATTGACTTCCTGGGAACCGCTCTTCTCGGCTCTTCAATCATCACTATAACAGCGTTGTTGGATCAGGGCGGAAAGTCGTTCCCCTGGCGCTCATGGCTCACGGTATTCACGGCTGGGGGCGGATTACTGCTGCTCCTCGCATTCGTGTTGGTTGAGTCCTACGTTGCCAAGGACCCTGTCTTTCCTCTTCGAATCCTACGTCGACCGAATGTAGCTACGAGCTATCTCATTTCAGTGCTGCAGATTACAGCACAGCTGGGAATGATGTTTTCGATCCCCCTATACTTCCAAGTCACGCAGCGTGCTTCGACCACAGAATCCGGATTCCATCTCATACCAGCCGTCATTGGAAATACATTGGGTGGTCTCCTTGCTGGTGGATTCATTAGACGCACTGGACAATTTAAGGTCCTTCTCATTCTAGCTGGACTGATTGCCTCCGTGACGTACACGCTGCTCTATCTGCGATGGAACGGAAATACTGGATTCTGGGAGTCTCTATACATCATTCCGGGTGGACTGGGAACGGGAATTGCGTCAGCTTCCGCATTCATTGCTATGACATCCATGCTGCCACCCCAAGAGATCGCTATGGCGACGTCTGCGTACATGCTGTTGATCAGCTTTGCCATGACAGCAGGTGTCACCACTTCCAATGCCGTCCTCGGAGCGGAGTTCCAGCATCAACTTCGACAGAACCTGCACGGTCCTGGATCCGAGAAGGTGAGTCCTTGTATGCCATTTCATTGGGAATTGAACTAATATTGATAGGTGATCCAACGCGCAATGGCGGATACCGGCTATATTGCCCATCTCACAGGTCACATTCGTGAGATTGTGGTCGACTGCTACCTCTTGGGTCTGAAGCACACCTATTGTAAGTCACTCGCTAGCATTATGCGAATTGATCCTAACACCTAATAGTGGTGTCACTTGGCTGTTCCCTAGCCGCTGCATTTTTGGGCCTTTTCATTCGTCATCACCAGATTTAGAAGAGCCAACGCTGGAAAATCATGTTTTGCTTCTATTGTGAATTTTTTTTTTGATTTCCATACACTTGTCAGACAATGGACGAGTTTTATACCACATGCGCTACTGATTGTACCTTGAATGTTGAATCTACGAATTTGATTGTTGATGCCTTCGGTAAACATCTACCATGGCAAAGCATTTGCAAGTCTCGAAAAACTGTTTCAACTCGGAGACCAAAACCTGCTATTTATATAGACAATGCTTTACAGACAACAGCCATCTGTGATGTAATATTGAATGACCGAAAAAGTCCTTCATGGGCACTTACTCGATCTCACACTACTTCCAAGTGTCATTCTCTGTTACGGCCGTTGTGCTGCAGGCAGCCGGCACGGTGTAAGAGCGGTTCGGATCGCTCTCCCACTCAATAGTCCCGTCACTCTCAACTCGGATGTACTTGTACTCAAAGGCAGTTCCAGCTGGGAGGTCGACTGTGACAAACCAGAGGTTATTGGAGCTGGTGTAGTCGGCTGCACTCAGGGCAACCGCATTGCTGGTATCCCAGTCACCAAGGGCATCGATGGACCCTGCTAACTTGATGCTCTCACCATACGTAGTGGTAGCAATAAGGTCAAAGGTCACTGCTACGGCTGTGGGAGTAGTGCACGAAGTGCTTGTCTTGCTGGTAGTAGTGGTCTTGGTGGTAGTGGTTCCACCTGTGGCAGTGGTCGTCGCAGTGGTCGTGGGGGTTCCTGATCCACTGGTCAATGTAGTCGGCCAGGCCGTGTTGGTCGCAGTGCTGTACGTGCCAGTGGCCGAGGTAGAGCTGCAAGTCGCTGGAACACTACTAGCAGATGTCTCTCCCCAGGCAGCCGGGACGATCGAGTTGCGACGCATGTTGGCTGTCAAGAGAGCGGCATACGACCAGGTCAGATCACGCGCCGACAGCGGTGATCCATTGGTCTTGGAAAATTGCTCGGACATCGAACCGTTGGTCATGGCGTACTCTTCCTATATCAAAGTTAAAACTTTTGGCCAAATTTGTTAGCAAGGCTTCACTTACCACGAGGCTCATGTATCCATCAGCATATGTCTTGACCGCGCTAACAATAGTTGAGTATGTTGCGCTCGACGAGGAGTAGGTGCCAGTGGCGGCTGAGCTGTACATGTCTTGGAAGAAGGCTAACGAGACACTGTTGATGGTAAGAGAACCAAGTTTGTTCCACTGGTAAAGAGCATCGTAAAGAAGCTCAGCTGCAGCCATGGTGCACAGATACCAGGGGTTACCATTGTAGTACGAGTCCTCTGGGTAGCGACCGACCGATACAGCTTTACCTTCAGCGATACCCGAGTTCAAAGTATAGACCGAGCGGAAAGAATCAGTCAAAACTTTGTGATTGGCCAAGGCTCGAGCAGAGCAGGGCTGGAAAGTCGTGTCATCACAGCCGGCTTCAGGGTCAAAGGTATGAATGCTACCAAGAAGAGTGTTGGCATCCTTGCCTGTGCGGCTACTACCAAAGTTGGCCAATGTGTAGGAGCCGGTCCAGAAGGACTGCAGGAAGCACAAAATCTGGGGTGCCTGGGAGTCGCAGTAGGAGCAGGAGGAGCCAACTTGGGAGGCGAACTTGCTGCCTTCTACGAGAGCACGATGTTGCACTGCAATGGTGAAGAAGGACGAGCCGCTGACTTCTTCCCAAAGATCTATTGATCTGGTCAGTAAAAAACTGCATTCGCAGGGCGACTGGGTCTTACCATAGCCAGTGTTGTTCCAGTACTGTGCCACGTAGGATAGATCATTGCGAACGATTGGCCAGACAATGTTCGTTGCTTGAGTGGTGTATCCATTATTCTGCGAGAATCAGGTTAATCCTGTCGCATCCGAGGATTGGGGAAACATACAATCAACCACTGTCCGAATCCAATCAGAGCAGTGGCTCGGAGAGCGGGGCCATCACGCTGAGGACGTCCCCAAGAGCCAGTGAATGCGGTCTCGTCAACGTTGAACTTGGGCTCACCAAGACCACCACTGGAGAGAGAGCCCGACGGGTTGGAGACTGTCTGAAGATAGGCCTGGGCACTGATGTATTCTTCGATGACATCGAGCAGTTCAGTATCGCCATTCTTGAAAAGATCGATCATGACCTTCAAGGTCAGGGCCGAGTCACGGGTCCAAGTATAGTAGTCTATATTTGTTAGTCCGCATTCTTTGCGACACTGATTTCGACTTACAATCTGGGCTGTCGGTGCTGGGACTGGCAATCACGATGCCCGCCTTTGCACTGGCAGCATACGCGCCGCCTGCCCCAATGTTATCGAGAATGCCCTGTCGTGCAACAGCAGTCTCCGATGCAAGCCAAGTATCCAAGCTACTGGTGGCTCGAGCCGCCAGCTGAGGTGCAGCCAGTACAGCCTGGCCGAGAGTCAACGCACACAGCGCAGTCCATATGGGAGCCATGATGATGATTCAGAAGTGATTACTATCCTGCTATGGGCTTCCCTCTCCTTTTATCTCCAGGTCATGTTGAGTCTCGCTTCGGTTGGACTGGAAATTGCCATTCCCAAAGTGTGTTGCATGTTGCAGGGGCTGGACGACCAGGCTGCGGGGGGGCGCAAAGTGCACCAAAGCGGAGATCCACGGGGTCCGGCGTGAACTAGTTGATTAGTTCGTGCACCAGCCCATTCTTCGAGGCTTGCATGAACAAGCTTGGTCCTGCATCTGACTTTTCATCGGCAGTATCGGATCGGCATCGTCTTTCATGCATTCTGCTGCATGCCACCGACCTGACTGGTCTAATGCACATTCGCCGCGTGATCCCACGACAACGCGATTGACGGCCATGAATTTTCACTCGATCGACGGGATATTCATCTATTCTGAGGATCGGAAATATTCACAGGGTCAAAGTTAGTCCAACCCCCGCAAATTCTCCGCCCCCTGTCATCTCATCTCGCACCGTCCCGACCGATCACCAATCATCGCCTCTGAGCAGCCCCGTCCCTGGCACCGTCGACCTCGCCTACGAAAGAGGCGTTTTGGCAGATGTGACTTGCATGTGAACCTGAATGGCTTGCATTCTACTCCGGCATTCTGCGACGAGAATACGGAGCCGTGCAGAACCACATCGCCGCAGGGGCCACGGAGGATCTACTTCTTAGAGACTGGCGCCGCGCACTAGCGCCATTCCTGAAGGTACTCTAATAACCGACCTTGTCTACTTCCCTGCTTTCCCCAGGGAGCTGGGCATATTGATGGCTCGCTTTGGGCGTACCACAAATTGCGGCATTTTAACAGGATGAACTAGTGCGCGTCCAGGGTGTGAAACAGCTAGACTTTTGATGACGACTGACCGACTTCATTGGCTCTTTACTCCGGTGGGTGGTTCTTCGCTTAGACGAAGACCACATACCAACGACTGAAAGCCATCCAAGCATCACAAGGCAGGAAAGCTACGTCTTACTGGGTAACCGATTATAAACGAGGCGACGACTTGAACATCTGGCCCTTTTCTGCATCAAACTATCGCACAGTCAAGCGTCAGGGAAAGACTTGTCTTTCATTCTTGGCCATGAAGCTACTTCTCTCCGTGGCTCTGTGCTTTGCACATCTTGTTGCAGGCCTTACACCCAGTGAATGGCGCAGCCAGTCCATCTACTTCCTTCTGACAGACCGCTTCGGCCGTGAAGACAACTCCACCACGGCTGCGTGTGATGTCAGTGATCGAGTAAGCACAAAGATTTCACATTTCGGGGAAACAATCTAATGATGCTAGGTCTACTGTGGGGGAAGTTGGCAGGGAATCATTAATCATGTACGTCTCATACTAATCAAATTATGACCCGTGCTTATACCGATAGCTGGATTACATCCAAGGAATGGGTTTTACTGCAATCTGGATCACGCCGGTTACTGAGCAACTGTCACAAGACACCGGAGACGGAGAAGCCTATCATGGATACTGGCAGCAGAAGATGTAAGCAGTCAAAAAATGCACTTATGATCCTTGAGCTGATTGGATAGCTACGATGTGAACACCAATTATGGCACCGCAGATGACCTCCTTGCTCTGTCACAGGCGCTGCATGACCGTGGAATGTATCTTATGGTAGATGTTGTGGCGAATCACATGGTAATTTCCCAGCCTCACAGCAGTTACAATGGCTAACTCAGACCACAGGGATACGACGGAGCGGGAAACACTGTTGACTACAGTGCCTTTGATCCCTTCGACTCTTCATCATATTTCCACTCGTACTGTCTTATCAGTAATTACGATAATCAAACCAACGTTGAGGACTGTTGGCTCGGTGACACTACAGTATCTCTCCCAGACCTCAATACGGAATTGTCCTCTGTCCAGACAATCTGGTACGGGTGGATTGCAGATTTAGTCTCAAATTATTCCAGTGAGCTTTCCCACCAATTCATCTAGGATATTGCTGACAACCTTTAAGTTGACGGACTGCGCATTGACACCGTGAAGCACGTTCAAGAGTCTTTCTGGCCCGGTTACAATGATGCTGCAGGTGTATACTGTGTCGGAGAGGTCCTTGATGGGGACCCGGCATATACTTGCCCATATCAGAACTATCTCGATGGTGTTCTAAATTACCCAATGTAAGCATCTCCCCATCTGCCTTTATGCTTGACTAACAACCCAGCTACTACCAACTACTCTACGCTTTCGAGTCTCCAAGTGGGAGCATCAGCGGCCTTTATGATATGATCAGCTCGGTAGCTGCAGACTGTGCTGACCCAACTCTGCTTGGAAACTTCATCGAAAATCATGACAATCCACGATTTGCATCGTATGTAGATATTCTGTACTGTGAACTACTCCTAACTGACGGCTTAGTTACACGGATGACTATTCTCAAGCGAAGAACGTCATATCCTTTGTGTTCTTGTCGGATGGTATTCCCATCATTTATGCGGGACAAGAGCAACACTACAGTGGAGGCAATGATCCCTATAACCGCGAAGCCACTTGGCTGTCGGGGTATTCGACTACTGCTGAGCTCTATGAGTTTACCGCAACCACAAACAAAATCCGCAGTCTTGCGATATCTTCGGATGCTTCCTATATCACGTCCAAGGTATGTCACGCCTCATGATGAATGAACATGGAGAGTAGGAACTAATTTTGCACAGAATGATCCGTTCTACACTGACAGTAATACACTAGCTATGAAAAAGGGTTCAAGCGGCTCGCAAGTCATAACAGTTCTTTCAAATTACGGCTCTTCGGGCAGCTCGTATACTCTGACTCTAGGTGGTAGCGGATATGCCTCGGGAACCGAACTTATGGAAATGTACACTTGCACTTCCGTAACCGTTGACTCGAGCGGCGATATTGCAGTTCCCATGGCTTCAGGCCTGCCTCGGGTTTATATGCTAGCGTCTTCTGCCACCGGCAGTGGACCCTGTGCGTCCGGATCAACGACTAGTGCCATCTCGACCACGACCACGACCACGACAACAACGACAGCAACCAGTTCATCAACTTCAACCAGCACTTGCACACAGGCCACTGTTCTGCCAGTCCTTTTCAAGGAAATTGTGACTACCGTCTATGGAGAAAGTATCTACGTTTCAGGCTCAATCAGCGAACTAGGTGATTGGAATACCGATGATGCTGTCGCTCTCTCTGCAGACGAGTACACATCTTCCAACCATCTATGGTACGTTGAGGTGACACTTCCGGTCGGGACTTCCTTTGAATATAAGTTCATCGACAAAGACGGGTCCTCGGTGACATGGGAGAGTGACCCGAACCGGTCATATACAGTGCCAACGGGCTGTTCAGGAACTACAGCAACTGTAACCGCCACATGGAGATAAGGTCATGCTGTGAATCAAATGAACATTATTATTCGACTGTGCGATCGTTCCACGTAGAATTATAGACAGATAGGTAGGTAATATATACATCTCGTACTCTCGTGTCCGGTCTCGTCAGCCATTAAACATGCAAAGAGCTGGGATTCTCCAAGAGAAAATCAAAAACAGGTTGACGGAAATCATCAGGCAGTAATGCACCGTGATCACTGAAGAAATGCATCAGGCTGTTATTTCCACTCCACTGCGGCCACTCCATGTATTTTGCTCGAGAGTTGGGGTCCTGGTCGTAAACAAATGACAAGTAGTAGGAATGGATGGATTGGGACGCGTAGTTTGGCAAGATCCCGTAGAAGACTTGGAGCACGTCAGACCCGTGGAAAGTGCCGAGGATGGGAGTGCCGTAGTCATATGACGAGAGGTATGACCAGAAGGGGATATCAGGCTTTGCGTTTTTGGCGTGTGTCAGGAATACCCGTCGGCTTATGGTAAAGGCAACGTCGCCCAGAATTGCTGCAATGCGCTTATACTGGGGGTACCAATTATTGAAGCCACCGGTGCGGAAGGGCGAACCATGGACTGAGGTATCCGGGTATTTTGATACAAGCTCCTCCAGTTGCGCCCGAGTAGCGTCGAAGAAGAAAACATCCTGCAAATAATCCACAATCTCCTCGGTGGTTGTAATGTTGGTTTGCGCCAAAGAAAAGATGGTGCCTTCATCTTCCTGATCGCCGATAATGAACGGCACGTCGGCGTATTTGCCACTTTCGGCTAGTCTTTCTGGTGAATCTGTCAAAACTTTGCCATCTGGTCGAGGCAGATATGGCAAGGAAATTGATGTGTATGACACGTCGTTGGGGAAGGAGTTGGCCGCGTTCAAGAAGCTCGTATAATCCAAATTGCGCAGACACGCCAGCGCATCTTTCTCATCATCGCAACCAGCATTTTTCACCACATGATCGAAGACAGCCTGGCCCTTGGCGCAGTCCACTGGGTCGGCAGGAGTGATACTGCCAGAGTTCATGATGCCGCCGCGGAACAGTGGCGATCCTTTATACGTATGGTTGCCATCGTACAGGGCGAGCTGGTTGAAGACGGAAATGGCACCGGCTGATTCACCCCAGAGAGTCACCTTGGATGGATCGCCGCCGAAGGCTTCAATATTATCAGCAACCCATTCCAGAGCCAGTCGCTGGTCGAGTAGACCGAGGTTCGCAGAACCGTCTTTCAGGACCTCGGAGCCAGGCAAGAAGCCAAAGGCACCAAGGCGATAGTTCATGGTCACAAAGATGACAGGCATCTGAAGGTTGATAGAGGCAGTGACAAGGCTTGTGCCATCGTACATGGCGGTAGAACCAGTCTCAAAGCCTCCACCATAGATCCACACCAGCACGGGCAGTTTCGCATCAGGCTTCGTCCCAGCCGGACGACGAATATCAAGAGTCAGACAATCCTCCCCCACATTTGCAATGGTCTGAAAGATTGGGATGTTGGATAATTTTGCAATTACCGATGTCGGGAAATCGCTGGTGTCGGTGTTCATAGAGAATTGAGGGCATGATTTGGCCGCAAAAATTGCCTGTATAGCACCCAGTGGTCTCGTTATCGGCTTTGGAGGCTTAAGTCGAAGAGCTCCTGTTGGGGGCTGTGCGAAGGGAATGCCATTAAATTCATCGATCCTACTCAACGCCGACGAGCCAAGAATGGTTGCCTGGGGGTGAGAAATGGTGACTGTAGGGTCACCATCTCTCTTCGCTGGTGCAGCTAGAACTGCCGGTAATAAGAACAAGAACAAGAACAGCATGTTGACTTGCAGTCACCAGATGAGAGTGCAGAAACTCAAAGTTCCTTGCCTCTTCGCTCAAGGGGGTCGAAGGGGAAGGGGCATTATAAACCATCCCCACGTCTCCAGCCGCCTCGAGGATCGAGGCATTCACAGCCCTCCGCACGCCTCGCTCCTGGAATGAACATGCGGTGTCTTTAACAAGTTTTTTCTAATAGGCTATCGCGCTCGTCTCTAGCAAAATTCTCCACAGAGGCGCAGAGACCCTCGGGAGCTTGCTGGAGCAGCCTCTCCCATTCGCCGATTTGAAGGGTCATTCGGCATGAACCATCTCAGACCTGCATCAACATGGGGGTCTTCTTACCCCTCATGATGATTTATCAAATTCCTGGTTGGCCGTGATCTCTTCAAGTCGGAGTTATTCGGTCTCCGCCTCTGTGCGTCGCTAACGAGCGTATCACACTAGCTGAGGATCTCATCCCGCTCGGCTGACCGGCAGAGATCAAGGGAGAGCATTTTAGCGCGTGGTTTGGAATGTACAATGACAGAGTTCAACAAATCTTGCAGCAGTTTGTCGATCATCTTTACCCTTCTGGGATCAGCCGGTGGAGATGTCGATCGCACGGCTGAACAAAAGCTGGACACGATCAGATCCTTTCTTATCGTCCCACTTGGCCGATTCAAGGGCTTCTTCGCGTGCTGACTACACTCATATTTGGGCGCTCCTAGTACCAAGCATAGTACGGATAAAAAGATAAAAATAAGTTCAGGACTCTTCATAGGCTGGATGATTTTACACAAAGTCGATATATGAAAGGTAGGAGAATGTGAGGCGTGCACGATCTTGTCATGATAGTCCCGTGTCGCGTACCCACACTGCTTCCGAAGCAGTGTAGGTACGCGACACGGGACTATTAGAGTAAATAATGAATTCAAGCTATTAGCTTTGTTATACGCTTGTGGATGTGCCTATTCCCAAGGCTTTCAAACACTCCTGAGCTTGCTGACTATAGCTTTAGGGCGCGATCCAGGAAAGAAATGCTCGGTTAAGGCTATGTGAAGACTTGAATCGCAATCAACTCAAATTGATATGTTTTTGGGATATGAATATGAAGCCTTAGTCTATGTGATGTGCCTGTCTATTGAAAACAAAACAACGCCAACCAACCCTGGAAATGCAAAGCGAAATGAAACACCACCTTCGTACCGTCTATTTCTCAGTCTGCCAGCCCTCCCATCTTTCAAAGTCTCCTGTATCCAAATCGAACAGGTCCAGCATGCGCCCCACACTCTGGTCAACCAGGTCATCCACAGACGCGGCCTTGATATAGTACGCCGGCACAGGCGGGAAAATAATTGCACCAGCGCGAGAGACCTCCAACATATTGCGTAAATGGATATCACTCAGAGGGGTCTCCCGAGCCACAAGCACAAGTCTTCTTCTCTCCTTCAACATAACATCCGCAGTGCGAGAGATCAAGTCGTCACAAAAGCCACTGTGAATAGCAGCAAGCGTCTTCATACTGCACGGAACAACGATCATTCCATCAGCCTTGAAGGAACCACTGGAGATCGGCGCAGCCATATCATTGATGTTGTGGACGTGGTCTGCGAGCGCCTTGACGTTCGCCGGGTGGTAGTCGGTTTCGTATTTGATGGTCGCTTCGGCCCATTTACTCATTACCAGGTGAGTTTCCACGTTCAGGCGGCGGAGGGCGATAAGGCACTTGATTCCCAGGACTGCACCAGTTGCGCCGGTCATGGCGACCACGATACGCCGCCGCCGGGGTTGGGAGACATGCTCAATACTGGAGGGCATTGTTTCTTCGGTTGGGCTGCCACGAGGGGTATGACGGCTGGAAGATGGAGTGTGGGTTCCAGAGAGAATGGACAGCATTGGTCAAGTTCTTGAAGTATTATGTGATGCTGTTGACTGGGGTATGTGGTTTGGTGTGTATACCGTGGAACCGTGAAGACTTGATGTGATGGATGAGCTTAAACCGACCGGCCAGGCTCGTTTTATATTAGACGTGACAAGATGCCGAATACCCAATTCAAGAAGGTTTTTTAACTTGAAAATTATCCCATCTTCCGAGAAACAGGAAAATACTGACATCGGCCCGAATTTGAGACCCGAGTTCAGATATCCGAGGCCCCGAAGCCGAGACTCCGAGAACGGCGCCCGATGGCCGTATCCCACGCCACAGTCGTGCCATGGCGGCGCCACGGTGGAGCTTATTGGTGAAGATATTTTCAATAGTTCGAAACTGAAAAAAATGGCAGTACTAATGTTGCACTAAGGGTTTGAACCGGCAGTTGATGAGAGTCTACGGCTGTCCATTCAGGCTGTATGGTATCTAGTCTCCAATCGAATTTTTCATAGGAACTCGCTTTCCTGTGTATAATCAAACATCGGAACTATAACATGTTAGATCGAAGATGTGACAATCGCACAAGAAGAATTTACCGTTCATTATTGAATCCAAATATGTAACAGGCGAAAAGTCAAACGGATCTTGCAAGTCCATTAACCCATCTGGTCTTTTCAGACATCAGCAATTGTCTTCATCATCAGCTAGGTTAGGAGAGGAGACTTACCCGGCTCCGAACTGAGGCAACATGCTCTGGGTTATTTCCGCCCAATTTACTGCTTCGGCAGCACCCGCCTCTTCCTCTCGTTCCAGTGCGCTTCGTAAAGTCACCAAGGCTCGGATATGACGTGTCGACAGCCACTGGCCATCACCTTCATTTATAGAAGCTCCATCATCAGAGGTTCTTGAATCAGTTGATAAGAACACGTCAATGACTCTCTGTTGAAGACTGCGACATTCGGGGTCGTTGCGAGTCTCTTCCCAGATACAAAGAAGTAAAGTCGAGCTCAGCACAGTATGTACCATCGACCAGCTCCGCAATGGAACAATGCTAAGAGCTTGAAAGTCAAGGAAAGCTTTTGATGCATCAATCAAACTTCCCTTGGCGCGAGCCCGAAGAATGTCAGCATGGGGAAACGGCGGCTGTGAGGTGGCTTTCCTCATTGCCGGCCGGCAAAGGACCGATACACAGAATGAAGTATGCATTCTGAACGCCAAATATTCGAGATTCTGTTGGAGTGTTGTGCAATTTTCTCGTGATCGAAGGTAAGGCAGGCCGCGTTTGTGAGCATCGTCGAGCCGCTGCAGCCCTTCCAATGCTCGATCGCCCTCAACGACCCCGAGATTTTCCGGTCGCATTATATCGAGGCCGAGACGGCAAAGTAAGTGCATGAGTTCTGTGTAGGACAAGTCTTGTCTCTCGTAAAAGGAGTTCAGCAAAGGCCACCCCGTCACGGAAACGATAGGCGGTCGGTCATAGCAAAGGCATAGTAAACTGTCTTGCCAGACTACCGTCGACCTGTTTACTAGTGTTAGCTCCAGATATACCAGTGGAAAGTCCTCTGGTAGAGACAAGGAGGGATGTTCATACCAAAGAGTCCTCGCCTTCGTCCTCACATTCTCAGGCCAATGAACGGTACTTCTTTCAGTGTGCAACCCCATAGTCTGAGCTAACCGGACTGTCGTCCCGAGTAACGCCCAGGCAGCATCGGACTGTCCCATATTCTGCATAGTATTTCCCAAAATTAGTAGAGCTTGGATGATATCAAGAGATGGCCGAAACAGGAAGTTGGCCAAGCGAAGAGCATTGAATGATCGACGAGCTGAAATCCGTTAGGCAAGCTTGACAAAGCATGTATTGAAACATACCGAAGTCTGTTGACAGTTCAAGTCGTTGTGGATATTCAAGATCAGAATAATGTGCCCCTGCTGCTAATGTCGCTAATAGAAGGCTGACATGACCAATGGACTTGTCGGTTGCCCAACGATCGGTGATTCTCTCCGGGTCGCGCAGTTCACCAGCTGCGTGAGCGTTGAGATATTTACAAAGGTCAGACTCAAAGCGGTCCATTTCAGCGAGAATTGGATTGAATGGGTAAGCTGTGACTTGATAGTAGTGGAAGAACCTGGTCTATCAGCCAGAGTTTCTGTATCGGTTGATTGCAACATACTTCAGGACCTCGGATCTCTGAGGCAATACACTCAACAGCGACCTCCATCTTTCAAGAGGAGTTTTGGAGTCCATAAACGGATAATTGTTAAAGGTATTTTGCAGGCCAAGAACAGACCCAACCTCACGCGCCACCGATTCATTGGCATCTGATGTTCGCAGGCGCAAGATCGAGACGACAGAATTGTCCCCGGAATAGACATAGTTCTTCGAATTGTCCTCGGGCCGTGTCTCCTCGTAATTTAAATTTGCAGGTGGCGATGCAGGTGAAGCCGAGCGTGCTGCAATACTCTGGCGAGACACCGATCTGCGCCTCTGTGGAAGGGCGTATGTGCAAATCTCGGGATGCTTTCGCTTCTGACAAGTACGGCATGGTTGTGTTCCATCGCATTTGACTTTCCGTTTTTTGCAGGGGTAGCACGCATGAGCTTCTCGTTCTCGGCTTTTGAGGCGTAGAACCCGGTCCGCTTGGGCTTGGCTAACGGCACTCATGCTGCCGAGAAGTCCGAAGTACCACAGTAGGCGAGATTGAGCTCTACTGGCCAAGAAATGGTGTTGATTGAAATTATTGGCCTTTCAATAGGAATATTACAAGTCCGAGATCAGTATTCAGCGATGTGAGCGATGATGTTGAGGTTGAAAGATCAAGAATTGCCCTCTTGCCGTATGCGGTCAGGTGATGCGGCGTGTCTTATGCACGGACCATTTTATTCAACGCGCAGCTAGTGAAAATGAGACTGTTGCAGCGACTAAAAAGGAAGTGAATTGAAAATTAGACTACCTATGTATCGATAGAATAAAGTGCTTGTGACGTGTTCGGTCAATCGAGACACTTCAACGAAGCAACGAGGGGTACCATAACACGGTGCTTATGAGACCAATGTCTACATCAAAACTATATCGGTAAAAATGTAACTATTGAGAACTGATAAAAAAAGTTTCATCTATATTTGTTGACATAACGAAAGGTACCGTACAATATTGAATACATCAAAATACTTTACTCTTCCCGGAATCCCATCTTGGTCCAGTTATCCAAAACCTTCTTCTTGAGATCCTCAGGGTATGAGTTCTTGAAATCAGCCGCCACCCAATCACGACCGGTAGTATACTCAGAAGGCATAAGAGCGTCCGAAACGACCTTTCCACCCTGAACTGGCGATCCATTTCCATGCGACATGTACGGGACCAACGGGAAGCCACGCACATCCTCAAAGAAGGTCTCATCCATGTTAGGCCGGCAGCGAGTCGAGAAAGCCCACATCACATCCTTGCCGTCATAGACGTCGATGTCATCACCGCAAAGCACCAGACGGTGAATGGTATAGCCGGGCTTGGTCTTGAAGATCAGGTCACCGACTTTCTTGGAGAATTCTTTGGAGGTAGTCTTCATCTCGCGCAGCTTGGCAGTGTCAATTTTGAGAGCGACCCAGGTGACTTGGGACTCGAAGGGGGCGAAGGCATCGGTGACGGGAAGACCGGCATTTCGGCAGACCTTGCCGATCTCAGCAGCAGCTAGGGCTCCGATCATGGTATGCTAAGATGTGTTAGTGGGAGATAATGGGAGAACAGAGAGGTGGACTTACAGTCTCGTCGGTCAGACGACCACAGGCGGACATGGGGAGGATCGGGTTGTTGCGGTAGGTGATGCGGTTCACCTTGTACTTGGGCCAAGGGTGGGTATCTCCGGGGAAGACATAGCCGTGCATCTCACCAAAGGGACCTTCGGGAGCGGTCTCGGTGATAGACAGGGTACCTTCAAGGACAATTTCCGAAGTAGCAGGGACGTAAAGGTTGTTGGTGTCACACTTGACCAAGTCCAGGGCAGAGCCAGTCATAGCACCAATGTATCCAGCCTCGGTGACACCGTCAGGAATGGGCATGCTAGAGGCCATGATCGCAGCAGGAGGGACACCGAAGGCCAGGGCCCAGGGGACATCCTTGCCTTCCTTCTTCCACATCTGGTGAATCTGCCAAATGTGCTGGGGCTCAATGACCAGACCAGTAAGGTGCTTCTCGTCGGAAACCATGGCACGGGCAATAGACCAATTAGTCCAGGACCCATCGGGAGACTGAACAACGTGCATTCCATAGGTCTGGATGTACTTTCCACCGTCGGCCTGGTGGATAAGGGGAGCAGGGAGCTTGGTCAAATCGATCTGGCTTTCCTCGAGGAAGTTCTCCTTGCAAGGGCCCGTAGACACGATGTTGGGTGCGATTGGGGCCTTGGTGCTGGCCGAGAGCATCTTATCGAGGATCTCCTTCATGGAGGCAGTCGGGGGCAAAGCGAGGTGGCGGGCAAGACGACCATAGCGATCCTTTGGAGACTTTCTGAGCGATGCAGGAGCACCCAGAATACGGAAGAGGCCATTCTGAGCACCGATCACGTTGTTGAAGAGCGGAGCCTTGTCATCTGTCTCGCAGACAAGACGTGTAATGGCAGCTGCTTCGAGGTTGGGGTCGATTGGGGTATCAATCTCGACCAAATCATTGTCCGCCTTCAAGGCCTCGACAAATGATCGGAAGCAGAGGTGAGGTTCAGTGTTGACCATTGTAACGTGTTGGTATCAAATGTTGTGAATAAGATGTACTGAGTGGAGTAGGACTTGAAGACAATGGGACCCTTGAAATGGCCCATGGAGCTTATATATTAATGCGAGGATCTTCGGCACGGCAGTCTCGGATCATTCACTCACCGTATGGAGTAAACCCCATCTCTGACCGACTGATCCAAGACCATATTCTCGGGATGCCGCACACTTCGGATTGCCCCGAGGCGCCGGAACCGAGATCCGAACCCGAACCCCCGAGTTCCGAATACCAGTTAATTAGGACTGGTGGGCAGTAGAAATTCTACCATCGATTCATGGTACATAAGCTCAGACGGATCATAGCCGATCGATACTCGGCTATAATAGCCTTGAGATGGAGTCGGCACTTTGATCGGCAGCGGTGGGAATATAAGAGGGGTCAAGTCCCCCAAACAAGTACCAGTAAAAAGCTCAAAGCTCAAAGTTCAAAGACCACAGCAGATACACCATGTTTTATCAACCCGGAGTGACCGAGCATAATCTCCCCCATGACCCGTTCAAGGTTAGTCACACTCGAATCCAGACCGAACAGTACAACTAACAGAGCAGGCATGCGTGATTCCGCGTCCGATCGGATGGATCTCCACGCAGAACCAAGCGGGTCAAGCTAATTTAGCACCATATTCTCAATTCAACAATCTGACATTCGATCCACCGTACGTGATGTTCTCCTCGAACCAGACTGTCGAGGGCACTCGCAAGGACACGGTGGTCAACGCGGAGCAGACCGGACGCTTCGTCTGGAATTTGGCGACATGGGACCTCCGTGAGGCCGTCAACATTTCGGCGGAACAAGTACCCTACGGAGTCGATGAGTTCGAGCGCGCCAAGGTAACCAAGGAGCCGGCCACTTTGATGGATGTCCCAATGGTGCGGGAGTCCCCGGTAAAATTTGAGTGCGAATATCACTCCACCGTGCGGCTACCGGGCAATCCTCCGATGGGCACTGTAGACGTGGTGATCGGCCGGGTGATCGCTGTGCATATCAAGGACGAGGTTCTGACCGATGGCATTCTGGATATCAAAAAGACGAAGCCGATCGCCCGTTGTGGATATTATCAGTATACGGTGGTGACCGAGACTTTTGACATGGTGATTCCCGGCATGTCGGACGATGTCCTATATGGGTTAGAGGGGGAGTGCAAAGCGTAATCGCGAGGCCGAATCGCGGAATACGTGATCCATCATGATGCCAAGATAGAGCTCGGTTCTAGAAAGAAACAACCGCCAGAATCATGTGTCTCATAAATATCCGGGGTTGAGCGTAGTCATATCTCCAATCAATAGGAACCAGAAGGAGGCTAGAAATCGCCTCCTAGACACAGTTAGCGAACAGTTATCAGACGATATTAGTGTTCGAGACCCTGCATGAGGAGGCCACGATAGGGGGTCGATTGGCTTCGAACCTTGAAAGGTTAGTCTAGCCACGAATCATGGCTCTGCCCGCTTCGTTTATTTGTTCTGACTTCCAACCAAACGGTCAAGCCAAGAACTGAGGTTGCACTGTAAAGTGCCAGCCAAGGAGCGCCAGCCAAGCACCTCCGCCAAGAAGAGTCAGCTCGGACCGCCAAGCATAGCGCACAACAGCATTTGAAAGAAGACGATTGGATGCAGGGGCTTGGCAGCGGGTTTCCATCCTTGTCTCCTATTCCAATCAAGGACTTCCGTTCTATCCAATATTGGCCTTATCTCGCGTGATACCGGTTCCACCATGGGATCCCCGTCGGACCCCAGACCCATGCTCTACAGATATACCGTGAGGCAGTCAATGGTATTGGCCCGGCTACTGACGGTATCCCCTTCCAGCTGATGCTCCGTGAGCATGCTTTCGAAGTCTAATACAACTTTGTCATTTGGTTATCAAAAGTCGGTGGCGCGGGGAAGACCGACCTTCCTGAAACGGAAGTCTCTAATCTCTAGTAGCTTTGCTGGCTTGGGCCTTTAAAAGGACCGCACTTGCCCCTGGGATATGGCGATCAGCGTCTTCGTTCCCAACACTCCAAGATGAACGCCTCCGACCCAATTGACCTGGCAGAGGAAGCCAAGTCCAGAGCTATTGCGAACGATGTCGCCATCAGTGAGAAGCATCCCGAGATTGAGCCTGCTCCAGTCCACAGTGTGTCCTCTCTTCACGATGAGGATGATGATGCCCTCCACAAGATCTATCCCAATGAGGACGATTTGCGGAATCTGCGACGTGTTGCAGGCAAAATCCCATGGACTACTTTCACCGTCGCGTTTGTCGAGCTTTGCGAACGATTCTCGTACTATGGCACAACGGCCGTCTGTATGTTTACGTGCGTGTCTATTCTGTCACCCGTCTAATTTAAAACAGTCGTGAACTTCATTCAGCGTCCTCTACCAGCCAATTCCACCACTGGTGCCCTCATGCCCGGCTCTGACTTCAACAACGGTGTTCCCGGTGCTTTGGACATGGGACAGCGTGCCTCAACCGGTCTGACCTTGTGTAAGTAACTCTGAAATACGAGCTGCATCAACTTCTGACCCTCCTGTGCAGTCAACCAGTTCTGGTCCTACATCATGCCCTTGATGGGTGCATACGTGGCCGACCAGTATTGGGGTCGTTTCCGCACTATCTTCGCCTCTATTGCTGTCGCTCTCGTGGGCCACTCTATCTTGATTGTTTCTGCAATTCCCAACGTTATCGCTACCCCCGGAGGCTCGATCGCCTGCTTCTCTGTTGGTTTGGTGATTATGGGTGTGGGTACGGGTGGTTTCAAGTGAGTGTCTCGTTCACGTTGTCGGAAACCATAACTCATCGCCAAACAGATCCAACATCTCTCCTCTGATTGCAGAGCAATATGGGGATGATAGGCCCTATGTTCGAGTTGAGTCCAATGGCGAGCGCGTCATTGTCGATCCGGCCGCCACAGTGTCTCGCATCTATCTATACTTCTACTTGATGATCAACGTGGGGTCCTTGACCGGTCAGATTAGTATGGTCTACGCCGAACGCTACGTCGGTTTCTGGCTCTCCTTCCTCCTTCCCACCATCATGTTCTGCCTCTGCCCGACAGTACTGTTCCTGTGCAAATCGAATTATAAGCTCCACCCTCCCACTGGCTCTGTGTACTCAAAGGCCTTCCGTCTGTGGAAATTGGCAATGACGGGTCGCTGGTCGCTCAACCCCCTACGTCTATTCCAGAGTACCCCCGGCTCGGGAGACTTCTGGCACAATGTAAAGCCCAGCCAGTTGGGCGCGAACAAGCCGGAGTGGATGACCTTTGATGATGAGTGGGTGGATGAGGTACGGCGTGGATTCAAGGCCTGCAAGGTCTTCTTATGGTATCCGCTTTACTGTATGTGCAATTCGCTTGTCTGACGATCCTCTACTAACAAATCCAGGGCTGGCTTATAACCAGATGTTGAACAACCTGACCTCGCAAGCCGCCACCATGCACCTAGGCGGCGTGCCAAACGATATCATCAACAATCTCAATCCATTCGCCCTCATCATCTTCATTCCCATCTTCGACAGACTGGTCTACCCTGGTCTGCGTCGGATGGGATACAATTTCACTCCTCTTAAGCGTATCACAGCCGGTTTCTTTGTGGCTGGCTGCTCCATGATCGTCGCAACCGTCACCCAATATTACATTTATAAACAGGGACCTTGCGGCAACCAGGCAAATTACTGTCTGGAAGTCGAAGGAAAGCAAACCAACATTTCTGTCTGGGTACAGACTCTTACCTACGTACTGGGCGGAATTTCGGAGATTTTTGCCTCGGTTACCTCGCTGGAGTACGCCTTCACTAAGGCTCCTCGCAACATGCGATCTCTCGTGCAGGCTGTGGCTCTCTTCATGAACGCCATCTCCGCAGCCATCGGCCAGGCATTGGTTGGCTTGTCCGCTGATCCTCTGCTAGTTTGGAACTACGGTGTCGTCGCCATCTTGGCCTTTGTCGGCTGTGCAGGCTTCTGGTTGACCAACTACAAGTTGGATCGGGAGGAAGATGCATTGAACATGTTGCCTCAGAGTGAATATGTGGGACGAAAGGCAGCTGATGAGGAGAAGTAGTTCATGTCACGACGTGAAAGATACCTGTCAGATGTAAAATTCGGATTCACTATACCGAAATGTTATTCTTAATTAATCGAAGCTTCCATCCCACATTCGTATTAATGAAGCAGTCATTGTAAATACTCTGTTACTCAAACTTTAATCCTCAGTCTGCTGGCTGTCATCCTACTCCTCGTCACCGTCGCCATTCTCTTCGGCGGGCTCCTGGCGATCATCCTTCCGCTTCTTCACGGACGCATTGGACTGTTTCGCATGACGTTTAGTCCCAGCCACTTGCTGGCCTGTCTCCTTGTCGTCGTCACCATCTATGAGCTCATCAGCAAAGTCATCGGAACCGAAGCCATGGCCCTTTTCACCTTGCTTCTGTGAACCCTTCTTGCTTCGCGTATTGCGGGTATTTCGCGCGTCTCTACCTCCAGTCTCACGACTGGCGTCCTTCCGTGCCTTTTTCGCTTGAGGAGTATTTCCAACAAACTGCTTCCCTTTTTCCGATCCTTTAATCTTTTTCTCTTCAGACTTCTCCTTCTCGTCATCGTTCATCTGCTCCCACGCTTTCTTGGGCAGATAACGCTTCTCAGAACCATCACTCTTGCGCGCAGTCCCGGAACCCTCTTTAGTCTGCCAGTCTTCCTTTGTCCACTGGTCGAGATGTTTCTGAGACTCGTCTTGGCCTTCTTCTTTGGTGGTGTTGTAACCACCCCCGCGCTTTTTATATTCAGACGCCATCATTTGTGCCTGTAGAGCAGGAATCAGCCATTGAAATGACATTTCTAGGTGATATGGACAAATAATACCTTGCGTGCAGACCATTGACCGGGCTTACCGCCCTTGTCACCTTTATGGATTTCCTCTTTGACTTCATCGCGGAGCTTTGGGTCGGAGTATTTATCTCTGGGTGCCATTTTCAGGGATTTGATCGAGTGCAATTACATGTGTTGAAACCTAGAGTAATTAATCGACTTTAATATATTTTTCGCGCTCAATTGATGTGTCATTGCGATGACATCTTGATGTTCAGTATTGGGTGACATCATCCACACCGGAATGCGAACGTCGCGTGGGAAAATCCAGTTTCACATCACAATTTGGTTCCGGGAGTTGAGGTAATCTCTGATTTCTTGTTTCAAAGAATTTAAGCTTCTAGCCAGGGTCTAATAAGGTACATTATCTTAGATGTCATTCTAGATCTTGATCTCGATCCGACCCGATCTGATCGGAGCGTGGGGCGTACGACTGACCAACATTGCTTAGGTGTGTGAGCTCAAACTTGAGCCCTTCATCATTGTCAAGTTTGATAACACATATTAATTTCAGGTCTCCTTCATATCACCTCTGTACATTGATCGTTTCATCTGTACACTGATAGGTCTTTGGTATTTTCTTTGATTTCAAAAAGCCTCCCTTCTTCCTTTGTAACAATGTTTCATAATGGCCATAGTGCTTCAGAACAAGTTGAGATTTGCTTTATCTTACCCCAGACAAGGCCTACCTACTCTATAATGTTTACACGGGAAATAATCCAGGATATAAAAGCCTCGGGTATCTCTTTCTTAATAGTGGCACTGACAATCGCATTCATCAACATTACAAGCTACCCGCAGTCAAGGTATAACCTTCAAACATTTACTTTCAAGAATATAAGATTATTTCTACTTTAAAGTAAAGATATGGCTCGCCGCTATAGTAACAGTGTGAATCGACTTGTTGAACGGCCTAGTCGCCGCATGAGCCAAGTCACTGAAAGAGTCGGACGCCGCATGAGCCAAGCCGGGCGGCGCTTAAGTCAGATGACTCCTCGCAGTCGTCGTGCAAGTCGCGCATCGCAGGTGAGCCCTCCTGAAGAATTCCAAGTATCAGGAGCACAGATCAGCCGATGGATCAATGATCCTAATGAACTAGATTGTCCTATCCACTCATCCACGCTAACATTTGCAGACCTCGGAGTCGGCCCAGGTCAAGTGTTGCCTATGAATCTCGATCCCAAGTGGGAGCGGATAGTTGCCGACTTAGGCCTTGTCAACGAATTCGCAAACCTAGTCGAACCCGCTGACTCTGCATACCGATATCTCGAAATTCAATGCCAACCTGACCTTATATATGCCGGATGGGTAGGACCGGGTATCATTATCCTGCATACACTCTTCAGGAGGGTAGGTCCGAATATATCGGAAATTGCCGGGGCCTTCTACCGAAATTACTTTGACATCGCTAGTCTACGATACATTATGCTCAGCGACGTGGTCAACTTTGAGACTTACAATTTGGTGAGAGATTATTTGTACAGCGACATTGATTTTCTCCAGTGGTCGTCATGGGAGCCAAGGACTTGGGACCCTAACACGCCTCAGTTTAATGCTATACTAGGTACTAGGATCAGTAGGCTGGCTTCTAACATCGTGTTAGGTTCTTTCCCGCGAGGTACGCGGCAGATTAGTCGTATATGTACCTGGGCTGGTCGCGTGGGAATAGATATGATGTTTGATACTGGGCCCTGGGTAGGCTGAAACGGTGAGTTCCCGATTTCTGATCTCTTTCGCTCGACTTTCTTTCGCTCGACTTTCTTTCGCTCGATATCTCTTTAGGTTACGTCATCTCAAATTCAACACTCCTTAATTCAGTATCAAGTTGCCTCTGATCCTTGTACTAGTCAGCTGAGCGTTGGCTTTGTAGAGTAGATAGTCCAGGAGCCGTTCTACTCTCTTATTCTTCTCTAGAGGACTGTCTTTGGCGCCCCACATGCTGGAGAAGAGTAGATCATCGGGCTTCTGTAACCCATGGCGCATACGAGTTAGACTACAGAACAATGAAATTCCAATCAAGGTAAACAGATTCATTCACACATTGTATATCCAACGCCAATCTACATGGAAAAGTCGTCACGTATATACCGTGTCCACGGGTATACAGGTATCACATAAAGTCACATATTAGACAAACTCTCTCACCTACTCACTGTACCACAGGGCGAAGACGGAAACTCGGCCCCTGCACAAACTCCAGCCCGGTACTGATATCACCCTTCAGAGCGAACTTGATATCCTTGGCGTAGTGTTCGCGCGGCTGCCAAGGCGCCTGGTCACCGGCCATGGGGAGAGTGCGCTGGGCAACGGCGACATAAGTCGAGTTGAGGTTGAGCAGCGGTCGTTCCTGAATGCTCGACGCCTGGCTAGACTTGAGACGGGGTGTGGCCGCAATCAGCTTGCGTGATTCCAAGTCCTTGACAAGGCGAGTAACGAATTGAGCGGTCGCGTCAGCGCCCAAAGTCCACGAGGCATTGGTATACCCGATGACGAAAGCCGCGTTCGGGAGATCCTGCAGCATGACACCGTTCCACAGGTACTTGGATCCAACCTCGATCTTGTCACCGTCCACAGACAAGGTCGAGCCACCAGCAATCTGTAACTTCAATCCCGTCGCAGTAACGATGATATCAGCGTCAAGGGTCTCGCCTGAGTTCAAGGTAATGCCCTTCTTCGTCACCGTCTTAATAGTATCGGTGCGCACATCAGCCTTGCCCTTGCGCAGGCACTCGAAGAAGTCGCCATCAGGGGACACGCACAATCGCTGGTCCCAAGGGTTGTAGAGAGGCTTGAAGTGCGGGTCGTGGGGGATGTGGGCTGGAAGCTGGCGACTGACGTTTTTCTTGAGGATCCAGCGGGAGAAATTGGGGAAACGCTGGCAGAAGAGGAAGAAGAAGCGGGATGTGAGGATCCAGATGAAGCGCTGGAGACGCTGATATACAGATGTGGGGAGGATGTAGGCTAACCAGCGGCTAGCGCTACGGTTGGGTAGTGACAGGATGTAGGTTGGACTGCGCTGGAGCATAGTGACGCGCTCGGCCTTGCCGGCCAAATTGGGGAGGAGAGTGATGGCGGTCGCTCCGCTGCCGATAATCACGATCTTCTTCTTGGAGTAATCGAGGTCCTCGGGCCAGAATTGAGGATGAATGATCTGGCCTTGGAAATTTTCCAGTCCGGGGATCTTAGCCTCCAAAGGCTGGTTGTAGTTATAATAGCCCGTGCCAAAAATCACGTAACGCGCGGTGAGGGTCTTGGGGTTTCCATCCGCCTCCACGTTCAGGGCCCAGGTATTCTCCTGGCTAGACCAGTCGGCGGACTGCAGCTTAGTGCGATAGAGAATGTGCTGGTCGATACCATACTTCTCGGCGGTGTCGCGCACATACGACTTGATGGCAGAGCCCTCCGCAATGGGGTTACTGCAATTCCATGGATTGAATGCAAAGCCGAATGTGAAGAGATCAGAGTCAGAGCGGATACCGGGGTACTTGAACAGATCCCAAGTCCCGCCTAGGTCATCGCGAGCTTCGAGGATGGCATAGCTGACACCTGGTAGCTGCTCCTGCAGGCGATAGGCGGCGTTGATGCCGGAGATGCCCGCGCCAACGACGACAACGTCGAAGCGAGTTTCGGACTGCACGTTTGCGTGGCCGTTCATGATGTGTGTATGAAGCTAGACCTGACGATGGAGCAGGGACGCCATTTACATTGATATTTTTCAAGGGGTTCACATGCCTCGGTTTCACGTACGATCGGCGGTGGATCACGCCGCAATGCGAGATCGTGATTTGCGTCCGTGGGTTTTTGGCGGGGGCGGCGACATTCTACTGCTTAAGGCATATGACGTGGGGTAGAGCATTTGAATATCCTATAATTTTGTTTTCTCCGTTCCTGGGTTATTTCGTAGTACCGAGTACCTTGGTTATGTTCATAGTGGTGGCCCCTGTAATTATATGAAGTCGGGTGAGTTCCAAGGTTAGGAACCAACGCAGGCACACAAACACCTAGGCATAGCTAAGAACAACTAGAGCATCTCCTATACTCCAAATCCCCAATACCCAGGAATGTACTCAGTATAGTACAGTAGAGTAGTTCTTCAATCACGCACTGTCCACCTGTCCACCTCGATGAACACACACCAATAATTTCTTCCCAATGTTCCAGCCGAGGACAGTCTCAGTCTCCACTGTGAAACCGCGGCTCCGACAGAAAAATGAGTTGTCCATCACTGCCTCAATAGGATAGCTCTGCGAGATCGCACGTCCGAGGTTCACAACGATAAGCCATAGTCGCCTTTATCAGGTACGCTGCGCGCGTGTTGCCTCTCTCCATGCCCGGGTGTAGCTGTCGCAATGTCGTTGTCCACAGTGAAATTGACTCTCCAGCAGAAGCTGGACTTTCTGCCAGCTATCGCATCAATTGCGCTCGCTGGCTTCTATGCTCTGCTGACGGGTCTCTGGCGCACCGAGCGCGAAGCTAAGACCCTGTTCCTGCATTTCGGCTATGCCATTTTCCGTCAGGCCACTGCGCGGTTGACCCCGTCGCAAATGCAGTACATTCTACCTTCGTCCGACAAGATCTATGAGCGGTATGCGAAAAAGAATCACATTCAAGCCCAGTCCGTAGAGTTGGGCTACGGCGCCCTCGGCCACTGGGTCGGCGACCGCAATGCGACCAACGTGCTGGTCTGGTACCACGGTAAGCATCGCCTTTCCAAACAAAGATCGGAATCTATAGCTCACTATGCAGGTGGTGGCTTCGGTCTGCCCGCCAACATGGGCTACTTCAAGTTCTACGCGCACGTCATCCGCGACCTCCAACGCGCCGGCAAGAGCATTGCCGTCTTCGGCCTTACCTACACCCTCGCTCCACACGCAACATACCCAACCCAACTGAAGCAAGCTGTCTCCGCCGTGCGGTACATCCTCTCTCAACCAAACCGCGACCCGGCCACGGTCTTCCTAGGCGGCGATTCTGCAGGCGGGAACCTGGTCGGCGGCGTCCTCTCCCATGCAGCGCATCCTCATCCCGAAATCGAGCCATTGGACCTGACCGCCAACTTCGGTGGCGCGGCCATGATCGCCCCCTGGACCCTTCTGGATACAGAGTTCCCAGAACAAGAAATCTACCATGGGGGTGATATCATCACACAGGCTGTTGCGCAGCCCTGGGCGTCTGGATACCTGGGGAATGCCACACGGGATAATTATACAGATCTGTCAAACGCTCCGATCGATTGGTATGAGAATTTCCCAGTGAACCAGGTATTGCTCACGGGCGGCGAGCACGAGATTCTGTTACCGATTATTCGGGACTTGGCGGAGAAGTTCAAGAAAGGATTCCAGAATGTGGAGTTGTTCGTTGGACGTCGCGAGTGTCATGTTGCACCGATTTATAATCTCGAATTGGGTGATAGTACAGAGACCGAGCAGGGGAAGAAGGTTAAGTCGTGGTTGACTGAGTTGGCGCTGTAAATATTCCCGAGTCCGACGAGGACATTGTTTATACTTCATGAGTAAGAAGAATCAGAATGAAATGGTTATGGCTTCACGACTCTGGACCCTGCGTAACATGGACGGGAAATGACACCGATTTTGCAATGACTTGCGTAGGAGGACTGTCGCATGACTTGGTTAGGATTGAAACACGGAAAGTGGGAGAAAGGTAGAGACGGTCAATTCAATTTGGCCCACGTTGGCTGTGTAACCTCTCACATTCTTGACCATGCATCCCGTTCAAATGTGCCAATGTGCCAACGTGCCAACGTTCCAACGTTCCAACATTCCAATGTTCCAATGTTCCAAAGTTCCAATGTTCTTTACGAAATTAATCAATCACAAGCTACGTTATCGCTCAGCTATTACGAAAAAAAGTCTGGTATCATATCGCATATATTCGGGTATAACTCAATTTAATTTACACGGAGCTTTACAAGCCCTGCTTCTGCACATCGCGCAGTCTCCGCAGCGATCCCGAGGCAATCGTGCGAATACCCTCCTGCATCCAGGTAGGCATAGCGCGCACCAAGCTAGCAGCCGTCTGGCTCTTGGGCAGGATCACCTGGCCACTGTTCTGGGTGAGGATCTGCTTGCAGATAGCGTCCGAAACGGTCTGGACGGTCATGATGGGCTGACGGAAGTGGGACTCGTGATCGGTCAGGAGCTTGATCATGGGAGTGCGAACCCACATTGGGTGGATGATGCTATTTTCGAGTCAGTGTTTATTGCACTTTCTTAGTAGAAGGGAAAGTAATTACCTGGTTCGGACGGCGGGGGCGTTGTACCAAGTTTTCAGCTCCTGGCGCAGACTCTCGTGGAAGGCCAGAGCACTAGCCTTGGAACCGCAGTAATCGGCCATTTCACCAATTCCGACAAAACTGGCCATACTGGCGATGGTCACGATGTGGCCGTGGTTGGCCTTGATCATGGCCGGAAGGAACTCCTTGACCATGAGGAAGTGCGAGATGGTGTTGACCTCGAAAGTCTGGCGGATCTTGGCTTCGGGCTCTTCGAGAATAGTACCGTCGTGACCAACACCGGCATTGTTGATGAGGACGGTAGGCTCACCGTGGTCGCTGCGGATGGCCTTTGCGACCTCGGCGATGTTGGCAGAGGAGGTGATATCGGCGCGGTAGAAGGAGACATTGGCGGGAAGCTTAAAGTTGGGCTCGTTGATGTCGAGAATGACTACGCGCACGCCCGTCTTCGCCAGGTCTTCCATGACCTGCTTGCCGATGCCGCTGCAACCACCGGTCAGGAGAATGATCTCGTGCGCGGGCTGCCAGCGCTGGTTGCTAGTCCAGTTGTTCAAAGTCCATTGCGACAGGGAGCTGTTGAGAGAGCGCAAAACACCCAAAGCCAACAGGACGGCCAGCGCCTTCTGGGTGAGCGGCTTGGCCAGAAGCGCCTGCGCAGGGCCGGGGAGCTGCGCGAGGGCAGTCTGTGAATATTGCTTAACGAGTTCAAGGGCGGACATGATGGTGAGGTTGAATTGAAGACCAAGAGCTCCCAGGTCTTTTTTAAGCCCCGACACTGGAGACCCTTGGTCACCGTCCCCCGGACCACACGCGGTGCGGAACCGAGGCTCACCAAAATTGTGGTTCCTGAACCAATGAAGTCAGGATCGACGAGCTTAACTCGAAATGGAAAGCAATGCGAACGGGTCCACTGTGTTTTCACATGTTCGTCTGCTGCACCTTTCCCCGCAGTCTGTAGCTTATTTCGGTAGTTATTCTCCGGATTTGGCTGGATTATGGGGGAGGAACCCTCCGACAGTATGGGAGTCTACAGTATACTTGTGGATGGGGTGTGATGACATCACGTCTTCACAAGACATCCTGGGGTCCCCAAGCTCGGCTACAACGGGTTGACCGTCTAGCCCACTCCTAGTCCCCTCAGTCTACTGATCTACTCATCCTGGACTAGCCTCGTAGGCAGCCATTATCCAGGCTGGGATTTATATGACGCTAACCGAGGCCGATCATCCCCAACACCTGGAAGAATTGTCTCACGCCGATCACTAGTGGGGGGCTTGAACATTAGCTGCAAAAATGGGTCATCCTGCACTTCTCTTCCAATTTCTGTCAATGTTTTGTCACTTCGACTTTGACTGTCTCTAACTGCTATCTTGATAAAAAAAACATTTATTATGGCGGTCGGTCTACCGGTCCTGTTGGCCATTTCCCTGGTGGAGGCCTACTTCCTCCAGCGCACCGTCTTCGCCGAAGAGGCATTTCGCACGGTCATTTTAGGTGCCTTGGGTGTGAACTTCGTACTCAAGGGCATCTACAGTGCGATAGTATGGCCCTTGTTCATGAATCCACTGCGCCATCTTCCCACGATCCCGGTAAGACCAACTCTTCATACAGATGATCATGATCATTCTCTAACACCTCCCACAGGGCTATATGAACCATGCCAAGATCATCTTTGATTCCCCCCGCGGTCGCTCGCCGTTGCACTGGATGAAGACCATCCCCAATGATGGGCTCATTCATATGCGGGATATGATCAGCCAGAGCTACCTGATCCCTACGAACCACCAGGCACTGTTGGATATCATGAGCACCAACACTTACGACTTTGAGAAGCCCTGGCATGCGCGCAACTTCCTCGCTCGTATTCTCGGTTTTGGTCTTATCTTGTCTGAAGGTCCTGCGCACAAGAAGCAGCGGAAGGCTCTCACGCCTGCGTTCAATATTAAGAACATCCGCGCTATGTACTCTCTGATGTGGGACAAGACGAATCAGCTCCTGGTTGAGATGGAGAAGGAGCTGAAGTTGAACCCGATGGAGGGTACCAACCCTGATGAGGGTGTCGGGAAGTTGGAGATGGGAGTTTGGGGAAGGTACATTCACCGAAGAACTCCTAAACAACAATCCGTTACTAAAAATCACCAGTCGTCTGACTCTCGATATTATCGGCCCAGCTGCGATGGGTCGAGACTTCCGTTCTCTGCAAAATCTCGATAACAGAGTCGCCGAAAGCTTCCTGAACATCCTCGAACCCACCACCGAAAAGATGGCTTTCCTAGCTATGAACTTTACTTTGCCTCAGTGGATTGCTCAGCGTGTGCCATGGCGTTTGAACCAGGTCGTGGCCAATGAGACCGGCTTCCTGCGTGACCTGTGCACCGACATCGTTGTCGAGAAGCGGAAGTTCCTAGCTGATTCCAAGGCATCTGCTCAGGACCTTGAAGCTGATATTCTCGGCACGATGATGCTGGGCGGTGATTTCTCCGACACTGAGCTAGTGGATCAGATGTTGACTTTCCTGGCTGCCGGAGTGAGACTCCTTCTAAATTACCATTGAATCAAAGCTGACCCATCCAGCACGAAACCACCGCAAGTGCCCTAACCTGGGCATGTTATCTAATGACTCTCCACCCCGAGTGCCAAGAGAGACTCCGCGCCGAGATCCGCGCAAAGATTCCAACCGCCGAGACCCAAATCACCTACAGCGATCTCGAATCCCTCCCCTTGCTAAACGGCGTCTGCCATGAAGTCCTGCGCCTTTACCCCACCGTGCCCGCCACGATCCGTGAGTCCGTGCGTGACACAACGGTGGCAGGCAAACACGTGCCCAAGGGAACGCGTCTAATTCTCTGTCCCTATGCAATCAACCGCTGCCCGCTATTCTGGGGCGACAATGGCGAGGAATTCCTTCCCGAGCGTTGGATCGACACAGACAAGAACGGAAACTTGGTTCCCAACAAGAATGGCGGTGCCTCGACTAACTTTGCGGAGATCACTTTCCTGCATGGCCAGAGATCGTGTATTGGAAAGGACTTTGCGAGAGCGGAGTTGAGGTGCGCGGTTGCGGGTGTTGTTGGACGGTTTGCTCTTGAGATGCAGGATCCTAAGCAAGAGATTCATATTGCTGGGGCGGTTACTACTAAGCCGGTTGAGGGGATGCATTTGAGGATGCGTCGGGTTGAGGGGTGGTAATTGCCTCATCCTGATTATTGATGACGCTTAATGACTTTGTTGATTGTATTATATCCCGATTGGACTGTTTACTCAAGTTAAATTGAAATTTGTTTTATGTTTGTCTCTTGCGGATCTGCCTATAGTAGACCGTGATCTTTGCTTATCTAGCTAGACTGGAATAGCAATTGATAGTGGTCTTTCTGGAGATTTGGAGGATGGAAGAAATAAGAACATCTAACAGCTGAACACTTAAGAGTTCTCAAGCCTACTCTCAAGAGTCAAGGGTGTAGCTGCACGTGGGACATGATGACAACAAATCTGGAGTCTCTGGATACTTATCTTCCCCATATGTCGCATTCAACGAAACAGACCCCACGACACCCCCGGATTCCAATCGGATCCAAGAATCAATCACCTTCTTCTTCAACTTCTCCTCCGATACAAGAACCTGTCTCGATCCACGGATCCAACTTCCATACCCCCCATACCCAGAGTGCTGTCCAAAGCAAAGATTAACACCATTGCCCTCGACGGTCATTCCCGAAATCAGACTGTCCCACTTATAGCACCAAGTATCGCCGTGATCGTGACCCGAAAACACTGCAAGAACACCAGGCGTGTTGACAAGGGCTTTCATGAACGGCACATCCTGTCCTCCGTAGGTGCAGGTGCTGGCATCGCTGCCATCAGCACACCATCCCTCACCCTGTTGCGCGAGGGTATAATCGTCATTAATACCGGGTTCACGATACGCGTTGATCCCAATCTCCGTCTGCGCAGCCAGCGACGCATTCGTAGGAATATGCACGAAAACGAGAGACGGGATGTTCTTGTGATATTTCTTGACGAGCTCTTCATTTGTCTTCTTGAACCAGTCAACCACACCAACATCGACCCAGTTCGGCTGCGCAATCACATTTCCAGCAGTATCCAGTTCCTGGTAGTAATAACCACCTCTGCTATCAAAGAACCAGAGGAGCAGTTCCGGTGCACCAGTGGAACTCTCATCATCGGACCCATGTACGGGGAGATAGTAATTCGAAACACCAGCTTCACGACCAAAGACCATCTGCTCGGTCCTTGAATTGGGCCAGCGGTGTTCGCGAGCTAGAATCGCCTCGCGCGAGAGATTATAAGCACTGTCATGGTTGCCATAGGTAGACGCCCACGTCAAACTACGATCAACGAGCGGAGCGACGATCTTATCAATGTAAACAGTGCTGTTTTCCAGGAATGCGTTGTCGCCGGTAATCAGATCGCCGTTGAGAACGACTAGATCGGGCGATTCGGCGTTAAGCACTCGGTTGATTACAGCCACCGAGTTGACGTCTTGTTCGGGGCCCCACGTATCCCAGGCATCTGTTTAACTGAGTGTGAGTACCAGATACTGTAGGTCCTCGGGTGTTGTGGGGATGGGATACTTACTTTCTCCGAAGTGGAGATCTTCTAGAATTGAGATCTGGAAAGTACCGTCTTTGGCAAACTGGAGGGGTGCGAATTTCGTCGGGACTGCGCTCTGGATAGAAGGCAGAGCGAAGAAGAATATGGCTGTTAGAGCACGCAACATTGTGTTGTTTACTTTCGGTCGGAAATATGTTCGCCTGGGGAAAATACGGAGAATGTCATTGTTTATGTTGCCCATTTACTTTTATGCTAGGAATCGTAATCTTTAGCTACCGTGTCGGCAAATTCGGGTAGCTCCCGAATACCTTGAACAAATGAGGTATAATTTCCCACGTGCTGGGTGTGGTATGATTCTATGGGTCAGGGGTTTGGAGACAGACAGGAACTAAGTGGGGTAGAGCCCATGGGCTTTTGGCACGGCATTCTATTCTAGAACTCCATTGGTCTCTCCTTGGCACTTAACGTGCAATGTCATGTTGCCGAGCACTAGCTCGATGTCAAGCACCATGCCTTGAGAAAACTCGGAACCCTAGCTTCTTCTCGGACTGAGATACATATACTTCAAGGTAAAATGCAAGGCAGAGTAATCCCGCGCATTAATGATTATACATGTGCAATACTGTCCAGCCTGGAGAAAATACAATTGTCATCAAACTTTTAACGCATATTCAGAGGCTGCCAACAACTGTTCAGGTGAGTTTTTCAATTCGGCACGGCACGATACATGGGGGGGGAGGTTCGTTTTCCCGTCCGGTATCCATTGTCGGCCAATGGTTCTTCCATCACCACTCCTATCGGGCTCCGTTTGCGCTGTTGTTGAACTCAACTTCTGTGGATAATAATCTACCAGTGTTGGCCGAGCTATTCGACCTCCAATAATGCCGGCAATACTTTGTTCTGTTACTAACAGACTGTCCATGTTGTAAGTCTAGTAAACCACAACGTCCTGTCGGAGCCGCCAATTGAGTTCCTATTCAACACAATATAGACAACTAGACGAGCAACAACTTTGGATGGACGAAAAAACATTTGACTTAGCTGGTTGTTTTATGTCACGCAGGATCTCTCCTCGCTGTAATTGAATCTTGCCGCGCGATCACTTGCGTGCCATGATTTTGCAAATGCTCTCATTCAAGTATTGAGCTAACCTTTAAAGCAATAGGTGGAACCACAAGATTGAAGAAAATAACGTTGGTATTCTATCATTCAGAATAAACTATCCGATTGTAGGGTCGGTGACATAGAGCCTTTCGCGTACATGATACAGGTGTCCAGCATCCCTGCCCTAGGTCGCATGATTTATGGTTGTCATCTCAATCAATTCAGAATACTAGTCTGTGTCACCTGCGTCGCAGTAAACAGCTTGGCCAGTTCAGCTCTCTTCTCATCTCCATCAGGAAGCTGCTTGATTGCCTCGAGCTTCTTCGCAAATTCCTGTTTCTCGTCTTCGTCGTCTTCATCGTCCTCGTCGTCCTCTCCGATAGTAAGACCACTTTGGACCGCGAAGTCCTCTTCAACCTGGGGGTTTTCTTCAAGTCGCTTCTGCTCTTCCTCTCGAGCCTTACGTTCGGCCTCTTTGTCGATCTTCTCTTCTCCGATCGCCTTTCCATTTCCGTCGAATATGGTTCTGAAGTACTCCATTCCAATTTGATTGCCCTCGTCGTCGAGGACCATCTTGGCATACTCGTTGGAATCCGCAGTTCTGGTTTCGGTTTCCTTGAGTGGCTGGATTCATTTCTGGGTCAGTTCATGTCGGGTAAATCATTTGGGAAGCACTTACACCTCCTTTGAACAACTTGGTAAAAGTGGCAAGTCTGTAGCCGGTTCCACCGTACGCGACAACAAGGGACTCATCGGTCTGGAGAGAAAGTCAGAACCGAAACACAGACAGAAACACAGACACAGGATGCAGATACTAACCTCGGATGCTGTATATGTCGTCCAGCCTTCACTGTTGCTCTTCGCCGATGACGATGCATTGGCACCACCCTTTGCAATACCGGTAGCTCCAATATTCAACCCCCCGCTAGTATCCCGATGATGGGCACTTTCCATATTTATTCTGCACTCGTCGGTAGACCAGGTCTTCGAAATAGCCCAGAGTCCATATTCAGCGATTTCCTTTCTAAACGGACCTTTCACAAGAGCCTTGGCATTGGCCTTGATCCAATCTTCAATTGGACCTCTAGGCATACGCCGGAATTTCTCCTCCACTATAAGATTTTTGGTGATAAGCGCCGCCTTTCCGGTCTTGCCCCATTTGTTCTTCGCCTCGGCCGACGCGTCAATGGGGCCACCAGCCAGGGCACCAGAGACGCCTCCTTCAAGTCCGAAGCTATGTTCAGCCTCACTACCCGAAGCCCGAGAATCCCATGTTGATGACGAGGAAGGCGCCCTGGACAGGGGGTATGTAAAAGGCCCGTATCCACTTTCTTCTGGACAACCAGGCTTTGAAAGATCAGTGATTTGGATGAAGGTTCCGTTTATGTCGAAACTTCCAATCGCGCCGGGGTGACACTCGCTAAACGGTTGGGGTCGAAATAGATAGTACCCCGGGCCATTAGGGTTCATAAGCGCGGCATATTCTTCGTAGACGGTGGGCGCCATTGTGATGTGGTTTGATGAACAGTTGAATATGTTAATAAAGTGTTATTTTTGTTTCTCCTAGAGGGGCAGTATCTCAATTATAAGGGGACTCTGATGTGGTTGTGGGTGGGGTCAAACATGGTGGAAGTGACGACACTTGGGGATTGATTTCTCCTTTTTCGAGTATAGCTTCATGTATGACTTCATGATGGCCCTGAGATATCCTGTTAGCCGATGCCACGGCAGATAGGACCCACTGTATGAAGGTCGATCGTCAGCCCCTCAAGTTCATCGTGCTATTGATGAACGCTGTGGGTCCAGATCACAACGTGGCCTTGAGATCGACCAATATGAAAGGTAAGAGCTTACCAGAGCTACCAATGCGAACTTTCACGTGTGCAGATGCAACGCTAGCTATGTGTGGGGTGGCGTGCCGTATGTATACGCCCATATGCAGGCCATTTTTGCCTCCAGCTGAGGGGTGTTTTTCTTCTGACACGACGATCGGTGGAGGAAAGGTGGATCTAGTTCAGCCGAGGTGGGTCTAGTTCAGCCCGAGGTGGCTTCCATGACATAGATCAACTCCACATGTTGGTCCAAGAGGCTGGTCATTCATGCACTGCGAGCCGAAATAGACTACCGGACGTGTTGGTTATGATGAGTCGGCTTCCTTAAGGTTCTGTGGTTTGCCCGTCTGCGGATCCTAGAAGATGGCCCGAGCACGCGGCGCTAAACACCCTTTACCAGAGACTAATTAGCTTTAGCTTTGACAGGCAAGTTACGCTTATGTTATAAAAAGGAGCGCGCCATCGATCAAGCCGATAGGTCGATCGTAGAGTGTATATAGGTAGCGAAGCATAGCAAGGTACTCAGTGCTCCGTGCGACCTTATAAATGGGGCAGCTAAGATAAGACCCACTCAATACCTGTAAATAAAACCAGCTACTAGTTACGAGGGTACGGAAAGCCATGATTAAATTAAAGACTTGATCAAACATTCATATCTAACTATCATTATCAACGTGAAAATTATACATTCTTACTCACTTGCGCCAGTTCGAGCCGCGCCACTGCAAGAAAATGGTGGGGATAACACTGACGCTCACCATCAATGCCACAGCGATACCTGCACCGCCGCCCCAGCCAACGTTCTCGAACATCTGGGGGAACCAGAAGGGACCGATGAATCCCCAGGTCTGACGAACGAAAGTAATAAACACACCCACACTAGCCGCATCTGCGCGGTAGCAGTCGACGGCATAAGTGATGTTGATAGTAGTAACAATTTGGTTACCAGCAGCAGCGATGCCCGCACCGATGATCGGGGTAATGTTCCAGGTGTCACCCGAGTTGCCCAGTTGCACGGCAAATACCACGATACCGCAGATAGTCAAGGCGTGGCCGATATAGCTCAACCACAGACGATACTCTGGGGGCGGGGGTTCGCCAGCGCGCTTCTGGCGGAGAAGCATCCACCGATCGGAGATCAATCCGCCGATCTGCTCGCCGATGACGGATCCAATGATGAGACCCAGGAATTGAAGACCGACCTGCTGGCTGTTGAGGCCGAATTTCTCCGGGTAGATCTGGGGAATTTCGATAGTGAGGCAAATGCTACCAAAGAGGAAGATCATAGCGTAGGCGCAGGCTGGGATAACCACGCAGGGCTTAGCGAAGTAGCTCAGAGGTTGAATAAAGTCCCAAAAGCGCAAGGGGGTAGGGTCAATGCGACGGAACTTGTAAATGCTCTCCTTGACGCTGGTGACCTGGCGGGGCGCGTTATCGGTGCGAAGGTACAACGACTCGGAGCCGAAAAAGAAGTATACGATGAACTGGATACCGTTGGTGATGGCCAGGATCCAGTAGATCCAGCGGTATCCAACGCGCAAGACAACAAAGCCGAAGATGAACGGCGCAATAGGGACACCAATGGTAACCATCAGAGTCCAGTATCCCATGCAGCGAGCGCGATCTTTCTTGAAGAAAGTTTCCGCGACAACGGCGCTACCAATGGCAGCAGCGGGACTGATGAAGAAAGCCGTGATAGCTCGGCACAGACCCATTGTTGCGTACGAGTGACTCTCCGCGCAGCCCACGTTGCCGATCAGGGCGCAGATGAGAGAGATTAGGAAAATAGGTCGGCGCCCGAAGCGGTTGCATAGTGGGCGCCAGAAGAGAGGAGCACCACCGAGGACGGCGATAAACAGGGAGACCAAGTAACTAGTGCGCTGCAAGCTCACACCTAGATCGGCAGAGATTTCGACAAAGGCCGACTGGATGGAGGCGGCGGTGAAAAGACCGATCATGGCGTGGAACACGACGAGGAAGAGATTGACTGATTTCTACCACATAGATTAGGATGAGGCACCATTTTCCCCGCAACGATCACTCACTCTCCATGTTGGCCAATTATAAGGGTCAGCATCATTCATATCTGGGATAGGATCCAGATCAAGGGTGCCATGGCGCGCGAGGAGATACTGGCGATGCTCCTCGGACAGATTAGCGACCCGATCCTCGACATAGAAGGCCTCGTGTTTGCCGGCCTCGACGGCGGAGGGGGTAGCGGAGGACCCCTCAACGTGAAGAGAATTGCTATTAACTTTCTCCATGGCGATGAAAAGGGAGGGAAAGGGAACGGAAACACGAGCCGGCGCGGCGGAAGAAAAAAAATGAGCCCATGCGGCCGCTACTTATAGGCCCCTGCGCGCGTTGCAATCAGAGTCTCGATCCCGAATCCCGTGAGCAACCCCAGACTCTCAATAGTTCCAAATCTGGGGGTCGGGGGGGTCTGGGGGCGGGGGCAAAATAGAGCAGCTCCACCCCGGACCTAACCAAAGAATAAATTGCTGAGCGATTCATTACTGGCGGAACTGATAGTTCTGGGCTGCGATGGACTTTGGTTAGACGTGATGATTGGCGGTAGTAGGAAACGGCGGATATGAATTCTCCCATTGTGGGGGAGTTGTGGACGATTTCGTGGAGAAAGGCAACTTTGACAATTCCTGATCCCCCAATCATTATCTACTTAGGGGTTTCATGGCTGAGATGGATGACTATAACACTAATCATCCAAAAACCTAGCTTTATTCTTTATACGGAATCCGGATCCTAGCTATATCTTCCTTTACACCGAAGGTTGCTAACACTGGCTGCGGCAATGCTTATTCCCGCTTGGCGTTTGTGGCTTGCTGGGCTTGCCACGTACCTACACAGTCGGTACAAAGATACGCAAAGATACTCAAAGAGATCGGGATCTTTGTCTAGACTGGACCAAGACTCCGCTGGGCCGTGTGGGGACAGCTAGACCTTAGTCTGTATCTCCGAGTACAGGAAGAGCTAACCTTTAGGGGTGGACTCGCTTCGGATTTCTCACACCACTATTGTGGAGATGGTCATATGGTTCATTTTATGATCTGGGGTTAACTGGAGTAGCTGAAGTAGCTGGAGTGGCGCAGGACACATTTACTGCCATATTCGAAAACAAATTCCCCCACATACACTCGCAGATTGTTTCCCGAACCCTATCCTAAAACACGCTGGTCCGAATATAGTGACTTCTCCTAAACCCACCCCCCCCCCCCGCCAAGCTGTATCGTCTCGCTTGAACAGTAATGAATGACTGGTTGTTGTGATGAAGTAAGACTCTGTGGAGCGCCGTAGAATCTGCTCTACAAACAGCCCGAAAAGAAAAGGTCTGGCAATATGACAAGATCGCTGACGAATTAAAACCAATGCCCTGTCGTTTTGGATGAGGGAGACGGTAGAGGGGATACCTCCTGGCCAGTGTCTTCCATCCAAGATGAATCCATGATAATGTGGTTTTGATACGAGAGATAGAACGTTGGAAGGAAAGAAAGGAACAACTCGCGGCGGGAGATAGTGAACTCGGACGCATATCTTATTTTCTCCTAATCAAATTTCACTGCCAAACACACCGCTCTGCATCGTATCGGTATATTTAACTTTACCGACGGTGCATACACTGTAAATACTAGGGATTTTGAGCTAAGACTTTTGATTCACATAGCCAGAATACCTATGTGTTATCCATGATTCATGCAATAAAAGTCGCATTTTAGGGTAGGATGATTGATTGAAAGTTATGTGATGATTCCGACTACTGTACGGCCGTAGAGGTGGGAGAGCTATTCACTGTATCAGGTGCCAAGGTCCACGAGTGAAGTTTATTTAAATTAGGGACTGGGATGCAATCTGCGAGTGTACGAGTGGGAATTTGTTTTCAACTGTGGCAGTATTTTCAGACCGTATTTTCAGACTTTTATCTACTCTTTAAAAGTCTAGCCCCGGTTCCACACTCAGCTCGAGCTAGAGCTCGATTGGCAGCTCACCCCGATATCCCCATGAATCCCATCACAGATAATCTCGGCCGGGCTTCCCGCCGGGCTAGTAATGTTAATTTGTGATAGGTGAACATCTGAGCACACTGCGTTAGGCGAGCAAGTCAGATCTACCACCACTTTGCCCTCCGCTCCAGACGAAGTGCCGTAAATATTGTCAAACACAATATTCGTCACGTTAACTTGGGAGGGGTATAGAGCGCACTCGGTCGCATTCACATCGAAGTAGCACTGGTCCAGCACAACCGGGTTGTCGGTATTCTCGATACGAATATTGCGATAGGTGATGTTGTTGATACGCCCGTACCCGACGTCTTGGCCTGCCCACGCCTTCAGGCGGGCTCCGTTCTGCCCTTGTCAACTTGTATCCTAATGTCAAAATGTCAAAGACTTCGGCTGATCTTACTTGTCCATTCAGAAGTGTCACATTCTCGATGTACGCATTCTCGATAATGTCTTTGACGCCAGAGTACTGTCCGATGCTGCCCATGCTCACTCCGTGGGTGTTGTTACACCACAGGTTCTGTACAAAGATGTTGGTCGTGTTGGGCTTCGGTGAAAAACAGTCGTCACCGATGTCCACCCGAGTGTTGGTCACGGTGAGACCGTTTACGTTCAGCGAATCGAACCCGTCGGTGTTCTTTGGCAGGGCCTGTCCAAGTTTAGGTCAGCTCATCGCCACACCATCATAGTTATCACATACAGATGCGTTGGTAGAGTAGGCGTTGATAAACACATTGTCAAAGGAGATGTCGTTGGTGCGCACAAAGAAGTTAGTCCAGCAGGGCGAGTTCAGCTGCGTGATGCCTTCGACGCTGACCCGTGTCGCATTATCCGTGAGGAACAAGATGGGCCGGTAGAATGTGTTGTCAGGGTCCTATTCTCATGAGCATAATCCCCCAGCTTGATGAGACGGCATACCAGGATTTCCTGTCCGGCAAAATCATTATACCACTGCTGACCATTCCCATTGAGGGTGCCCTTTCCAAAGATCTTGATATCCTGACCACCCCATACCCAGAACGTGATCGACTTCTGGAAATCGTAATAAAAGTGGTTCGCTTGCCAATACTTCACATCATCGGTGAACTACACGTAACACTGCTCAGTACATACATCCTTCCCAGAGCTATGCTTCATACCTTGATTTCACCTTCCAACTGCACCTCAATGTTGTGCAAGAAGCTCAAGTCGAGCTTTTTACCGATAACATAAGTCTGTCCTTTTTGCAGCAACAGTCTTCCACCATGGTTGGCCTGTTTGATGCCCCAGAGGAAGTCCGTAGACACATCATCGGCGTCATTCTTCGATGGACGGATAGTCACGGTCCGCCGATCAGGGTACTTCTGGTGGTGAGCTCCTATTCTTTGCAAAGCGGATGTATCCTTTGCTGGAATGATTCGTGCTCCTTGGATGATATGGTCTGCTGCCAGGCCACTCACCGTGCCAATAAGAAGCGCGCCGATGGTAAGGAATTTCATTTTCAAGGATTCAGAAGCCAGCTGCCTCAAACAGGCTGATGAAATCCTAGTATTTGCTGTCTTCCCGACAACCAAAAGGGCTGTCTAGGCTTCTAATTACATTTTATACCATCCCCGCTGTCTGCGCCAATGCTAGCAGTATTGGCACACGGGAACGAGATGCCCATTTCTCCGCCTGTAGGAAAGCGCAATTGTACATTTGTAAGGGAAACGATCTACAGGCACTTCCCAGCGAGGGAATCTCGATCGCATCGCACAATACTCCGTGTTTTCTCCGCATTTTGCCAAGTGCCGAGCGCGGGGATGCGGAGAGCAGTAATATAGCTAAGCTCGTAATCTGCAGGTGGACTTCTATGGTCGGGGAAGGTTCTACCGTCTTGTGGTTGATGATTTGTGCGCGTTGAATAGGGGTTCTTCCACCAATCAAACCTGCATATAAACTACAAATCTACTTAATGTTCCGAAGATTACCCATATTCAATGATTCAAGTTGACTCGCACGCGAACTATATAGAGGTTGCCTTATTCACAATTGCGTAAATTATCCAGTCCACATGTGCAACAATGGTAGCCTTTACAGCTTCTTGCCAGCCAACACCAGACCAGTGATGCAGCTAATGTTACCAGACCACCAGGTCACAGAGCGAAGGTAGCTAAGACTACGAGACTCAATGTGCGAGTAACACAAGCTGTAAGCGACCCGAGACAGGGTGTACCACACACCGATGGTGTTGATAGTCTCATGGGGAACACCAGCGACCACAGACAGCAGCACTGATTCTATTAGCATGCGACCGTACCAATTGATGATAGATACTCACTAGCCGCGACAAACAGAGGATACCCCTCGACAGCATTGGCGTGCGCTGCCTCTTGACGCTTCAGCTTGTTCAGAGCACGCTGGCTAATTTTGCCCGCCTTGACAGCCGCCTCGCCGTACTTGGACAGATCCTCGCGAGGCGCAACGTTGTTGTCGAGACCGTAGCGCATTTTGGTGCCGCGAGTGCTCATTAGAGCGTACGCGAAAACCCAGTTGGCCACCAGGAAGCCGGCAGCAAAGTTAGGGGCCTGCTCGCCCGGGGCGGCGCGGAGGCCAATTGAGTTTAGGATTGAACTGCAAATGTTAGCGGATTCTTACCGCAGAGAAATGGGCACTCACGACATGGTTGAGGAATGAAATTTACAGGGGTGTTGGGGTTTGCGGCTAGGGAGCTCCTTTATAACCGGATCGTCGCATGTGGGTTCGCGCGGCCGAGGTGGATGAAGTCATTGTTGCCGATCTCCGGCCTCTGTGCTCCTGGGCATGATGATCCCTATTGTTGGGAGATCTTTTCCGGTCAATCTTTTGTAAAAAAAAATCGTTTTCTCGACCCTTGAAATTTCAATATTGCGAGGTTAGAGAAGGGGTGCTTCTAGGTGATATATACGAGCCGAAGGCTATGGCGGAGGCGTCTAAATATGTATCGCGCTTCAAATTTCGTGATACCGAGGTTCTTCCAATGACTAAAGGTTCCAACTTTGGGCCATCAGGTTTTCACTTTATACTTTGACTTCATACTTTGCGACTTCACCCATATTAGGACAGGTGTTCCCGTGGATGCTAGCGCACAGGATGGAAGCTTGAATCGTGACTTAACGTTACCAATCCTTAGCATTTGCATATTCCAAACTACCAATATAAATATATACACGCCCGAGAGTTCGTTTAAACCATTTCCCTCGCTTGACATTCAACTTGGTGTGAGGATCCCTTGGTCGACGATCCCGCCGGTGACCCTGGATAGTGTTGCCTACTTAGTCGTGACATGATAATATCGGGCTCCTCGTGTCGGTGGTTTGAAAGGGAAGTCTCGGACCCATCGGAGATGCAAGAAAATCGGTTATTAAGCACCATTGAATGTCCCCTTCGGTTAACGACACTGTTGTTGGGAACTGGCTCATTTTCGGAGAGAAGCTGAACTTCAACTGGGTGGTCTTGAATGACGGGTACTCTTAGTAACTTGTATATGCAGTTCAATGCTGGTATTGAGAGGCCGTGGACTATGATCGAGAAGCATACGAGCCAATATACGACTTTTCAAGTTAGCTGTGCTCAGATTTCAGGGCTGCTAGTCGAGAGATTCCTTACCAGGTATCATCGCTGCCGTGAGATGGTTGATTTCCGCATCATCTTGACTCTGTCCTGGGTCTGGAAGTAATCGTCGGGCGTATTCAACATAAGCAATTGCGCCCACGCCTGCTCAGTTAGCAATAGTCTTTTGACTCGAGCACAGGTGCACCTACCGATTGGTCCAAAATAGCCCATAAACAAAGCTTCTTTCCAGTCGCTGCAGACCTTTGGCATGAATCGATATCCCAGCATAATTGCGGGGATACGACGAAACAGTAATATCAAGAAACCCAAAATGACCAGTCGAGAAATAGTGATCCCAGTATCCGTTGGCAGATGAAGCTCGTCCCAGGGCATACTTGCGCCAACAAAGATGAATGTGCCGTAGTTCAACACGGTTTCTATGGTCGCATTGAACGAGTCATGTCGGGCCTCGGCCTCGGAATGGTACAGTCCATCCCAGTTCAATGCACATCCAGCAATAAAGCATGCCAGTGTCTCGTCCGACCCAAAACAGCCGCAAGTGCCCACGACAAATAGCTAAGGAGGTTAGTATAATCTCACGATCAAAAGACCAGGTCACATACCCCAATGGCAATCGGACACAGGAAAAAGCTCTCCTTGTCAATCCATCTCCTGTATCGCTGTTATTCACATTGCCAACTCCGAGTTGACTTGTATTTCTTACCTCTTTGAAGCCACGTTTAAGCTCTTCCGACTTACAAATCCCACGAACAACCCGTATCCAGCCCCCATGATGATCATGTATAACACTCCTTCAACTGCCCAATGTGCCAAGGCACGACCGGCGTTTCCTCCGAATCGGCCAGTGTCCATCGCTCCAATCCAGTCCCGCTTGTTCAGGCTATGCTGGGGCGCGTCTGCGTATCGCAAAATTGCTATGGAAAGCAATAAGAACGGAAATCCAAACCCATCATTTCCTCCCGCCTCGGCAGATATAAATTCTCGCAGGTGTCTTCGTACATACTTGTCAGCAAAGGGGCCCTTTGCGATGGATTGTGAAAGAACGGGGTCGATGCAGATGACACAGGATCCGATGATCAAGGCTGTCAGCTATTAAAATATCAGCGATCGCACATTTCAGCATCAAGAGAGACGCACGAAAGATAGGTGAGGAATCATCAGTAAGATACAGGATGACGTCGCCAGCCACTGTATTGTCATGAGAGGAAGCAGACAGATAGTCAGCTCGACCAGGCGTCGTCGCAGGTATTGTTTCGGTAACTCATAGCCCACTTTCACCATTTGGATTCCAATTACCAATCGTGTCAATGCCTAATTGTGTCAGATAGGTCCCCACAGGTTGAATGGCTATCACTCACGTAGGCAATATCCCCGTCTTCATCGTTGTTACTCCATCTGCTCGGATTGATCAAGTTCGTGCAGAATGGTCCTAGTATAGCGCCGATCACAAATGATGGCACTGAAAGGTCAGGAGTGAGCCAGCAGGAAGGAGAGGAATACAACTTACATGCTTCACCAAGGTACCATTTCTGCTTGACCTTGAGCGAAAGGAAGCCAAAGACCAGTAGGAATATGCCTGTCGGAGGTTAGATCCATTGACGGACAGACTGGGTTGATGGGGTCTTGCCTGAGAATGTAAGAACCACATTGAAGTTGCTGATATCGAGGATAGGATGAAGCATGGTATTTTCGCTAAAGGCGAGGTGAAATAATTACGAGGGATGAAGCATGGGGTCGCGGCAATTCATGGACCGATCTCTAGCAGTTTGTCAAGAGTAGTCTGTCCGGAAAGCATGGAGAGGATAGATAGTTGAGTTTCCGACATCAGCAGATGTAACTTGACAGAGTCGAGGTGCCGAATGAGTCTCCAGATGCCAGAATGATGTTAGTTTGCTGGAAAGAATGCGCCCTTTGTCAGGCTGTCACCAGAGCATGAGCGATCGCGATAAGAAGCCACGGACTTGGCAGGCTTGGCTGCATTGACCGATGAGCTCAGGGGTTTGATAGATCACCGGGGACAAGATGTGATCTTCCAATGCAGAAAACTGATCATCATGATCATCATGATCATTCTGGTTGTGCTTGTTGGTTTTGAAGGCGGTGTTCTCCAGGGGCGAGATCAACGAGGTCGACTACGCGTACAAGGGCGACACAACAGAAAACATCCTGAAATGTGAATTAAATTGACTCTTCAACTAAGACGCTGGGCCTATCAACAGCCAATCGGATCACCAATGTTGAGTACTGTAGGGCTCTCGCGCATAACCAAAAATCGCTAGAAGCAGGCCTGAAATAGAAACAAGCAGGCCGGCATGCAACAAAGTGCCTTCGAGACCAGCCCCCAGCCCTAGATTTCCACGATCGACAGGCCAACGAAGGGACAATGGGTTTCCCATGCTTCCTTGCGCAACTGGCTAAGCTCACCTATCACAGCGCGTATATGCAATGGCTCATACCTGGCCTCCCGCCATATGCACGGATCGACATTGCAGTCGCCCATCGACCACTATCGGCCCTATCAGCAATTCAGGGGTCAGAATGCACCAAACAAGGGGTCAAGACGTGGCGTCATTTCAATGTTTCGAAATCGCCATTGCCGGCAGCTAGGGCGGCCCGAGCTGTGCCAATACGTTCTAGAAAGCTTGGCTTCATGGAAAAGAGTATAAGCTTCGGTTGACCATAGCGAGAAGAATGAAGGCGAATGTAGACATTGAAACGATCATATATAGTTGAGAACTAATCAACAGTCAATCAGCCCCTTTGGCGGTTCCGAACACGACTTATTCGGATTTCGGCCTAGCCAAAATCCCTCATACTCATCACATTACTCCTTGTATGAGTGATTTTTTTGCAACACCGAGGCAGGGGATTGCGTAGTAGACGACCACCATAAAAAGGAATCAACTGCTCTGTCTTCGTTTCTTCATTCTTTCAGTTCCTCATCTTGTGATTATCGCATCTCATAGAATAACATGTCGCCCATGAGCCTTTTCTCCGAGAGACTCTCTGAGTCCGACCGAAGTTGTAGCAACATTTACGGTTCTCGATTTGCTTCAGAACATATGCCGTGCAACAGTTTCCCAGAGGACGAGATGCCGAAAGAAGTCGCCTATCGAATGATCAAGGATGATCTGGTTCTTGATGGTAACCCGATGTTGAAGTGAGCGAGCATCATGCCATTTCATGGAACCAGTAACGCTAACAACTGCTCAGTCTCGCTAGCTTTGTCACTACCTACATGGTTCGCTTTTCACGATGCAATCCTTTGATTATGATTAACTCATAACCTAAATAATAGGAAGACGAAGCCGAAAAGCTCATCGCCGAATCCGCAAACAAGAACGTCATCGACCATGAGGAATACCCCAAGTCGGTCGAAATCGAACAGCGCTGTCTCAACATTCTGGCCGACCTATTCCACACTCCTCAAATTAATGGGAAAGCTACCGCTGTCGGCACAGCCTGCATTGGATCATCTGAAGCCATCATGCTGGGCGTTCTCGCCATGAAGAAACGCTGGCAAAACGAACGAAAGGCGCAAGGTAAAGACGCCTCTCGTCCTAACATCATCATGAGCACTGGTGTCCAGGTCTGCTGGGAGAAAGCAGCGAGATATTTTGACATTGAAGAGAAGCTGGTCCCCTGTACGGAAACCCGATTCGTGATCGATCCAGTTGAGGCTGTGAACCTGGTCGATGAGAACACGATAGGCATTGCTGCTATTCTTGGAACAACGTACACTGGGCAGTATGAGGATGTCAAGTTGATCAATGATCTTCTGATTGAAAAGGGCCTTGACACTCCCATTCATGTTGATGCTGCTAGTGGTGGATTCGTCGCTCCCTTCGTCAACCCCGATTTGACATGGGACTTTCAGCTGCAAAATGTTGTCTCGATCAACGTTTCCGGCCATAAGTATGGCCTGGTAAGTATCCCATGAGCATATAACAGCCATTCGTTACTAACCACTCCTGCAGGTCTACCCCGGCATCGGCTGGGCCCTGTGGCGATCCATCGACTACCTGCCAAGAGAACTCATCTTCAACATCAACTACCTCGGCGCAGACCAGTTGAACTTTACCCTGAACTTCTCCAAGCCTGCATCCCACATCATCGCACAGTACTACCAGATGATCCGCCTAGGACGTCGAGGCTACACCGACATCATGATGAATCTAACCCACACAGCCGACTACCTTGCCGACCAGCTCAAGAATCAGGGATTCATCATTATGAGCGACGGCAGCGGTGATGGACTTCCAGTCGTCGCCTTCCGCCTGGGCTCGGCTCAGCACATCGTTTTCGACGAGTTTGCACTCTCCCACAAACTCCGCGAACGTGGTTGGATTGTTCCGGCGTACACAATGGCTGCAGACTGTGAGAAGATGAGCATGATGCGCGTCGTGGTGCGCGAAGAGTTCAGTCAAAGTCGTTGTGATTGTCTGGTCAATGATATCCAGTTTGCTCTCCAGGCGCTGGCCGAGCAGGAAATTCTGAACATTCAGCGCTATCACAAGTAAGTCTCTGTTGCAATAGCTGAAAAGTACTTGAATCTTGCTAACTCACCAAAGATTGATGCAAAGTCAGCTTGCTCTTCCGAAAACACTCTGCGCCGAACATTCGTGTCTTCCCGTCCTTCAGGCCCCCGAAAAGACCGCTGAGATCACTGTCAACACTCGTGAATTCATTGAGGCATAGTTATAGATATACTAGTATAGACCATAGACTAGATTGTTTCTTGTAATGTGAATTGTGAAAACAAAAACTCCATTTCAGGGTATAGTTGAGATTATTATTAAACACCTTTCGACCATTCAAAACGAACCCACCTCGCGCTTATGGGATGGATGGAAGGTTTCCAAAGAGATTATTGTCCCATAATTCCGTGTTGGCGGTATCCAGGCCGTCGAACCAGCCACCCAAATCCATAGACTGTAACCGTTAGCGTGAGTTCATATCAAAAAGGAAAATGGAATGGAGAAGCTTACTGTTAAATCACCAAAGTCCGTTGACAAAAGGGAAGGAAGATCAAGGTCAAGAGAAGATGCAGAAACTGGGGTTGTTCCGTCAGGAACCACAGGGGTCTTGAACAGATCAGCGGGATCCCATGGGCTCGGATAAGAGTCACATACCTGTGCGGGCTGGTTCTCTGCAAAAACGAGCGCATCGGAATACGAAAGACCATTCAATCTGCCTTTACAGGCCCGAACAGCCTTCTTGGACGAAGCCTCAACCTGACACAGGGGATCGTCTCCCTTAATGCGGGACTTGACCGAGGCGAGCATAATACTCAAGAAGAAGTAAGGCTTGGATCCAGTGCCAGTGGCCCGGATTCGCCGACCGAAGTCGTGAAGGGTACGTTCGACTCCATCTAGCATCACGGTCTGTTGAGACTGGACCATACTCATCAATACGCTAGAGTTCATTCCTTCCATTGCTGAGCCTGGGTGGCTCATTTCCTGTGCTTGAAGGGATAGTTCCACGCAGACAGTGCTGGCTGCATGGAAGATTTCGTCGCGGAACATGCCACTTCCTAGTTGTGTGATGTGCGGATACCGAATTAGATCTGGAGTCAATGGAAGCTCCATAAGGGATAGAATCTCAAGAGATCCCTCGAGACAGATCTTTCGGGAATAAGAGCATTTTGGTAGTCGTACAACGCTAAGCGAGAAGGGTCGATGGAGCGCAAGGAGGAACTTGCGCATGATGAACATGTGAACGGATTGGGCGAATTGATGACGTGTAGCATCGGAGGGATTGATGCTTGATGCGTTGTCTTCGAACAGCGATTGAGCATGCTTCACAAAGCGGAGCATTTCCTCACCCATTCGCAGGGCGTCGTCGTATGAGATATCAAATTTCAATTTGTTGATCTTCTTTGCGATGCGATATCGCAGTGGTAATGACTTTGAGAGGAGGGTTTGATAGAAGTTCCGAGTGTATGTCGCCGTGCTGAGAGGAGCTGGGTTATTCTCCAGACTCTCGACCAAATCGTTATCGTCCCAATTGGAAGGTGCATCACAGTCACATTCATCAAGATCAACTGACGGAGTGACACCCCGATCTAGAGAGATCTTCAAATCCAGCTCTACGATTGTCGCCCAGACTCGACGGCGCATCTCATACCAGAATGGGCGGGCTCCCTTGCGGAAGCGGGTTGGGTCGCGGTGTAAGCCCATTGTCATTGCAGAACGGATGAGCGAGCCGGAGGATGCCCAGGCTACATCTCCATCATTGGCAACCCCGAGACGGGCCACCAGCAAGAGCGTCTGTGTCTGTATCATCCGGAGATTAATTTCCGGGCTCACAAACGAACAGGAGACATAGGATTGAACGCCTATGATCCATTTCATGGCTGGCGTTTGATAGAATTCACGAGCTTCGGCCTCCATGGACATGTGGAAACAACTTCCCGCTGCCAAGACTGCCAGCAATTGAGCCACAAATGCCATATCAGGCTTCTGGGGGTTATCCCAGTAGTCAGAGTACTCCTTCAGGAACGTCGGGATATGCAGAACGCGATACGTTGTCTCGAAGGTGTCCAAATAAAGCTGAAGGAGCTCGTCCGCAACGTTCCGTGCTGGTACCATTTCCTGCAAGTTGAAGGCTTGTTCTCTGAAAGCTCGCTGATGACTTTGACTCTCGCGAGACCAGAGCTCACATTTGAACTTCTTCATGTCGAGAAATTCCTTGTCTTTGTGGCATTTATTACCATGACCACGTCGCAAGAAGGAACCAATATCTTGGAACTATATCTAGTCAGCAGGTGTTCATATTCGGTGCTTGGCGCACTTACAAAAGATACCGTGGTAGTGTAATGGCTGCGCCCGAAATACCGAGTCTTGCCCCTTTTGCCTCGAAAGCTGGAGTCCGGAAGAAAGCGCACGCGGTCTTCCACACCAGCTGCATCCAAACTGTGCTGGGATGTACAGTTATCGGAAATGAAATCACCCACTGATGTTTCGGGTGTCTGAAGAGCATTCGGCTTCGATAATGCATGTTCCAGCGTTCGCAATCGATTCCTGAGTTCATGTAGTTCATCTGAATGGCCGCGTTTAGAAATGCGATTGGAACTCGACTTGGGGCCCATTTTGGAGTCGAAGACAAACATCCCGCCATTCCCAGATTGATCGTCCGAGCCACTAGGCATCCGCGTCCGAGACACCGGCGGGGACATTTGGCGCGACGACTCTGAAGCTGCCCCTGGCTGGGGCCCAACAAAGACACATGAATCCGCTGTTTTGGAGCGAACACATTGTCCGCATGGAAGCGAGCGATCGCACTTTAGTTTTCGCCGACGACACTCAGTGCAGGAGAGCGGGGGCCTTCGCCGTCGCTGGATGACTTTGTTCTCTCCAGTCTCGCCCGGAGAAAGCGACTCTTGGTAATCGTCCATATCTCTTCACTGTTAATCTGATGCCTTGTTTCGCACATAAATGCCGCTCGCGGTGTTAAATCGAACGCCTCCAGAGAGCACGCAAACTTAATGACGCAATGCGGCGGGCGCGTAATGTCGGTGTTTTCGCAAGAACAGATTGTTGACTATCGTCCTCATCTAATAGGTGCTCTCACTATGATCGGTCTCACACAAAGATTTTGCTAGACAAAAAAATCAAAAGCACAAGGATGAGTAGATATGCCACGCGTGGTGGGGTTAGGAATTCCCCGAGCTCGGAGTTACCACATCTGGCAATGATGCCAAGCGTTCCCTCGTATCTGATTGATAAGCCTGGCCAGCCGTCTAAAGGGGTTTCACAAAAAGCTTGTCTCTGACTCAGGGCCTAGTGTCGTACAGAACTCGGCCTGGATTCCCTGCCTGAGTGTTTTGTGATCACCATTGGCTATTGAGGTGACTTTGGCCCACGACAATCTAATCGCAATAATCTCACATTGGAGGATATACTGTCTAATTCTCTAGTACAAGTAGTGCTCTATAAAATATAAAAAGTAGCTTTGATACAAAAATTATATTTCATCCAGTCGCTGTCATTGGCCCAGACCTTGCAGTCGCTACAGGCACCCATGTTTATTTAGATCTCTCGCGGTTGTTGAGAAACTAAGTGTGAATTTACCTGACGACATCTTGGAGCAGATCGCGGCAGAAATAGAGTCAGGGTCAGGATAGTGGGATGATGTGTCCATTTTGCTTAAGCATTCACGTTTCTATGCCGCTTTCAACACACTTCACTGCGCACTGAGATAATAAGATGTGTTCGCTGGGCGTGTTGCAAGTTATCTAAATATGACGATGCTAAGGTAAAGTAGATTTTCTCCCACTGTGGCCCTAGGAACCATTCTCCGATCCACAAGGGTATTCACCTTGTCCCAAACTTTCAGATAAATCCAGGACAGAGCGTCAACCACATCCATTCATCCCATATCGGGCAGCTCCGTCAGAATATAGGTAATCAATTGGTCGGAATTCAAGACTATCCATCCATTTTTCCACAGTCTCCCGATTTCGATCGTCTCGAGTCTTCTTAATTCTTGCCTCCACAGACTCATTCACCGTGTAACGATAAAGGTATGATTTTTCCTCGTCACATCCTAGTACTGCTGATACTTTCTGTCTTATGATCAGCATCAACTTTATGCACAAACAGTCTCGGCACATACGTTATTGTCTTTCTCTGATTTTGAAAGTGTGATTTGTAATACCGAGGGATTCGTGTCGTCTGTTGGAACGAAATGGTCAAATGTCACGCCATAATAATCAATATCTCTAAACAAATCCTGGCCGGTCAGTGAAAGATACATATCAAGCAATCTTTGAAGCTTTCAGTGTTATCTCATTCTCTGACTGTAGGTTCTCATGTAAACTTGCCTGACTTGGGAATCGTCGGATACCCAACCTAGATGCTCGTCACGAACAACCACGGCATCAGATCTCCATGGAGAAGGGTCTTTTCGGTAAATGTATCTATACGCGATTTTGGCCAACTCCAGGCCTATCGGCTGTGGAAATATTGGAGAATCGGTCTCTAGTTCCCACGGTGAGTCCGGCAAAAGGTTTTGTATAGCGGCGACAGGACCTTCGATTCGTATTCGGCATGGTCGGTCTGGAGATGAATGACCTAGCAGGCCGTGTTTTATACAGGGAGAAATGTAGAGCGGGAGCGCCATGGCAAGGTTATCTGGGGAGTTTGGTGTGTGCTCAGGGGCTGAAATAGAAAGGATTTCTGGTCAATGGTCCTTTGTACCAAGTGATAACGTGTTATTAGGTGGGGCAGTGAGGTGTCGCATAGATTTTGAGACGACAAGGATCTTGACCACTCACACTTGCAGGGGCGAGTCATCTCCCAAACATGAAGTACTATTCTCGCTTGACAGGCAGCCATCCTAAATTTCCCTTTGTACGAACATGTCTTGGCAGCTAGAGATACCGAGTTCGAGACATCTTATACCAACGCCACTTATTCCGCCTGCTTACTTGATACTTTCTCTATGTTTTGACTTGTCCATTGCGGAAATTATATTGTAATTGATTTCATATAGGAAACATAAGGTTTCATGTTCGCTCTCCATTCCATTCAAAGCGTTACAGAGCACTGCAATGACTCTCAATCCGCAGAATCAAAGTTCTTCTCGCTTCAATCTCGACAATCCATCTTTCAGGACGTATAAGCGTGACCAACACAATCCGAGGCGTCACAGTCCTCAATATCCAAGGGAAACAATTAGTATTCGTCAAGAACGTGGTATGAGTAGTGTTAAGTGTCAGCTGAAGTAAACTGGGCCGAGGAGGGTGTGATTCGAGTGAAAGTGTCGCTGCATACCAGTCTTCACCATGATTCTCCTTGTTTTCGCGGTGCTATGGTTATAAAAAGCAAGGTCGGTGGTTATAATTCCATTCCTAGGCGCTAGACTCGTATATAATCCTCCAGCTATCACGGGAAGAGAAGCATAAGTCGCCTTACACCTTTGAATTAATACGGACTTTACGAAAAGAATTAGCCGTGATTCAAATATATAAATAAGATAAGCGTAGGAGATCTCAAAGATATTCTATTCACGAATAATATCGTCCTAGGGCTCAGGAGTAAACTACATAATGCGATGAGGACAATCATGATGGAAATAGCTTGGAAACGCACATCTTCCAAACCATGAAGCACGTAGCATAGTGTCTTAATATAGAGTACTGTCGGGTCCTTTGTATTCCGGGAGGTGAATACAGAGGGTCTTTGTTTTCTCGCCACATCATCCTTGTCATATCGATCATCATATGTGTAAAGCCACTTCTCTTGATGTCAAAGAGCTGGAAGGAAGGCCTACATATATAGATCGGATTCGGCGTTAGATGAAAAAGCTCAAAGAGAATCGGCACGTGCCGGTAGACGAAGACATGTGGAACAAGCAGTCGACATGAGCCAGATATGTAGGGGTGAGTTCGAAGTCTGATTTGGCAAGGGGCTCAGGTCCAGGTAAGGTATCACAGGAAAGCAGCCATGTTTGACTAGTAATTAGAGACGAAGGGCCAAATGTAGATTAGAGGTAGTTGCCCTTGGTGAAGCGTGAGCTGTAGTCGCTTGCTTTATTCACCATTTCCCGCCGCTTCGCATTCGAGATCTTGGATGCGACTGCCATGTCCTTTTCACGATCAAATGCACGCGCACTCGGGTCATCGTCCTCCTCCTTGCGAGCTTCGGAACTTTCAAGGCGACTTTTCTTGCCACTCTGTTGCTATAGTAGATATAAGCGCTGGTCCCGTAGCCATGATGGATGGATACTTACATTGTATTTTCTGATCCTCTCTTCCATAGACTGATCACGGGCTGCGCTGGAGGCTTTGGGCTGCTTGTCACTAGATGGCGCACCAACTCCCATCACGGCATCTCCCAAACGTCGCATCCTCTCCTCTGGTGTTTCCACCCATGATGAATCAAGTTCTTTCGAGCCACCCGAGCGGGCAGAGCGGCCAGTATTGAATTTCCGACTCCGAATCTGTGTAGGATCGATTTTGCTTGCCCAGTCGCTTCCATCAGGCGGTGCCATCATCCATTCGTCGCGCTTGTTCTCCTTCTTCTTGAGGGCGGGCGAAGCTGGCTGAGCGGCTTCCACAGGCGCTGCCGACACGCCGGCGGGAGGAGGTAGACTGGGTCCAAAATCGTCGTCGCTTTCGCTGTCTGATCCATCAGATCCGTTAGAGGCGGTCTCGTGCTCGGGTTGCGCCGACGCCGACCGGGGCATCGAAGGCCCCATTACCCTCTTTTTGGGAGCATTGGAGGCATCGCCATCCTCCCCGTCGAATTTGCGCTTCTCAGTCGGTTCCATTGGGGGCTCAGAGGAGAAGAAGCAGCAAAAGAAGCAAAAGAAAGAAAGCCGAGCCGCTATCTTATCTCCCTGATGTCATTTGCGGTGAAGGGAGATCTGGAGTCCGAAGCTCCGACTCTGGTAACGCGCTCCCCGTTGCCCCGCCCTCTGTCAACATATCACCCATTTGATCTGCTTATATTTGTTTTGGTGACTTGGATTTCGCTTCTAGATCTTGCTTCATTTACTGGCCTGGATTGCGGTATCTGGGATTCCCAAATCATGCCATCCGCTCTTTGCGCTCACCGACGATTCTACTAGAGCATGGTGTATTTCCATTAACGACCACGAAGAGAAAATGGATGGCCAGTCTTCTCCAGAGAAGCCTCAACAGCCTCAGGAGAAACAATCTGGAACGTCAGAACCGGATACCTTGAATAATGTTGGATCCTCACCCTTATCATCTACCAGTCAACAAGTCACAAGCGACCAACAACAGACCTCACATGTCTCGGGAGACTCTACATCCTCTCCTCGCCCCCGAAGATTCCTAGCACAACCGATCGAAACCTCATCGCGCAGTTCTAAAACTCGACCGACCCCCACCAGAACCACAGGAGACCGCGAAGATGCCCCTCATACCTCCACAGAGACGGCGCGGTCGGATGAGAACAAACCCCGTCGACGCTTTTTGCCACAACCGATTGAAACAACAACAAAGTCAAGCAATGAGAGAACTTCGTCAAGATCACAAACATCGGAGCAGAACAATCCGTCCGGCCCAAGACGGTTCAAACCCGACTTGATTGAAACAGACCGTCGCTCAGTCAGAGGAGAGTCAGAAGAGCTTCCCTATGTGTCGAAATCACCAGGGTTGAGGCAGGAGGCCTGGAGAAATATGTCGCGACTCAGCCCCAATCGTCCTGCCTACGCAGAGCTACCCGAGTCCAAGTTCTCATACGCAAGTCTCCTTCGCCGCCAAGAAGGACGAAGGCATTCATTTCGAGTTCCGGAACTGCCGTCAATTGAGTCCAGTGGCAGTGAGGAGGACTCTGATGAACCGTCCCACTCACCATCTTTATCGTCCTCCCACAAATCCAGATCGTCACAGAAGTCCACCGGCAACCCCAAGCCTGAAGAGCTACGCCGGGAGAGTTGCGATGGCGAGTATTCAGAATTTCTACTCTCTCTAGCTGCGCGCTCAGCACAGAAACAACTCAGAGATCAGGCGCTAGCCGCCTTTCCCAATGAACAAGATTATGAGCCCGTGGATCATTTCGATTTTGCCATTGACGACGAAGACAGTCAGTCGGAAGATGATCTCAAGTATCCTCAGAAACACCATCTTAAATCCCGACGACAGTCATCGGCCGATCTATCCTGGGAACTCGAGTACATGCGCCATCACAAGGAAGAGGCGGAAATGCGCTTGCGAGCGATGGTCAACTCGAAGAATCGAAACCGGACCTCTGCTGGGTATCAACCGACTCCAAGAGCAGATGGTAAAATAAGTCCACCGATGCTTGGAGAGGACATCGTCTTGCCGCAGAGTTCGTCTCCAGACGGGACGATGTGCGAGAATTCAACAGCCGAGAATGGCTCATCACAAGATCCCTGTCATGGCTGCGGCGGTCTCTGGTGTGCCGACAGTCGACCAGATGGCGGACGAGGCGCCGGCCTCTGGATGGGCACCTGTCGTAAAGGCCAAAGCGGAGATGACCACTTACACCCGTTCTCCGGCATCATGACCCCAATGCCAACAGACCTAGACAGACTATCGCGCTCTTCCACCAGCACAAACCTCCACGGCATGGCAGGATCTTCCCCACGACCTGACATTCTCACCATTACAGCTAAATCCATGGAAGACGAATTCCACGACGGCTTCGTCACCCAAATCTACAACTATCTGTCCCTTGGCTACCCCTGCATCGCCCGCTACTACGACTACGAACTAAGTAAAATCTCAGGAATTGCAGTCCAAGACCTCCGACGCGATGACCTACATACAGACGCTAGAGGATACGTCGTTGCAATGGAAAGTGATCCTAACACGGCGTGTACTAGATGGCGAGCTCTCCGTCGGTATATTCGCGAATGGGCCCGTCAACAACCAAGCATAGCAGAAGAAGATACAGGACTTGAGGGTTGGGGAATGCCGGAGAGGAGAGGAAGTTGGGCAATTTGAATCACTTTTTCTTTTCTTTTTGTATCTATGACAAAGTATGCATACCCAGCGTGTCGATTTATATGATTTGCATTTCGAACTCCACGCTCCATCCAAGGATGATCGCATTTTTTTTCTAATTCTGTCTGGGTCTCGTTTCCTCCGTAAAGTAAATATCATTGAGGTCTCCATCTATTATCGGCATCGTCGTTCAGAAAGTACCGAGAGTGATTGTGCCTAAAAACTGAAGTTGCAATTTCACCGAAATTCGAAGCCGCGCCTAGTGTCTTATTCAAATGCCGGCACTTATTGATTGCCATCCAAAGACAGCTGAGAGAGTTTTCTTCCTCGTCTAATGGTTTCATGAACAATTCCAGGGAAAATCTTTTGCTGTGGCAATCCGTCGGCTCCCAGGACACTACCGCTTGGAGACGAGGAAAGCTCCGGCACAGGTGCCATATGAGGAGTAGTCGCTGCATCGGGACGGAGGCTGTGGGAGCTAGCCGTCAAAGGCTGACCTGTCTCAGTAGATCCGGACTGCGGGACGGTTTCCGAGGCTTGCTTGTTTCTTTCTTCGGCGCCAGCGCCTTCGGAATATCTCTCGATTCTATTCATGATTAGCATTTGGTTTCCGCTCTCAATCGTGTCGTGACTTACAGTGACAATTCCGCTTGGAGAGTCTCGTGCCTAAAGGCTTCGCGGATGTCGGGGACATTGCTTTTCGCGACATTGTTGCCAGCCACGCCGTGGGCGCTGCAGTTCGAGCCTAGCCATCTCTGCTTCAAGGATAGCTCGAATCCACTCTGGTCGACGGAGTGCTTGGCCAATTCACACATGTCGACAGCACTGAACTTGTAGATTTGAGCGGCCACAGAGTATTCCTCAATGAGAGGCTCCTTTGTGAAAGCGAACTGCAGAGGATCGTCGGTGGACAAGGACACGTTCAAACCACGCTTGAAGAAGGTAGCACAAGGGTTTTTGTCGTATGTAAGGAATAGAGCGTTGTTGCTGAGTGGCGACATGGCAATACCAATCTGGTTCAGGTAGTAAAGGTACTGAAGCAGGGGAACCTTGCGCAGCAAGATGCCGTGACTGATGCTGTGGCAGCAGAGGAAGCCGACAGCCAGATGGTCCGGATCACCCGCTTCACCGCAGTGTGGTCGAAGGACAAAGGTATTGAAGCCCCGGCGTTGACGCCATTGGTTAAGAGAGGCGATGTTGGCGAACATGAAGTAGAGCCAGTAGCTGTAAGGCGGGTTCTGCTTGGTGTTCCATTCTCGCGGGATCGGATACTTGCGGTAAAGTCGACGCTCAGCCTTGCTCTCGTCGTCGACACTGTCGAACCCAACAACGCGCTGAAGGAAGATGTGAAGTTTAGGGTGGCTTGAAGGGTCCCTGGTGACTTCGAACAAAGGCTGGAAAACGTTCGTGATGACCTGTTCAAAGTTCTCCATCATTCCACTCGATTTATACACGTCGTACAGACGTGGCACTTGGATCAGCCAGCGAACATTGGGAGAGAACAACTTGTTGTCTACCACCCAGGCGGCCAATTTATCCCATTCCTGCATGGATCGTCCGTATATCGAGATTCGCCACTCAACCATTTGGTACTTGCTGGATTCCAAATCGGAGATGACTTCCTTGGTGATCTCGGCCAGATAACGGCCCTTGATGTAGTTATCTGTCTTCAAGAAAATCTCACGGAGGCGGGACTCTCCGACCGGGTTGTACTTCAAGTTGAATTTGTCGAACCGATGGAAAGAGTCCGTGTGGGCGTGCATATCCAAGGTATCAATGCTAAGGTCGTAGGCAGTAAGGTTGATACTCTCAAAGACCTCCCTCAGAGTGAGATGCTTTCCATCACGGAAGAGAACCACCTCGTCGGGTGACTTTCTCATCTTACTCTTGATGAAACGGAGCAGATGTTTCTGATTCATGCATGCTGAATGGTGAACGTGAGTGTCCACTTTACGCACGTTGTAGAAATCGCGATGCGGGACTTTCTTGCTGTCGGCGATTTCCTGATATTCATTCAGCAGCGCATACAGTTGGAACTTGCCTTCTAGGTAGGAAAGGCGCTTGAAAGCAAAGCTCTTGGTTGGACCGTCGGTGGAAACATCCACCACGGCATCCAAGTCCATGTAAAAGTCACGCAGTGAAGGGATATCAACTAATGGCTCATTCCGGTCCGCGGCGGCCTCCGACTCGTACACTTGGTAGACACTGTTGCGATCGAATCGGTAAATGTAAGAAGACTCGCCGGGGAGTTGTACCTCGGCCATGTCGAAATCTTCGCCGATGTCCTCTCCCATCTTTCGCTTCTTCTCCGACACCACATCGGACGGTCCTCCGACGCTGCCAGGCTGGTATTCTTTGCCTTCATCCCAGGCTGGCTCAGGAGGCGGGGGGTAAACATCCCAACCAGCATGGTCGCGCGGATCATCTCCCGGTCGTTGCAATGACAGCGCCATGTACTTTGATCGGCTATCCAGGAGACCCTTGATCTTGCGGTAGATGGCCCTCAACTCCGATGTCACAGCATCTCCACCTGGCGCAAACCCTGCTCCCTGGGACATGCCAATGCCTAGACCAGTGCTCTGAAGACTCTCATTTGTCGACATATACGGTCCCTGGTTCGTCTGGGCAGCTTGATCAGCTCCCAAAGAAACAGCACAGGCCCTCGCAGTGTGATCGGCCAGATGGCCGTGGCTGTCCTGGATCTGGTGCATCCCATCGGCTCCATGATAAGAAGATGGTCCCAAGTTCCATTCGGGATTGGTCGTCACGGAACTCTTGCGAGCTGTCTGGTTCTGTTGCCGGGGGCTCAGGTCCGCATTCATCGCCCTCTCCTCGTGATCAGTGGCTGAACGCGCAACGGTCGCCGGACTAGACGGCAGGGTGTTGTCGCCGCTCTTCGTGGACAGCTGGTGGTGCTGGTAGAAGAGCTTGGCTTCGGCGTGACTCATAGACTTCTCGTAGGCATAATCGTAGGTCGCTGTCTTCTGCTGTTGATCGCGGGGCAAGATGGCATCTTCTGTAGGGTCCGAGTCTTCGCGAACAGGGGAGCTCGCCGAACTGTCGACGGAGTCCAGGAATCGGAGGGACTCAGGGTTGGAGGCGGCATTGAAATCAAGACCGATCTTGTCGGGATCGGACCCCATGACTCTGCTAGTTTTCCGTTGCGTACAGAAGGGACGGGGGCGTGTAAGTTGAAAGAAGACAGAGGAGCAAAGGACTATCCCATGATGGGACGGAAAGAGAAGAAGAGAAGGAAGACGAGGCCGAGATCTATATTTTTCTGCCCCTGTATCCACACACCGGTGAGTCTCATGTCTCAGTGGAGCAGGTGACTCGTAAACATGCTTAATGCATTCCATTGCTGCATCACATTGACTTATAGTCACAGGATTCTTTGGATCGTATAGTCTAAACCAATTCATCCAAGTCTGTACGTCGTTTTAGACTTAGCCCACTTTACAGGCTAATGAGATCTAAGCTGTTACCTAAGTAGGGAGCCTTGACACCTGATTCTCTTCCTCTCGATTCTAGCATCGCATATTATAGTTATCCGACATTAAAATACATCTGTCAACGGCATTTGCAATATTCCACCAATTCCCCTCATGTGTGTGTACAAGCCTGTCTCCAACTACATTGACCTATCCTTGGAGTCACCGCCGGGAAGCTTAGTGATGACGTGAAGCTCCGAGTGGACCCCCCTCAGCCAGGCGACCGTCATTCTGTCATTCTGTCTTCGCCAGGCTGTTATTGTCAGTTCCACATCTCTACACGTTTCACCTCTGACTACACTGCCTTGAACCTCTGTTGGCTACTATCCGTACGTCTTGTTCCGATCTTGTGAGTGCCCTCTCCGTCTACGTAACTTCCCCTCCCTTCACCCCCTTTGTGTACCCGGAGCTCCCACGTTGGCCCCTCCACAACCCCTCCCAAAGCGGCTCTTTATTGACTATTTACTTCTTTAGCTTGGTTTGGGGCTTCTGATATCCCCCCTGTCTTTCAGCCATGGCGTCTCTTAACCTCTCAGCCAATGGCCCCTCCATATCCAAAAGCTACCAAGCCGTGGTAAACGCGACGCTAAACCCTACCTCCAAAACATACGCTCAATGGGTCGTCTTTTCAGTTTCGACTCCCTTGGTCAACGCGTTTCAGCAGGATTCTGGGAATAAAGAGAGTGTCCTGAAAGTCCAGACCTCGGGAGGTCAGTGCCCCATGGCGTGATGTGGTTGGATTCAGTATTGACAGTGCTTGCAGATGGTGAATTGGATGATCTCATTGAGGAGTTCTCAGAAGGCCGAGTTCAATTTGCCTATGTAAAGGTCATTGACCCGAACTCAGGATTACCCAAGAACGTCCTCATCGGCTGGTGCGGTGAAGGCGTGCCCGAACGGACTAAAGGTTACTTTACCAGCCATTTAGCCAGCGTGTCCAAGTTCCTACATGTGAGAAGATACGGTGTTCCCGTACCTTGCGGCCATACTGACAAACATCTCAATGTTAGGGATATCATGTTCAGATTACAGCTCGGGCGGAAGAACATCTGACCCCCGAGGGCATCATCCAGCGAGTGGCCGACTCATCAGGTTCGAAGTACTCTGTGGATTCCCAGGTCCCCATCTCCTCCGGCTCGAAATCCTCCGGCCCACCTCCCGTTGCAAGCAAGCCCGTCTTCACTCCCACCAGGTCGGGCGGCATTGCTCCGAGTCTTGCCCCGCGCCCCAAGCCCGCTACTACCTCCAATGTCGACAATGATGGCTGGGGTGCCGATGCGCCTCCAGTGACTCGCACTCAGCTTGAGAAGGTCCAGCCTGCGTACCAGCCCACACGTGTCAATTTGCAACAACTCAAGGATGAGAACCAGACTCCTGCTCGTCAGCCGGCTCCTGTCACCTCCGAGGACCGCAGTGATGTTGTACGAGGTGGTTACCAGCCGATCGGCAAGGTAGATATTGCAGCAATCCGGAGACAGGCTGCTGACTCTAGCCGGACGCAAGACGATCGCCCGACACCTGTGAAGGGTTCTTATGAACCCGTTGGCAAGGTTGATATTGCCGCCATTCGCGCCAGAGCTCAGAAGCCCGAAGGTGCTGGTGATGTCTCCCCGGCAGCGCCCAGCCCGGTTGCTCGAAACGAGCCCGTTTCTCTCCCTGAGCGTCCTGCCATGGCCCAGGAGTCTGAGCGTTTGACCACTCTGCCTAAGCCCAAGGTTGCGAACAAGTTCGGTGGCGGTCCTTCTTTTGGCGGCACGAAGCCACCTCTCCCCGCTGGCTCTAGCACACCCGCCGCGGCTGCGCCGGTCGGCACTGCCAGTCGAACCTTTGCAAACCAGGGAGGGAAGACCCCGGCTCAGCTGTGGGCAGAGCGCAAAGCTAGAGAGCGTGGAGAGGCTTCCGGCCCTGCCTCCGCTTCCCCTGATGTGCAGCCCATCCAGAGTCAGCCCAGCGGACAGGGCGAATGGAAGAGTGGTTATGCTGGCAAGTCGTGGGCCACAGTGCAGACCGTTAAGGACAAGGCTGTCCCCCAGAATGTTGACGCGAGAGCCGCCGAAACCCAGGAAGCAGAGGCTCCGGAACCTTCATCCCACGTTGGAGGCATTCGGGATCAGTTTGCTCAGTCGACTCCCGCGGAAGTGCCTGCTCCTCCTGTTCCCCAAGCCAGTCGCCCTGTGCCCGTTCCTGGACTGTCTACTGGTCCGTCCGAGCCCGAAACTGAGCATGATGCTCAGCAAGTTTTGCCCCCTCCTCCGCCGCAGCCTCGCTCACCCACTCCCCCTACACCTTCCGAGCCCGAGGGCTCTCCCATTCAAGTAGCTATGCCTGTGGGCCGAGGCGCGGCCGAAGATGTGGCTGATGCCCACGAAGAACAGATCTCGCCGCCTCCCGCCATGCCCATCCAAAGTCTCCAGGAGGTCGTTCCAGATGAGCGGGAGCTGGAGGAAGATACTCATGATATTGGTCGTGCTGCCGCAGAGGCCACCGCGGAGCCTACTGTTGCTGGCCAGTCGCATGGTGGTATTCGCGCTCTGGTGCAGTTTGACTATGAGAAGGGAGAAGATAACGAGATTGAACTTCACGAGGGTGAATTTGTCACCGACATCGACCAAGTTGACGCAGATTGGTGGGTGGGCGTGAATGCTCGTGGTGAGCACGGTCTCTTCCCTGCCAACTACGTGGAGATTGTGGACGATGATCAGCTCGCCCATGGTCACTTCCAAGAGACTGAACCTGAACCTGAACGCGAACCCGAGCCTACACCTGCCCCTGTCTCTGCCCCTGCCCCCGCCCCTGCCGCTGCTCCCAGCTCCAAGGGCCCAACTGCCAACGCAATTTACGACTACGAGGCTGCAGAGGATAATGAGCTGAGCTTCCCTGAGAATGCCACAATTCTGAATGTGGTAAGTATCTTTTGCTTTTCATAACGAGTCCATTAAGTAGGATGAGGCTAACCCTGGTTTAGGAATTCCCTGATGACGACTGGTGGCTTGGAGAGTACAATGGCGCACGGGGCCTATTCCCAGCCAACTATGTCGAGTTGAACCAGTAAAATAACAAAACATTGTGTGTAAATAGCTTGGGCCGAGACTGCTGCCAACTATGGAGTATCGAACCAACTATCAACTGTATATCGTTCTCCTAAATACTTAGTTACTTTTTAAATGCAGGGTTGAAGGACGTCATAACCCTTATGTAATAGACCCGCATCACGTGCCCCGTAAAGCCATAAACAAGTCCGAGGTCGACACTCCTGCGCCTGGCCTTGAGGATCTTCGTTTGCCAACTCCAAGGGCAGTTTTATTCTGCCGATCTTTGATTTCTTTAAGTCTACAGGACGCGCTCTTTCACCATGACCTCGTTGGGCGAGGACCTCCTGGTCACTGTGAATAAGCTCCAGGACTTGGTCTTCAACACCATTGGAAATGACTCGCTCGATTTGCCTCAGATTGTGAGTGATGCCGATTGCTGCTGACGGAGTCAATGGCGCGCCGAATACTAATGGATGTAGGTGGTCGTCGGCTCTCAATCGTCCGGCAAGTCGTCGGTCCTGGAGAATATCGTCGGTCGAGATTTCCTACCACGCGGCAGCGGCATCGTCACTCGACGTCCGTTGATTCTACAGCTCATCAATATCCCTAGCGAGCGTGACGACAGACCGGAAAATGACGAAATTCACGTCCCGCACACAGCCGCCAGCGTGGCCGGCCAACATGAATGGGCCGAGTTCCACCACCAGCCCGGCCGCAAGTTTGAGGATTTCCAACAGGTGAAGCAGGAGATCGAGACCGAAACGGCGCGAATTGCGGGCAGCAACAAGGGTATCAACCGGCAGCCAATCAACCTGAAAATCTTCTCTCCTCATGTCCTCAACCTCACCCTGGTGGATCTTCCCGGTCTCACCAAGGTACCTATTGGCGACCAACCTTCCGATATCGAGAAGCAAACCCGCACCCTGATTCTTGAATACATTGCGAAGCCGAACAGCATAATTCTCGCGGTCTCTCCGGCCAACGTGGACCTGGTCAACTCGGAGGCTCTGAAGCTCGCCCGCCAGGTGGACCCCATGGGAAGGAGGACGATTGGTGTCCTTTCAAAGCTGGACCTAATGGACCATGGTACCAACGCCATGGACATTCTGTCCGGCCGTGTGTATCCTTTGAAGCTGGGATTCATCGGTGTAGTCAACCGATCCCAACAAGACATTCAGTCTGGCAAGGAGCTGGCAGAGGCCCTGCGGGCTGAGACTGACTTCTTCCGTCACCACCCCGCCTATCGCAACATGGCCAACCGATGTGGAACCCACTTCCTGGCCAAGACCTTGAACTCGACTCTCATGGCTCATATCCGAGACCGGCTCCCGGATATCAAGGCTCGCCTGAACACCCTGATGGGCCAGACCCAGCAGGAACTGGCTAGCTACGGCAACAAGCAGTTCAGTGGAAAGGAACACCGCGGATCATTGATTCTTCAGTTGATGACCCGCTTTGCCTCATCCTTCATTTCGTCCATTGACGGTACATCCTCGGAAATCTCGACCAAGGAGCTCTGTGGTGGTGCGAGAATCTACTACATCTTCAATGAGGTGTTCGGCAACTCCCTGGAAACCATCGATCCTACACATAACCTGACCGTCTCCGACATCCGGACGGCCATCCGCAACTCGACCGGTCCCCGACCCAGCCTCTTCGTGCCTGAGCTGGCTTTCGATTTGTTGGTCAAGCCGCAGATCAAGCTCCTGGAATCCCCCGCCCAACGATGTGTGGAGCTGGTGTATGAGGAGCTCATCAAGATCTGCCACACCTGCGGCTCGCAGGAACTCCTACGATTCCCCCGTCTCCAGGGCAAGCTCATTGAGGTGGTTTCTGATCTTCTCCGTGAGCGTCTGGGACCTTGCTCAACCTACGTGGAGTCTCTCATTTCGATCCAAAGAGCGTATATCAACACCAACCACCCCAATTTCCCCGGTGCCGCTTCCGCCATGCAATCCATCATCCAGAATCGACAGGACGAGGAGCGCAAGGCTGTTCTGGCCGAGGAGAAGAGAAAGCGCGAGAAGCGCCGGATGAAGGAGCTCGGTGCAGCCAACGGAACAGCTGGCACGCCCGAGGACGAGGAAGCACAGAATGACAAGCATAACCTCCCTATCCGAAGCCAATCTGCCAAGGGCGCTCGAAGCATGTCACCCAGTGTTGGTCGTAACACGGAGAACGGAATTTCCGCAGCTCTGAACGGCAGTGCGAACCACCCGGCTGGCTTCGGTGCCTCGCACACTACCCGTGATTCCTTCTTGAACTATTTCTTCGGTAAAGAGGGTGGTATTCAGCACTCCCCGTCGCAGGCTGCATTGAACCGGGCAGCTCACGCGAGCGAGCCCAGCATCAGCCAGAGCATCCGTCGGGCCGAGGTGCGATCGCCTATGATGCCCGTGGAGGAATACCCTGCCTCCATGGATTACGGGAGTGACACGACTGTTTTCGTGAGTGATACACCGCAATCATCCTCTGAAACCCGACTAATCTCGTCACAGCCCAACGAGAACGCGGAACCCACCCTTACCGACCGCGAGATGCTCGAGACCGAGCTGATCCGCCGCCTCATCTCTTCTTACTTCCATATCGTGCGCGAAACCATTGCGGACCAGGTCCCCAAGGCCATCATGCACCTGCTGGTCAACCACAGCAAAGATGTCGTGCAGAATAGACTTGTTAGCGAACTCTATAAAGAGGATCTCTTCGGCGAGCTGCTTTACGAAGACGACGGCATCAAGGCCGAGCGCGAGAAGTGCGAGCGCCTGCTGGAGACATACAAGGAGGCCGCAAAGATCGTGGGTGAAGTGTTATAGATGCGCAGGTTGACGTGACCCATTCTCTTTTTCCTTTTTCTGTTTGACTATTTTGAATGTGGGGTTTCTCATGTGAATGTACAATTATGGAGGCCTGCACATGCTTCGTGATATACTCTTTCGAGGTTTCAAATTTTTGCGTATGCTTTAGCTCTGTATGAAATATGAAGATGTGACCCGAACGTTTTAGATCCTCGTCGAAATGGGCTACGCCTTCTTCGTCACTTTTCGAAGTCGTGCGCCTTCGAACCCGTACAAGCCACCGCCGACAAAGACTAGCACTGCGCCGACAAGAACACCAGACCCCAAGTGGTTTCCAAAAAGGTAGATTGACAACAAGAGGGAGACCAGCTTGCGGATGTTCAAGACGACTGTCACGGTCAAGGATGAGGATTTGGCAGAGAGCAGGTGGACACCCCGAATGCAAAGGTACTGCGTTAGAGCATTCATGATCAGAAACGCCACCTGAACAGGAAGCCGATCGAGCGCTGACTGAATAGGCGCATGTTTCTGAACCGTCGCCAGAACAGAAATCGCTGTATGACCCATCGTAGACGCGACTGATCCCTCCGATCCTCCTTGGGGGAAGGTCGAGAGAAGCGATGGCGTCGAAGATACCACCCGCCATTGCGAAGACAACTGTGTATAGCTAGTCAAGAATAGAGGCAGGGAAAGCGTATGCGAATAGAACAAGGCCTCCTTCCAATGATCTCGTCCATAAGTCGCATACAACCGATCAGCATAAATCCCCTGGAAAGCAGACAAAACCATGGCCAAAGCCAGAATCGTAAAGCCGGTAGCGGTGGTCATCATAGCTGTATCCTCGCCTGAGATCTCAATGGATTTGCCCTTCGCTTGCGCATCTGCTAACGCAGCGGCAACAACGCCCATTGTCAACATTGCGACGGCAAGTATCTGACCCCGGGAATAACGTCTGCCGTTGAAGATATATCCAACAATCATAGATGCTACCGGGCCACCTGATCGGAGAATGATGTGAAGTGGCACGGAGATCTTATATGCAAATGCCCAATTGTTCAACATGTTGACCGTCACAAAGAACGAAGTATAAATGACCCATGATCGGAGGGGAATTGCACGTGGGCTGAGAAATAGTGCCCGAGGACCTGCAGAGAAGGACAGGAAATGAGGGAGTGTGAAGATGGCGCATAAGACGAACTGGGCGAAGGTGATTAAGGGACCTAGATTCATTTAGATTTGCGATTTTCCAGGCTGGTTTCAGGCTAAATGGTTTCTTACCAGCTGTAGGCTGTTCTCTGCAAGTGTCTTTATTAGCTCAGGTTCTTGGGGGTACAGGATAATCGACTCACTTGATGATGGCTTCGAGGGCAAATACCTGCGCCAAGGTCAGTAACGACCTTGCAGACCTCAATTATACACTCACGTTCGCACAGCATCCTCCAAAGATAAGCGACACCATCAATACCATGTTAGCCCAAGTTGGAACCGCGGCGTGCGCAGCCGCAGCAATCAATCCAGGCGCATCCTTCTTCTCCGCCGCAGCCTTCAATTGAGGCGAAGGCGGTGCAGCAGGAACCGTGGTATCACCGGCGCCATTCGGGGATATCCTGAACGCATAGCCGTCCGCTTTTCGTTTTGAGGTATCGCTATCGTTGAGCATCGTGTCGGTCGAGCGTCGGTGTCGGCGTCGGCGTCGGCGTTGGTGTCGAGTGTTGACGGACTCGTGGCCTGACCCTTCGCGTTGGAGATGAACGGTGTCTTCTTTCTCGATTTCCCCAATCCTGTACAAAGAGAGTGGGCGAAGGCCCAAAAGATTGACGTGGTTGGCGAAGAGGTGGTTGGAGGAACTGAGGTGGCGGGCTCCGACTCCGCTTGCGCGTTGGAGATTCGGAGTCACATTTAACTACGTGACTATGTTTACCTTTACATTTACATTTGTATTTGCATTTCAGTTACTTCCCTCGTTGGAACATTTCATCGTTCTTTAAGTTACTATATACATTTCAATAACGTTCAATCGTCTACAATGTCATCATCACTGAGAATGTACTTTTCTTCCTCAACTTGCAGACGAGGCCCAAATGCATTGCTGCCCGGTTTGAAAGTGTGCGGGTGCTGGGGTTGAGGCTGTGGTGCCAGGTCATCTTCTTCAACATCATCAAGGCGACTTCCTCGGATACTGGTGATCTGGCTCAATTGCCCGCTATCAGATCGAATCTTGGTCATGTATGGAAGCTGATGGAGTAGTGCATCATGGCGCGACATCATGGTCATCGTTGAGGGATTGTCTATACTCGACGCGTGTCCGACTCGAAGGTTCTTCCAAGATTTGACGCCCGTGGGTTCATAATCGCTTTCTATGCGTGGCGAAGTACTGGCATTGCTGGGGTCAAGCATGTGCTTCATCCATGCATCCAAGAGCCCTTCAATCTCCTCGGTCTTTCTCCATAGTCGTAACGATGAAGGATATAGCATCTTGTGGGCATTACCGCGGCCTCGCCCATCACTTTGGGAGATTTTTCGGTTGACAGGGTATGGAAGAGCGAAAAGAAGCCCGCGCGACGCGACCTGAAAACTGATCTCATCTTGTCGTAGCATATCAACACCGGCGTTCAAAAGATTGGCGCCGATTCCAGTCCCTGATCGCCCACCTTGAGGCCTGCGATCGGCACTGAGAATATCACTGTCGGATAGCGCTTCAATACATGCATTCAGGTCATTGGTAAATTCATCTCCATCGCAAGACGGAGGGTAGTTTTCATGAAGGGCGCATATAAAAGTGGAGATATCGGTACCCGTCTCGTCGATCAGGTCATTGACGGCAACTTGCGAGACCTTGGGTCGACGATGAAAGGGGAGATGGTCGGGTGGCGAGGGAGGTATTGTGGCATCGCTGGGCATAAGACTCGGGTCCAGGCGTTTGTTGTAAACAATCTTACCCACGGCATGGAACATCCCCAGACTAGCCTCTCGCTGTGAGATCAATTTCAACGACTCTTCCTCCATTGGCGTCAAAGCCGTGTCTCCACGCGATTTTTTGGTTTTCGCAACACTGCCACCCCATGCCCCTACTTGGTCGCTTTTCAAACAGAGAAACTCTAGGGATGAAATGGCGCTGCGGATATCTCCTATTTCGGAGATCCTATCCAGGACTGCTGGGCCAGGCATTCGGCTTCGTTGGGAAGCCCTTGCCTCTTTGTCGAGGATTGACCGTAAGGCTTTCTGCATGAAGGTTGGTGCAATGGTATTGAAGTCGAGGATGGTCGTATTTGGATGGTTGTATAGGGCGGGTCCCAGCAACCGATGCACTGTCAAGTTGTCCTGGATCGATGACGCAGAGCTTAACAACGTCTCTGAGACGACCATTACAATGGGCGGATGCAACCCGCCCCCATCCTCCGCCGCTGCCGCCAGATAGCGCTGTAAGGAAGCTCGGAAGGCTGTTAAACTCGACGACGACCGGCTAAGCACAGTTGGAAACTCTTCTACCAGAAGAACGCGCCGATTACCGGGATGTGCATTGCGGGTGTTCTTCGATTCAGAGGAATCTTCCAAGTCGAGTCCTCCAAATCGATCGCCTCGTCCGAGAAACTCTTCGAATTGAGCACTAAGAGAGATGTAGTCGTGCGCATTGTACTCGGGGGCAGCTGGATTCCTCCACTCGACAATATCGAAACCGGCCGACCCGGAGAGAAGGGTAATCGTTGTAGTCTTTCCAGAACCCGCAGGGCCTCGGAGAACGAGCAATCTCTATTTCTATTAGCAACCCAATGCCAGAGGTGAGCACAAACAAAAACAGGTTCACTCACCTCCCTGCGTCTCCCAGAAAAGGCATCTTCCAGCCAGTTTTGTACATCAGAGACCTTTCTTTTGTGAACGGCGATTTCATCTAGATTCGACGGAGCAAACCGTTGTGCCCAAGGACGTTTATCTACATCCACTGGTTGCGCCGGAGATTGTGAACGAGTGCTATTCCCGGTGGGCATGAGAAAGCGTTTGGTAGGTTGTTTGTTCGGCCGCGAGCTCTGTTTCGACGCCGGTTGTCGCGATTTGGGTTCATCCTTGGCTTTCGTTTCTACAGCACCGCCAGGCTTCCTACCGGTCAGATGCTGTGTAAATATCTCATCGTAGGAATCATAGTCGTCCTCGATCACATCTGCATCAAGGGTTGCCTCCGAAACCGTGGGTAGTGATCGTTTGGGCTCGAATTTCTGTGAGGACCATCGCTGTCCTTCCGTCGCTGGCTGGAAGAAGCTATGTAATGATTTGGATTTCGTATTCGGTGAAGACCCGGGCTTTTTGGGTGATGGAGAGGAAGAGGTTCGTGGAGAGGGAGCTTGACTCGAACGTGCTCGGGGTTTGGGACGCGATGAAAGAGCGGTTAGTTTGGATCCGGTAGAGGTAGATTGTTCTGCGGTATTCGAATTGGCGGACCTGCGCTGTCGCTTGGGGGGACGACCGTCCATGATGGGAGGCGCGGAGGCGAAGTGGAAATGCGCGTCCGATAAGCTTATGACGCGAGGCAGGTCCACCACGTCTATCGGGTCTACACAGCTACCCCCAAGGATAGGAGTATATTCCCATGGATATAATTATACGCAGGCATTAGATGAAGGTAATTTGGGGCCGTAAATAGCTGCCAAAGATGTGGTTATGCGCCTCTGTACATGCTGTTGGACAAATGGGGGCGGTGAATGGAATGAGTCCTGCAGAATTTTGACCGCCCAGTGAAGGTGCGCCTGAGGTCTGAGAGCCATAGATCATGTGATATATATGCCTATTCCTCAGGGCATCACAGCGAACTTGCTAAATAATAATTAACTTATTAGTTATGAATACACCTGAAGAATTCCCCACTTCTCTACTCCACGCTCTCATAAATTGATTCCCCAGGTCAAGGCCCCGGATCTTCAGACCTTCCATCACCCATGATTCTCGACCCGACAGTCAAGAGTATTCAGTTACCCGAAGACGGAAAGACCAATTGCTTCGATGCGTTTACCTTCATTTCTACAATCACCCACGATAGACCTATCACCGTACCGAATTTTGTACACAAAAACTCCATTGGTGTATATCTTACACATCCGACCTCACTGGGTATATCGACAGAATTCCAAAACAAACAAAAAATCGTCAAACAACCTTGCAAGGGTTAACCTATGTACCACCAAAGACATCATAGTAGTAGTCCTCATCCAGCCCATTCCGCGACGGTACACCCGGCGTCTCGCCCGCAAACGTAGCATCATCAAATCTCACGTTCAAAAGACGGATTTTCAATCCGTAGTTACCAACCAGGTCAATCAGCTTAGTCGTCTCCGCCGTAATCGGCTGCTGGTTCAGAAGCATGAGGAGTCCATCCAGCCACTCCGAGGCTTCACTGTGGGTGGCGGGGCGGAGGGTGAGAAGGACGATTTCTTTCCCAGTTGATCGACTGCCTGTTCGAGTGTGGCTTTTGCCGTGGCTTGAGCTGGTTGATTGGGCGTGGCCGTGGATGGTGATCTTAGTAGATGCTTGCCGAGGAGCGGTCTTGACGGTTGAAGAAGAAGAAGACTGGTCGGGGTTTGTGGAGATGTTCGAGACCACTGAGGAGACGGCGGAGAGATCGACTGTTGAATGTTAGCAGGAAATTAAGAACAGGGGTTAATGTGGGAATGGGCTTACTCTTCTCTGGCAGGGTATCAAGCTCGGGGACTCGATCACCCATCGAATCGAACTCGCCGAAATGCAGGTATCGTCGGTTATGCGACAATTGAACGTATTGGCAGGTCGACCGAGTTGGTCCAAGGTCCTTCTTGGAGCTTGATTCAAGGGAGAACCAAGCACCCTGGAGCAGACACCGGATGCGCTGCTCTTTGACAAACTGTAGAGCCTCGTGCTGAAGTTCCTCGCGAACTTGTCGCAAGTGATGTCCCCAAGCATCTTCATATGTAAGCTCCAGAAGCTCCATCTGCAGCTCGCGTAGTCGATGGTATTCAAAGTTGGCCAAGTCCTCTTCCACATCCTGAACATCCTTAGTGCGGGAAGCACCGCCCACGACGGACTCGATGAGGATGCGAACCAGCTCCACGAGTTTATCCAGATCCTCTAGCTCGGCGGCAGTCGCCTTCCAGAGACGGAAGAAGGCTTGCAATCCAGCCACATGCAACCGCGTCCAGTGAAGAAGGAGAGGTCTGAACAGCTTGTCCAGACTAGACCGCGACTCCAGAATCATGTACGTCTTGGAATCATCCATCTCGGACTTGTCCACCTCGAAATGCTCGTACAGGATGGACGTTACAGCCAACGACGCCTGAGCAATCGGACATCGTTGCCGTGCCGGCTTGGTCGACTGCTCAAGAAGCATCTTCTGGAACTCATCCTGGTGACTGCGTACATAATCCGCCAAATCCATCATTCCCAAGAATCCAACCTCGTGGAACTCGGACGTAGGATTTTCTGACTCGAAACCCAATCGTCGCCATTTCTCAGGATGGTGTCTCTTCGATCCCTTTTCTTTCTCCTTCTCTCTCTCCTTGTCCTTCTCATCAGAAGACTTAGGCGTACTTGCCAAGTAAATCCCCTTCAACGCTCGTCTGTGCTCAGGTTTGTCCTGATTCAGAGAAATATCCCTCCACTTCCTCAGAAGCACTTTAGTCAAAGACTGGAACTCAAGAAGCGGATGGGCCAGGTCCTGAAGCGCAGAGTCCTGCATAAGCATGTAAACTGCCCGAATAACTCCCAGATCCTGCAGCTTCTGGATAAACTTGGGCCACTCCGCCTCCAAGTCATGAGTGATCGAGTCACGCATCAGCGAATTGATCAGCTGCAACGCATTGGCGCACAGAGCGTGATCCGCCGAGGATAGTCGACTGACGAGCATCTCGAGGAATTGAGGGTAGATGGCAATTGCAGGCTTGAGGGCCCGGAACCCGAACATCATTTCTGGCTGCTCTGAACCGGTGCCGGCGACCGGGTGTGAAACGACGGAGACGAGAATAGACATGGCCCCGCGGAGGATGTTGACGAGAGGGTGGGTAACGATCAGCTCGACGATCTAGCGACAATGGCAGTTAGCAGGCGCACTTGGTGTAGAGTGTAGATGGGGTAAATCGTACCCGTTCGACCAGCTCCTGATCAACGCATTCCCATCCTTTATCGACCTCGAGCAGACGGGCGAAACTGGTCAGGCTGTAGGCGAGGGTATTACCGCTGGCGTGTAGTGTCAGATATCGCAGGCGAGTTAACCCGCCCTCTGCGATGAAGAGCTCGGCAAAGGATGGGTCGCCCATGTTGCCTTGCAGCTTGAAGACTGCCATTTTACGGACAGCATCTTCATCGCTGCCTAGACGAGTCACCAAGTCGGCGACGTTGTCGGTCTCCATGTTTGCTGGGAAGAGGGAGAAGCGTGGAGACGGAGCTCGCAGCGCATTAGGGGGTCAACGCCCTGTGGGGCATCGATCTTAGGTTGAATTTAGTCCTCTCCTCTATACCTACCTAGGTATCCTCTATACATGTACATCTATTTACTGAATTCTTGTCCTTTCAAGGGTCTCTTTTAATTTTGTTTAATTTTGAAAAGTATTAGGCAGATTCGTGTCATACATAAAACATGAGAACCAGTCGTGTTCCTGGCCTCCGGAAAAAATCTATACAGGGATGTCACCGTTCAACTCCAGGGATGCAGACCGCCGCTATGTACGGAAAAAAGGCTGGGAAACCTGCCCAGTCGAAAATGGAGAGATTTCATCGTCGCCAACCTACGTTCCAAATAACGTGGGCGATGTCACGCGCTGTGTTGACGGTGTCGACAACTCGTCCGAGCAGACCATTGTTGGCCGCTTCTCCCCCTTCGCCCTCGCCATAGGGTACAAACATACCCGAGGCAGAGAGCTGCATGGGTCGGTCGCCAAGTTCGTCTGCATCTTCTGGCATGAACCAGCCTCGGTCTTTATTCGTGTACTGACCAGTGAAATCCAAACTGGGATCCTCATCATCCTCATCAAGAAGAAAGTTGGCGGATTGGGAGGGTGGACGGAGAGTCTCCACGGAGGGAGTAGGTGACAAGGTAGAGGAATAAGGGAGGGCAGACCATCGATCAAGGATGCATCCGCCCTTGGGCTCGGAGATGTCTCCCCGGTATTTTAGAGTGGTAGAGGGGAGGGGAGCGATGGTTTTACTGTCGCTGCTGAAGCTATTTCGGGGTGTGCTTCGATTGCTAAGAGAGGATTTGCCCGACATCTGCCGCATCATCACCACGCCGTCATCCGATGAGCTTTCATCTTCAAAGGTGACAGGCCAGTCCTCGTCGGCCTCTTTGATGTCCACAGCGATGCACTGCTCGACTTCGTTGTTGAAGTGAATATGGCGCCGCTCACTCGGTGATGCCAATCCCGACGAGGTGGCGGTCGTCAAGGTACCCCCCATCGAGTAGGTCGAGCTTCCCGTGCGATGGTGGATGTGGTCCAGATCGGTATTGGACCTGACCAGGGGAGGTCGTGCCCAGCCGTTCCTGGCCTCTTGAGCTTTCAGGATAGCTCCTGCATGTTGCAGAAGGGTGTGCTGCGATAGTGACCGCTGCAGCATGGTTTCGGATGCGGTTTTCTTTTTCAAAATTGGTTTTCGGTCCATGTAGGAATTAGGTGTGTCAAGGCGGCTGGGTGGTGGCGAGACGTCCGACACCGACTCGTCGGTCGAGCTTGAGGTTTTGAGGGGTCCGTAGAGCCATGTTACATCACAGTCCTTCAGCCTGTATGAACGGTCAGTAAAGATCTCAGATCGGCGACGTAGCAGGGACTCACCAGTTCAATGTCTCTGGAGAGATGGTCCCGAGGTTGTGCTTGGCCTTAGCCCACGTTCGCCACGACGCGTTCTCGAGACGCACGCCATTACTATAGTCGCCCCTGCGAGCGGTCACGTAGCGCCAGGAAGCCCAAATATCCTCCTCGCGCCATTCATGAGAGAGATAGTCGACATGTCGAGAGGGTTCTTCCTCAACGGAGGTATCGTCTGCAGCCGGGGTTTGACGAGACCGGGGTGTCGCGGAGCCTTCAGACGCATCGCTCATTACATCGGACTCCTTTGCCGAGGCGCCCTCGTAAGCGGGTAATGTTAAATCGTCATCGAGAGAGAGCGAGAGGTCGCTGATATTGGGAGTGTAAGAGCTGTCGGTCGGGGTAAAGTTGGGGGAAGGCGGGAGGGAAGAAATTGCGGAGGCGACGGGGCTGGGGCAGTCCCGTGCCGGATAGACATTTTGCATGGGCTCAGACTTGATCCGGATACCAGAGTCGTGGAGAAAATAGTGCTGGGCAGTTGGCGAAAGATCCGGGGACAATGACTGCCGGGGAAGCAATACGGCCGTCATTATTCCGGATATCTCAGAGAGCAACACCAACGTCCATTACATAGAGCAAGAGGGAAAGAGGGAAGGGAAGGGAAGGGAAAGGGAGGAAACAAGAATGGGAGAAGAAAGAGGATATATGCGGGGAGGCGAGAGCGGGTCTGGAGTTCAATAGTTCCGAGTTCAGAGAGTCCAGAATTCAGAATCCCGAATTCCAAGAATTCTCCAAGAATTCCCAGTTTTCGTTATCTATCGCACAAGGTGGGAGGGGAAAAGAAAGCCAAACCAGAATCCGGAGATGTGGGTGACACACTGATATGTACGGCTCTTCTATCTCTGTCTCTTCTCCTTCCAAGGTTTGGGGGGGAATGCATTTTTAGATTCTGCATTTGCCTGTTACCCTGTTACTCTGCTCCAGACCGGACCGATAATACCTTCTCCACCCGCTAAAGCACGCCGTGCGTAACGAGCAGATCCTAAGTGGAGCTCGAACGTTGGAGGCAAACTCGGAGCATCACGGAGTCAAATATAGACGGTCTGAGCACTGGATTCATTGGACTCATTGATTGCAGGCATTCATGAATTCATGAATTCATGGATGTGAATACGGGTCTGGAGATGGACATTCATGGGTTGCACAACTGCAGTACCAGACATGGTCAGGTTCTAGAATGACTTCAATGCCAGCCCTGGCTGCTGTTGTGACACCGTTGACCGCATTCGGACAGGGTTATCTCCCCCTCCTCATTCCAGAATATCCTGATATCTGCTCGGTCACTACTGGTTCACCCATTGTCCTGAACCACTGGCTCACTGATACGACCGTGCGATGCGCCCAGAAACCCCCGATCCTCGATCGACGGGCCGCTCTGGTTGCACGGGCCTTGCTGTGCTGTACTCGCCAGATAAGCGGGATTCCGAAGTATCAATGACTCCGAGGCTTGATGTCCGGGATTCTGGTGGCGTCTGCCCCCGTCTGCCCCGGCCACTCGCGGGAACCCAGCGAACCCAGAGATCAAACTCAGTTTCTTCACCGTGAAAGCAACCCCCGACTGCAAGCTCCAGACCGAGATGGACGTCCAAACGGGGGCAAATTCCAATTGCCTTTTGTCTGTGCGCGCGCATCGGTTTTCATCGTGTCGGCCCAGAGGCCCGTCTAGATCTTGATTGGCCCCGACTAAAACCCTCCCCTAAGAGTGCATTCGGCTGGACCCAGGGAATCGCCTCCTACAGCTGCATGTCGCCGCGCACCCAGAGAGAGGGTGTTCGGGCCTTCTCTACCCTGCTTGAAACGCCCTTTGCTCCTCCCGAGCATCCACCGTAATTGGGCTTGGGGCCCTTTCCCCCTCCCTCTCCCCTCTTCGCCCCCATTTCCCCTACATATTATCCCAACATGGAGAGTTCGTTTAATTATGCATGACGAAGGTGACGTGCAAATTGACGCGAGTCTCCACGGTCTCCACGGGCTCCCCCTGACAGGTCAATCCCCACAGTCCTCATTGGCCATTCAGATCTATACTCGGCAGCACGACATCCCTAGGCCTAGGGTTAGCGCTCGAGGCTGACTCGACTCGGGGGCCTGGCCGCCGTCGTCTCAAGAGGATGCCCTCGTCCTGAATTTCCAGGGCAAGTGGGCTGCGAGACCATTCAACATGCATCGACCCCTGGCTATCTTATCCGAGCTCAACGGCGATGCGGATCTATCATCAACCGGGCACCAATTGGCGCCGTGATGCCGACCTCGCCCCCGTGTCGCCCCCGTTCTATTGCCTGGTACTATGACTGATGCAGATGCGGATGCAAGGCAACGGTCCGGCGATTTTTGCATGGCCCATTAGCAATCGGACAGGGCTCCCCCGTCGGCTACCTTGGTGATAACAATCCCAGAAAATCCTGTTGTCATCTTACGCCATCATGAGCGGGGTATGTTTATGAACGGGGCAGAAAGCCGGGGGTTGAGGACCGGGGAAGAGAGTGGCCGGGGGATCTATCAAATTCCCGTAAATCTCGTCCGGGGCCCCTCACCCCGACGTTTAGCATAGCGATTGGTGCCTAGTACTCGACTATCAGTCTATCAGTCTATCAGTCTATGCGATTGACGCAGGAGCACAGCCCCGGATTTAGATCGTTAAATAATCTACCCAGGTACTTATCCACTTATCTCTAATCTCCAGTCTCATCTCCTAATCTCAAATCATCCCCCTGCTATCTCTCCATTGAGTTTCTCCGTATATCTGCAGATATTTTATTATGGGGGCATCCGAGTATAGCGCGATGACGCTCAACTGAAACAATTCCAACCTCAAGTATCAACGTACCCGAGTCTAGACTTCTGTTAGCATTGCGAGTCAGCTCCCGCATGATCTAGCGTTCAAAGGTGCTTCCGCAAAATATCCACCCCCAAGGCCCTTAAGTATACAAACATCCCACTAGTCCACTAGCCCCTTAGTCGTGGATCCGGCCCATTTATAGCGCGAATATACTTCTTCTTCCGACTCTTTTTCGGCGTCGGGAGACTGCGGGATACGATCATGTGACTTTAAATCTCCCAAACAGGCTAGCGGATGTGCCCCTCGCCCCCGCGCGTGCATTCGAGCTTGAGCTTCGATAAAGCAGTCTCGAATTACCGTGATTTTACTGAAACAATGGCTGAGGTAGATTCTGGCCCGGTCGAGCCCCAGGCCCGGCACATCGTCTATTGCGGAGGTGAGTACCCCGGTGGCGCCTTAGTCTTTGGAGAGTTTGCGTTAGCTAACGGAATCTATTCCGAACAGTGTGCACTTTGCCCCCCGAGTACTGCGAATTCGGCGGTACCGCTAAGAAATGCGAAGATTGGTTGAAGGAAAAGCACTCGGATCTATGGGAGGGTCTCTACTCCACAGGTACGAGCCCCGTGTTTTGAGGTGGGATTTTTCTCTAACTCGCGAGGCAGATGCTGTGACCGCCAATTTGTCCACCCTCTCCGTCTCTGCCCAGGAACGTGCCGCGAAGGACGCTGCTAAGAAGGAGGCTAAGGCTGCTCAGAGTGAGGCCCGGGATGCCGAGAAGAAGGCTGCCTCCAAGGTCCTGATCAAGCGGGTCGAACGCAACAAGCGCAAGTATGTCACGGTCCTTCTGGGATTGGAGGTTTTCGGCCTCGAGAACAAGAAGATCGCCAAGGATCTCGGCAAGAAGTTCGCCACTGGTTCCTCGATGACCCGATCGCCGGCCGGTGCGGAGGAGATCACCGTGCAGGGAGATGTCAGCGACGATGTGCGCGAGTGGCTGCTCGAGGTGCACGGAGACAAGGTCCCCGCGGCGAATATCGAGTTGATTGAGGATAAGAAGAAGAAGAAGACTGAAGGCGCTGTTTAGATTGGGGGAAACAAAATTATCTCTAATGACGACAACGAAGCTTGCGGATAGGGTATCATGACATGACCAGATTAAAAAATTATACAAATGCACTACAGCCTGCCGAATGCACTACAACCTGCCAGATAGTACCTTATAACTCATCCAACACTCGGAAGGGATCTTCTGTGGCCGCTGCAACGGGACCTGCCCGGGTGGTGCTGACTGTGACGCTCGAGGCTTGGAGGCTTTGTAGACGGTCTTCCAAACTCGACGGGTAGCGTGATGGACTGACCTCACTATCGCCATCCACTGCGATGGCAGATTCCCACATAAATGTCTGATATGAAGCGCCGCTTGAGGACTGGTTTGTTGCTTCTGTCGGCAACGGATGGTTCCCATCTGCAACGAGAGCAGGCCAGTTCTGGATCACCAGGGCGAGCACAAGCACCAGGAATGCACTCCCCATGACAGTCCAGAAGATACGCAATCGACGGCTAACGCGCGACTGCCACTCTGACTCCCTCTGCTCCCAGCTGTCAGTCTGGGCTCGGACAGCGTCCAGCCGACTACCCAGATCCTCCACGCGCTCCCTACCTCGCTTCATCCGCTCCTCCAGCGCATCGACCTTTTGGATCTGCGGCTCAAATCCCTTCAGATCATTGATCTGTTTGCGAATCTCCTGGTCCAAACCGGCCGTCTCGCGCTCGAAATCGCTGAGTAGTTTAGATGCAGAGTCGGAAAGGTCTTGGAACGACGCAATTGTTGAGTTAAGAGCTGTTATCTTCTCCAACAAGTTGTAATACGTGTAGTCGAGTCGACGTGTGACGTCAGTCGCTTGAGATCCTATCGAGGAGAGGGCAGACCGGAGATACCTACAGCGTTGAATCATCAGCTTATAGCTCCTCCATGGTAGGTCAATAGTATTTCACTTACTCCTCGCCCTGCTTCCTCCGCTTCTTAACCAGCTCCAGATCATCCATAGACTGAATCTCCTGTCTTCGAATCGGTCCCAATCGTTCATGCTGCTCAGGTGCATCCAGCAGGCTCCCCTTCCGACTGCGACTAGTCGACTCGGAACCCCATCGGGAACGCGTAGTCTCCCTCGTAATCGGTCTCAACAACCCATCATCACCCTCGCGCTCCTTCTCCCTAGACCACGTAGGGAGTAGTCCCCGCGCACTGGCCGAAGACGCAAGATGACTCATTTGTCGCGGAAGACGGAGTTCTCGTGATTTGCTATGCTTGTGTTTCGGCTGTTTGGCCCCGGTCTCGTCGATACCTAGCTCTCGTGCACGGCGCGTATCCTGGGTGTCGGGAGTGTGTTCCTCAGTCGTACGACGGACATGTCGGCGGGAATGGCCGTTGGCTGAAAACGGCTCCACGGAGATTGGGTCATTGGGTCGTGGGCCGGGGGTGCCGTGGGTCAATGGGAAAGTGGCGGATGAGGATCTAGTGGGCGATAAGGGAGACTTGAGGTGGGTGTCCATGTCATCTACCACATGTTTTGGTCGGGTTTGAAACTTGAGTTTGAAGCTTGATGTTGGAATGTCTCAAAGGTGAGACTTGTGACTTGCGGAGGTGTCCTGCCAAGCCGTGCCGATCTGCAAGATCGATCGATATGACATTTCAAATATTGATCATGATATATACCTAGGTATATACTTAGCCCTAGAGGAAGGGCACTGGTCATCATACTTCGGATGATCTGATGCTCTAGTATTTGATACTCAATTTTTGGTGTTTGTTTACTCAAATACTTTCATATCCAGGCGGAATCCGGGCCTCTCTCTAAATTTAGGTCTCTACTCCATCCCACGGGATACTCCAGGATATGCATGATACACGCAGAGTAACATTTATGTCGATATCAAACATTAGACTCGCAACATTGAAGAGAAATTTTTTGTAAACCAATCCCAGAAACGCCAACCAGCCTTTTATCGGACAGAGATGGTGGCCGTGTATGCAGTGTGATCCTAGACAGGGACAAGCTCATGAGTTGAGCAGCCTGTTGCGCTTCTCGCGGCGCTTGAGACGCTCGACCCGCTTCTTGTGCATCTTCTCAGCCATCTTCTCGTAACGAGCCTTCTCCTCCTTGGCGGCTCTACGGTCCTTAATGCGCTGGATGCGGGCCTGTGGCGGGTTAGCAATTGCCTTCTTTAGAGAGTGTGTGGTTGCTATAGACGAGCATCATGCTAGACAATAGGTATAGGATAGCTCACCTGACGCTCAGCCGTAGCCTCGGCCTTCATCTCACGTTCACGCTCCTTGACAGCATCGTTGAGCTTACGAGCTTCCACCCGCTTAGCGTAAGAGGTAAGGCCCGCTTTAGGGCGGAAAGCCTTCTTGCTGGAATCATGCCAGTTTTTTCCTGTTTCGGGTCAGTCGGGAGAACGAGCAGTGGGGTCGCGACCTCGGCCTCGGGGACTGACCGTTCTTGCGCATCCCAACGGACGCGGCACCCGCCGCAGGCGCGGTCGCCGGAGTTGTGGCGATCTCGGTAGACATTTTGTATGGGGAGTTGTTCGAAACGAATCGACACGAACTTCCAGGGTAGACGGGGAAGGAAATGTAGGGTTCGGGGCAGAAAGATGAAGCCGTTCGCCGCCTGTCACCAAATGAAATTTTCACGCGGAGATTATCTGATCGAGATAACCGGGCTTGGCGGACGCTAACAGAGAAAAAAATGAACTTGGGCACTTTCCCTGCTCCACTTCAGGTGTATTTCTCGCCATCTTTCTCCATCTGGACTCCAACTTTCGCAATCTTTTTCGCGCATGAAGGTCTTGGCGTCGTCAGGTCGACAAATCCTTAGTCGAGCGTGTTACACCGCCCCCCCTCGGTGCCTCGTTAACCCCCCCACTTCACATCAGACCTGAAGGCCCGAAGAAATCGCTCAACTCAAATACTCCCCCTCTTCCCTCCCCCGCCCTCATCCCCCCTGTTCTCCTTTCGAATCATGTCCCGATAGCCCGATACTTTTGGGTGACTGTTGGAAGCCTTGATGGCGGCGACCGAGCATGCGATCCCCGTCCATGAACCGATGGAACTCCCATCTCTCCCGCCCAACCAGGGGTTGGAGGCGATGAAGGATATTGTGTTCGGCTCCGTGAGTGGTGCCATACCCCTGGAATAATAGACATCTGCTGACCGATTCAGGCTGCTGGCATGGCAGGCAAGCTGATCGAATACCCCTTTGACACCGTCAAGGTTCGCCTTCAATCTCAACCCGCACACCTTCCTCTCCGATATACCGGTCCCCTGGACTGTTTCCGTCAGTCGTTCCAAGCAGATGGCTTCAAGGGACTGTATCGCGGCATCAGTGCCCCCATGACGGGTGCCGCCGTGGAAACCAGCTGTCTTTTTTTCAGTTACCGCCTAATCCAGGATGCAATGCGCGTCACAGTATTTCCCGGGATGGAACAATTGCCTTTCCCGGCTCTTATTGCTGCCGGCGCTGCATCAGGCTCTGTGACTTCATTGGCACTTACGCCAATTGAGCTCATCAAGTGCAGGATGCAAGTCCCTGTCGAGGCGGGATGTTCCCCCCTCGTCCCGCCGCGCTCATCGCAGCCGTTTTCCGACAGGACGGACTGATTGGATTTTGGCGCGGTCAGACGGGAACTCTCATCCGAGAGACCGGAGGCAGTGCCGCCTGGTTCGGTGGCTACGAGGGTGTTTCATCCCTCTTCCGGAAATACAACTCGTCCAGTTCCCACACCGACTCTCTATCCGTCTGGCAGCAAATGATTGCTGGAGCCACGGCGGGCATCAGCTACAACTTCTTGTTCTACCCGGCCGATACCATCAAGTCGCGCATGCAGACGGAAGATATCTCGCGCCTCCCAGCCAACGGGGAGCGACAGACCTTTTGGAATGTCACTCGGTCCGTGTGGAGGCAGCAGGGCTTGAAGGGCATGTATCGCGGGTGCGGGATCACTTGCGCACGCTCAGCTCCCAGCTCGGCCTTTATCTTCTCTGTTTACGAAGGATTACGATCATATTTTTGATGAGTTAAGATGATCCGTCTTGATGTTATACCTGGTCCCAGTGCTGTTCTGCTTGATACCCTTTCCCGATATACCAATCCACCTTGCCCCTGATGCGATCGCGTGCTGTAGCCGGTCATCCACACTATTACACCATAAACTGCTCCCACTATTCCCCTCGCCCTCTCGCTCCCTCGTCCACTGGCGATGCAATGCAACCTGGACTCATTCGGTGCCCATCGGCTTGCTCCAAAGCCAAAAAGTCCTTGATCACATAGAGCTATCTGCTCGATTCTCATAGATGACTACACGGAGATCTATCTGGGATCTCGTTATTTGATTTGGGTATAGAACAATTCTTCTGAACATAGAATACCACAATGTATATGGCCTTCTCCTAATCATCCATGTGCTTCCTTTCCTGCCACGGCAACGATGCTCATTTCACCATATCCCCCGGTAGCTGCAGCATTAAGATAGTCCTGCACCGTCATTGCCAGTCCTCGCTCACTCAACAGGTCCTCTTCGAGTGTTCCTCGCAACAACGGTCCATTCATACCCCCATTCAACTCCCACACTTTCTCGCCCCTCTGCACGAAGGCTATAAAATGATGATGGTTCTCATCATGCGGTGACGGCGCTCTCGAAGACCCCGAAGCAGCAGCCTCCATATGCGCCTTCTCCAAGAAGGTTGAAGTGTAAAGCAATTCTGCCCTCTCAGCCGGTGCAAGCTCAACCGCACTTTCCCTCAGACCATCCAGCTCCGATCCCGGCACGAGATAGTTTTCATCCAGATTAAACACACTATGCAGCAACGCCATCAGACCACACGCATGACCGATCGTCTGTTTCATCCAAAAAACAGGTTCATCGCCAGAGCCCTGATACTCCGGTATCGTAGGTATCACAGCCTCTCGAGCAGCGACATAGATAGGCCTATCTGCAAGTAGAACCAAAGCATGAATGGGACGTGGTATCCATGCTAGTAGCTCGGGAGTTGTGGATAACACATCGTGGAATGTGAGGCCCGGGGCGAGACCAAGGTTCGAGCAGAGATGGGATAGCACTTCCGGGTTATTCTCTACGCTAGGTTAGTGGGTCTGCATCGGACTTTGCAAGTGCAAGGGTATTACCGAGAGGGATGAAAGTCTTGCGGCCGTTGACCAGCTCGGCCTTTGGGAGAGACATCACTAGTGAGGAGATGGATGGCCAAACTTGAAGCTGGAGCTAGAGCTGGAGGTGCAGGTGGAGCGGGGTCTTGTAGGGCTGAATATCCCCACTTCCACTACTCTTTTTCTTTATTCTTCTTCCCCACCCACCAGGTCCTTCCAAGTGTTTACATTGTCTCCTTGGTCGGGCTGTAACTTCCTTCCGAAGTGACACACGATACTACAGAATGAACTCATGACAGACAGGTCTTATCCGGCATGACTTCCATGACCTCCCTGACCTCCACGACAACCTCCGAGCTAGGAACCGGCTTTTTAAATTCCCAAACCTCGCAATTTCCGGGAAATCATGTTGATTCGTGAATAGCTCCGTTCAAGCGCTAATCTCCAAGGTCCTCAAGACACTCGGAACTCGAAGCGAGCGGAGCCGCCCTCGTTTCTGCCTACCAATCCTACAGAAAACGATAGTCATCTACTGAGTGCTTCTCCACTCTTCTCCAGCCCTATGAGCCCCATTGCATAGCCCAAGGTCCTCGCGCAGCTTTCTATAAGATATCTTGCAAAATCATTCTCGACATGTATCCTCATTCATCTGACCTGGAAGACTCGCGAGATGTCGACCTTCGATCCTACCAATGTCAATTTGAACACGGCCAGGACGGAAGATGTGCTGTGTTATTTGGAAGTCTCCTCGAATGACTACAATGGAAATCTCGGTGCTCGTATCTCCTCTATCTTTGTGATTCTCCTCGTCTCCTCGGCCTTTACCGTCTTCCCAGTCGTCTCCAAACGCATGACGAGATGGAAAATCCCCTTCGGCGTGTACATCTTCGCTCGCTACTTCGGCACCGGTGTCATTGTGGCCACTGCATTCATCCATCTACTTGACCCGGCCTATAAGCGAATTGGTCCGAAGACCTGTGTCGGGGAATCGGGATACTGGGCTGAGTATTCTTGGTGTGCAGCGATTGTACTAGCCTCTATCGTGGTCATCTTCTTGCTCGACTTGGCCGCCGAAATCTACGTGGAACGCAAGTACGGGGTGCACAAGAATGAAGAAGCCACCAACGCCTTTATCCAGCACGAACATCATCCCGAGGTGCAATCTGCCCCAGAATCCGAGAAAGCAATGCACATCTCCAATGAAAAGCGCACAGACACGTTCTTCTCCGAAGATGGAGACATCGCCGAACGGTCCTTCAGACAACAGATCGCCGCTTTCCTTCTACTCGAATTCGGTATCATCTTCCACTCAGTCATCATCGGCCTCAACCTAGGCGTCACCGGCTCCGAGTTCTCAACCCTGTACCCGGTCCTAGTCTTCCACCAGTCCTTCGAGGGTCTCGGTATCGGAGCTAGAATGTCCGCTATTCCATTCGGTGAACATACCTGGCTTCCTTGGTTTTTGTGTGCTGCTTACGGCCTGACAACTCCGATCTCTATTGCCATTGGCCTGGGTGTGCGGACGACATATGAACCTGGTTCCAAGGTGTCCTTGATTATTCAGGGTGTCTTGAACGCTGTGTCCGCGGGCATCCTGATCTATAGTGGTCTGGTGGAGTTACTCGCTCGCGACTTTTTGTTTGATCCCTGCCGCACCAAGCGTCGTTCGAGACTGTTGTTTATGGTGACTTGCACTTTGTTGGGAGCCGGCATCATGGCTTTGATTGGAAAGTGGGCTTGAACGAAGTATCATTGAGCGATGCATGGAAATATAGAGATGCAAACGTTTGGTTCCATCTGAAGGAAAATACTGGTAGACATATCAATCATTGACACATCACATTAAGCCCGAAGTCTCATACCTCCCACTGCAGTCGGTATATTCGTATATCCGGAAATTGCCTCCGAATATCCACATCTCCAGCCCTGGTGTATCCAAATAGGAGAGCCCTAAGAAAGAGGTTACCTGAACATAAGTAGAAACCGCCGGTCCTCGCAACTCCAGATTTAGATGGTCAGCCAACATCGATGTGTAGAGTCTCCGCGCATTCCCTGGTGCAATAAAGCCGCGCCGATCCCGGCTCGGCCATTGAGATATAGAATATACTCGATACATACAGGCAAAAGTCCACTTCCTAGAACCTATTCATCCATTGGAAGTTGAGCTAGGCTATCAACGCCCCAAATCCATGCTTGTTCTGGCACCAACCCGCTTCCAGGACCGAGTAAATCCGGGAAGTTTGATTCAAGCGGGATGCTCATCTCATGATTTGAGAGCACTGTACATAAGTTTAGATTACCACCTGGGTATAAACGGCGTTACTGTAACGTACCTTGGTCAAAGTCGAAAAGGGCCTGTGACATGGCCGGGTCTTCTATGTAGTTGAACATATTTTCCTCGACAATGGTTGCGGCAGCAAGTGTCTGATCCTGGACACTCTCGTCCAGGTCTTGTCTCGCCTGCTCATCTCTAGGAGCAATTTGGGGAGACGACGATACTGCATTACCAGAGGATAGCATTTCTTTCAATTCCTTCTCCATCAGTAGTCTCGTTAGTTTCTCCAAAATCTCCAGGCCCTGTGCAGCCAGAGTAGAACCAGATCGCGACTTCAAATGCGCCTGCATGCTGAGGAGTCGACGCAATCCCGTCTTCGATTCATAAGATTGGGGAGCTAGAGGCTCGATGCTTGTCAGAATGCAGAGCATGACACCAGCAGTAAAAGTATGAATGCCGATGAATGCCGCTGCATATGTATTGACAGCAAGGGAAAATATAGAGGTCGATTCAACATTAGACGTGCTTAGAGCTGCATCCCGACAGGCTTCTAAAGAGAGATGTAAAGGGCTTGTGGCCAGGTGAGTATTCTCAAGTCCGGAAGCGGTGGGCATCGTCTTAAACGCAAGCAAAGGTCGATGTACAAGAATTCTTGCATTTTCATAGGCGAGTTTTAGGGCAAGTGCCTGAAGCTGATAAATGTGGTTCTCAAACTTGGGGCTTGAGGCACCAATATCGCGATCCATCTCCTCCACTGATGTGTATGATAGACCAGGCAGGCCGGTGTTGTTTAGCTGTAGCAAATCAGGAATCTCGGTATTCCATCTCCGCAATCTGGTATCTAAAGCAGAGACTCTTCGAATGAGATTGTGAAGACCAGAAAAGCCGCCTGATCTGTCTGGATGGGTATTTCCCTTCAACGATCCGAGTCCATACAAATCCGTGAGAATATTTTTGATCAAAACAGAGAGCTTTGACATCAGATACTTGTAAGAGAGAAGACTGGCCGGGTGCTGGTCTGTTGCATCAGAAGAAGCAGGAGACTGTGTAGGAGCAGACCTGGCCAGAGGGTCCAATAACTCTACATCACAGTCCGAATCCTTGATGCTATGCGGATAGCCATAGGACATGGAGCAAAAGGTCTCAATCTCATAGATAGCCCACCAGCAGCGTTTCCGAGTCTCGTACTGCCGTTGCATTTCTGACGACATTGATCCCGCCTGGGGAAGCTTCCGGTGCAAATTCAAGGCCTGGGCAATTCGCAACCCACAGCCGCATACGGGCCATGCAAGCTCGGAGTTACCATGATAGAGGTAGTAAGTTCCCAGTAAGACGCAGGTCTGGACAGCCTCTAATGAGCCCACGGAGACAATATCGAGAATTTTTGCTCGTATTGTTGACAAGATCTTACCCTTCATATCCATGGGGGATATGCCATATGCCTCCAGCAATTGCAGCCGATGAGCACCCAAGTATGGCAGTGCGATCGCAATCACCACTAGAAAGGTACTGATAAAACCAGGGTCCGGGTACGCGTCTGTGAGCTGCTCCCTGGGTGAGTCATACAATTGTTGCCAGGTTCGCCGGAAATCATCTTGGTGGAAAATAAGCATGAACCAGTGTACCCGATCAAAGTAGGTGTCCACCAGTAGAGATGCAACTTCGCGAGAGGGAAACAGAGAGGCCAGCTCTGCTGTCACTGACCGTGATACTTGGAGCCCTGGACCTGGAGCCCACAATCTCAGCTGAGTTCCGACTGGACGAGAGTTGCTAGCTCCGGAACTATCCGACTGTCTTCTTTGGCCTCCAGGTAATGCATTGGTCATCGATGTGTTTGGGGTAGTGGTATTGTGAAATTGAAATGCCTGGTTTCATCGGTAGCTGTTCCGCTCAGTTTGTTGTCGATACATACTCCTTCCACTAATGACATGGTCGAGCTTGACCACGGTTGCTCAGCTATGTTTTTATCGCCATTCAGTCGTGAAGTTCTATTGCGCCTGGTGACAGGTCTTCGGTCAAACTGTGGCGTCTGAACCGCACGCCATTGATCTGCCGTCTCGCAGCTGGCTCCGGCACGGACACATAGAGTGCATGGGCGTCGAATGTCGCACTGTCAGGTCAGCAAGGGTCTGGAATAATAAGAAACTTGGCATACTTTGAGCTTCTGGCGACGACACCTCTGACATGCACTGCCCACTTTAGAGCGCCTGCTTTCTGACACCATTGCGTGTATTGGTAGGTAGGTGCAAAGTCAAGGAATGAGACCCCGAAAAGGAAGTGATTCCGGTGGATCCGATGACAAAGCTTCCGGGATGGAAAGCTCAACATTCAGGAAACAAGCGATGATCTTAACATATTATTGGAGGCAAAATAAAGGCAAAGGAGGGAAAGAGACATTCTGAAGTACCGAAATTGTTTTCAGTGAATCCTGCTGTATGTATCTGCTCTGGCTGGTTGAGTTCCAGTCCCGGGTCATCTGACTTCGCGTTCTTAAACAGGAAGTTATTCCACCGGAAGATTCAAACAGTATAGAAAAGTATAAAAGGCATCGTGTCGTTCCATCATGGCAGGAACGAATCTACAAGCGCAATCCAAATCACAACATGTCCACCGAAAACACCATCACGGTGACCCTATCACAGGTCGCCAAGATGATCGACCACTCGCTGTTGCATCCAACTATGACTGACGCCGATACCCTAGCCGGCCTCAGGATCGCCAGAGACCATAATGTCGCAACGGCCTGCGTGAAGCCCTACATGATCGAGCTAGCCAAGAAAGAGCTGGCTGGCACCGATGTGCTGGTTTGTCCGGTCATCGGCTTCCCACACGGTAACAGCGCCACCGAGATCAAGGTCCAGGAAGCCACCGCTGCGGCCCAGGTCGGCGGACAAGAGATCGATATGGTTGTCAACATCGGCAAAGTCCTTGGTAGAGACTGGGAATATGTCGCCCGAGAGATCGACGAGGTCAATCGTGCCGTTATGCACCATGGGGCCATTCTCAAGGTGATCTTTGAGAACGATTATCTGCAGGCTGAGCATATTATCCGGCTCTGTGAGATTTGCACGGAGCTCAAAGTTGCCTTTGTCAAGACCTCTACCGGCTACGGATTTGTCAAGCAGATGGATGGATCCTACAACTACCTTGGGGCAACCGTGTCGGATATCAAGTTGATGCGGAAGAACTCAGGTTCCAAGGTCCAGATCAAGGCGGCGGGAGGTGTTCGAACTCTGGATGATCTTCTTCATGTTAGGAGTTTGGGAGTGACACGGATCGGAGCCACAGCAACGGTGGCTATCTTAGATGAGGCGAGGAAACGAGGTATTGGCCATGAGCCGATGACGGTGACGTTCAAGCCCATGCAAGAAAAGGTCGGGGGTTACTAAGTTAGGGGGGTTCCTTTGCAGCCACGATAGAATTACTCTCATGGATTTCAAATAGGCTGAAACATTGCACTTTAATATTTTTCCCGAATATCTTCATGGGTAATTCCAGATCATCCTGAACATCTTCTGATCTGGTTTCCAAGCTACCATCAATACCATCAAGCTTCGATACATCGAGAGACCAAGTGCATCAGCCGAACCTACCAAAAGACCCAGAGCTAACTGAGGTCTATTTACAGTATTTCATTCATCTTCCCTTGGCTCTGACTATGGCATCGTATGCAATGTTCATTTCCCTTTGCCACATCTTAATTACTACATCAACCAAATAAATTTCAACCCATTCAACTCCCTCACGGCGCAGTCATCCTCCTCCTGTGGGGCTGAAGGTCAGACTCAAGTTCAGGGACATTCAGGGACATTCAGAAGGTCTGATCCCCTAATCCCAAAAAAAATACGCCCGCCTCACTAAGGTTGCGTAGTTGGGATCTGGCCACTCTGTGACGTATTCGGGACGCGACTCGGCTACACGTGACAGGGCTATGCGCTCGCAGTGGGCAGAGGGTTTTGTTCACGTTGTCCTTAACTATTAGCAATTTCCTCATCAAATATCATCAAAGATCAAGAGACTTCAGTCGGGGCCAAAGTATATCCGGACTTGGCAGGGCGGGGTAGCGCTGTTACCATTGGTGTAGAGGTGGTGATGCACGCTACTTCTGCAGTGTTATGCATTGTACGCAGTGTCGAGCAGGAGTTTTCGTGGATCTGGGATCTGGCCTCGCGGGGGTCGCGGCCTATTTTGGTTTCATCCACCACCGACATCATTGATCACCCAAAACTCGTCGTTTCTGGAAATATTCGCCAGCGACCCCGCATCACGCAATTGTCCGGATCAATTATATGAGAGTGAGATCTTATACCTCCAGGGATCTAGTATAAGAACGAGGATCCCTCGCGTGCAAAAATCAGAACAAATCTATCAAACTATACATACTTACGCGCAGCAGAGCACGCCCAGACACGCCTTCGATTTAAATCCCCAGCGAATCCATTGACACATCCTCGCCATGTCCGCTCCAATTCCTGCTCAAAACCTATATCTTGGCCAAGCCCGTGCCACCAAGTCAGTCGATGACTGCATGTCAATCTACGACAAATGGGCTGCCACATACAATGACGAGGTTGGAGATGCGGCTCAAAGCTACGTGGCTCCGGTCTTGGTTGCCCAAGCCGCTATTAAATACAATTCAACCACCAGTCCTGCCAACAGTGTCATCCTAGATGCTGGTTGTGGAACCGGCCTCGTGGGCCAGGCTCTTTCAATCGCCAGTGCAAAGGCAATTGACGGCATTGACCTGTCTGCTCCCATGCTCGACGTGGCCCGCAAGACTGGTGTTTATCGAAACCTCGATCAGGCGGATATGAACCGTCCCATCAACCAGGCAGACAATACCTACGATACAGTTGTATGCGTCGGCACTTTCACTCTTGGTCACGTCGGCCCGGACCCTGCCTTGAGAGAACTCGTCCGTGTGACCAAGAGAAAGGGTATCGTGGTTGCCACGATCCTCGAAGAGATCTGGGTCCCGGGCGGATTCAAGGATGAGGTCGAGAAATTGCAAGCGGAAGGACTGGTGAATGTGGTCTCGGAGGATTTAATAGACTATGTAAAGGGACACGGCGACAAGGCAGTGCTATTGATCTTAGAAAAGATCCACCGTGCCTGAACGGCCCAAAGCGACTTTTCAACTGAATGAAACCCCATGCAACATTTCAACAACTCCCAGCCTCCCCCAAGCGACAGTTCAACACTTTAGGCTACCCAACGCAACAACCGTTCGCACCTTCGCACCTTCGCACCTTTCGTACCCCGGTTCGGCTTTGTGAAAGCAGGATCTCCTCTTTAGATTTCAGAATGTAAATACCTTACGCCCGAGGGATTGCAAGCCATGCACTGAATATCTTCCGTACTGAAACTCAGCCTCAAACAATGCCAGTACCAGACCCTATTTCTCTAGATCAATTAACATGGCCCTGCTCACCAATCTTAATTGACAACTTCCAAAGCTACTATAGCGAATATCAAGGATTTCCTCCCACCCTATGCCAACACTAGGATGACCTTAATCAAAAGATGATAAGTGTCGTCAAAACTAACTTCTAGACTAACTCCTAGATATGTTCTGATGATCGATGTGAAGTCTGGTACTGAGGACCTTGTGTGGAACGGGGCTCCAATTAAGCACCTAAATGATCTTGCACAAGAGGTGTATCTATGTCTATATACTCCGATTTAGATGACTAATATTGAAATGATTATACAGCTCTTATACATTTAGACTGTACAGGACTTGTGTCCGCCGAATGTAACGCTGATAGCTGATATCGCGATAAGCACCCCGCTTCAAACATTGAACTTCACCCACGCCGACTTCTTTTACTCCTTCGACTACCATGCCTCCGATCACCAGCCCAGTCACAGCCCAAGAGCTGGAGATTCTCTCCACAAAGGCCATTGAGGCCAAGGGTCGCGCCTACTGTATGTACCCGCCCAGATTCTCACACATCGCTAACCCGTCTAGGCCCGTACTCCAAGTTCCACGTCGGCGCGTGCATCCTCACCGCGTCTGGCGAGTTTGTGGTCGGTGCGAATGTTGAGAATGCGGCATACCCCGTTGGAACCTGTGCGGAGCGTGTCGCGTTCGGTACTGCTATTGTACGTTGCCTGGAGTTTCATGTCTCGGAGAATGGGTCTAGCTAACGGGTTCTAGGTGGCGGGTCACAAGGAGTTCAAGGCTCTTGCTGTTGCCACAGATATCAGGCCTGCTGCGTCGCCCTGTGGAATGTGTCGGCAGTTGTATGTTCTATTGTTGTTGTTTTTTGGGTTTTTTCCCCAACTGGTTTGATCTGGACTGACGTGATTAGTATTCGCGAGTTCACCACCCCTTCGTTTCCGGTTTACATGTATGACGCCGATGGTGCGTACAAGGTTATGACGATTGGCGAAGTGAGTATTTAGTTCCGTTCTATTTCATCGCATGGCTGATCGTCTTCTAGCTACTGCCCGACTCATTTGGCCCGGAGGACTTGCCGAAATGAGACCTAGAAGATTTAGGTAGGACCTAGTATGGAGAAAGAATTAAACCAAAATAATCCCACTGTTGAGCATTATCCACAGCAAACAAATAAAACGATGGCTCTATATCTTAATCCGTATCTGAAAATACGGGGTCCAGCTAGGGGAGGCAAGCCTGCTCCAGCGAAATATGCAATACATAAAAGAAAGAGACCAAAAGACACGCGCTCGTAATGTCACATCAATATTCCAATCACATCAAAAAACATTCCAACTCTTTGAAAATCCATTCGATGGGCATCTATGCCTCATCCTCCTCTTCGAATTCATCCGCACCGAGCAATTCATCCTCGTCGTCCACTACATGTGTGTAGTCACCTCGACGGGCAGCAAAGGAGCCCCGAGTATTGTATGGTTGTTGGTAGCCGCGGCCGCGGGTGCGCGTGATTCCACTAACACTACGCCACAGACTGGTAAGTAGCAATGGAAGTGACTGCGCCACTGCAACGATACCAGCGATGATAGCAATCGGAATTGCGACCAGCGCAGAGTCGCGACCGAACAGGCCTTCGGTGGTAACCGAACCACCCTCACCCAGGCGAATTTGTCCGAACTTGCCGTCCCATCTAGTGTAGACATAGTAACCTATTCCGGCGGCCACGGCGATGGGTATCACAATGGCGAAGAATAGACCAACGCCGCTGATGCCGTGCTTCTTCTCGAACTCTTGTTCCTTATTGGGGCATGGTCGAGGCTCCACCTGGTCATAACGGCGGCCACCGTCGCAGGTTGATTGCGGAATCTTGCGGTAGCCTGTCGGTTCCCAGTACTCAACCAGTTCGGGGTCGTTCTTGCACTGCTCACTGTGGTCGGGCTTAGCAAGTCCTGCTACAAGGCCACAGCTGCCGTCACTCTGCATCTCATAATTGAAGTCACTAGATTTGGTTAGTTCATTGAATGATCATGTATGCTGATGGGAACTTACCATTCAAAGTCCGCACGGGTGCACTCGCAATTCGAGCCGACTCGATGAATGTGTGGCTCTCGCCAGTTAATCCAGCACTGAGCTTCGGGCTTCTTGCGGTGATACTGCTCGACATGTCCGAACAGGCAGACGTCGTCTCCTTGTGCCTCCAGAGCAGGATGCTTAGGAGCCCACAAATAGTAGTCCTTGCTTTCACCCGCATCTTCATCCAGTTCGCACTCGCGATCCCAGATACCACTAAAGTCAAGACTAATTGTGGCAAACTTATTATCAGAGGATTTGGCGTCTTTACCCCACAACAGGAAGCGCTTGGATGTGTCGGAAGGTACAGTCGAGATGTCATCAATGATCATTTCCTTATCCGCGAATTGGAATTCGGTCCATGTGGCCCCCTCATCCAGACTGTAGTGGACGACCTTTGTCGGTTGCAGCTCACGGACAAGCACGATCATAGACCCGGCATCACCATACTCGAACATGTACCGTCCCTTTTTGACGTTCTTCCAGGTAACGCCGCCGTCTCGACTCAGGAAGGTATCGGCCTCGTCAGAACTGCCGAGAGATTCACCAACGTTACCCACGCCGATCAGCATGCCGATAGCGGATCCTGAGTAGAAGGTATCGCGGGCATCGCGACGTTCGGTATAACCGTGGAGGTGCAGAGCGCACTTCTCGGTGCCCTGGCCCTTGGTAACAGAGCATTCGAATTTCTTACCCTCGGCGTTCTCCATAGGCGGTGCGAGCAGCGCCCACTGACCACCGTCATTGTGAGTGATCATAGAACGCAGCTTCTTGTTTGCGCCCTTGTCCTGCACATCCTTGATATTTCCGACAATGTTGGCGAGAGCGACGCCCTCGAGGCCCGCCATCTTCTCGAAATCCACGTAGCCAAAGTCGTTGACGTTCAGCCCCTGGAGACTGAGGGTAAAGTAGGTACCATTGCTGTTACTCTTGACCAAGGAACCATAGCTGCGACCCTTCTCTGTGTTGATCACCACCTGCAAGAACAGAGCATAGTTGGAGCCAGGTAACGCAGTGTATTGGTTGACATCGACATTGATAGGGAAGTGGGCCTGGGCAAAGGTCTGGCCATCCATACTGGTGCTGACATTCAGGAACTTGTGCTTTTCGGTCGGAAAGGTAGCCACAACAAAGAACTCATTCATTTTCACGAAGTGGGCAATGTTGTCGTTGATAACCTCGGTTTTTACAAACCAGTCGTCCTTGGTATTGCTAGAAACCAGCTGACGGTTGTTCTTCCGATCTTCCTCAAAGTACTGCTCGCAAAGAATGAGGGCCTCGCTGTTCTCCCGGCCATCATGGTATCCAAATTGACACTGGTCGACACCACGGAGCATCTTGTGCCATTCATCACCGCGATTCTTGGTGTACCACGCAGTGTAGGTGCAGGAACTGCCCTCACACTCATCGTTGCCGACCCACATCATCCAGTCGATGTGCTCCTCATGGAAAGACAAGGGAGAAGTGTACATTGACATCGACTTAGTGGGCTTCTTGAACTTGTCAAAACTAGCTCCACGGTTGACGGTTGACCAGCCATCGTAGCCGCTGGTCAGGAAATAGGCACCATCAACATAGTGGGGATGAGGGGCAATCGCTACAATGTCCTCGTCCTTGAGCGCCTTGGGCTGTTCCCAAGTCTTGCCGTGGTCTTGTGTCACGTACAGTTCTTTCTTGTTCGTGAGCATGAAGATTGTCTCGTCGTCTCCTTGATTACTCGTCTGTCGCTCAAGATAGAAGTATTCCTTGTAGTTGTTGGTGCTCATGCCAGTAACGGAGAAGTACTGCGGCTCGCCAGCACGAACCTTGCCATCGGCGATAGGAGGTGGAGAGCCGGTGGAGTCTCCACATGATCGTTCAATGTCCTTGTCAAGGTTTTCTCCACCATCGCGGATACAAACATTTCCGGGGATGAGTCGCCAGCCCGAGAGACCCTTATAGGTGTCGGTGGGGGTCTTGCATTGGCCCGTCGGAGGGGTCAAAGGAACGGCCGGCACACACTCCTTGCCATCTTCGCTGAGCTTGAAGTTGTAGTCGCATTCAAAGTCTTCAGCAGAGCACTTGCATCGCTCGAAGGAAGGAGGTTTCATCTTGAATTCCTTCTTCATGAAGCAGTCCGCGTCGGGGTCACGTCGCTGGTAGATCTGCCTGTGACCCATAAGACAGTCGGCTTCTCCCTTCTCATTTTTGCGAGCGATCCAGGGCTTGATGTCGTCGTCTGTACATTGGCGTTCATGGAGACCATCGAAATCAATCGAGTATACAACGACGCCCTTGGCAGCGGCACCGACTAGCATGAATTTCAGGCTTGTCGCGTCCGGGGTGGTTGTGAGATACAAAGGCTTGATCGCCTCCTTCAGCTCTAGGGGCTTCTCCCATTCTTTGCCGTGGTTGAGAGAATATTGAACCTCTTTAGTCTTGCCTTCGTCGGTGACAGCAACAATCACACCGCCTTGATCACCAAATTCGAAATGATGTGGGCCCTTCAGCGCATGACGCCATGTGAGACCAGCGTCGTCCGAAACATAGAGATCGCCATTTTTGTAGTCCTTCAGATGCTCGCCTGTGTTGCCTACGCCCATGATCAGGCCCGGAGCTGGGCTGGAGAACATGCGACGCAAAGTCGGCAACTCACGAAGTGCATCGTAGGTGGTCATTGAATGGAGATGCAATCTGTCATCGCCAACCTTGAGATGCTGGAAGGTTCTGCCGTCATCGAAACTGATATCAGTCACAACCTTCTTCGCTGTTCCGGCTGACTCGAGGGCTTCTTTCCAGTTGTCTACCGTGTTTACAATGACAATGCCCTGGATATCGGCGACCTTCTCGAAGTCCACAAATCCTTCCTTGTCCCGGTTGGTATGTTCGATATTGGGCGTGAAGTAGGTTCCGTTGGAGTTTGAGGTGAAGAGTACACCCATACGATTCGAGTCCCACGTGGTCTGCACATCCACTTGGAGACTGTAATTGGTGCTTTCCAGTAGAGTATATGCGTCCTCCTCGATTCGGTGGCCACCAAACTCAACGCGATGCCATTCATGAGAATCGTCGCTGACGTAGAGAGCCTGTTCGATGGTACTCGCCGACTGGAGTCCGACAACTAGATACTTCTTGACAGACCGAATAAGGATCTGTCTGCCACTGACAGGCCGGCCCCGATCCAGGTTGATTTCGGTGCCGTGCGCGTCATCGCGGAAGTAGTTGTCTGAGTAAACCAAGCGTTCCGTCATATCAAAGGGACTCCGCAATCCGGGGGAGACACAGATAACCCGATCTCCAACTTTGTCCAGCAGGTCGACATCATGCCCGAACTCCGGAGTACCCGCAGCCCAAAGACATGACAAGAATGCGCCCTCCAGGGTGTTATGGGTCTTGAAGTCATCCGTTGTATAGATGGTGACCCTCAAGCATGGGAACGAAGAGCAATCCTTGCCGTGGAAGATCACCTTCTTAGGGTCCCAACCACTGAACATCAAAGGAGCAGTCCGTCCGAGCTTCAAAATCGGCTGAACGCCCGTCGTAAACGGCTTCCACGTCTTTCCTTGGTCTGTAGTGACCCAGTGAGTGGTACCCTCGCTGAGAGCGTACGCGCGGTGCTCCTTGTCATGCGGGTGTCTCCAAATCACGGCGACTTGACCTTCCATATCTCCATCAGCGCCCTTAATGACCTCCCATTCTTTACCTCCATCGAACGAGATGAGAGCATTCTGTTTGAGAGGGTCTCGCCAGACTATCGTGTTGCTGCTGTCGAAGTAGAACAAGTCGGAGGGCGGGCTATCGAATTCGGTTGAGGACACCTTGGGGTTATCCCCCTTTGCCGCGGCCGGGCCAGCGGCGAATGCTAGCAAGAGCCCGAACACGAGCAACAACCACCTCGGGATCATGACCGCTGATCCTTAGGCATCTGAATGAGTGGTGACGTTGGTTTGGGGAGCCGCCTAAAGTAGCGGGCCGAGCCGGAACAATGGATGGGAATGAGGTGAGAGGGAGGGATGGAATGAGTGATTGTCGATAGAAGCAGGGTTCAATCCTTAAAACACAAGTCACGCAGAGCGCAAAGGAATCCAGATGGCGCGAAAGAGATGACGGAGCTGCGTGGCCTCTGCCTGGGGAGCTCCCCTGTCACGTGCAGCTTATCGGCTATCGCATAGTTCGCGTGTTCCACGGTTCTTTACGCTGTATCCGGAGATCAATTGACGTCAACATGGAAGATATAGATGTAAAGAGTGTTTATATACGAGCCTCCAATGCAATATTTGAAAGGCTCTGCAGCAAAGGAAGTTCTATATACAGGGCGCTGCGAACTGATAGATACAAGAATGGAGTGAAGTCCCATGGTCCGACACCAAACCCACGCTCCAATGCAGAGAGCGTCCTCCATGGAAAGACGCCAATTGAAAAGAAAAAAGTTCGCGCGCTAAAGAGCGAGGAAAATGTAGACCCCAGAGGAGGGGGAGAGAAAGAAATGCTAATTTGTAAGAGGTTTTAAGCTCGCCGTAGGAGCTTGCGCCACATCTTCTTCATCATGCCTGATTCGTCTAGATCTGAATCCCAGATGTGCTGTCTGCGGTCTGCTGGCGGGAGTGCTGCTAATTGCAGTGGGTCTTCCTGTGGTGACTTCTGGGATGAAGCGGGAGACTCGGTGCGAAGGTCCGGTCGGGTCAAGGTCATCTTGAGAGTCATCTCGCGATTCCCCGGTAGTCGTTGCGGAATAGCTTTTGACCCGGGTAATGACGATTGGCGCCGTTGCAGTAACGACTGATGATCCACCGATGGTTGAGGGCTTTCTCGCATCTGTGGCTGTGGCAGACGTGGTGCGGGTGAATCATCGAACGATCCTCCCGGGCTCCCAATTATAGTCCCGTCATCATCTTCAAAAAAGGTTCCACCAAACTCTGGAGACTCGCTCGCTGGCTTGGGGGTAGCAGGTAGCTCCGGAGTGACATTCTCTTTATCCTGGTCCAAAGAGGGGAAGCCGAACTCAATGGCTTCATCAAACTTCTGTGGAGATGCCAGGTAGACCCGCAGCTTGAGACGAGCATCAGGGTCCTGGTAATACTGCGCACCCGGGTCAATGCTCGAAGTTGACGAACTCGGGCCATGTGATGGTTGACGACGAGAGCCCGGGCGCGAAAGGGAGCGGCCAGTGCTGGCGATCGGACTCAGGGGCGGTACAGAAGGACTGGGAGGCAGTGGACGAGCGGGCATTGAGGCTGTTGGTCGATGCCTCAGAGCAGCATGTGTAGAAATAGAGAGGGAGCGCCGGAAGGAGGGGCGACGGCGAGACTTCAGCCTCGCTGCAGCTGATTCGGCCACATGGGCATGGTATTCGTCCAGTGACAGGTCTAAATCACCATCCTCATCGAGCCAGCGGAAGCTGTCGTAAAGAGACTGATCCATTCTGGGATCAGGATCGTCCTCGGAATCCGAGTCCGAGTCAGAGTCGTAGAAGACGGTCGATGGCTGAGCGACAGATAAAGTGGCTTCTGAGGGATGGCTGTCGTTGGAGGGTCGGCGACTCCGAGTCATAGGTCGACGATAGAACGCCTCGTCGGCAGCGTCGAGGATGACGCTCTCCCGATAGGCGCTGCGCAAACGGATCCGTTCCTCCGGGGAAAAGAGCTTCTGTTGGACTTTAGCGGGGAGAGAATGGAAGCATTGCGAGTCTGCCTCGGCGACCAAGTAGGCCAATTGTAATGAGCCGGGCTTCCGAAGATTTTGAGGTCTATTTTTCTCCAGACGATGCCTCCTCAGGGATGTCGAGGGGTTCCTCGGGTGGAGAGGGCCAGGCCCAGGACGAGTCCGATAGGAGCCATAGTTTGAGAGGGAACTGGGATCGCTCTGGGCTAGCCTAATGCGCATACGCTCAACATTCGAGAAGAACTGGGCCAGTCAGCGGATTGAACGACAAGGTGGGGCAAACAAGCCGATTCGGCCAATGTGCAGAGTTGGGGGTAGCGCCATGGCATGATAGTGCGGGCGATGGTGGCCTCCACCCCTCTTTTCTGACTTTCTGACTTTCCATTCAGGGGTAAACCCGAAGCTACTCGACATGGTGATGTGCAAGGGTGTTCAACACAGAAAGTGTCGGCTCATCGCGTCCAAAAATTGATGTTCTCCGAGACTATCGAGCCGACTATCGATCCACCAGGCAAGGAAGGGAGGGGGCAGTGAAGATTGAATAGAGAATTACTCATACAGGTGTGTGTGTGTGTGTGTGTGTGTGTGTTTGATGTACATACCTTTCTTCTCACTGCTGGAGGCAAAGACTCAAAGTCCTCGCTGGCCGGTAGTTGCATGGATGCGATATCAATGTCGATCTCAATGCCAAGTTCAATAACCCTCACGGTATGCACTGATCAGACGCATAGATGGTGGCGTTCAATGCTCAATGGTAGGGGGTTATATAGTGTAGGTGAAAGAGAAAGCGAGCGAGGCTTCCTGAATATAAAGATGCAGGAAGAGAGGGGCTCCTGCAAGCGCCGAGTGTTCTACAAGTCCTACATGGATGTATTTCAGTATCATGAACCGATGTGCACAGACCGTGATGTGACAAGATCTATTTGGAGACCTGTCACCTTGACGCCCCCCTCAGTGGAGATGTGCGTTGGCCCTTTTCCCCTTCGTAGCCCCCAAAGTACGAGTTCTTTCTTTGCATTTCTTTGTGACGAGTCATGAACGCCTCGACAGAACGGTTCACGTCTACGTGTGCGTTACCATTTTTGTAACTATAGCCGAGCATCCGGAGTACGCTTTCCTCGTGTAAATTAGCTTCACGATAATCAAAGTATGAGACCGGTCATCCCAGAAATCCCGGATCCAGGTTTCTCAAGGTTTTCCCTACGATCTGGTCATCACTGCTGAAGCAAGGACATATGGTCTGTGACTGGTCACCTGCAAGGATCTTCACGGTTTGAAGGGCCTTATATCATGAACTCAACGAGGAAGAGCTGAAACAGCTCGGAGATATCCAGGGCCCAGTAGTCAGCTCTATTTGAAATCTCGGTCAATGAGAAAAAGCAAAGAAGAAAGATAGGGACAAGGGTCTCAGGGAGACAGAAAACGAGAAAACGAGAAAACGAGAAAACGAGAAAACGGGGGCTCCACCAGATCGGTACGCTAATGCGTCTAAGGAATGAGATCGATGAGATCCAGAACGAACGGGGAAAGAGTACGAGTCACAAAACTACCTAGGTAGCTGGCCAAGGTTCCAGAGTTCTATTCTACCTACTCCATAACTACTATGATCATAAATTGGGTTCAAAAATAAGCTGCGAACGGAAACTGAAGTCTCCACTCCTCTATTACAGTGCATTCAGCACTTGCTGCATCGCCAGCGTGTTCGAGTCCTCGCGCCGCGAGACAAACGCCCGCACCTCCTGCACACTCAATTTGGCTTCGGGCCCAGCTCTGCTCGACCCGCCAGACCCTCCGGTCGCTCCACTGGCGGCTCCTCCACGGATACGCTCACGTAGGGCCTCCACACCGATGACAAACAGGCTACCCACCTCTAGTAACACGTCCAGCGCGCCACCGGGGCCTCTGGTCTCCTCGTCAATGTCCCACGACTTGAGCATGTCTGCATATTGTGTCATGTCCTTGGTCACCATCAAGCCGCCGGGTCCGCTGACGGCGAACCGCTTGAAATGCTCCAGCAGCAATCCGCGCGTCCCTAGGGCGATTTCGGTGAGTACCTGACGGACGTTCGCCCCGCTGGCCGGTAACGACGTGCGGGCGATGTTGTGCAGCTTCGTCAGGAACGTACAAATCGAGGCGCAGGTCTAGACTCGAAGTTAGCTTTGGGCGCGGAGAATTGTATGATACAGATCCAATCTGAGTGATATGACCTACCGGGGTTTGTAACATCTCCAGCCATGAGGCGTTGTCACTCTCGCGTGGTCGGAAGTCATTTTTCTTCTGTCCGGAGAGTAAACGACCAACCCACGCGAGCGAGGCGTCGATCGTCTTCTGTTCGATCGTATTGATCTTCTCCTCGATTCGTGACGTCGTCTGGCTCGTGCGCTTTTCCATGTCACGGCGAGTGGTGATGCTCCCGGTCGCTAGGGGCAAAAGCACGGCGTTTACACACATGACCATCAATGTGGTGATGCTAATAGTCGTTCGGACCGATAGGAGATAGCTGAAGTCCGGCTCGGTCTTGCCGGACTCCTGTTGCGTGGCCGCCTCCAGGGCGGCATCGAGGCAAACATCCACGTATCCGTCACCCATGGTCACAAGTAGTAGAGTCAATAGAGCCGACACGTCTTTGTGTGTATCCGAGTTGACACTCAGTTCTAGCCCACGACCCACCGCTTCCGCAAGCCACTTGAGCATGCGCTTGGCGTCACTTAGATTGGGCTGACCGTCTTCGTCGTTGAGTTTGATTTCAGTAAGCTTCGTCGTCTCCGGGACATCGCCTATTTTGGCTACATGCATCAACATCCGCCGTTGAATAGGCGAGGTGTCGTACGAGTCCAGTCTGTTGATGAAAGTATCTCGAGTTGTAGAGAGCAGTTCAGTTCCAGGTCGAGACAGCGACGCCATGAACGTGGTGGCAGCCTTCTTCCGGCGAGCCTGGAAGCAAGTGAATCGGAACAGGATTGCATTGAATAGTTCCTCCAGGGTGCGTTTCTCGCGTTCGATGTAGGATGACCCGACAAAATAGGGGACAAACAGCTCCTCCAACTGTTGGTCGAGCAGCAATGCGCTCTGCGAGGAGATGGGATCCGGGTGCTCGGTCAATCCGTGCGCTTTCAAATCGTCAATTAATGAGCTGATATAGCCCCGTGAGCTCTGCAGGCATCGTAGAAATGCTAGTGACGAAACTCCGCTGGCCTTTTCTAGGACCATCTCGAGTCGCTGCTGAATCGACTGTTGGAAGACGCGCTGCAGGAACTTGCCTAGGACCTGTTCGTAGTAGGGAAAGGCCCTCTTAATAATTGCCGACTCTTCCTGTACCACTACCTTGACCTCGTCTAGCAAAGACTGGAGGCTAGACTCAATACCAGGAAGCTCAGCATCGGGATCGGCCAACTTTTCCCAAGATTCAGCATCACCGCTCACTTCCTCAGTCACCAACTGACTTCGGTCGATAAAGAACTGATGCTGGTTCACGAATAACGCAATCACACTACCACCGCCGTTGAAATCTTGCAACACGGTAGCACAGTCCTTCATGCCATCGAAATTGGCCTTGCGGTAGAATTCGTCGAATTGTTTCAGCAGGTCCTTCTCAAGAGTTTCCGAGAATTTCTCAATGATCTCTCGTGTATTCCGCCGCGGTGTAGGGCTCTCGTTCACAGATTCCGATGAGGAACTCGCTGTGTGGCTGCCATTGGCACCTGGTGGGTTCTCCTGCCAACTCTGCGGATCCAACCGTTGACTGATACGCAGCAGTTGTCGTGCGATGTGTGCCGAGCGCACTTTGGCCTCTCCCGTGCCGGACCGCCGTAGGTTCTCCAGAAGCGAGATCTCGCCCCGGTTACACACCCCGTCCCAACACTCCAACAGGAAGTGGGCATCCAGCGCCCGACGGCGCTGTCGGTCTAGCTCCTCCAATCTCCTTCCAGTTTCCACTGCCATGTTTCCCGTACCCCCGGCATTCTCTAACCCGGCACCATTGAGCGACGTGTCCAGCTGCTGAAACGACTCAATGGTCTGTCGTAGTTTCCGGCCCAACGTGGTGAGGTTTTGTGAATGCTGAGCTTCGGCGCGTCGCACTGCTGCTGAAAGTTCGTTCTCGCGTATCTCCAGGTCCCCCGATAGCTCGCCTAGTCTTCGCTGCGCATGTTCAAACGTGCGGATGAGGGGCTTCGGGTCGAAGGCTTGATTGGCAACGCCGGTGGTTCCGACGGTTGAGCGACGACCGGAGATAGCTGTATCGGAGAGCGCTTCGATAAACTCCTTGACGATAAAGTCGCGACTGGAGAAGTCCTCGAACGTGAAGCTAGGGCCTTTGGGAAAGACAGAGCGGGCGGGGTTCGAGGAGATTATGGATGCATTGTCGGGCATCATGGCGATTGTAGGATGAAGTTCATGAGCCGCCTTGTGACCAGGCACAGTATGTGAGGATCGGCCAGCTCAGGTGTTGATGTGGTAGGATCTCAAGAATCCGGGGAAAGCTGAGATGCGCGCAGTCGGAGGTGCGGGTAAATTTCACCGCAATGCGATTTAAAGTCACCGCCTGCTCTTGATCGTTTGATGCTACGAAATTTATTACCATATGCAATATGTACAAAGTATGGATAGAAATGAGAATATAAATGGTTAGATTGAAAACTCCTAAAACATTAGAACACTGGCCGAGTTGCCTTGAGGTATTTCTTTAGTTACCCGTATAGAACACCTTGGCCTCAACGAAGAGGCAGTGCAAACGATTCTATAGGCAGCCAAGTTAAGACCTAGACCGAGTTGTCCTTGTTTAGATCATGAAGATACATAAACAAGCTATAGCTATAGCTAGGGCGGACTTGGGCTGTGAAACAAGTTGTACAATACATTGTGACTTGCATGTGGACAAGTACAAGACTTCCCAAGGTTCCCGCTTTCTTTTTTCTCCAACAACCGGCCACCATGGTCTCCCAAAAAGACCGCGAGATCCTGCGCGCAGAGATCCGCTCAAGAAACAACAAGCTCAATGCTGCCGACCGTGAGAATTTGTTGAAGCCATACCTGCCCGATCCTGCCGAATTGTCGACGCCGCAACGAGCCCGAGCCTCGACCTCTGCTTCCCAGCGGCGCCAGAAGGCTCGCAAGACGCCCATCCGCACGTTCATCAAGTCGCAGATCCACCACTTGACCTACGCAATTATACACATCATCTTTGGTATCATTGTGCGATTGCTACAGGCCTACCATGCCGTTGTCGACCGTGTCTTTGCCATCGTCTACCATCACCACCGTACGCCCGAGTTGATCCGCAAGGATGTTCGTGGCTTGAAACGACTCCCGCAGCATCTGAGTGTCGTTCTGACACTGCGCACCGAAGATGATGCGCTGGCGGTGCTAATGGACGAGGTGGCCGAATTGACTGCCTGGAGTTCATGCGCGGGGATCCAACAGCTTAGCGTATATGAAAAGACAGGTATGAACACCTCAACCCACTTGCTTAATCTATACTAACTTTACTGTGTAGGCGCTCTCAAGTCCTGTATCCCGGCCCTGCATCAGATCATCACCACCAAATTGGCCTCATACTACGGCACACCCTCCCAGCAGCCTTCTCTCCAACTCTTCGCCCCTCACCACCCCGTTCACGGCGACGTACCTGATCCAAACTCCGAGAACCTTGCCTTCGCACTTCTTCTTTTGTCCTCCACCGACGGCCGTGAGACACTCGTCGATCTGACCAAGACCCTGGCGGAGATGGCACAGAACGGCAAGCTGTCACCGGAGGATATTACGCCTGAACTGGTGGATGCGGAGATCAGCGAGATCACGACTCAGCCTCTTCAGGCCGACTCGGCCTCCGGTGCTGTGAAGATCCTTAAGCCTGAGCCGGATCTCTTGTTGATCTTCGGGTCTTTCTTGAAACTGGATGGCTATCCTCCATGGCAGATCCGTCTGACAGAGATGTACTGCACTGGTGATCGCAATCACGCTCTGACTAATGGGTATGGGGAAGCTGTTGAGTACCAAGGATTCATGCGGGGCCTTTGGCATTATGCTGGGGCTCAGATGCGCTTTGGACGGTGAGAGAAGAGGACCCAAAAAAAAGCGAAGTTTCCAGTGGGTTGCTTCACTAACACTGTTTGTTATACCCCGTTGGCGTGGAAGCCGAGGTCTACTCATATCTAAATCATAAATACTGCATCTATTATAATTGAAAGCATCTTGAAGCATCTTGAGTTATCGTTAAATATAAGATCAATTGGTATCACTATGTATCGTTATGCTATGCCAGAATAACCGCGTAATTATGCCGAGGGTAATGCGTTCCCGTTTCAAGGGAAGATTGTAGAATGTGAAAGAGAAAGAGAAATGCAGATCCCAGTGCAAGCGCATCCAACTCCATGACCGCCCGAAAAGTTGTAAAAAAGAGCTGTTCGTAATCCACCGAGACGAAGGAATTCGTGCGGTCGTTTCGTTCTTCATATAAGCGATATGAATGCAGTTTCATCCGCCCATACCCTCATGATTCATCCCATCTAATGTCCAAGGCGAGGCAGTGGACCCAGCAGACCAGGGTGTATGACCACGGACACAGTCGAGACATCTCACAATCTCTGTGCCAGTCTCGGTAATGCCTTCGACTGCACAGCTGGAGCAGATCTTCCTCCGTCCGTCAAAACCTTCTTCTGGATTGAACAGGTCCCCGTTGGGTGCTGTTACTGGGACGTTGATGGTGCCGGGACAATTGACGGCATCGCACTGGCGCAAACAGATGAAGCAGGCCCTCTCTCCACAGAGGTCACAGTCTGCGTATGCATCTAGGACGTGGCGTGTGGTGGGGCGTCTGTGGCAGATGTGACACGGACGCAGCGCTGAGGCTGAATTTGATGGGTAGGAGAGCGGCACAAGGGTCTTGGGAGAGACGGGCGGAGAGTAAGGGTCTAGCGGTGCAGCGTATGCATTCGGTGAGAGAAGAGAGGATTGTGGAGGGGTTGAAATTGAGAGGAAGGGGGTCTGGAGGTGTCGGCGTTTGCGAGGGAGGCACCGCGGTCGAAATGAAAGGTCGCTTCCTTCTGGGTGATGGGCCAGGGGTAGAGAGAAACCGCCGTCAAAGTCTGAACGGTCTACCCGGAATGGCACAAAAGATGACCTATGAAGCAAAGTTAGTGATTAAAAACTAAGTGAACAACAACTCGAACCATAGGGACGGAGGAATCAACATCAACGTACGGCCGGGGAAAGGTTGCGGAGTCTTCATGGTCACGCTTGCGTTTTCTCCAACAGGCAATGGAGTCTTCAGGCTCCGAAAAACTAGGCATGAAGGAGACCGTATATGGAGCCGGCCGATGTAGCAAAGGATGAATGGCGAGGTGAGTTTCAAGTGAATGAAAATAAAGCAAGAGGCCTGTCACGGTACTCACCGCCCGAGATCCACTTGTTGGTATGAGACGAGTGACTTTTCCTTCTTTTTGGGGTGAAGTGTTTGACCTGGTATTCATTTAGATTAAAAATAGGTACTTTGTCTTTTTGTCTTTTTGCTATCCTATCTTTCCTAATTTTGCTAGTTCGTGATGTCGACGGAAGATGGGTTAGCCCCATAATTAATGTGATGTTATGGGGCTATGACAAGTCTGGGGCTATTATTGGAAAGACTAAAACAAGCATGGCATTGAATGTCCTCAATTAGAATCAGATCTTAGTATTCATATTTAGAAATCTGGTCTTTAAATTTATTGCATGTTTAATTGATCTTTGCATGCAATTCAATTGCCAGTGTCGAATTCCAATATTTATCCATTGAGCTGTCAAAGTATGACCTACAGAGTAGGTACTATTTACTCCGTAGTCCGTAGATGGGGTATATACTTAGTTAGTTTCCATGTTTTCCATAGAGCGCAGCTACAATGAAGATTGCAGCAAAAAAATTTTTACGAGATGGAGATTTCAGGTCGCGAAGTTGCGCTTTTCGCCCGAGACCCACAAAGGAAATCAAGGCCGAGGTTCTTCTCAACGCGATTGATCCCAAATTCCAGATCCCAGGTCTTCTTTCCAAGAAATGAAGAAATCATAGGAAGCGGCAAAGGTTTTATCCCTCAGGTAGGCTGAAATTAAACTCAGACAAAGACGTAATTCGGTTGGATCCGAGTGGATTCTCCGAAGGATCATCCTCTCCAACGACTTTGAGAAATATGCTCCCCGGATTGCTCTGAAGCAGAAACCCTCGTTAACCCAGATACATTCATGGATCTTGCGGGACTTTTTCCTCGGGACTCTTTTGAACCCAGGGTCAGAACCCGGGGTGTTTCGATGAGGTAGACCAGGAAAGATATGGGTGGTTGGTGATCCGGCACGGGGCTCGGGATGCCGTAGCTGTTACGGCACGGCCTCCTGAGCACAGCCTCAGATATTCTTAGAATCAGGTCAGTAGTCAATAGTCTTGGATGCGAGTGGATTCCGATTCGTGGAGTAGCAATAGCATAGTCAAATTGCCGATTGTCGGCAGTTAGCAGTTCATAGGGAAGAAGTGTCTATTATACACAGACACAGAAAGTAAATAGCCCATGAGTTGGGGTTGGATTACAATTGGGGTTGGATATATAGTGTAGTCTGATCCAGCTAGGTTCAATAGTGTTATAGAAGACATCCAAAGTGAAACAAAATGGCAGATGAACAGACAAGTCACCCACATCGGATCGTGGGGACGTGGGGAAGCCCGATAGCCGGGCGCAGCTCCCGATTCTTTGCTCCGAGCTTCAGCCTTTTTATGATTCGGACCCCCTAGCCCTAGGTTCCTGGCAATTCAGGGTAGCAAATTCTTGGTTGACGTTCGTTGCGTAATCAATTCCGATTGCGTCTCGCTGCTTTTATATCGCGCGACCCTCCGATTTTGAGCCTCGGAGATAACTGAGATACTCTGGACTTCCGACGCAACTGGACTCCTGGACTCCTGGGACAATTCCGATCCTAGCGCTCATCGTTTGCGCTTCCGCTTCTGCAGTTCATCTGCATTTCCCTCGTATGACATGATTGCTGCCCTATTCAACCCTCCTCATGGATGAGGGCTCCGACAAGGCCCCTCGGCGGAAGAGGGTCTCAAGGGCCTGCGACCGCTGTCGCAGTAAAAAAGTAAGTTGTCACGCGATGCGCTCATCCATCTCAAGCTAATCCGCGTTGTCCGAACCTAGGATAAATGTGATGGCGCGCGTCCCACTTGCTCCGCCTGTCAGGCGTCGGGCCAGCCCTGCTCCTACGACCCCCATGCAAAGAAGCGAGGTCTACCCGAAGGATACGTGCGCGGCTTGGAAAAGTTGTGGGCACTGTCAGTGTGTAACATCGACGGGTTGGAAGAGACCATGCTGGCCATGCTGGGAACCACCGCGGAATCGGCTGGGCGCCGCGATAAGCTGATGGCAGCTTGGACGGACGATGGGTCCTCGGAGAGCTTGCACGACACCTGGAAGACCAGCCGCTTATACAGCGCGTTGGATAAGATGCTCTCCAACTCCGAAGTAATCCCTCCTACGACAGGAAAACGATCCCGGAACCCCCACGATGATCCCCAAGACGGTCAATGGCCAATCCGAGTTGACAGAGAATCAACGCCCCTGGGTCCCAATGCGCCGCGAGTCGTCGGACCATCTGCCGTCTCCCCAGCTCTCAAACGAGCTCGACTGGCACAAGCATCTGCCGGTCGCGATGCCTCAGCTAACGGCCCTCATTCCGTGCTACAGCTACCGCCTCAGACGTCTCAATTGCTTGACATTTATTTCGCAGCCACTCACTCGTGGTTCCCCATCATCGCGAAACATAATATTCTCCGCGCTTCATACCTCTATGCCAATGCACCCATCTCCGTTACGACAAATTCCCCAGGGTCAGGGGACCACGCTGCTCTCTGGGCAATCCTCAGCTACACCATCACTCAGTCCCGAACCGACCCGCGCACCGGCCCCACTGGAGCACTGTCTCTTGCCAAAGAGTACTATTCGGTGGCTCGAAGTCTCATTCCGTCCGAGAAAGAACGCTACGAACTCGGCCATATCCAAGCATTGCTTTTACTTACTTTGGTGAACATGGGTTTGGAAGACTGGACGGCCGCGTGGCTGCTGAGTGGACAAGCCGTACGCATGGCCGTGGCCATGGGTTTAGGTTCTTTCAGTGATACGCGAAGGTCCGAAGAATTGAGACAGGGTAAAGCTGTCTTTTTGGGGTGCTTCGTCGCCGATTCCTTGTTATCATTTCGCCTCTCGCGATGCCCTGCAATGTCTCCAAGTGATCTAACCACAGTGGGTCTGTTGGAAGAGGATGGACTGGAGGAGTGGAACTCCTGGGTAGATGTTCTTCCCCCAACTGGGAATTCGCACGGGAAGAATCCTCCTCGGAGAGGGCCATTACTGGCTCTGAGCTGCTTCAATCGTCTGGTGGAATTGGCAAGTATTCTCAACAAGGCAGCACGAAATATGTTGATGGGGTATAAAGCGGATACATTCGCGCAGCAGCTGGTGATAGATCTGAAGCAGTGGGATGACAACCTTCCACTCGGATGTCGTTTGATCGGACCAGAGAGCATCTACCCTGAACGACACTCGGCTCTATTACCGCATCAGAGCTACCTTGGCATGGCTTACGTTTCCACTCTGCTTTGGCTATATTTACGTCTCATTCCCGGAGAACAAGGGCTGCATCGATCTCAGCGACCGGCAACGGAAGGGGCCAAGAAGCTTCTCTATCGCGGATTATCGATGATCACGCAGCACTTGGAGAACTTTCCCATGTGTGGATTCCCTCCTATGTTTGAAAACGCCCTCCGCATCATTTCCGAGCAAGCCTTCTCGCTGCGCCACACGGTCGATTCATTGGATAGTTTCCCATTTGCGAAATGGGCCGAGGAGTTCAGACAGAAGGCAGCTGTCCTGATCCCAACATGGCCTGTCTACGGATCCTTGGCGACGGCGATGGAACGCTGGCAGCAGCCTAACGGTTTTTCTGGTGGTCAGCCTTCTTCATATGCTGGAAATCCGCCTGCCCCCATTATGCCAGCAGCACCGCCCTTAGCGAGCGTTATACAACCGGGCGGTCCTCATGGGCTGGCGCCGCATGAACAAGGAAACTATGTCCCCTCCCTCATGGGCATTAGCATTCCAGTGGACGCACAATCCCTCACACCTAAGGATACAGCCATGGAAAATGCAGAACTCGGGATGATGGATGTCTCCATGCAGCAGCCGATCATTCTAGACAAAGGCACGCCGCGCAGTGCACCCGATGCAATGTATGCACCAGGTTCCAATCAACCACAACCACGCACCCCTGACCCATCCACTCCCAATACCATGATGTCTGGCAAGGCTCCCGCCAGTGATCGTTCTGTTCCAACCGGAGATCCCATGGGATTCAATCCTGCTGGTACAGGTGATCTCGATGCGATCTTCAAAGATTTGGCATATTTGGATACCACCGAGTGGTCCAACAACCGCGAGGCTGGCCTCAAAGACTTCGGTTTCTTAGATGACAGTACCTTCCAGGCATTCTGTCATGACCCGGATCGGTTAGTTGGTTCTCAAACTTTGGTACATCCGCCATCGATGGCGGATATCTGGCCACCTCCAGGGTTTTTCCCGGAGACCTTTCAGCAGCTTCCCGACAAGTCGATGAATGGATGAAGGCCTTTTAGTTCAACTGGGCCTTATACCTGAATTAGCACAACGAATTGAGGCTTACTCGATCCAATTGAGGTATTCACAGTCTTGTCTGGCTTCTTATTGAGCTGGCCAATCTTGACACTTTCTCGTCAATTGAATGGTCCATTGGAAATCCTATCCTCCTGCCTGGGCAAGATTGCCAGCAACATTTTTGGCATCTAATATGACTACCCAGCTGATATCACCACATTCCAGCTCGGTTTTCATAGTCCTGATATCTTCAAAATACCTTGTTGGCCTATAAAATGTATCTATATATCCGCACTGACACTGTCGTGCATCCGGGGGCCCCAACAATCGACAGTCATGAATCCAATATTTAGGGAACGAGTTGATTTTCTCTAGTACACACTGCCGCTCTCTCGGACCTTCATCGGAAGAGGTTCATAAGAACTGAGAATGAATCATTAGAAAGATCTATAGGGTACAGGTCACCTCCGTTGCACATGCTCCTCGATAAGACTCAGGCCCACTTGGTAGTCCGGGCCACTGTTGGACATTCGTGGAATGCGTGCCACTCTCGCTACATCAGGAGGAGTCCTGGGTCTTTTGCTCCTCGCATGTGTCTCCGCGGCTTCATCGGGAAGAGACATAAGATTGACACCTGTTTGGAAGCGGCTGTACCTCGCCGAGAACACGCACACGCTGGGGGGATGATCTACGCGAGGTGCGACTTTCATCACTGGAATCGCCCGACGAGGCATCACCTTGCATACTGTATGGCTCGACCTTCTCCTTCATTTGCTTGAGAGTATGAGGCGTATTTTTGGTGTTGCCAGTCGCGGCATATTCGTTAACGGCCGCTTCATATATTTCAACAGTTTCTTCGTCTTTCCCCAGTGGTACTGTTTCGGGTGGTACAGGCGGATAATATTTCGCCTGCTTTTCAGACTGAGGAATGCTGCTGGGAGCTCCTCGTTCGCGAAGAGACAGCCTTTTGGCACGCCGCGAGCCGCGAGCTTTTCGTTTGAACGAGTCCGAACGTTGCGGCAAATTCTCTTCCGTCACATATGGCATCTTCGAGGAGACCACCGCTGTCAGGCCCATGGCTGCAGAGCCTGTAGCTGTGGAACGCCACAGTCTGTTTTTATCTGGCGATTCAGCATCGTTGCCAGGCTTGGGGCCAGAATCCCAGCGTAAGCGTGACAAAAGAGACTTTCCGTTCCCATTGTCGACAGAGATCTTGCCCACAAAATATGCAGCAGTGACTACAAGAAGGAAAGCGACACATGCCCACAGCGGGTACCAGACTGTAGAAATGTTCCAGGTCGTCATCCCAAAGATCCCCCTACCGACAAGAGATCAGTACTATCCTAGACGGCTCAGCAATTCAGACTAACAGTCACAAACGACAATGGCAGAAAAGCGAATGCCAGCAGGTTGAGACGGGCTACGGCCTGACTTTTTACAACAGTCTCGACATTGAAAACCTGGGTGGAATCCAGTTGGTGAGCTATGTGCCACATTTAGGTAGCAATCGGCACTCACCAAGCTCATGAGACTCTTAAACTGATCCTGAATAACATTTGAAGTGTCCCAATGATGATGCAAATTCTGTAGAATATCTTCGGTTCTTTCAATCAAAGTATCCTGATACTCATCTAGAGGCAAGGGTTGAAGATTGTCCTTGCCAATATACTTTTGAAAGCGCTCCGTAGATGATACATGGAGTCGGAGGTTCTCACGAAGTGTTATCACATTCGAAGTTGCTCTGTGTAGTTTGCGAGTCAATTTCAAAGTCGAGCTGTTTGAGGTCTCGCGATACGCTAGAGTATTTTGACGAGCCAAGTCTTGTCCTGCGGCGCCCCACACATTGGGCCAGTGATTACACCCTTGAAGCAAATCAATGTAAAGCTAGAAGGGACATTTGAGAAGCCGCTCCACCCTCCAGGAATTTTGTCCTCCCAAATGCTTCGAGATTAATGGGAGGATGGCACTATTGGTCATGTATAGGATGATCATATGCTCGTTCTCCGCTCTAGATTCTTCGAATCTGTTCGATTGTATAATCATTGCTGCAACGCCGTGGAAGCTTATTCTTTGCTCTTCAAATTCGAGCGCTGGTGAGTCGGTGTCATTTTGGAAAGGGCCCGTTGAGGGGTAGTTCAGCAGGAAAGTAAAGACTGTACATGTTCAGCAATTGACAGCACATTTGCATTTAGCATATACTTTTTCCTCCGCCATCATAATATGGCATCGCCGCTGCACTCTGTCCATGCCCGTGAGGGCTCAAATGGTCGAACAAAGGCAGGGGTAAAGCTTGCAGCTCGCTGCTGAGGACTTGTCGCAGCCAAGGCTCCGAACTATTTGCACTTATGACACTTATGGTGGTGAGTAGGTTTTCTGGCGCTCGGTTGGCTCATCTACAGTAACATACGTGATGAGGGCTCGCCTCTGAGAGGTGCATTGGCGGAGACAGTCACTCAAGTACGGTCTGAGCTGAGGCGGCAACACCTTTTGGGATCTAAACAGGTTATTCGGGTGGCCCACGTTGATAAAGATCTCCACTGGTTTGACATTGGGTGACTGTGCCACTCCTCTCATTGTCATGATATGCAATTATTTCCGGGCTGTCAGGCTGGGCGATCACGATGTCAAGTGTTTCATGCTGCGTTGGGAGGCTATAAAGGAAACACTTCACTTCAGCCCTTATCAATTCGAGTACTTTTGTTTACGCGGGCTTATTCATTTGGTTATGTGAGCTATTTCTGGGTATAATGGCCGGCGTAAGCCTAATAAATCAAGGCGCTAATCGATCTTGCATAGAAAATATATATATCTAAATTTGGCTACCGGAAGATATAGCTCCCATCAGAGAAAGCGGGAGATAAACTAAAATTCTTCTTCATGTAGCTTCCAGATCGGCTAAGATTTGAATAGCTAGATATGGAAAGAGAAAGTCGAGGAGAGAGGTGCACTCGGTTGTTGTGTCTCATTTTCTACTGTCAAACTATGCAGGCCTATGCACGGCCACGTCAGATTACACGGGCGTTGCAGGTAAAGAGTATGTCTGCAGCCACGGCGCCAAGAACAAACATCTTCCCAATAGCTGGTGTGAGCTATGAGACTGAACTGAATGCGACCTTATCATCGGCTCATCCTATCCATGATGTCTAATTTGCACAATGTAACACAATGACACAGTTGACTAGGACGGGTGCCTTGCACATGACATCAGTGCCTGAGGCAGGCATACCGCGATCGTCGATCCACGGTTCGCCCACTTTTTTAACATTGGAACTCGAACTTGAAGCGGCTTGTCTAGAAAAAAAAAGCTTCGCAAAAATGGCGCTACCTCGGCTCAGCATGGCACCAGTGCCTTTTCCGGTCCCTGAACCCCCTGGCGATCGCTGGATCACCTCCTGAAACTTGACCGACTTCTCCATCGATTCTCCATTTGCAACCCCACTCACTGTCACTTCTGGCAGCCGATCCCTGCCCTGCGCCTCGTCAGAACTCCGCAACCGATGACGCCGACCGTGGGGCGGCGGGTACTCCTGAACTCCTGTGCAGGCTTCGTTGGCTCCTGTCCCGCGTGCTTGATGATCCATCCCCATTGAACCGAGTCGTCGGCCTATCATTCTGATTCTCTCCTGGCCTGCGACCGAATCAACGTTGGCGCCTGTTCTGCCGGACCCATGGATCGCCATACTCCGCACCACCGCGAAAGGGCGGACGTCGTCGTACCCGTTTGTCTCGATGATCGTTGTCCCTTTTTTTCACGTTTCATCCAGGAGCTGCTGCCTTTTCTTCCATGGCTCCTCGCTCTTCTCGACCTTCTCGCTCTTCTCTTTTCTCCTGATCCTCACGTTCTTTATACCCGTCAACTACGACCATGTTCAATTCTCCACGACGATGGATCTTCATCGTCTCTCCATTCCTTACCCTCATTCTAGTCTACTACCTCTTCCTCACCCCGAACACAACCCCGGCTGCTGTGAAGACGAATACGGATACCAAGCAATGGTCACAGTCCGAGCAAAGCACCATTGTCCTCGAAGGAGGTCAACCAGCCCCCGAAATTGAAAAGCAGGCCCAAGGATCAAAAGTCTCGGACCAGGACGAGGACCCTTGTGGGAAGTTGCGTCATGATATGGAGGATGTTTTCGTAGTCTTGAAGACTGGTGCCACCGAGGCCCTCCACAAGGTCCCCGTGCAGCTGCGTACCGGCTTCAAATGCGTCCCAAACTTTGCCGTCTTCTCCGACTACGAAGAGACTATCAACGGAGTGCGTACGTACGATGTCCTGAGCAATGTGACCGAAAAAACCATGCAAAATGAGCCCGAATTCGAGGTTTACCACCACCTTCAAAAGGTCGGCCGTCCAGGTCTGACCGATGAGGATTTTGGCGACGACGAAAATGGACCTTTCGGCAAGGTTAACAATCCTGGATGGAAGTTGGACAAGTGGAAGTTCCTCCCCATGATCGATGGGGCGCTAGAGGCGATGCCCGATGCCAAGTGGTACATCTTCCTGGAGGCGGATACCTACATTGTCTGGCAGAATCTGGTCAATTGGCTGGCCCATCTTGACCACACGCGCAGCTTCTATCTCGGCAGTCCGATGCAGATCGGCGATATCTTGTTTGGATATGGTGGGGCAGGTATTGTTCTCTCACAGAGAGCGATGCAGCGTCTGCATAGCTACCGGGCCCAGAACCTGGAGGAGCTGGAGGTCATGACTGCCAGTGAATGGGCCGGAGACTGCGTTCTCGCCCGTGCCCTGCAGGATATCCATATCCCTCTGACGTGGGCCTGGCCCATGATGATGACCTCCCGCCCGTGGGAGATTGACCATTTCTCCGAGGGTTACGGCCGCCAGCCTTGGTGTTACCCCGTCATCTCGTACCACCACATGGACCCTCGAGATATCGAGGAGATGTGGCGATTCGAGCGTAACTTTTTTAAAAGTGGTAAGAATGCTCTCCTGCTTCATGCCGATGTCTACCGAGCGTTCATCCACAACGGCTCGCTCGCCGAGCGCGAGGACTGGGATAATTTGTCTCCGGCCAACATTGACTTCGATCCCCCGACGAGTCCCTCAGCTGAGGCATGTGCCGATGCCTGTTCCCAAAACTCGGAATGTCTCCAGTTTTCCTTCAACCACGAGGAGCAGACTTGCAAACACGCGTCCACCACATTTGCCGGTGTCGCCACCAACGGCACCTACTCTGGTTGGATGATCCACCGTGTTCAGAAGCTCCTGAATACCTTCCAATCGTCATGTCCCCAGGTCGAATATGTCTTCGACTAAGCATTTTCTTTTTCTATCCAATTATTTGAGCGCATTTTCCATTGGTTTTGTATATATACCGTTCATTCTTTGCACATATCTGTTTCATTCTTTCTTTAGGGGACGGGAGATCATCGGTGAGGCGTTATCTCGGACTGCTTCTTTTCTTTTATCTGCTGGGCAGACAATGACCCTTTGGTCCGTTCACTTGCACTCGCTTACACTCAAGCTACTGGACTCAAGCTGAAAAGCTGAGAAGTCACCGGGGTCTAATCAGAAAGCTTACGATTATCAACAAATCAAATCTACAATTGAGCAATTCTGAAGAACCCGAGCCTGGTCGTAGTTCATGTACTACTCGAGATTATACAAGTGCTTAGAAAACGGTCTTTATACTACGCACTATTGAGTTACTGAGAAAGAATAATTACAAAAATAAGGGTCAGTCGCCGCAGTACTCCATCGTGTACGCCAGTCTTTTGCGAGATTTCATGCAGCGCCTGATGCCTGCTTGCGTCGCTCGACCAACAGCACAGGAGTGATGGTTAGGACGACCGCAATGCAGACGACGATAGCCTGGATACCGAATACCAGACCAAGGCCATTGCGCACAATCCACTCGGGCTGGAAATATCCTACAGCGAAGCCGCCACATGTGCGCCACATGTTGAGGATAGCGGACACGCAGGTGGACTGATTGGGGTATTTTTCTAGCGCATAGGCCGTGATTGCGCTGTCATTGAGATTAGATGACTGATCAAACAGGGAACCAAAAGGGCCAAACACTTACACAATGGTGCCGACCATGCCGATGTTCACCATGATCCAACCAAAGGCCAATCCGATCCAGTGTTCGCCAAAGTTCATGGTCAGACCATACGTGAGTAAACCACAGGCCATGCTCCCAATTGGGACCCACACGCCGTGCAGACGCAGCTCGGTGCGCCAGTTGGCACTATGGCGATGGTATATCCATTCGTTGAAGAAGTGACCGAAAGCCCAGCCTGGAAGAGAGTGAGATTTCGGACTGACACAAGACCCTGTTCCAACTTACCACACAGCGCTCCGATCACACCGGCGAAACGCATAGATGACGCCTCGATCGTGTCGAAGAGGTAGGGCGGACTGTGCAGGAAGGTGTCGATTGTTGTCGTGATGCCTGTGGCCTGTCAGCACGAGGATTTCAGGTGAGTTGTGAACTGGACTTACCAATTGGCCAAGTAAACGTCACCAGGACGGCAAAACCTGTGAACATTCCTGATAAGTCCCTATAATTTACATGACAACCCAATATGCGAGCTCACCTGTCATCAGCAAGGGAAACTTGAACACATAGACAACGAGTCTCTGGCACCAAAATCCCAGCGTGGACAGCTTGGGCAGCTTGGTATTTCCGATGCCAAAGTATGAGCCAAGACGTGAGCCAGGCGCCTTATCCGGTGCATAGTATGTCTCGCGGCCAAAGGCGAGAACCATAACCGTCGACACACCATATATGGCAGTCAAGACACCGAAAGAGTCGCGCCAATTTGTACCTGCACCAATGTAGCCCGCGAGCGCAGGACCTAGGAACGGACCGACCAGGAACGTGGTGCCCCTGCTCGGTGTCAGTCGCCTATGATTCTCCAAGCATAGTCGGTTGCACATACCATATATTGATCATACGTGGCCATTCTGGTAAATGTCAGCATCACGAGATCCACCCCCGAGTGATATCACATACCATGCGAACTATACATGTCATGAATTATAGGCAGTCCAATCACCTGTGGCACGGTACCGAATAAGCCCTGCAGCGAGCGAAAGACGGTAAAGGTTGAGTAGTCATTGGAGAGGGTGGCGCCCAACACCATGAACATCGTGATCACCTGAGGCCATAGCCAGACGGGATAACTAGGGGGACAACCGCAGTTAACAGGCGTGGCCCGCCATTGATCTACTCTGAGTGGTACCTACCGACCATAGGCTTCAATGAGTGGGACGGCGAAGATCCCGCCGAAGCCCTGCAGCAGAATGCCCCAGTTCATACTTGTGGCCGAATGGTCAATGGTGATATCCCAGTCTATGGCCTGCTGGGTGACGAGCGTTGAGCCCCAGACCATTGCGCTGGAGAAGTCAGTATGGACGATCGGTCAAATTTACGGAACGCGCATTACCCATCAGCGAGCAGGGAGCTCGACATGAGCGAGATGAAGAGCAGCATCTTGCGTGTTGAGCTCCAATTCTGCGGGTTCCGAGGATCCATGACACCGTCTTTGGAATCGTGAGTCTCATGAGACTGCGATAGACTGGCAGAGCTGTCCATCTCACGGGCTTCGAACAGAGTCGGCTTTTCCATGACGAATGTTCCACAGAGACAGGATAGGCAAGGGGAATTGTAGAAAATGGAGACTATTGGCAAACGGGCAGAGATCGGTTTTATGCAAAGGACAAAGATCTAGATCGAACACATGGTTTCAGGAGAATTTACGACTCGCGTGGCTTTTGTCGCGCAGCCGAGAATTCTGGAAGATCAGATCTCTCCGATAGACCTGTCTCTAGGTCTCGTACTCTCGGAGAGGAATCCGAGAGTGGTTTCTTAGCTTCGATTTTAGATTTCAGATTTCGGATAGGAGTCTCCAAGGATCGGCTCCACCGACTCAATCTCCACTTGGTGCGGTGGATCGAGGTCCAGATCTTGCATTGATCGCGTACATCCCTGTCAACCCGATGAGGTGTCTGTTATCGTCTTGCCATCCTCGTCCTATTCTCGTCCCCGGCTGGCTTCCAACTACATTTGGGCGCTATGACTCGTCGTGATTGCCGGCGATCGGCAGAGCTAAGCGTGAGATGCCCCTTGCGGGTGCATGGTTGTGTGATAGGTTCGACTCATGGCTGTCGATGGAGTTGTGACCACTCACATTTACCAAATCCCGAGCGGAAGCCGCATACTTCATTCCCATTTGTGAATCGTGCATGTGTTCTGAAGTGAATCCACGTCCCTTGTTCATAGTTACCTAGTAAATGACGCTAAGTTGGAATCCCGGCATCCCCCTTCAATCTAGAACAGACAAATAAACACGCATTTCCGTAGTTCAGCTTGGAAACTTCGTGCCACTCGCTTTCCATCCCGATGTCTTTGCTGGAACGCTTGGTCAATTTGTTGGGGCTATCAAAGCCTGCCCCGGCGGTGCTGCCGGGGGCAGCGTTGGCGGCGACGCTTACTGTGGTGAGTTTGGCCTAATTGGGGAATTGAACATGGATTGAAGATGTGATAGCCGGCATCGCTGGGGTTTGTCCCTGTCGCAGTGCATTTTCAGCTCTTTGACGTGCTTGTACGACATGGAGGACCGGCGACCGCGGAAGAGGTGGCCAACGGGGCCAACAAGCTCCTTCCAGGGGAGGCGCCTAGAATCAGTATTTCATGTGTATGCAGGATGGTAGTTCAAGTTGCTAACGCTGCCAGGTACTCTACTTGCCGGTATGCGCAGATTGTAGATGGTGAGACACCCAATCGAGATACTGACGGGCTGCAGCGGATACACTCTACATCATGGCCGGTCTGGGCTTGCTTGATCGCGTGGACGAGAATACCTTCAATGCAAATGCCATCACTCGGCACATGGTTGCCATGCCCTCGGCTCAGCACGGAGCTGTGCATTTGTGCGTTGCTTCCCCCCCCCCCCTTCATCCATCTGTCTGATCCGCCACTGACCATTGACTGCAGCACTACTGAGGGAATGATGGCGGGCGCATTCCTCATGAAGAAGCTGCAGGATACCAACTTTACTTATCCTTTCAATGAGGCTGAGGGCCCCCTTCAGTATGCCTACGAGCGGATGGGGGAGAAAGAGCTGGCGCAGCAGCACACTTACTCGATCATGGAGGCCCAGGGGCGGATGGATAGCTTTAACCAGTTTATGGTCGGCAAGTTTCTCAAATTCGGCACTTTCCCAGAACGCGTCACGTCGTGGGGATACGATCTGCGCGATGCCCTCAGTCAACCGGGTACTGTGGCCATGGTGGACATTGGCGGTGGTCGAGGGGAGCTCCTCCTCGAAGTCCAATCTGCATATCCGCATCTTGGAGCGGAGAACCTGGTGGTGCAGGAGTTCAACACTGAGATCGACGATGTTCCCGGGGTGCGTTTGATGGAGTGGAACTACAAGGTGAGCGCGGAACAACCGATCCAGGGCGCGCGGATCTACTCGCTTCAGCACATTCTCCACAACCTGCCAGATCTGGACGCGGTGGCTCTGCTCCAGAAGATCTCCCGAGCCATGGCACCCACATCACGCCTGCTGATTATTGAGTACGCGAAAAACATGACCTATACCTCGCTCCACGCCAGTATGATTGCCCTTTACGGGGGGCGAGAGCGCAGTGCGTCCGAGTGGCGGCAACTGGCCAGTGTCTCGGGCCTGCGAGTGACTTTTGAACAATATGTACGGGCGGGAGAGTCTCTGGTGGAGATGCGTCGAGCGGACTAAATGTGGGTTGGTGATTTTCCCTCAATGTATATCTAGGTTGCTAGTTACTCATTATCCAATTGCCGAGACCCCAAAGTACGAACTATAAGGAGGGGAATGGTTCGTAGAAGATCGACAACTGATCAGTCACATCCGCGGGAATGCAATAAATGCAAGCCATTGCATTAGACTTCCCCATCGACGCCCTGTCGGGTCTCGTTCCATTTTCTGCCTCATCACATCTCGATCTACCATCTGTGATGTCCGATGCGTGGGTCCAATCCTCGGCCGCCAGATACCCCTCTGGGTTTGCTTCTTTGTTTTGGGCGTCATCTATTCCCAGGTATTCGGGTTCCGCTATTGAAATCGAACCTTTCGCCTCGTCACATCCCTTACATGATGCCGGGGCATGGCTTGGGCAGGTCTCCACCTGGGAATGGTCAACCCTGTGGTGGAAACGAGGGAATTCAGCCGATGACACTTCCAAGGGCCCCAACCTCCAGGGGGATCCAGACTCCAGACTCCAGGATCCAGGAACAGCTCCATGGGTCTGCACCACAACCTCCATCAGGATCACAAAGAGACCAGCCCATTCGTGATATTGAGTTTCGGATCCTAGACCTCGCGAACGACTTGCCCAGGCTCCTGGTCCTGCATCCCTTGTTCGCGTGTTCGCTTGTTCGCTTGTTCACCTGTTCACCTGTTCGCTTCAGAGTCTGACCTGTACATTGCTCGTCTCTTTGGTCTCCAGAGTTTATCGGTGTTAGACTCCTTTCCGGTCACTGGTGATCTGATGGATCTGTACACGTAGATGTGCACATCTTATTGTTCGTCACTTCTCTTCGTGCCCAATGTCATCTTTCTATTTGAATTGAAGGCTCCCCTGTGTGTTTCCAATATTCAAGCCCTTGCCCTCGTCTGTCAAGCCCTTGCATTCCTCTACTATGGATATCCCGAGGCCCAAGGATGCAGATGTCGATATCGGTGAGTCTCGTGCTACTCCGCAAAATGTTCATGCCACTGACACCTTATGCTAGGCACGGCCACATTCAGTGCCTGCTGGGTAGGTCAAGATCCATCTCCTGTGGCTGCAGCTGCTGATCATTTTACCATCTAGGTCCTGACGGCGATCGTGGGTGTTGCACTGCTCTTTCGCTATACAGTCAAGGCCTGGGTACGATGGGCTCTACCCCAAGTCACTGCCCCCGGGCGAGTCTGGGGGATTGAAGATCTCTTCTTCCTGGTAGCCTATGGCTTTGACTTGACCCATATGACTATGATCCAGATGAGGTAGGCTTCTGTGTCCCTTCTTGCTTGTCTGCCATGTCCCGCGCTAACTGTCTCTAGCGCCAACTGGGGCTTGGGCCGTCATTTCTTCTACTTGAATACCACTGAGCGATTCCATGCCATGAAATGGGATTTTATGTCTCAGCCCATCGCCGTGAGCTCGGCCATGGTATCTCGTACTGGGATGATGTGGTTTCTGTTGACCTGTTTCTCCGCGAGCGAGAAGAAGATCCGAATCTCGATCATTGTCTGCGCCATTGTCCAGATTGTCGTCAACATGATCACTGTCGTGCAGATCATTGTCCAGTGTGGGCCGAACCCGTATCGAACGGTATGTGCTGCCATCCTTGCTACCGATCTTAGACTGACCTTCTAGGCCAATCGTATTCAATTCTTCCATTATATGTGGACTCCTCTGCCTGAAGACGGCTCGGTTGTGTGCCAGTCACCCTCGGTCCAGACTACTGTGGGCTTCGTGCAGGGAGGTATGTTACTATGGTATCCTGAATTCGAGCATGACTAACTCAACACAGGTTTCAATAGCATCATTGACTTCTTCCTCGGTGTTCTCGCTGCCATGGAGCTATGGCAATTTTTCCTGAGAACTCTCAACCGCGACCATCATGTGTCATTCTGGTCTCAATTCCGCAAGATCAACAGCACCGTTCGGTCACGTCGGATTTGGCAGACTCTCACGTTATGTGGTCCACTGATTCTCTCGGGCGCTGCCTCCATAGTCAAGACCTATGTAGGTGTTCCGTGCCTTGATGTCGGTCATTCTTGCTAACTGGAAGGTTCCGTAGAAACTCAAGTCTTTGGGTGACCGTCTAGACTTTACCTATAACATCGTCTCTTTCGTCCTCTGGGTGAAGTGAGTTCCGGCCCCTTGTTGAAATTCTGGTTCCTCGTCTGACTCGTTACAGAATCGAAAACTATAGCATCCTCATCGCTTCGTGTGCGCCCGTCGCTCGGCTCTTCCTCCGTGCGTTTGTTGACTCCCGCCGTGATGGTCGCTTGGCTGGTTATTGGTCCAAGTCGCGGTCCAACAACGGCGAGAATACTAATCACTCCAATGACACTGAGTTAAAGCGCCGCCGCAAAGATCAGTGGATGGACTCGGCGACGGTGACTAACTGGGACGAAGAAAACCCCGTTCCAAACTGGAGTAGCAATGAACGTTCCGAGAGCCGAATCTCAAGGGCTCAACATGCTCAGAGCCCTAGTGATGGCGTCACTGTCAAGACGGATATCACAGTGCAGGTGGATGACGGCCAGTCCGTCTCTTCGGGTGGCGCGCGGCTTTTGCCGGAGGGTGGTGAGCCCCCTCGCGGGCATGAGAACCGAAGATCCGGTTGATGATGCATACTGCGATGTGACCTGTATAGCGCAAAACGATCGTAAATAATGTAATCGAGGTTTCGTTGAACAGCGGACAAGACACCACTACGTCGGGTTTTTCACATAGTGTATAGCCACATTTGAATGGATTTCTCTAATACAGTTAGTTGATAAACAACAAATAATATTCTTTCATTTCATCTCCATTTCTATGTATAGATCTAGTTATATTCTAGCCTGGATCTCCAATCTCCGGTAATAATAACATAATCACAATCTCCACGTGATGATAACCAGGCATTGTCCGTCAACGAAAGTCGACAACGTCAATTGCACCATGGCTCTGCCGACGATCAAGAGCAAGGCATTCCCTTACCGGAGGGGCTCCAATGCCTCTGAAAATGACTTCTTCGACATTCCCGACGAGCCCGTCGTGGCCATGGTCAAGCGCCAGTTTCGGCGTGTCCGCACCTGGGTGATCCTCGCACTGTTCATCATGTTTATGATGTGGCGTCGTCGTGCAAAGCCGCCGCCGTCTCTACTCCCACATATTCATTACGATGAGGTCGACTGGTCACGATATGCCTATACTACGTACGCCACCTCCGAGACATACTTGTGCAATGCTGTGATGGTCTTCGAGGCACTGCAGCGATTTGGATCTCAGGCGGAACGCGTGCTGTTCTACCCGCAGGATTGGGATCTGGTAGTGGAAAATGAATTCGATCGCATTAGCCAGCTACTCCTCATGGCAAAGGACGATTACAATGTGCTGCTGCACCCCGTGTTTATCGAGGGGATTAAGACTGGGGGAGAAGGTGCGTGAAGCTCGCAACACTGCATGGAACAGATCAATGTTAACTTATTTTGATTGAACAGAAGCCTCACAGGCCTCTTGGGACACGAGCACCGCCAAGTTGTCTGCCTTTGGTGCCGTTGAGTATGAACGCGTCATCCACCTCGACTCGGATATCACCCTCCTGCAGCACATGGACGAGCTGTTCTTCCTTCCTCCCACCATGATCGCTATGCCCCGCGCATACTGGTTATTGCCACACACAAAGACTCTCTCGTCACTATTGGCCGTCATCCAACCGTCCTACCGCGAATACACTGCTCTGACCGATTACCTCAAACCGGTCCAGGCTGGCCAAATCGAAGTAAACTTGACCGATACTCGGTATGACATGGAATTATTGAATGACCGGTATGGTGACAACGCAATGGTGCTTCCCCACCGCCCGTATGGTCTCATTTCTGGGGAATTTCGCACCAAGAATCATAGGACATACCTCGGCAATGACCACGAGGCCTGGAATCCCGATCTGGCTCTGGCCGAGGCGAAATTTGTGCACTTTTCCGACTGGCCGCTGCCCAAACCATGGGTCATGTGGCCACAGGAGATCCTGGCAAAGGTACAGCCCGCCTGTGACAAAGATCCAGGGACGCCAAATGAGAGCGGGTGTCGTGACCGAGAGTTGTGGAGGAAGCTCTACGATGATTTTCGGCGGCAAAGAAAGGTATGAGACCTACATTTGGCTTCTTTCGGCTTACTGACTCGCTGCAGGAGATTTGCAAGCTGTTGAGTTATCCGGCCCCCGTTTAAAGCGCGGATCTTTGGGTTCGCCCCGGGATTGTACAGTATTGAGGGACTAGATTACAAGGCATGGCGTCCTAGGCGTTTCATTGTGGGGCATATTCGATGTTTGATATCTGGTATCTGGACAAAGATTCAATTTTACATCTGCTGATCAAGCATGAGGTCAACATTGTCTTGTTAGATGGGTATAAAGCTGTAGACTGTATCATATAAAATCATCCAGGTGTCGTGTACAATGGGACTTTCAAATCAAAAACGCTCAAACACCCTCCTATGCAAGTACGCAGTCAATCATGCATACCCCATACCCTTCCTCCACCACATCCATACCCCCCTCTTCTCCATGCAACTCCCAAACTCCTTCACACTCTCAACCTCCGACAATCCCGCGTCGCCCTCTTTCGCGGGCTGATCTGTTGCCTCATGCGCCAGCAGCCCTGGTCTAGTCACCAACTGGAAATCTTTATAGCGCAGCTTGCGGACTTCCCCCACCCACGACTCGACTCGTGTCTGGTCCCGGCCCTCGACGTACATGATGCCCGGGCAGCCACCGGAGCGGAGGAGCACAAAGCATTCGTGTATGTCGGCCGCGCGTTTGAGCGCAGCCACCTTTTTGCGGGAGGTGATATGGTGCGTGCGGATTAGAGCATTGTAGAGCATTTTGTGGTTGAAGCTAGGGTACGTTCACCAGGACATGTATGGGGAATTGTAAGACCGACCGCCCCACGTGATTCAGGTGTCAACCCGGCAGAATTTGGCTTGGCTTCATCGCCGCATCTACTTGCAGATCAACCAAGGAGATAATTTAACTTCCCTTCTCGACCTCTTTCTAGGGAATTTCTAAAGTTATCCTTAGACATCGCTTAAATCATCTATTGGACAAAATAGGTTCAATAAATATCTCTTTAGTATATCTGAGAAGAAAAGCTATGGCCGCTGATTTAGAAGCACTCAGCTAGATGAATTTGTTTTCATCTTTGATTCAATTAATGTTATTTACACAACCCAAGATGACATGTAAAAGCCGGCCAAATAGTCTCTGTTATTTACGCCCATTTTGTCTATATATCATGTTACTATTGAAACTAGCCACTAACTAGGTAAGTATAATAACAGTAATCCTTGTTTCTTGGATACTTTGGAACCAGTCTTATTAGTCGGATAAAGGTTCAGATAAATATTGACAAAGCGGTTTACAAAGTATTCAAAAGTAGTGTTCCGAAGTCCTAACTAACCGAAGATGATATCTGACGTATGCTGCTATATTACCACTTTCTGTTAAATCAGTCTCACCTTTTAATTAATTTTAGATCAACTGTCTCCTTCTCTCTTAAATATTCGTGAATAAGATTACTATTGGGAGGAGATGGATGTTGACTCGAAACATATTAGGTTTCAGGCAGGTAGGATGGTTCATCGCCAGGAAAGGAAGTCATTCGAGGATGAAGCCGAAGCCGAAACTTCTCGGTAACCCTGACAAAAGGAAAGCCGAGCTCCATGGAGAAGCAAGGTCGAGGATACTACCTCACCCTTTGTCTGAGAAATCGACAATTGTGGAAAGATCTTCAAGCCTAGAGGGAACCTACTGGCACGTACCAAAGCAGTCCACGAACCCTTGAGTGCCCAGAGAAAGGATATACGCTAAAATTTCCTCTCAAAGGGAACTTGCTGCAGCATCTCAGGGAAATCAATGGATATGACCTGACTAGGCAAAGGGCAGAGAAAGGAGATAGGAGATTGGCAAAAGGCTGACAAATTGTTCCTATTTTATGGACCATTTGGTGTTGAAGCATAAGTTAACATCCCCAAGGAAGAAGCTCTCAAGATGATCGAATTTTGGAGGTTTTTGTAAACATCATTTGGCTCTTTTCCAATATATCATCTGAATATATCTTCTTGAGTCCGATTGTAGACGGCTAATAGAAATCGGGATATTCAGAGAAAGTATTTTCTGCCTGAGGTGTCCAGGTGTCAGTTGCGTCTTTGCTTTTTTTCGGCCCATTTTATCGGAGAAAAAAAGGGTAGTGACAGCTGTCGCATCAGAGTCGATCTACTAGATCAGGCTTCGGTCGACCACAAAATCTGGAGTTTCACCCTATCCCATCTTAGCTATTACAACTGAAGTTGACGAGCTAACCGCCATACTTGTCAATGCAGCATTAACCAGGGTCGTGGTGGGTAAAGCGTGGCTCACGAGTGGTGGACGGCAGTGGAGTCCTTCTCCTCTTGGCTTCCTTTTTGTGCAAACCCAGGGCCGCGGTCTCCGCGGGCAGCGCCCGCTTTTGCCTCTTTTCGCGATCGGGGCTCCATCGACTTTCCAGACTCGGTCAAAGTACCGCCAGGTCGGATTCAGCCTGTTTGGGTCCCTCGTGGCCCCGTTTCAACCGTGTTTCTGATTGGGATGTCCCTCCATCGTGTCCACTATAGCTCTTCTTTTCCTGTAGGCCTGGACCTTGGTCCTGTCAAAGATTGGCCGAGATGATGGGGTGTCCATCATGTGGCTTGGCTTCCTTTTGAGGTTCTCGATCGGGGTTTGGTTTGTATAAAACCACGGCCATCGATCTTTTCTTCTCCTATTTTTCCCCAGGCAGAAACATGCAGCATATTTCCTGTACAACATTGCACTGTTCATAGGCTTGAAACATGCCCGGTCCTCTTCACTCTCGTCCACATCCTTCCTCTTTTGTTTCCGGCCAGGATACACCGACTGGGGAACATGGCCCGAGAGTGCAGGTTTCCCACGAGGATGAGGATGCTATCGCCGATATTCACCGCACTCTGACGGAGAAGAGTCTTTCGGGCGTACATCAGGAGTATCCAGAACCTCATTCGTCGTTTGACAAGTTCCTGGAGGAACAGGTTCAAGGTGGCAAGAAACGGTCTAATCTAGGTGTCTGCTTCCAATCGGTCTCGACCTGGGGCGAGGGTGATGGCCACGCCGATATCAAGACACTTGGCATGGCGTTATGGCGTACATTCACCTTGCAGGACATCTATGAGTGGACCATTCAGCCTTGGATTTCGTCAAAGAAACCCCAACATGGACGCCCTATCATTCGAGACTTCTCAGGCGTAGTCGAGAGCGGAGAGATGATGCTGTAAGTAGAACTAGCCTTCTTAGCTGAATGATATATACCTGACTTATTTTTCAGCGTTTTGGGTCGTCCAGGAGCCGGATGCTCGACATTCCTCCGCACCGTCGCCGGCCACCACTCTTCGTTTCTGGGGGTGACGGGATCGATTGACTATTCCGGTCTGAGCCCAGATGAAGTTCGAAAGCACTATAGCAGTGCAGTAGCCTACGTGCCCGAAGACGATGTGCATTTCCCGACCCTCAATGTGCGACAGACCCTTGAGTTTGCCTTGAAGAGCAAGACTCCCAAGCGCTTCCAGGAGCGAATCCCTAAATATCTCGAGATCTACGGTCGAGTCTTCGGCATGACCCACACGATGAATACCCTGGTGGGCAACGAGTACATTCGAGGTGTCTCGGGCGGCGAGCGGAAACGTATCTCCATCATTGAATCCCTCGCTACTGACTCATCCGTGACTTGTTGGGATAACTCGACTCGTGGTCTAGACGCTTCGTCTGCGCTGGACTACGTTCGCAGCTTGCGGATCATGACGGACACTTGTGGTAAGGCCACCTTGCTCACCTTGTATCAAGCCTCTGATGCAATCTATGAGCTTGTGGACAAGGTGCTTTTGATCGACGAAGGTCGAATGCTGTTCCAGGGCCCAGCTGGCGAGGCCAAGCGGTACTTTGAGGAGCTTGGATACGAATGTGCCGATATGCAGACCATTTCAGATTTTCTGACCAGTATCACGGTACCGGAGCGACGACGCTTTCGCGTAGGCTGGGAAGACCGCGCTCCGAAGGGGCCGACTGAGCTGGAAACTGCATTTCGACAGAGTGCTGCATTCAGAGGTATCGAGAAATTGGTTGAAAAGTACGATGATCAGCGAAATAGCGACAAATCCAATGGAGCTTGCTCATCAGACTCCGAGTCTGGTAGTGTGGAGGACTTCAAGCGTACTTTGCAGAGCGACAAATCCCGCTTCGTCTCGTCCAAATCTCCTTACACCATCTCGCTCTTCCGTCAAATCGTGCTTTGCGCCCAGCGGCAAATGTGGCAGCTCCGGGGTCACATGGGTCCACTGTACATCAAGTTGATATCTGCGGTGGTTTATGGCCTTCTGATTGGATCTATGTTCTATGATCAGCCCCAGACTACCGAGGGCATGTATTCGCGTGGTGGTGTGCTCTTTTACTCTTCTATCTTACTTGCCTGGCTACAGATGTCTGAGCTTGAAGAAGCGATGCAGGGCCGAGATATTCTTAGTCGGCAGAAGAAGTTCGCCTTTGTGCGACCTAGCGCCGTTTGTATGGCCCGAGTTGCACAGGATATGTTGGTGACTGCATTGCTCACCTTGCTATATCTTATCGTCATGTACTTCCTGTCGGGGCTGCGATCTGATGTGAGTTGAGAATACCTTTCTTTTCTCCAAATGCTAATGCAGTGATAGGCTGGTCCATTTTTCATCGACTTCCTCTTCATCTACATGTGCACAATCTGTCTGACAGCGCAATTTCGTGTGTTTGCAGCCTTGTCCAATAATTTCGAAGTTGCTTTGCGCTACTGCGGAGTGTCTGTGCTGTTTTGCATCGTTTTTGGTGGCTATGTCCTGTCTGTTGACAAGATGATTCAGGATGTTCCGTGGGTTGGTTGGATAGCTGTAAGTCGTTTTCATGGCAGTGTATGGTGCTCGAGCTAAGCTTTCCAGTACACAACGCCCGCTTTGTACACCTATGAATCGGTCATGGCCGCCGAGTTCCACAATGTCAATTTTACTTGTGCAACCGGCTCGATCATTCCAGCAGGGTCCAATTACACCGATGTCGCCTATCAGACTTGTGCATATGCTGGAAGTCAGATTGGCAGCACTGTGGTAAATGGAGACGACTACCTGGCAGCACAATTTGGATTCTATTATAGCCATGTGTGGCGCAACTTTGGCATTCTTTGCCTTTTTACTATCTCTTTTATCGGCCTCACGTGTTGGCTGAGTGAAGTAATGGAATGGGAATTGGACAGTGCTGGCCCGATTCAGTATAAAAGTTCTCGTCGCTTGCTCAAGCGGAAGAATGAAACCTGTAGCGACGAGGAGAACAGTCCTGTCTCGGTTGACCCTAAATTACCCCGTGCCGAAAGTTCCATGGGTTCACCCGGACAGCCACTATCTGCTACTGAATCCACATTCACCTGGTCGGACCTTGAGCTCGATGTACATATTGGCAAAGAGACGCGAAAGTTGTTGGATAATGTGTGTGGCTTTTGCAGGCCAGGCAGTCTTACGGCTCTTGTTGGCGCATCGGGTGCAGGAAAGTCGACTTGTGAGATGATCTACATTCCATTTCAAAATACCAGAAACTGACAATACGCGCTTTAGTGTTAACAGCGCTTACCCAAAGACAGAGTGCCGGTACCTTGACCGGCTCAATGTATGTGGACCACGAGCCGATCAATGACTCTTTCAATCGACAGATTGGATACTGTCAGCAAATGGACATCCACGATGAAAGCAGTACTATTCGTGAGGCGTTTCAATTCTCAGCTCTTCTCCGACAGAGTCGTGAAACTCCCAAGGATGAGAAGCTAGCCTATGTGGAGACTGTGCTGCACACTTTAGACCTAATTGAACTGCAAAACGCGGTGATTGGGTCATTGGATATTGAGAAGAAGAAGCGAGTTACGATTGGAGTCGAGCTATGTGCTCGTCCTCGACTGCTTCTATTCCTAGACGAACCGACTAGTGGACTTGATAGCCAGGGTGCAACCAGCATTGTGGCCCTGCTTCGTCGCCTTGCGAACCAAGGATTGGCAGTTCTTTGCACTATCCACCAGGCCAACCAGCAACAGTTTGAAGAGGTAAGCTCCTGTTCACATGGGTACTAGTCAGAGACTAACATATGTAGTTCGATCGCGTCCTTGCCTTGAGCCCCGGTGGAAGCACTTACTACTTCGGACCAGTCGGCCAATCTGGGAAAGCTATCTTTGATTATTTCAAAAAGAACGGCCATAACCCACAGAATGTCACAAATGCTGCAGACTTCCTTATTGAAGTGGTTGTTGGTGGCATGAAATTTTCACAGAGCCAAATTAACTGGGCCTCGATCTGGCGAGACTCTGAAGAGGCTGAGCATGTCAAAAAAGAGATCTCCACTATTCGCTCTCACAATAACAAGAGGCGAGGAATTTCGGAACCACCATCTTTGCCGCCTCTTTACCAGCAGATTATTTTGCTTACACAGCGAACATGTCGCCAGTTCTGGCGTACAGCCGAGTATCCGTACTCGAGAATCTACGCATCATTCCTCCACGCATTCATCAATGGCCTTACTTATCTCCAAATAGGAAATAGTACGACCGATCTTCAGTCGAAAGCTTTCTCTGCATTTTTGGTCTTGATGCTGGTTCCTGAATTCATCAACGCCATCTCTATGAGATTCATCTTGAACCGCGATATCTGGCTAGCACGGGAGGGTCCCAGTGGAGTGTATAGCTGGGTCGCGTTCAGCACTGCACAGATCATTTCGGAGATCCCGTACGCTATTGTCGGTGGGGTGATTTTCTACGTAATGTACTACTTCATGGTCGGACTTCCTCTAGGGTTTGCAGCAGGATACAGTTTCCTGATGTTCTTCCTCTTCTTCCTTTTTGCTACTTCGTGGGGACAGTGGATTGCTGCTTTGAGGTGAGTACTGATCATTTGTACGGTCTCGATCTTTCTAACATTTACTTAGCTCGGATTCAATGGTCGCGGCTACTCTCATGCCCTTCTTCATTATCATGTGTGAACTCTTCAATGGCATCCTGCGCCCTCACGAGCAAATGCCTGCTTTTTGGAAGTACACCATGTACTATATCACACCGTTCACATACTGGATTGGCGGTGTCTTGACTTCGGTCCTTCGCGGGACCACAGTCGTCTGTAATGAGAGCGAATTGACTCTCTTCCAAAGCCCACCGCATATGACTTGCGGCGAGTATGCCAATTCTTGGCTTACCGCCAAGGGAATTGGGTATCTTTCGAACCCGGAAAGCACTGAAGTCTGCGGATATTGCGAGTACAGCTACGGTGATGATGTAAGCTTTGACCTGAAATTATCAAGAGATCTGAAGCTAATTGGCGCAGTACCTTTCTGGAATTGGGCTAGACGACTCAGTCATCTGGCCGTACTTTGGCATCTTTCTTGCCTTTACCATTGCCAACTACTTGATGGTATATCTTCTAGTGTATGTGCGATCTGTAAAATGGGGATCAAAGTAATGTATGAACCTCGAACATAGAATTACTCTTTCAGAATCATATATGAGTATTCATTATACCAGATATTAACTGCGATGATAATACTGTTGGTAAGAAGTATCATATTATAATGTCGACTAATCCTTAGTTAAGCGAAGCCTTTTCCGCAGTATAGCTTTAAGTGTATATTCTTGGGTAGCCCAGAGTTCTCAGCCTTTTTTTAGGCATATATAAGTCTCATTTATGGAAGATTATATGAGAATAATACCTACTAGCTTCGTCGCCGCTCAGCTATTATCATTATTTTAGATTATAGCGCTGTTATAAATAAATGAATCCACAACCATAGCTTCTCGTAAAGTCTCCCTTTTATATGTGCCCTTCATGTTACGTCTGACGTATTCTGAAAATTTCGAAATATTTTAGGAAATGGTGATTAGATGTTATATACTTGAAGCTCAACACGTTAGATTACAATACATTTTTGGGTAATATTGTTAAATTGTGATTGAAATGACTTAAACTCTCCAGGCCTTTGATTGTTGAGATATTCTGTTATTGGATTATTGCATTTACTATTGTTGGAATTTGGACCAATGCTACATTAGGTGAAGGTATTTAATCGCTTTAGTCTAGAGTTTAGAAAATATATTATAGCGCTAAAGATTTATATTAATATAGATTATAAGGTTACGAACCTATAGTAAAACTAAAAGGAATAAGGTAAAAGTAAAGAGATAATAAATAACGTAATCCACACCAAACCCACCACCCCATACAATTCCCTACCTCTTTACCTCCCTCACCACTTTAAACGCCCACTATGCCACCAATTCGGTCCAAAAAGAAGCAGAATTCTATCCAGCAAGAGGGTAGAATCGAGCTTACAATCCAGGCCATTCAGAATAAAGATCTTCCTTCTATTGCTGCCGCTACACGCGTCTATAACGTACCGCGAACCACCCTACGCGACCAGATGGGCGGCCACAGTTCAAAGGCTACCAGACGCGCCTATACCTATAAAATGACATAATTAGATAAGGATACGCTTACCTAGTGGATTCTATCTATGGATGATTGTGGTGTAGCCCCGAGGCATATAATGGTACGCAGAATGGCTATTAGCATATTCTTTTTGTGGCGACCGGATCTAATACTATCGGTGTGAACTGGGTCGGAAACTATATGAAGCGTATACTGGCTATTTAAACACGTTTCTCGCGTTGATATAACTATTCACGGGCTAAGTAAGAGGATCCGCGGGTATTAAATAAATGGTTTTGGCTAATTAGGGAGACTATTACGCGCTATAGTATCCCGCCTAATAATATCTATAAGTTCGATAAAACTAGCTTCGTAATAGGCCTAGTTTCTATCGTAAGGGTAGTTACTAGAGCTAAATATTATGGCCGTCGATCAGTATTATAGCTAGGCAATCGTAAATAGGTGACCGTAGTAAAAATAGTTAATACTTTAGGCTAGGCTTTGCCGCTATTAATTATATTTAAAGGTAAGCGCTATATTAAATTATAGTTCCACGATACCCTAAGGGACTGGCGCTTCGAAGATAGTCCAAATAGGTAGACTTCTGATATAATTAGGCTTCGCTAGCTTCGAACGCTTTTTATTCCTTTAATCGTAAGTCATATACGTAGTCGGTATAGGCTATTAATCCTTAATAGTTATAGAAGCCACCTTACGCCTGAATTTGATTGTCTATATACTAAACATAATATGATATATATATATATACCACCGCATAGCTTATATCTATTATAGCCTTTAGATATAGGCTATTTCGTAGTTCTAAAGCGATTATATAGTTAGCTAATGGACTAATAGACGCGTATAGGTATAAACTATATCGATAAGCTTAATTTCCTTATAGCCTACCTACATACGCGCGAAGATATATTTTAGGCTAGAAGTATTCAAAATATATTCAAAGCGACTAATTTAATACCTTTAAATACGACAGAAGTCCTCGATAAGCTAAATATTTAGCTTCGTCCGCCTACACTAGACCGATTGTTAAGCTAATCAAGCATTTATTGCCCTAAAACACTAAGCAATATTAAGTAGCTTTCAAAGTATAGGGTATTAGCAAGATAGCTTATTAAATATCGGTCTGATAGCCCACCTATGCCTACAAAAGAGGTATTTGATCAGGCTTATAAGGCATGCGAATAAGTCATAAAGCGCATCCTTTTATTAGAGCAAGAAGTAACGGATTTACGCGCCGTAAACTACAAGAAGATAAAAAAAAAGGTATTGCCTAAACGACAAATACAGCGCGATAAGGGCCTATTCGTTCATGAAGCCCATAAGTAAGGCATTAGTCTACCAGGTGGCACAGAAGGTAGTGGGGTGGACTCCGCAACACCCACGCGGAGGGCTTCAGCGACCGGTAATCAGCCCAATAGACGTTAATACGTATATAGTATATGCAGAAAGCCTGGCCATAGGGCGTATGTATGCCCTGATAAGGTTTAAATTGAATATAAAGGCGTTGTGGTTTTATAAAAGCTTCACGAATGAAGAATAAGTGGATGGGGTGGCGGGTTTGGTGTGGATTACGTTAAAGAGATTTACCTTATTTAATATCTAAATAATATCCCGCTGTTTTATTTTTATATTTACTTAGGAAAACTATAATCTCTTACTTATTTAGCGTATCTTGGTTATTTTATTTATAGGGTTAGCTTTTATTTATCTAAATAGCTTATTTAAGCTTAGTTGGATAATATATATAAGGTATAGAACTTAGATAATAGTAGTAGTTATCTCTAATAGCGATTACTATTAAGCGTTAATTAAGGTATTATTATTAAATATATTATTAGTCATAATTATAAGTACTCAGTCTTAAATCTAGTACTATATAAGTATCTCTAGGAGTATAGCGCTAAGGTTCTCACTAGAATATATTCTAGAAAATAGTTAAAAGCTAAGTAAAATCTCTTAGTACTACTAATTATTATTAATAAAATAGCTAGTGATAGCTATAAAGGCCTATGAAAATAGAGATATCTAATAATTAAGAGCAATAGATATCTTTATATTATTTAGGAGCGTCTATAGGATACTTTAGTGTCGCTACTTAACTATAGCTTATAGGCGATAATAAATTATTTTTATAAAAGGGATCTTAGCGATAGAAGAGGCGCTTTAAGCTATTTAAATTAGGTTATAGAACTTGGGATATTTAATAAGCTAAAAGAAAAGATATATGACTATTAAAAAAATAAGAGATTTCTCTTCCTATACCTCTTAAATAAATACTTGTTGGAATATCGACCAATATATATAAGTGGATCTACCCTCTTATTATTCAACATAAAAGAGGACAAAACTAGGTTTAGGCTAGGAAACCCTAAACCCTAGTTAGACATTCATTATATATCCTGGCGCGTGGAAGATGGTCGACAATCACGTGACCAAATGGACCTTAGCCCTAGAAGAGTAGGGGGGACCAGTCTCCTGGGGGGTGGATGGCCCTTCTTTAGGGGTAAATGGCACTCGCGCTAGGGGGTGTGTATAGGCGGTCAATACCGCCTAGATTCTTGGCTCTTTTCTATGCTGTTCTATCTGCTTCTACCCCGCTTGATCTGCGTTTACTATGCCTTGTCTATGACATCACTGTCTATGATCTGTATGCTTCCATTCAGTTCTATCACTTCTCTTTGAGGTATTTCCTTTGGTCCGAAGCATGTGATACCGAGGTATATTTGTCTATAAATACGCGATGGATTACTAGGTAGAAGAATCAGACTTTTCACTCTCTTTGGAAACTGCCTAAGTTCCTTTCTTGCTTGTCTTGCATACAAAAGGGTAAAAGCAACCCTTAGTCAGTGTGATCATTCCTCTACGAGTTAAAGCGTGAATTGTTCTCGTTTAGGCTACATCAGTGTGTAGTCTATCCTAAGAGTCTTCCTTTGTCCAACTTGGACCGACCAGTTGGATAAAGCGATATAAGACACTAAGGGGGTACGCAAAGCCTAGTTGGCGCCACGAACGGCCTCGTGGTATCACCGTCCTTATTGTCCAACAATACTTAACTATTTAATATACTATATCTCCATTTAAGTTAAAAATACTCACTATATCCTATATAAATCTAGTAATTAGTCCCTCTATACATATATGTCGACCGTTAAGGGGAGGCGGATACCACGAAGCTTTTCGTGGCGCGGGGTACGCTTTTGCAGATACTTCCCCACCACGGACCGTTGAACTATCCGATCAAGGAAAGGCTTGATCGGATAAAGAAAGAATAATAAGAATAAGATAGAGTGCAAAGGGTTTATGCACTCTAAATGAGCACAATCCACAATCCTCAAACAAAGGACTAAAGTGTTTTAAGCAGATAGAAAGGGATAGTAGAATATTTGAAGACAGTGAAAGGTCTATCATTTTCACTTAGCGTCCTCGCCTATATTTATAGATAGAAATTGCTTAAAGTTATATACTTTATATTAGATAAATAGAATAGAATTAGGGAAGGAAATATTTAATCTAGTGAGGTAAAGAGGGGTAAGCGGTTTGGAGGGGTAAATTATATTCGTATCTCTTCCTTCTTTTTCTTCTTATATTAAATAAGAGGATACCTTCACCTAATATAGTATTAGTCCAAATTCATTAGATAATATATTATATATATTTATATTATTAGATATTATAACCTATTTAAAGGAGAATCTATTATTAATAAACTTTATATATAAAACTAAAGGTTCTAATCTATATTAGATTACAATAAAGAATTTTAAATATATAGTGAAAAGGGGATAGCTCGATGGCTGTCTGACAATACAGACTAGACAACAGCAACCAACGAACAACACACACACAACCTGCACGTAGTAGAGGTCGTCCTAGGGGAGGTCGCGAATGTCCTTGGTGAGGCCGTGAGGTCGTACGTGCAATCCTGGACGTAGCAATCCTAAATAAGGCTGTACGGTTTTTCCCGACTGAGCCCGTATGGAATGTACTTAATATAGCATATTGAATGAAAGAATGTA